ATGCAAAATCCTGCCACCGAGGCTTTTCTTTTTTCATATGCCCCTGTGGCACGTAATCACACCAAGTTAACGTTTGGACTCATTAACCGCAGATCCAATAGCAGTAAAGAAATCATTCAAAATTTCCAAAAAGTCGCGCATCGCTTGAAACCTCACGGCAAAAGTTCCTGCTACGTGGAAAAACATCCCGTTATCTCTCCAACGCCAATTCTCATTGCCTCGAGTATCCTTACATGAGATTAATTGACGATTTTGGTTTGTGCGCTTGCATGGGCAATTTATCACCAGGATCGAGAAAAGGTTGCTGGGCTATTGCTGGGCTATGGAGGACGCCACAGCACCCTGAAAAACTTCCCTTTGAATCCATCCCCTGTTAGGCGTGTTTAAGACAGAAACAAACCGTTGCACACTTTCATTTTTACCAGCCCCTGTTTGACAGCTTCTAATTCCTTGTCGACATTAATGCTTGCTTGCACTTAGATTAGTGCCCACATGGGAAAATGTCAATATCAACCTCATGGCAAATATGCATGGGATGATGGGACACACTTTGTACCTTACAGCGAACCCAAATCATGTGAATTTGCATCAAATCCTAAGTCACGATAATGAGAATGTTGGACAATCGGACTCTCCAAAGTACAAGTAACCTACTACCTGGGCCACGGGAATCACATTCTGTATCTAGCCGTTCAAACGAAAAGTCGGGTCACCACCAGACCCGAGTAACTTGAATCAGTAAAAGTTCTAAGGTTCACCGGTCCTGGCAAGTCCCGTGGCGAACAGACTCTATGTTACCTCAATGCATTACTCGACAGATTATTTGTTATTTGCCAGATAACATCCTCTTGTTTTCTTACGTATGTAGTACTTCCCAAGTCTTCAATCTCTGATAGAGAAAGACCGAGATGAGCAATACGATGAATTATCAAATGAAATAAGCCTTTGCAAAGTTACGACCATATGGGAAATGCCGTATCATCATGTCATCAACTCTATTATTACATGATTACTTTTTAGCGATAGAACATCAGGTTAGAACTTAGAATGCATCCGAACACGAGCTATTTTCGGTGTTTAGAAGGGACTAACACTCTGTGGATTTGATGAAGATCAAACAGTTTCTATTTCAGATTGCGGGATAAATGGTCGACCCAAACTCCACAAGAACACAAGAGAGCAAATAGATTGTGATGAGCGACAGATAGGGATATGTCGCGAAACCAAAATGATTCTGACGACGTTTTGAAAAAGGCTAAAAGTAAAGCGCCTTGAGAGTCGAGACGGCTGGGGACTAATTACTAATTTCAACGTCCGCATGATTCGCGGAATGAAAAAAATCCTCACACTTGCGGATATGTAGCTTATCCAAGATTGAAGGTATCGTCAATGGCTTACTCCAATCCTACTTTTCCTCATTTTTACGTACGGTAGCAAAGCACTTTTGGCTTTTTGAGATATTTCCGATACTGAATCCCAGACATTCGCTTGAGGGGAAGCTGATCCGAATGTAACTCTCAAGAGTCGCAGTCTCACGCATTACGGAAGACTTACGAGAGCCCTTAATGCATACCTTAATCCTTAATCTCATCTGCCTCATCTAAACCCCAATGAACTGGCACGTCTGGAATTAAGAGACTCCACCATTTCCCTATCTACTCCGTACAGTGATGATAATCTAAACCTACCTACAGGCATCACAGGCATCACAGGCATCACAGGCAACAAACAGGGCTCGATTTTGAGTTTCCTTCTCCCTGAATTTCCACCCCCACATACATGTTCCCACATACCAAGTTCTAGACCTACCTTTTTACGATATGGTTTGTCTACAACAGCTCACCTACAGAGTCACAAGGCGGCAGTTACGCTTGATCTGGTAAACAAAATGATTTTATTAATCTAATTCTAATGCTTCATGCATAAAAGAAATCCACACGGGACGTGATCAAGAAACGATTGAAACGATCGAATAGTTGTTACCGTTCTGGTGATAGTTCTCCACAAAATAAATCCTCACGACCATTCAAACTTTCCAACCGATACTTTCCTTCTAATAATGAAAGAGAAAAAAGAAAATACACTGCCACGTCGAGAGTTGCTCCGAGACATCCGGATAATCCAGCTCATGATCTCAAAATCTGCGAGTAAAAATCTCCTACTGGCTCTCCTAAAGCAAACTCAAAAAGCAGCAATGTAAACTCACATGATCTTACACCTCCCATACCCCGACGGCCAGGTTCCGCGCACCAATGAAACACAAGTACAGCCTTATATGTCGTTCCTGATATACCCTCCTTAACAAGCAAGTCCCGATCTCAGCACACCTGCAATGAAACGCCTGGAACAAATGAGCATCTCCCAATAGCATCTTGGATGTAAATGGATGATGCTGATATATACGTAGGTATTACGATATCAGAATGATCAAAGGTAGCACCATCTTGGCTGCAGCTTATCGCGTTTCTGTACAAGTAAGTAGAGTCAGTAATACAGTAAGTAGTACTCGACATGAATACTACCACACGATGTATCGCCGAATCGCCACACACCATCGGCTTATCACCAACCATCTCGCGGTTGCTCAAATCTAAAAGGGATTACGCCACGTGCTGTGCCTCTCCTCGGCATGAGATATTTTCCCCTTCTGTTTTTCTCAGCTTGCGGTTCCCGGGCCTTGGGAAATATAATTTCATTGGCAAAATTGGGAGTAGTGCGCAGCGCAATGAAATCCTAGTCTCTCACTCTCTGTCTTTTTGCTTCCCTTTCTCCTGCAGCATGCATGTGCTGACACGGAAGGATTCGTGACCCGCAGGACCGAGCAAGCCACAATATAAAATTTGATAGAAACATTACTTACTCTGGAAAATCGGAAATCAATATCATTTAGTCTTTAGAAAATATTAATGACAGTTTTAGGAAAAAGGCGGAGGTTTTCGTAACCGAAGAGAAGAACGAGCGGATGAACTACTGGCTGGGGAATGATACCGGTAGCTTTTGATATTAGCTCGGAAAAAGAAAAAGAAAAAGAAAAAGAAATCAAACAGAAACAGAGACAAACAGAAACAGAACCCAAACGATCGATAGATACCATCCCGTTTACCGCGTTTGGAAAACTGGCTAATGCTATGCTGCGAGTTTTTGGCTGCAGACAGTTGCTCCTCCCTCTCACTTGCATCAAATCTCTCCAAGACTTCCGAATTGTTGGTTGGTAATCAGCATTGCATCGCATTCGCATGCATCGCATCATCAAACGAAACGAGGAGAAGGTTTAGTATCTACTGTGCTGTATCCATAAACCATTCATATCGCATATCGCATTTCCCCTTCGCATCCTTCACCGCTTTTGGTAGCTACCATGCAATACAAATACAAATACAAATCTAATGTTAATGATAATAATAATAATAATAATAACATCTCTCGTAAATATGCCAATAATCACTTATGCATATTAATTAAAATCAATCAATCAATCCATCGCGCCAATCCAATATCTCATACCATACATACATATATACTATACATAGAATAATAAATAAGATACCTAAGTTATAATGAGAAAAAAAGATCGGTGAGCATTGCATTGCATTCACACTGCACACTGCACAGTGATGAAAGAAAGAAAAGAATACAAATTACCTAGGCTAGGTAGGTAGGTATGCAGCACGAATGTCGTGTTATCTAGCCTCTAGATTACTTACTAATACTGTACTCCGTAGCTTAGGTAGCTTATTCAAATGCAAGAATGCAAGCAGGCAAGCATAAGAAAATAAAGAAATCCTAAAATAAAGTCTGAATCTCGCTCTTTGGATCTTTCCCTTTCGTTGGGTTAGGTTGGGCTACCTGGTAAGGTAGGTTATCGTATCGAGGTATCGCATCGCTTCACAGGTATCATATCGTATCGTATCGTTTCCTGCTCCTTCCTGCTTGCGACGAATGCTGGAGACGAAAAGATCGGATGGATGGAGCGAGCTCACGGATCACGGATCTTGAAATGCTTTTGAATTCTATACATGTATGTATATATGTATATATATAGTATATATAGTGAATGAATACAATGCAATGCAATGTAGTGAGTGATATGTAGAACTATACCGAAAAGTCACATACTGAAATATCTAAGTACCTAGGTATCTGACAAATTCCGGTACAAGCACAGTACCTAGGTAGGTAGCAAGCAGCCAGGACAGTATATGCTGTGAAGTTACAGCACATGCTTATTTATCGAGACGGGATGCAAGAACCCGTTTGGAAGGATGGCTAAATCGGCGACTGGGCTATTGGGTGCTAGGTGTTTGAATTATTTTTTCATGGGGACCTGGATATTTTTCGGGGGTTCCTGTACTGTACCATTTTGTCTTTCGTCTCTTGTCTTTCTTTTCTTCATGGGCTTTCCCTTTGCTTGGGTCGCTCGCTCCGCTTGCGAGAATTTTACCTTGGTGACATGATGCGCTGATGGGGGAGAGACAGGACAGGCATGCCTTGTGTGGTGCGAATTGTCGGGTTCGTGTTGATCACGTGATGTTTTGTTTATGTTGGGATGAAGATCGTGATGAATTGGGTGCTTTTGTCTTGCTTGTACTGCCGTGAATATTACTTACTTACTCATTTACATATATCAAGATTTACTATACATCATTTGTCTACATCAAACCTGTGCACTTAACCATGATAGTGATGTTCTTCTCTAATCGCGCAAACGGACTAAATATCACGACATTGGCCAAAATAGGAAGGTTTCCGTGTCACATCATCTTTTTGATCCAAAGATATACGATGATTCAGCCTCTAATACGCATCAATTGATGTAAGATTCGGTTTTTTGCTCCTTTTTGAAGGATGAAGTTCTTGATATCATGATATGTGGTTGGTTCCCAATCTCAAGTGAGGAAAAACTGGGTATTTGGCCCTGAAATGCTATGGATACAGAGTGCAGATTTTGGAATTTGGAAGTAGATCTTATTTGGAATTTGATTTTGTTGAATTTTTACAATGCCATGTCCCTCGAGTCTGTAATGAATTTGTTTTAAAGTCTTGAGATCCACGTGAATGATTTGCTGGAGGATATTTGTAGTAACAAGTACTTGCGATTAAATCATTATCAATTGCAAATGGCAACCACAATTGATGATGAGAAGCAAGTGACGTCTTCTCCAGCGAGATCAAAAAGTGACGTTGTAGACGATGCATCACCAACTGTTTCAACGCACTTAGATGATAACTATGCTCTGTACGAAAATGCTAGGAATATCGAGGTCGATCCTCAAGAAGCAAAGAGGGTGCTTAGGAAGATTGATATACGGCTTATGCCCATTCTTTTCGTTACATATATGTTGCAATATCTAGACAAGAATTCCATCAACTTCTCAAGTGTGTATGGATTGCAGAAAGGAACGCATTTAGTTGGACAGCAGTATCCCTGGCTAAGGTAAGACATCAGCTGCATGTTTTACTTTTCGTACCTTTTACATTATACTAATTATCGAAATAGCTCAATCTTCTACTTCGGCTATCTATTCTTTCAATTTCCATCAGGCTACTTTCTCCAGCGTCTACCTATCGGGAAATTTCTCTCCCTAACTACCATCGCCTGGGGAGTAATCCTCATCACAACCCCAGCATGCGTCTCCTTCGGCGGAATAGCAACCAACCGCTTCCTCCTCGGCGCAGTCGAAGCCACCGTAAACCCCGGCTTCGTCCTCCTAATGTCCATGTGGTACACCTCCGCGGAACAACCCCTCCGCCTCGAAACCTACTACTGCACCAACGGCATCGCAACCATGTTCGGCGGACTCATCGGCTACGCCATCGGCCACATTACCACCGGCCTCCCAAAATGGATGTACGTCTTCCTAATCTTCGGAGCCCTCTCCATCTTCTGGGGTATCATCTCCCTACTCATCCTTCCCGATCTCCCCTCAACCGCCAAATTCCTCACACCCCACGAACGACTCATCGCCATTAACCGCGTAGCTTCCAATCGTCAAGGAGTAAAAAACCACCACTTCCAGCCCTATCAAGCCTGGCAAACTCTCCGAGATCCCAAAACTTGGATCCTGTTCGTCATGGCTGTCGGTGCTCAGATTCCCAATTCCGCTCTCACTTCCTTCACATCTATCATTGTCAAGACCTTCGGTTTCGACACTCTCGGTACTCAGTACCTGCAGATTCCCGGCGGAGCAGTACAATTCCTCGCGCTGATAGCAGGAGGCTATATATGTACTAAATTCCCGCGCAATTCCCGCTGCATCACTATGATTGTTGCTAACACGATATGTATTCTCGGATCAGGACTATTGGTTGGTCTTCCAAGTAGTAATAAATGGGGACGCTTAGTAGCTTTGTGGTTGTGTTATTTTCAGGGCTTGGGATTCAGTATGAGTCTTACGATGGTCAGTAGTAATGTTGCCGGATATACGAAGAAACAGTTGACGGCGGCGGTGCTTTTTACGGGATATTGTGTTGGGAATATTATTGGGCCGCAGACTTTTATTGCGGCGGAAGCTCGTGAGTTTTTCTTGCTTTTGTGTCTTCTGACTGTTTCTGTTTCTTTTGTCGTTTCTGTTGCTATTTAATGATCAAGGAACTAACACCAAGCAAGCGCGTTATCATTCCGCTTATATAGCAATGCTCGTTGGTTACTCGGTCAAATTGGCAATGGTTGTCGTACTATATATTTATATGTATACGAGTAATAAGAAAAGAGACGCAGAGCAGGCTGCTAGAGGAGAAATGAGTGAAGAAGAAGCGAGAGAGGCGGTGGAAAATGGAATGATGGATATGACGGAAATAGATAATAAGGGGTTTAGATACATTTTGTAGGTATGAGCTGTATATTTAGATATTGTATGTATGTTTGTATGTTTGAATGTGTGGTGAACGTGCTGGTGGCTCAAGTGGTCTTGATGGCGGTATTGGTTTGTATAAAAGTGCACCCCATAAGGAGGGACAGAATAATTACGCCCAAATATTTCATAGCAAACTTTAATTTTCATTTCCGACATTATAATTAGCTGTCAGTTTGGACAATCATTACTTTATTGCCTAGCGATGTTATTGAAATGTCCCCCGTATTTGGGATTTTGATCAATAGGTCTTGGGTAAGCCTTATATCAGAGAGTTATATATTTACATTTGTAAAGCTAACTCTGAGAGGAATATTCGTTTTACTGCAATTAACTTGGAATGATTGTTCCCATACTCTACATTATTTGAAATATCAAATAGAAACTCTCTCAAATATGTAATCAGACCTGTTGTAGCACAGCCATATATAAGCTCTGCTAATCTGGAGTTCTCTTCATAATTTGATTAAATCTATCTTTTTTCTCATCGCATAACATCCAAGACATGAATCACACTGAGAGAGTCTTCACACATTGCCGAGCCCTTGCGGCTCCGTGGGCGCGGAGGCAACTCTCTCCTCGGAATCTGTACTATTAATACGTCTCAAAATCCCATTGCGAAATCGCCAATGACTGTTAACATTCCACCGAGACAGTGCATCAGGATGGTTCCCTAAATATTCATGCAAATACCCATCGATGATTTCAGATTCTGACCGTTCTTCTTTGCCACGAAACCATCCCAATACAACATACATTCCACCAGAGAGGTACAATCCAACGAAGTATAATATAAAGACATTTCTAGCATCTGTAGATGGTTCTGTCAAATCCAGCTCACGAATCCAAAATTTTCCCAGATAAATTCCTAGCGCGATAAGAAGCAGACAAAGCGAGCCGGAGAGTAACATCTGAGGAGCCGAAAGTGTGATGACGGATAGGGGACTCGGGATAAAACACTGTCTTTCAAAATCCTTCTTAAAATCACGAACATCCGAACTTCTCGGGATGTACTCATCCGGTTCGCAAGGATCAAGTTCGAGTCCAATTTCGATGGAAAAAATTCGATTAATTGCCTGTTTTCTTCCTCGAATCCAGTCACGAACATCCTTTGCTTTAATCAATCGACCAAGGATTCTTTGCTGCGCCACAGAATAGTACACCGCAACCAAGGCAAAAGTTAAACTCATGACAAAACTAGACTTTGCTATCCAATGAGTCTGATTCAATGATTCCAACGACAAGCCTGTAATAGCTATTTGAGCAACAATTGCAGCCTTTTCTTTTATCAGTACAGTCATATATATCTAGACTTGACGATAATAATAAAAGAAGCTCACAGCTACGGCAATCATAGTACATTCATCACATGCCATCTTTTTGAATGCTAAAGCATCTTCATCTTGTAATTGGCCAATGATTCGCGCTTGCAGAAGCCAGATTGTGCGGCTTCCATACATCTGGAGTGATATAGCTCCAATTCCGTACCATTTCCATTGCTGAGCCGTAGGCAGCATTTTACGTATTGTCCCAAATGGAAACATGGTATATGCTTAAAGGTTGAAGAACTGGTAGAGCTTGTGAGTAATAAATTCTACACTTTCTCGATGAAAAGATTTAATGATGGAATTTGTAAGTCTGATAAAGATCTAGAAGGGCGTCGATGTCTTACGGGGGGATATGTAAATGCGGGGTTGAACCCACGCAACGTTGCACAACATAATGTGCATGGTCATGTACATGCCAAATTGAATTGAAAATATGATGGTTCTGGGAATCTAATCTGCTAGATTTGAGGTGCATAATTGTAGATGAGAACTAGAAGAATGTATATGAGCTAGAAATTTTACACTGGACGCTCAAGACAAATATATCTAAACATTATAACTACTTCTTTGGATCAAACTTTGAGTTCAACGTATACTACCCTTGTCAGAATTTTCCATCGGTAAAACCCTCAATTTTGAATTGCATCATATGCTGATCTCGCTACCGGCCCCTTTATTCATGTTCCGCTTTGCTCCGAACTTTTCACCTCAAGAACTTCAGATATGATTATTCCCTAGGTCAGAAGAAGTTTATTCACAACCGGAAAAATGGTGCATAATTAAAATGTATGCATATTGATTTGAGTTTTGTCGGAATTATGCTACCAGGTTGGAAGTAATGAGGGTACGTTTGCTGCCGTACTTCGCAATGTTTGCCCTAGCGAGAATGTTGCTCGTAAGATTATGCATGATGTTTGTTGGAGCTACAGCGGTGACTGCAATATCTTCGAGACGGTTCTGACAGAGGGATGATGAAAGTATAAAATGAGGTACGTAGATCTTCTGCTGATCAATGATTGAGTACGTTAGTACCGTGTGGATGACCACGGAACCAAAATGAAGAAGACTAGCCTTTACCGGGACCGTCATTTGAGTACGGTACTACCGTAAGGGCAATGGCGGTGTCAAAAATAAGGGATATGACCTCTTCAAAGCTTATACGCGAGGACCGTACGATCCTAGGGATGGTCGCGATATCAAAGTAGTATAGAAAAATCTCTAATAAGCTTAATAATTAAGAATGATACAGCCATAAAAAGTTACGGTGCTAACACCGTATGCTAACCTGGGAATATTTATATACTGCTCATCCTCTTACCACAATTTACTTTCTCTCAACAGATGCGTTCTGCCTCTACAAATATTAAAACATCACATAACCAATTACCAATAAAAATCATTGACATCTTCATCCTCCTACAGCAATCGATCAGTCTAAAGGCTCCCAACCATGAACAAATCAAACAATCCTTGCTTTTACAACGATGCTATGAGTCCCTCGCCTGCAAAGGACGCCACGAGCGTCGCCCAATCAAATTATTCACCTCTTCGTGCTCCCGGGTTGACATTTACCTTGACATACCATCTTAAGAACCCACGAAATCTTGAAACCTCACGGAAGGCAATTGCTCCTCTGAGCTTCGGTTCTAATACCGATACTGGTGTTGGAGCTATAAGTCATTGTGCGCAGGCTTCGCAACGCAGCTTTGAGGCAGATATCACAGACCAGAATAGTGATGGTGAAGAGTCAGCTTCCGCCACGGAGGACGATTATGATGGGGATGAGAGCATGAATGATGACTCTGAGTACATGATGGTTGGAGCCCAGCAGGAACATACTCTCGGAGACACCTTCATAGAATGTCGCAGTTGTGGAGATATTTTCGACTACTCACGATATGCCCTGTGGGTACCTGGATATCAGCGAAAATTACGACGATCTCTTCGAATGCCATCTGAAGACACACACCCTCAGATTGTCAGATGTCCAGGATGCGACGCTGAGAATTGTATGGCCTGCGAGAAACCTCCTCATGAATATTCCTGTTTCTATGAGCATGCTCATGTCGTATGGCATGCTTTATGTACCGTTGACGATGCCATTGTTCAACATCGCAAGGTGTCTCCATACAAAAGAGACAACAAGAGTCTTGAAGCCGCGGTTGTAAAAGCCCTAAACATCCTCCTCGAACATATACCAAAAGATTCTAAGGCCTCGCTGGACTATTCTGACCTCATCCGGAAGAGTTTGTTGCTAGACCAGGTGGCAGTCACAATTGGAAATATGACTGCTGAAAATCGATTCGACACTGTTTGCCTACAATCCTGGTCATTCATCCACATGCTCTCTGAGCGCAAGAATCTGTTCGGCTTGTTGATTGAAAACCGACTTGAGCTCCTGAGAGACTTATCTCCTGGTGTTAGGATCTTGGGATTCCCAGTCTCCTTTTTCCCTGTCGAATTGACCTACGACGCTGACCGATATGCCCCCTTGACCTACACTATATGGTCTCTCATCCGCCGCAACTACCAGTCAGCACATGAGTACCTGTCCGCGGATACTGAACTAAATGATAAGTGGCCGGCGGTGCAATTAGCACGGAATATTGTTCAACTCTATGATGATCTGAAGAAGCAATCACAACCATCTGAGCTCACCCTTTTTATGCAAGCCCAGCAATTGCAATCCTTTTCGGCACGTCTTGAAGAGATGCATCGAGTTAGCGGCACAGAATACGGAGCTGTAAAGGAGAATATCAGAGTTGCACGATCTCCGTGGCTGGTCAAGAAGCGAGGTCAGGATGATGGGGATGATTGTGATGACACTGGAGGCAAGAGAAGAAAGACTCCTACTCAGGCTATGGGACATGGTTTAGCGAGTGAAAATGACTGGACTGCAAGCAAAAGTGGGGGATGGTGGAAGATTGTCCAGTAGGAGAGAGAAGATGTGATGTAAGATCAGGACCTGGAAGTTTGGAACAGTTGAAAACTGAGAGAATTTGGTGTGATAATTCAAAGGATTGAGGGATAGAAGACTTCACTGAATGGAATAGAGCATAGATAAGCCTGAAAAGAATATGGCAAAGAAGACATAGGACTGGAATTAGGAATTGCTTTTATGAAAAGATTTGAGATACAGGAAAGCCCAAAGTGGACAGAACTTACTATTCGGATGGTTTCCAGGACTCGTACTATATCATTCCAGGTAGACAAAAGTCCTAATACCAATCATAACTCTTCTCAAAACCTAACATGTGCAAGTAAATATGAACAAATATTATCCTGCATATCATACTGTAGTCTGATATCACCACGACTGTGAGTCCTTGACACTAGCAAATTCACTATCGCACCTTCACTGCATCTCCTTTAACTGATAACTAGGATTTGAAAAAGCTCAAAAGTATATCTTACCTAGGTAGTTTAGAATTATGTAGTAAGGTGATGGATCTTATTCATATAATAGAGTTAAGCTACTGGCCAAGAATAACTCGCGAGATGTCCTCCTCGAACACTACAAAGGCCCAAGAGCCTAAGGCAACCCCGTAATTTAATTATCAATAACCAAAAGAATTGATTCTGGCAAAAACAAGGGATTTCTGTCTTGCAAACCTTCGATACGGTTACGGGTCCCGTCAAACGAAAGCTAGCCACTCCAGAGACCGCGAGTGTCCAGACTTACTCAAAGTAGCAGGCCATCTAACCAAGGAGAAGGATGATGATGCTATTTGCTGTCTTGAAGTACAAAGTAGTCAACCATATTACATTGTGTCCGGACCAGACGATGATGATCTGGTTCATACTGTAAAATATGTCGGCTAAAAGCATGTTACCGTCAATAGACCCAACACATCAAAGCAAAACCAACCCGGAAATCAGCGACCTTGAAGAAGCGGGTAAAGCTGTGTTAGATATTAGGCTTAAGGATGAGAAACTTTCTAAGGGAGAGGTGACTTTGGCGGGGGAGTGGAAAAGAGCTGACGCTGAATAACGCTTTCGAGACCGATGGCAGTGAATTAATTGTGGAGATAGCATGAGATACTTGTGGAGGTAAACGTACAAGGGTCTTCATTTAACATAATCAATGATTACCTGAATCATGAAACGTGGAAACATATCCGTCTACTGCCATGGATGTGCCATTAACAACTTGGTAATTCTACACGTCTATCATTGATGAGATGCATTTCATATCCTAAGCACATGATATTAATGACAATTTACGCCTCGTCAGCAGAAGAACTTGCAACAGCCTAGCAAGATATATTGTGACAATATCACAAAGAGGATGGTCTACTACGGAACACCTTCCGTAACCCACTAAAGCACAAACGATTTAGGAGTATCTACATTGACCGTGAATCAGATCTCAAGATCTGAAGCTAGTCTTGATGAAAGTGCATGCCCAGAATTCTGAGTTGCTCTTACACCTAAACATTGCACATATTTAGACTTCTATTACTTCAGATGGTGTAAATTCAAAGACACAATATATAAGAAATTCCATTGGCATGGGAATATATCCACTGCCGCGCTGTGTATCTGGTAGTCATAGAGGGGATCTTCAAAATAAATAGGAGTTCAACACCCGAATAATACATGATGGAACAAATGGCATTAAGCTTGCAAAGCAACAACCTTCATTGCTTATATTTGCATAGAATTTATATCTAATTAAAGTCCAGCAGCATAATACTATTATCACTTGAGCTTGACTTTCCCTCGCTTCCCCCTCGCTTTCCTCGTGGTCTGTGTTTTAGTACCCAAAGTGATCGGATCGGAAATGCAGAAGACGAGTGAAGATAGAAGCGGAAACCTCAATCAAGAAAAACATCAATCTTTACGATACAGACGCTATACAAGCAATCCATCTAGATTCAGAGATGGATTCTCATTAGTACCTGGTAAGCACTCCGGGGAATCGTGGGTCTATGGCGCTGGGATAGATTGTGGTGGTTTGATTGGTATGTTCGCAACTATTAAAACTAATGCTGAATTAGATAGATCTTTTCCAACTTCAGTCTGAGTTCGTTATATGTAAAGAAGAAAGGTATTTGGACTGTATTGCGCTTTAATGTGGGCTGTAAATGGAAATTTGGTAGAGCATAGGTAGTTCTAAACTTTTGGAGAGTAAGCTATTCATGATGACTCCACTAAAAGTACACATTCACAATGATATTCTCCAGTGATGAGGACAATGAGCTGCACTAGTGAATGAAAATATTATACGGAAATAATATTTATGGTACTCCACAGTCATGCACCATCCACACAACTGTGCTAAACATTTTGATGAACAATAACTTGCACAAAATTTAATTTGAAGTGATTCAAATATACCTATATGAACGCCTAAGATTTCAACAAACACAATATAAGTTCACAAACCGTACACCAAAATACAAAAATTTCATACAGATAAGAGAACTAAACACACAGTATCATCTAACAGTCAAACAACATCACACCAAACGAAAACAGGCCCAAACAATCCAGCTCAACCTATCAAAAATCCAAAAATCTCCAACCGAAGAAACCAAACAAACACTGTCAAAACAGTCAAGATGTTTTCACCTGATACATCAGGAAACGTGAAAGGCTTGATTAGGAGAAAGAGCGACCTTAATCCACGGAACTGGGGAGTCAAAGTTGATGGCAAGATTTTGAATCACCCAAAAATTGGCTTTGATCAGAACTGATGTGTCTAAGCCCAAGGAAGATGGGGAGTGTAAGAGCTGCGTGAAGAAGCAGGAGAAGGCGAAGAAAAAGAAGAAGAATGGTGGTGGCTGTGTGGTATCTTAGTCGTATGGAAGCAGTTTGCAGAGGATGGGCTGAAAGGTATCGTGGTGATGTCGGTTGATGGAAAGAAATCAATCGGGATTGTTCGCGGTAATGGGAGGAACGGGCGAATGAGCGGTCATGGTGTCGCTTCACGTCAATGCGTCATCCTCACCGTCCTTTCATCTCCTAGCTACTAGCCCCATCATCCTCCGTTACAATATCCTCAAAAAGCAACTAAACTTGCCACCATGCGTTTGTAGGTCTGACGACAGCAACCATGCTCATCCTCATCCGTTCGATATTCCGTGTGGCCGAGCTGGCTAAGGGCTTCCAGTCTAAGCTTGCCAATGAAGAGATCCCTTTCATGATACTTGATGGTACTTTCATGATATTGGCTACCACAACCATGACGGTGTTCCACTCGGATTAATCATGGGTGGAAAGTGGAAAGGATCTGGTTGGGAGTTAAAGGAATGGAAGATTGGAAGGAAGTGATTGGAAATGGAATGTAATGAGAGAAGTGGCAGTATAAGTACAAGGAAATGCTGAACACCTGGGGTTTTGTCAGCTATATGAAAGACTAATGGGTTGGAAAAGTTCCAATGTGTCGTTTAGTTTGTCCGGAGAAATGTGAATATATATGTCCAAAAAACTAAATTTGTTACCATCTTGCAGGGTTTGGAATGAAATCTAGTTACTAGGGCATAGAGTCCAGCTTGAACCCTCAAGTGTAAGATATTGGTAGTTTGATTTGGTTTGATGGAGATGGAGAAGACCGAAACGTAGGATGATTATTCAGCTGTGACCTTAACCTTACCTCTAATAAACTAGCTCAGAGCTTAGCGAAAGCGGCCGCACTGTTTAGCATCGCTGAGATTTTTTTTATCACTAAATCAGAATATCAAATGAGAACCACAAAGGGTCCATGATTACTTGTCGAAGAATTGCTCCACCAAGGAAGCTCTTTAGCCTCAGCGATTTAATCAAGAGCAAAACTTGCAGCGGCCAACTGTACAGATCTCGTGAGAGGACCACTACACACGTGACCATGGATGGTCCAAGTCATGTATGTATGTCTAATCTCGAACTTGCTAGATGGTTCTAACACGTTTGTAGGGTCATCATGGCCATGATACACATGCTATGCCTCCTCAGGCTATTTGTGATGCGTATAAAAGGTATCAAAGAATGAGTGATGCGGCAGTTAATGATGATCTCGATATCGTGGATTTCAATCGTGGATTGACCCCGGAGCAACAAAAGACGTTGAGTCCAGTGGGCATCGTTCCCTCGGAATTGATTGCTGAAGCCCAGAAGGAATTTATGAATGCTGGAGCTGAAAATGATTCCGGACTTCCGCCCGCCTGTACTATTTACGAGCATAGCGAATTCCCGGGTATGCTTAAATCAGAAGTAAATTAGTACTAGCTAACTTCTGTACAGGTTTGAGAATATTTCCTGCACTTCTACCACCAGAATGCCAGTCTCTATTTGTTTCTCGGCTGCTCCATCGTGAGCTGTCAAACCCTCTGCACAAAACGAACTTTCACGATGATTATGATATGCCCTACCCTCCGGCCGACTCTTCCTTCTTCACTTACCCACATCAAGCCAAAAACCAAGTCTTTGCTCCCAAATATCCAAATTCCAAGCATAAACCACTAAATACTGCCCAAGCTCTGCAGAAGAAATTCCGATGGCTGACCCTCGGCGCACAATATAATTGGAACACACGAGCATACCCCTCCTCTTCTCCGACACCATTTCCAGCTGATGTATCTCGTCTTGTTACCACTTTATTTCAGAATGCCTTTACTCCGGAATCAGGGGTCGTACTGATGTACTCGACGAAAGACTTCATGCCAGTGCATCGAGATGTTTCCGAGGAATGCAAGAGGGGTCTGGCAAGCTTCACGCTCGGATGCGACGGATTATTTGTTATTAGCAGGGACGTTAGAAAGGGAGAGGAACATGTTTCTGATAGGGAACAGGATCTGGTTTGTATACGGGTCAGAAGTGGTGATGTGATACAAATGGGTGGGGAGACGAGATGGGCTTGGCATGCTATGCCCAAGATTATAGCAGGCACCTGCCCACCTTGCTTGGCCGAATGGCCCGTAGGATCTACGCGAGAAGGGAAGGAACCAAAAGAGTATGAAAGATGGAGGGGTTATATGAAGGGTAAGCGGCTCAATATTAGCTGCAGACAGGTGTGGAATTAATTTTGCAAAATAAATCCTTGCCCTGACGGCACCTTTTATCAACCCGTGGGAGGATGACCTTATGTTTACTTTGGTTGGAACTGAGTTATACAGTCCTTTGGACACAGGCCGGTATCAATTTTCCACGGCTGGTTCGTACGGATCGTATTTTCACATCTGTCATCTCCATCTTTCAAATTACGGTTGCGGAAAGGGCGCAGCTGAAAAAGATGCTGAAATTCGATACAATGGCGGTATCGACTATGCTTCTTCAAGGCCAATTCAAGGAATCTTAGGCATGGCAGTGAAGCCAGATTTCTTGAGAGTCGAGTGTCTTGCTGTAGATACAGGCTGTGAATGGGGTGCCGGGAGTGGCTGACAAAGGTTCTGGGCATAAATTTTGCACCCTTGGGATGCTTACCATTGTGGTCGAATACTGCGTTTTGTCTCCACGCTGTCGAAAACGGCTGGGCGTGAAAATGAAGGGCAGAAGATAAAAGCGGATCTTGTGTTCATCAAGGAGCTGATTGATGTTCAGTACCCTTATTATATTTCCCAGCCAGGCACAGTCAGCTTCTACCTCCCGCAAGAGTAGAGTCGAATTGGTGGGGCGGAAGGGTGCTGACATCATGAACATTGGCATATTCCCGAATACCAAGACTCCGAAGGTTATCATGCACCATTTGAAGTATGGAAAAGACTAGCGCCCGAAAAAGGGACTATTCGGAACTAAGAACCCCCGTTTTAAGAAAGCAAGAGAAGTTGATGCCCTCTGAAGACTGAATTGCTGGATGTTATCAACTACATATACCCCAGAAGTACATAAAAGGTGGATTTATTATGAGTCACACATAGTTTGGGCCGCCAGATGATCAAATCGAGGAAGGTTCCGAGAATAAATTTAACACCCAAAGTGCTGTTTAGCAAACACCTTGAATCCAAAAGGTGTTATATTATGAATAAATATAATGAAAAGGCATATGATGTGAACAGAAGTTCAAAAATTTGGTTTTTCACTGTGCCAGCGAAATAGAAAGAAATCATGAAATCGAGTTTGGATGCCACACCATGCCGTAGTAATTGAAGGAATGATACAAATCTAAAAATACCCTATAGATAATTGGAAGATTCGAGGCTAGAAGAAATAAACCATTGGGCTTGGAAAAACTTCAATTATAAATCTACAAAAAATAACCATTAAATAAGGGTGCTGTGGATACAATTCCTCCAAAATAAGAAAAGAACTTCGGAAAACCCCAGTGGGCGCTCTCGCCTCAGAAACTCATCCATAAAAAGCAGGAAGAGAATCAAATTTTTTAAATGATCATAGTAACTGTCTCGGAAAAAGCTTTGGAAAAGTATGAATGATGTCTCAAACTCTTACTTTAGCGATTTAAACATAACAGACTTTCAACCCATCAAACCCAATCGACGTGAAAACATCAAAGGTACTATTTATATCCTTCCCGTATTTCTCTTCAATTATATAACCTCGAAATTAACTCTTGGATGTGAGAAAACGCCTAGTTTCAGAAAGTTGAGGACTCGGTCTTCGGGGTTAGGAAGATATCTGCTGAGGCGTAGAATATCAAGCGAGTTGACTAAATAGAGCTTCCTCTCTTTAGGAACTTCCTTCGCTTGCTTGTAATCGTCCATCAAATTTCCAAACGTTGTGGCGCGCGAAATATCAACAATAAGATCTCCGAAGCACGGATGCTTAATACAAACCGATACGGTGAAGTTTCTTTGTTCTTCGACATATCGAGCTTTGAGGCGGTCGAATCGTTCTTGGAATTGGGAAGTCGCAATAACCTTCAGTTCAATCTTGTACTTAGGATAAACCTTTTTGTACCCGCCATGTTCATGAACCGGTCTAGTAGTAAAGAAGGGCGGCATCCTCTGTGGGCTAATCCTAACAGCGATTTCCGGAGGATCCAAAGATTTTCTATTGTTTCTAATCCAATCTTCCAAGCAGAGTCTTTGACCAGGATTGTAAGGCTTCTCGTAGTACCTCAGTTGGAGCACAACATGGTAGATATCCATCCACACGAGGTCATACATTTCCGTGTTGTCGTGATATGCGGATACGAAAGTGAGCTTCTTTAATGCAGAAAATGGCGCGATGATTTTGAAAATGTGATCCGAATCCCCTCCATATAGAAACCAGCTTAAGCTGCTATTCATATCGCGTTTGTAATGATTATCATATCCATAGTCAAAAAGATGCCATCGGATGGCTAGATTCTCCACGCGTGCAATGTCACGGCCTAGAAGTCCGAGACTAAAAGCTCTAATCCAATAAGTAGAGCTACACGCCCTAAAATCAAGATATAAAGTATCCTTCTTGAAATCAAGCCATGTCTGTGCGACAAAGTCATTTCCAAATGCAGGGGTATAAATACGTGAGTATAACTCAAACAACTCCTTACAAGCAAAAAGTAGCCCTGGTACTTTGTAAGGAGAATATGCACGCCGACAAGATTGTAGAGGACCACATTCAAAGTGTAAAGTGTCTAGGCTTTTAAGATATGAATCAAATATAGATAGTTCCTTCTAGTCGAAGAATCTTTCGTTTCCTCTAGTATCATTGGGCTTGTTGGACCACATTCGAGTACATAAGCCAGGTTCGTTTTCTAATCTCCCTAGCCGCATCAGCACGATTCGAGGACCAGGTAATGCCAATTTCCAAATAAATATTCGAGTCTCTTTGGGAAGCTTTGGGAATGGATGGAAGGTTCGGTCTTCCATTCTCAGTAGTATAATGCGCTAGTCGACAATTTGGGGAGATGGAAGTAGGATAGTGTTAGAAAGGACTCTGATTCTATAAAGAATCAAAAAGGCAGGAAATAATACAAAGTTTCTAATCTGTCATTTGTTTGTTTTTCTGGCGCGATAAATTTTCTTTTTTGTTTTGGCCATTGCGGCATACAGGCATAGAGAATATAATGACACATGCTCTGTATGCAAGTTCCCATTGTTGCCAGGCTAGGTACCACATATTAGGAGTGTCTAAGCTGGAGATTTAAGGATCTATTCAAGGATTTATATTTGAAAAGATTCAATCACTTTGAAGATCAGCAGCATTATCCTCCAGGAACAGATTAAGCACCACGTGCTAATCGTTGTCGCGCCAATTTTCGTTTGTGTTGCGCAGGCTGTTGCAAGAAATGTCAAACCAGATAGGCTTACAAATCACAGTGTTGTGTGCTATGTTAGCTTTGCCTCGATGACTAAGTTTCTCCTGCAATTTATTCCTCTTTATATTCGCATAAAGTGAATGTTTCTTTTTGCAATGAGGAATACAGCGCCGATATAGAGCAATGTCACCACTAGGCTGCTGCATTCAAACTGAGCTGAGTCCTGGCAGAAGCTGTGTAGGCAATCTATTGGACTAGAAATAATGATTAACTTATTCATCTGCCATTTCATCTTCGACCATTCCTTCTAGACAACCAACAAGCTTAACTGTAACTGCGAACAGTGGATTATCCATTGCAACCGAGTCTCAAAACCTGGCTTGAGTACCAATTGTATATATTCATTCATTATCCTATTTTTTTCCAACTCATGTCTGGGATCAATTTACTTCCAATTCTTCGAAAGACATCCTGTCTGTAAGTCTTGTGTTCAAACAACTCACGCCGCAACATTAACGGTCTTCTTGAAGCCTCAACGTAGACCGCCAATCATAACAACCCCCCGACCTCGTGTCCTCGGCTCCCTGTTGCCAGAAAATGCCCGTAGATTCCGCCACCCATCTTTCTGATCTTCTTAACCCTGTTTAAATTTGCGAGCATTGTATTATACTAGCGTACCAAGATTTTAACAAGAAGACTTTTTCTGTGAACCAGACGAGTAGTGAAATTATGGATATGAGTACAAGGATGAATATAAAAGCATGAGATGAGAGTGCGAACTCGTAAAACGTTAATGATGTCTATCCTGTCCAGTTTGGGACATACCAGCGTTGCAAGTGGAACAAATAAGGTCGATAATAGGGCTGCCTCTTTTTGATAGTGCGTGCGAGAGTTTTGCTCACGGCGTAGGATTGGTATTCCGTTACACAGATTCCAAGTAGGTTTTTTGGTTTTCAATGAATATCACTTATAAAAGAAATATATCAATTACGGCCAAAGTTGATCAGGCAGCCACAAGCCACTCGCTTAGCATTTCCTCTTTTCCAATCTATCCCTAGTCCCTATCCTATCGATTTTATATATGAATTTGTAGTAAATTGAACTTAGTTGGCCAGATTCTTGTGATGATTTATATTAGGGAATGAGGGTTAACCTGCGGTGGCATAAATTGCACCACCAGGACAGTATTATGGTACAAAGGTTAGGGGATGAATTGTTTAGTTGAAAAGTGTTTGAATTAGGCGGCGCTTGGGAATAATATGTGGGCAGACAATACTGCATTCGGAATCGAAAGGGACTTGTGAATCTTGACGTTACTGAGAAGGGGAAGCGGGAATCTCCGGTGTGTCATGCGAGGAATGTCACTCCAATAATATCTAATGAATATCACCGCATCGATAATCATGTCCAACACGATTCTCTCTAGCTCTTCCTAAATACTCGAAGAATTACAATTCATTGACCATAGAATAAACTAAGCAAACTAGTCGGATCTAAATTCCCGCTAGTATGGCATGCACACATGCACGTCATTGTCTAGATATCCGGTACACGTGCCGTCAGAAAGTCTAAAACCATCCACAAGATGGTCAACCACGAGGGGAATAGTGGCCAATATTTAAGTGGATGGTTATGTGCGTGCCAGTCCTGGCAGCACAAGTGGATGTTCCAAACTCTAGATTATTGCCAAGGCTCTAGAAGATCCAAGGAAGATCATCACAGATAAGTCCTTACTATGGACCTTCTAGCTTCCTACTAACAACCCTCCAATACTTTTATCAAGGCTTCTAGAAAAGTTGGGGGTGTTAGTTTGGGCGTTATTATGAAGCTAGAGAGGCTAATATGAAGCGGACGAGCAATCTAAGGAGTTTCTGGATTAGGGGAAGTGGGGTATGCGGGGAAAGAATCTGGGCATGGAAAGTTGAAAGAAGATGATTGTTTCTAGAGCATTAAGATATCGGTACTAAGAATGTCAGCTGTGTGAGTTAGAAGATCTAAGTTTGGAAGTGGCTTGACTTATTGGTAGTGGATAATGGGAAGAGTCGCTTCATCGCTCATTTTTCTGTATATAAGAGAGGTAGATTCTCAGTTGAATTTTAAGGGAGATAAGTACCATTTATATCACATCACAAATACCACACCACCTTCATCAAAGATATTTTTCGTATTTGTCAATAGGACCAAGCAATCACTGCAAAGCCTATTGTATACATCTTCTCATCACGTATATTATTCAATCTGGATCAGGAACCCAGCACTTCTCCCTCACACCGTCCACCCTGACCAGTAACCATTCAAAATCGCTCCTACACCAGTCAGTTGAGGGAGTGCAGCTATGGGCGCAGTAGCAGTAGCAGTAGCAGTAGCAGCAGCAGTAGCAATCTCCACCTCCTCTTCATCCTCCTCCTGCTGCTCGCCCACAAGCCCCATAAAAGCCAGCACAGTCACCACCATCCTTGAAAATGTTCGCTCACAAGCCTTTCCAATATCACCGATACAAACGCCTCTAAAAAATTGCATTGCTTAGCAAGACTCTCCGAATCCGCAATAGATAAAGCTTACGCGAGAGCTTTTTTCGCGCAGCCCCTTACTAGGAAGGCTATTTTCATGATTGTGCTGATTATTGGTTTCGGGTTTATGGCGTTGGTGGCCCTGTTTCTTGTTGCGGATTCTTTGGTGACTTCTCGCTGTGGGCGACGTAGTAGCAGGGAGCAGAAAAGGAATGAGTGGTATTGTTGAGAGTTACTTTGTGACTTCTGGAAGGTGTTGTACGATTAGGAATATTATATCAGTCAGGAAGGATTGGTGAGATCTTTATGAGATAAAAATGAAGCTTGGGAATTTCGCATCAATTTTTGAATTGGAGAGGAAGATTGGTGAATATTGAAGTATTTTAAGGTTATACTATGGATAAGCAGAATTTTCAAGGATGCTGGGGTCTTTTTTATATATATAAAGAAGAATAGAGACCCCCGAAGATATATTTTCAAACAGTCCTTTCCTCGTGCGCCTCCGTCCAACGTTGAAATTTAGTGATTCTTCCGAGGTACAAATCCGGAGAATACTCTGTAGAGCAATATGATTTGATTTGTAGATGGCTGTGCTTCCAATGAGAACCGAATACTTCCTGTGCTTGGATCTTAAACGCTGCTTTGGGAAATGAAGAAATATTATCGACGAAATATTCTATACATCTAATATTTTAGCCTGGTCTATCTCTAGGTGAAAACCTTATAGCCTATCATATTCCAAATTACACGCTTTTGTTGTTGTGGTTGTTGCCATACAGACTTATGCCATATAAAACATGGCTCCCTCAAAATATTTTGACACTGTATATTTGAGTGGTACGTAACGAAGCAGCATCACCGGTGCATGTTCAACCGTAGGAAGTTTGGGCAGAGGAATAATGATCTTCTCGAAGAAATGACAGCAAGTGGCAGCTTCTGAACAACAGTCACGTTTTTTTAACTGGAGCAAATGATTCGTCTCCAGACTTTTACAGGCAATTATCTTGGTGCTGGTGGTGCCGTAATCTATGTCCAAAAATCAGCAACGTGGAGACCCTGGAGCAGAATTATCGACTCTACATAGCACACGAAATTAAAACTTTCTAACTACTTGAGGTTGTTCTTTACTCCATCAGGAAATGAGGAGAGCATCCAAAGCTCTGGATGTACTAATCCTGGGTTCCCGCATCTACAGCGCATTTGCCTTCTTGAATGGTATTCGTGCATGCCGCGTGGAATCGGTAATCGGTAATCGATCCTTCAACCGACTAACTTCCTTATGATTCGCATAGCTCCACCAAATCTCGAGCATTTATTAACCTGGAGCCATGGCGAAGACGCGTTTCGTTGAAATAAGCATTTCTTGCTAATGTATCGTGCAAAGCGAAGGTCGATTGTGGCTAATCTGGAATTCTATAATGATATACAGGTCATGAATTTCGGAACGGGCTACTATCAAAAATGTGGTGGAAATGCATTACAGTGATTTTGACCACATAAAGTATGTGTAACTAAGCTGATATGACAAGTACCACGCCGGAAAGAGAAGAAGCACCGATTTGAGATATTTCTGGAGTGATTTATGAATAGGAAATAGCATAAACCCCATCAATCACAACCTTGAACGATCAATCTAACACCATAGATCAAAAACAGTATTGGAGTGTACCGATCTTAGAAAACTTCTCGATATCTCAAGACCAATTCTTCAAGGAAGAAATATCGTCATACAATTCTCAACCATCCTCGCCGTTTTTGCAGCACTGATGTTTGTAATATATGATGGAATGAAGACCTTGACTGGGGTGAGTTTAGTAGTAATCGCTCAGATCCGAGCAAGTGGAATGCGCCCTGCTGACGATACATGGCTTTCATGAACACCAAATTTTACATTCACGACCTTAGTGGGGTCGCGGGTATTTTTTCACAATTTCCTGATAGAAGGGAACATCGAAATTGTGTAGAAAATCGAGAACAATAGAAAGAGAACAATTAGGCGGAGAGTTGCTTGGAAAATTATCCATGTGATGTTTGGTTCAACGTCAAGAGTGTGATCGAATGACGAGTTTTTCTTCAGTTAGCATCGTCCAAACGGTTGAGTCTGAGGCCACCAGGGGCATCCTTAATAACTATAAAAGAGGATAAAGTTATGCTCAATTGTACTATTGCAAAATAGCAATCAAGGGCAAATTCTCCCCTAACATGTACCTTTAATGCTTCATTCCTCAAATAGCACACGAGGGCCCCCATTGAAAGCCCCTTGTAAGGATGAGAGTAAAGATGCAAACAATGTATATTGGGCTCGTTTGGATTTACTTCTCGCCACGTGCAATTCGATGAAGAATATTCCGGACGGACGACTTCGCCGTTGTTGTGACCATTGTGAGAGTCGCTGCTGAACCATGCTGAGGTCAATCCGAAATGCAGAGGGAAAGTAGCTTTCAAGCAATACACACAGCCTTCTTTCTCGAGACATAAGCGTTAGCTGATAGAGGTACCATCTTTTCTCGCGTCCTCAAAGAGTTTCATGGCAGCTGGAGGAGACGGTTCATGGCTAATTGAGGTTGTTGAATAAGGATAATCTTAAGGTGGGATTATTCCTGTAGAATAGTTTCACAGATGCTTTATGATTATGTTCACTTGCTATCTGTAGTAAACGTCCAGTAGAATTGCTATTCTTGATATTCAGGATGACCTTTCAGTGAAGGCGTTGCTGAGCGAACCCCATCAGCTGATAGAGAGGCCTGGTTAAGATGTTGGTAGTTGGGCGAAGGAACCCACAGATCTAGCATCTTGAATCAAGCGCATTTGCGCAAGATACAGTAGCAATTAAGTTCTACTGTTCTCGCAATCCAAATGATGAAGCGGTTCACCGATTCTTGAGAAATGGGGGTTGAAATTCTCCCTAGCGTGCGGATATTAACGGCCGATAGCCCTAACCAAAAACTCTAAGCGTCAAAAAGCCTGGAACATCAGCCACCACAATCATATTAGGGTAACATAGTAACATCCAAAGATTTGATATGGGAGCTCCTGATCAATATACATAAACAATTGCGCAACAAAAAGACCCTCTGGAGCGAAAGGGTGCATCCATTCCGATAAACTCGAGTAGAAAGTAATATGTAACTTACTCAATTCCATCACCATAGCTCCAACATAGACAGGCTTCATCTACCTTGGCTGGAAAGTAACACAAACAACGACGAAACTATGGAATGCCAACTCTTCCATGATCCTCCGTTGGTTATGAATTATTATATGATTGAAATACCCGCAGGATAAAGTGTTCATATCACAGTTACACAGTGGAACGATAAAGTGTCTACAACTGGTTGGAATAACTGCGCCTAAGCCACATGAACCATAGTACGATGCATGGAGAACCAACATCTTTCGTTCAACGTCCCTCCATTTTCCTCTCAATAATTACGACCAAAAATGCTTCGAAGGCCTCTTTATTTCGCTCTTGCGACAGCGTTTGCTTACGTAGCATACTTATTCGCTGGATCAATCACACAAAGTGAAAAGAACACCACTAAACAACTTGGAGAATGGCCGGGCAAGAATAATACTGTTTTGTTTCTTACAAACAGCGAACATGGATTGGCGAATGTTATGCTGGCAACTAGTCATGCTTTACTTGTGGAACACAATGATCTCGATATTCATTTTGTGTCATTTGAAAAGTTAAAGAATGACATTACGACAATTTCTGAATTCGCAGCGAAGAACTCAAAGAGTGAGAGAGCTATCACTTTCCATGAGTTAAAAGGACCATCATTTTCGGAAGCAATAAAAGAACATGGAGTTAGTATTGATCAAGCAATTAACGCACCTGGGCTCGCCGGGTTGGGGAAGTTCTGCGGTAATATGCAATACTGGTTGATGCCATGGACAGCCACTGATCATCTTGGTCTCTACAATGAGATATCTGATATACTGAAGACAGTGGATCCGATTGTCGTGGCAGTAGATCCATTATTTGGACCCGGTATCGATGCTGTGCGAGCTCAAGGACGCAATCATGCTATCATTTCACCAAATTCTCTCAAGGATAATTTCGTACAATTGCAACCTAGGGCCGCCGCGCTATGGAAATATCCAGCGTAAGTCCCCCTCAATTTTTTGATGAAATTTGGCTCATAATTTTAAGCCTGAGTTCCGCATACACATATCCTGTTCCTTGGTACCTTATCCCATCAAACATATACATGAACCTACGACTCGCATATACGGTCATGTCAGGGCCGGGTATCACCAATAGTGTTATTAACGAGAAGCGATCATATCTCAAGGAAAATGGAATTGCAAACCCATTGGACATGTTCACCGTCTACCATAAAGACTATCCATGGCTAACTCAAAGTTCCCAAGAACTCGACTTCCCTTTCGATATCATCCCCGAAAATGTCATACAATGCGGTCCCATTTATCTCTCCACAGCACCAGCCTCAGAACAAGACCCAGAACTAGCCGAATGGCTAAAAATATCCCCAACCGTTCTGATCAATCTAGGAAGTACAGTAAATTACGACGAGCTAGCCGCAACAGAAATGGCCAAAGCAATTAAAATTCTCCTCGATAACTCCAACGTCCAAGTATTATGGAAATTCAACAAACGAAACGAATTCAGCGATCAACTCCTCGACATGCTATCCTCTGATCTCAAATCCAAACGTGTAAGAATGACAAACTGGATAAAAGTAGATCCAGCCGCTTTACTGGAAACAGGAGATATCATCCTCTCAGTTCATCATGGAGGCGCAAATTGCTTCCACGAAGCGATTGGGACTGGAATTCCTCAAGTCGTTCTACCAGTGTGGCTGGATCTGTATGATTTCGCAGTTCGTGCTGAGTATCTAGGTGTGGGGGTATGGGGTAGTCGAGGTGCAGCGCCTTATGTAAGTTGTCACGCTCACTGTTATCCTTATTCGTTTATGTTTAAATTTACGCGTATGCTAACATGAAATCAAGTGGAAAGCGGAAGAACTGAGCAGTGCATTTTTGAAACTGGTAGGAGATAGCGAAGAAGCTGTTTTGATGCGGAAAAGAGCGTCGGAATTGAGTAGACCATATAAGGAAAAACCAGGCCGAATAACAGCAGCTCATGAACTGGCGAAATTGGCACGATTGGCTTCGGTGTCGTAATTCTGCGCTTAAATGGCGACAAGTCAACGTCATATTTGGATTTCAGCTTATTTGAAATAGAATTTCTATTAATCTTTGAGTTTAGATCGTGTGTAGTTGTAGCTATAATGAGAATACATTCCATTAACCTCCCAGCAGTCTGCCAGTTCACCAATATCAAACTTTAATTAAAACACCCTATAAAAGTCTCCGGGAACCATTCAATCTCATATCATCACACCTCAACCATCTAATCCAGAAACGAACAAAAGCACCCGAAAACGCCCAAAAGCATCTCATCAATACTCCTACTCCTCCTTCTATTCCTCCTCCCACTCAATTCAAGGCTCCAACAAAAATACCAACTGACCTGAAATCCTAGAAGCAGGCAGAAAATAACGTTATCACCAGAACGAGAGGGGCTGTCATAGGGAAGAATGGAAGTATTTAGCCGGAGTACTAGTTAGTTAAATCATATAAAAAAAAATAAAGAAGATAAAAAACGGCAAAAATGGAAGAATATATATTCAGTTAGTTGTAGGGTATTGCTTTAGGTGAGAAGTTGCAGTTAGGATATTTTGGTATTTGGGATATGTATTTTTGAAGAGGGTGATGGATTGATTGATTAAAGAGTGAGTGAATGAGTGAAGTATAGAGGGAAATAGTGAAAGAGTATTTGTTTATCCAATGAAGGAAAAGAAGATCTTCATATTATATAGGCAGGAGTTGAGAAGGTATTGTAAAAGTGGTAGGTCGAGATACATGCGTCCCGATAGCATGTTGTGAGAAGGAATTGAAAGAGAAAGCTGATTAGATTATATCGTAATATATCATTTATGAAGAAAACAGAGTTTACAATCATTTTAAAATTGAAATTATATAGGTTCAAATATATATATATAGAAGGTTTGATTGTTGTAAAAAGAAGAAATAAAAGCTTTTTTTTATATCTAATTACAAAAGGTTATGTGATTGATTAGTTAAAAACCTTTATGTATGTGGCCTATAATTCCAACTTTCTTATAGTATGAGATTAGCGTCGATGATGAAATATTATCTTAGCAGGACGTGGAGTAGTGTGAAAAAAATGTCATTATATTTAGACCGTGTTTAGATTATTATTTTATGTTATTTCAAGTTATGAATATGAGCTCTTATGATATTTCCCATAGTTCTAACTGGTAAAAACACGCAGATCTACCATCTAGCTAGATCAAATTTCATCTCCACGTAAATATCCTTAAATATCGCTACCCCTGAATTCTCCAACACATCTATCTACCTGGCCGTCATATGCTCCTGTTTTACCAGATTCTAGCAACCAATCAAGGCAAACTGAGAAACAACTGCAATAACTTAGGATAATTAGGCGTTCCAAGACCAGTAACAGGATCCCACCTACAAGACACCATTAGCAAAAAGCTCGTTCACCAACAATTAGAGAAAAACATACCCAGACACAGCACTAAACCCATCAGTACCGCAGTTAGGATTACTTCCATTAGTGATATCGTTCAGAACATGAGGATTAGAATAGAGTACTGGATTAATAAATCCGACGGTAGATTTTCCAATCGCGAGACGTTCTTCATTGATCTATAGATTTCGTTAGTACTTGCTAATCAGAGCGTGGAATCCCACATACCAAGTTAATGACGGAAGAGAAGATTGGCGTGCCTAGATAAGATTAGTAAAATTGAAAGAGAAATATTTGGATTGAGAAAGACGTACTCGCACTTGTACCCCCACTCAAAGAAAAGTTTCCTCCTAGAAAGGTTGCGATATTATCTCCGTTTGCAGACACATCTGGAATACCTCTTCCAGCACGATTATAAAGTCCACCATTAGCCCCCAAAGTTACATTGCTACTGGCAGTGGCCTCGTAGTAAGGATAGGGAGGATTGTGGTGCGCAAAATATCTGCAATAATTAGTTAAATTATAGCAATATACTGATATAGGGAGGAACTTACGCGGCCACTGCCTCTTTCTGGTAAGAAGGTGTTTCGTAGACATTGCTAAATCCTCCACCAGAAGAGTATGCACGAGAATATGGTTGACCTTTGAGGTCGTTGGCTGCACTTTCTGGCTCAAAAACTGTATGGCCTGGGTAGACTTTTGTGGCACCGACTGCTGTTACATATGGACAACTTTGAATTGTCAATATTGAATCATGGCCCACATACACAAGGCCGTGTGTTATAGGTTTGGGGAAGATGGAATTGGGAATACACACTTAACAGGAAACTGAGGATTAAAAACATTTTCTTTTGGACCCAAACATCCGCTTTCTGTAGCATCACCAGGAAATCCACCAACGCCGAAATCTCCAGAAGAATAGAGGAAAGTGTGTCCTTGTAGCCCAAGTTTCAAGTACCTATCTCCGCGTAAGCATTTGATCACTGAATATATGACAATACTACATACTCATTACATTGCCTCTTCATATAGTATTCGGGAAGATCTATCTCTGCTTCTCCGTAGGATGTTGAGATTACATTTGTGGGTTTGTAAACACCACACATCAATTTTCCTTTATATCCGTCACCTGCAGAATCTGGATAAACAGGATCAAGAACAGGATCATTCCCAGTCTCGCCATAAGCTGAGTATGTACAGTACGACTAGTAGAAGTGGTCAGTTTCATGCCTGGAATTGAGGATTGGGAATATATACCCCATCAATAGCATCCAGAAATGTGTTGAATGCGCCCAAAGTGGGATTTTCACTGGAATAGTTGATATCATCCGTTTGATATAGCACCAGTTTCTGAGGGTACACTAAAGGATATGCCAATTCAAGGTCTAATAAACTTTCCCCACCTGCTTCGGAGACAGGAACTGGAGCCACAGCGCCATCCACAAAATTAGGAATTGGATGTGTACCCTGAGGAATATATGGGGTATAATTAGCAAAGAATAGGTTCAAGTCTTCTTGATCGTAGAAGTCTCCCGATTCCCAAATGCCCATTGCATTATTAGGGTTTGCTTTACTGGCGGGAGGTATTTGATAGAGTGCTTTGACACATGCTGGAGTGATAACCTCATCGCAAGTCGCTAGTGAGCTTAAGTTGTAGTGTGAGTAACCTCCGAAGGAACTTTTTAGTCGTCGTAATGGTTCATGGCCCTTGCCTTTTGCCCCGTCAAGAATGCTGCGTTTGGACGATGCTGCCTTCTTCGTGGAGATTAGTTTGACACCTGGAGTGATGTAATCCACATGCTGTTGAACATGGGCTGGAAGGTGGTATCTATGGTATTCTGCTTAGCATCTTTCTCCCGCTGTTTAACACGAATTGATACGAATCAATAGGAAACTCAGATTTGAGAAAACAGGGAAAAGAATATCTTACTCATCACATGCAGCAGCTATTTCGTCAGTTGATGAATGCTCATATGTATAATACTGAGTATTGAGCAATGCCTCAAGCTCACTCGTTGTGGCATCAAATGCATACCATCCCTTTGTATCAGAGTGAACAATTCGACTAGCAGCAATCCCTGAGTCGACCAGCCAATTCCGAACAACATCAATCGCTACTTCTGAAGGTGCAAACATTTTATTTACTTGTTCTGCTGTCCAGTGTTTGCCATAATTTGAGGATTTTGGATGTGAGCTGCAAAGCATTTAGTACAATAGAATGATACAGGATATAATACTCGGATCCCGTGTATCATAGACTACTTACACATCCATGAGGAAGTCATGTCCCTTCTCAAGATTATTTTGAGATAAACCAATACGCACAGGAAGTAAAGTTGTGCTGGCAATTCGGTCTCGCTTCATCCATCGTGTACGGGGGAAGTTTCGCTTCTCATGGGAAACAAGTGATGAACGAGAGGCATGAGTATTAACACTCGGAAGAGTAGCAGCAATGATTCCGGGAACAATCAACGCAACTGAAGCAATATAAGGAAAATGCATTGTGATTGAATGAATGAGCTTAGCAAATACCAATGGCAGGACCTACCAAGATATGTCCCGTTTTAAGGAACTTTTGAAGATATGAAGGGCATTGACCAAATGATAGACAGGTACCACGAACCCTGCAACACTTGTTGTCAATCCGGAAGGTCACTTCATCTGCTCATAACGACATATGCAGTGCTGATGTATCCTTCTGAATTGGGAAGTTTAGTTGTCTTTAGTTCCTGATCATCTTGCATCATTGAACAAAAGAGGGCCCGGGCAGAAATTCGACGTTATCAATAGATAACGGTGTTTCCGTGCCAATGATTAGAGTTTGCTAAAGATATGAATGTTATCGTGGCATTGGAATTGCAAGGCACACGGAATGAAAAGTTTGTGTTCATTTATCGCTCGTACCCACCATGTCGTCCGTCCTTGAACATTGATATGTAGCAGATTGCACTTGATCATTGCTCCAGTCATGGTTAACTTTGTGTATGGCCATAACGTGAACCCTGGTCACAGTTTCCTCAAAAATCATGATGATTGTACATAGCAGATCCAGATTCTCAATTCAAACAAAGTTTTGACTTCCAATCTTTTAATAGTAGGAATTATTAATTCCAACTATATTTTGTTGATGGTTTAAAAGCTTCATTGAAAATAAAGATGTGAAATAGCCCCACCGATATGATGCAATGGATATTCTCTAGGGAATACGGTGTACCTGAGACACTTTGGCGCAAAACTAAAATAGCTTCCCCCACAATGGCGAAGAATAGGTGAGTAGGTAGGTAGGTAATCGTGAAGCAGGTAAATATTGAAGGAAACACACTTATTCCCACGACAGACAAGATGAAGCAAAGGTTTTCTTCTATTGATGTGAAGGTAAATCAACTCAAGCTTTAACAGAGTTCTTGCCCTTTGGTTGCATCTTCTAACTTTCCCAGGTCATCGCCCATGAACTTTCAAACGCATTGGTTACGTTGCGAGTTTCTAATATCTACGATCTCTCATCAAAGATTTTCTTGGTGAAGTTCGCGAAACCAGACAACAAACAGCAGATCCTCATAGATTCAGGATTTCGATGCCATCTCACCGACTTTTCTCGAGCGACTGCAGCTGCCCCTAGTGTATTCGTACAGCGATTAAGGAAATACTTAAAGACAAGACGGGTCACACAAGTTTCTCAAGTTGGGACGGATCGCATAATCGAGTTTCAATTCAGTGATGGGCAATACAGATTATATTTGGAGTTTTATGCTGGTGGGAATATCATTCTCACAGATAAGGAGCTAAACATCTTAACCTTGCTCCGAGTGGTCGATCCGGGAGAAGCTCAAGAAGAATTACGTGTGGGACTCAAATATTCTTTGGAAAATCGACAGAATTATGGAGGAATTCCAGATTTGACTAGAGAACGCCTTAAAGAAGCTTTACAAAAGGGTGCAGATAAGGGCGAGGATAATTCCGGGAAGAAGAAGAAGAAGCCTGGGGATGCGCTACGAAAAGCTTTGGCTGTGTCCATTACAGAATTCGCTCCGATGTTAGTAGATCACGCAATGCGTATCACAAATTTCAATCATTCTCTCAAGCCATCTGAAGTCTTGCAGAGTGAAGATCTTTTGGATCATTTGATGAAATCACTTCAAGAAGCCCAACGAGTTGTTCAAGAGATAACTAGTTCTGAAACCTCAAAAGGATACATAATAGCGAAGAAAAAGGACTCTCAGGTTACATCAGATGATCAGGCTGAGGATCGAAAAGGGTTACTTTACTATGATTTTCATCCATTTAAGCCACGACAATTTCAGGACGATCCAACATTGGTCTTTTTAGAATTTGAAGGCTTCAACAAAACTGTTGATGAGTTCTTTTCATCAATCGAAGGACAAAAGCTTGAATCGAGACTGGAAGAGAGAGAATTGAACGCCAAAAAGAAGATTCAGGCGGCACGAAATGAACAAGCCAAACGTCTAGGCGGGTTACAGGAAATTCAGGCACTCAATGAACGTAAAGCTAGTGCTTTGCAAGCTAACGTTGAACGGGTCCAAGAGGCCAGAGATGCTGTCAATGGCCTAATCGCGCAAGGCATGGATTGGTTCGAGATTGGACGTCTAATTGAATTGGAGCAAAAGCGCAAAAATCCGGTAGCCTCAATGATCAAATTACCTCTGAAACTTGATCAGAATACAGTTACTCTTTTGCTGGATGAGGAGGTTTTTAACGATGATGAAGATTCGAGCTATGAGACGGACAGTGATGTGTCCGACAGCGAAGACGAAGAGAAGACTGCTAAACCCGTTGAAAAAGAAGAAAAGGCTACAGAGACACGGCTCGCGATCGATATCAATCTATCATTATCACCTTGGGCAAATGCACGTAATTACTTTGATCAAAAACGTTCAGCAGCATCAAAAGAAGACAAGACCTTGCAATCATCTTCTAAGGCGTTAAAAAGCACCGAAGCGAAGATTGCTCAGGATTTAAAGAAAGGCTTGAAGCAAGAAAAGACTATTTTACGACCTGTGCGGAAACAGATATGGTTTGAAAAATTCATTTGGTTCATATCTAGCGATGGATATCTAGTTCTTGCAGGCAAAGACGCACAACAAAGTGAAACCCTGTACAAGAGATATCTTAGGAAGGGGGACATGTACTTACATGCAGATATAAGCGGTGCAGCCTCAGTCGTTGTGAGGAACAACCCAAAGACACCCGATGCCCCAATTCCTCCACAAACTCTCAGTCAAGCTGGAACCTTGGTAGTTGCTACATCAAGTGCTTGGGATTCTAAAGCTGGTATGTCTGCTTGGTGGGTTAATGCAGATCAAGTATCGAAAGCAGCTCCTACCGGAGAATTTCTTCCCGCCGGTAAATTCACGATTCAAGGGAAGAAGAATTTCTTACCTCCTGCACAGCTCCTTCTTGGATTTGGTATTTTATTTCAAATCAGTGATGAGAGTAAAGCTAGACATGTCAAACATAGATTTCAAGATGATGGGCCAGTGGGTGACTCGACCGCAGATGCTACCGCTGCTGGTGATTCTGTCCTTGACGATGAAGATTCCGAAGACGAGTTGAATCAATCCGACCAAGATGAGCCGAAATCTGAAAAGGACATTGATCAGGTTGATCACCAAGATAAGGATGATTCAGATGAGGACGACGCGGACTCGAAGCCTAATCCTTTACAAGGTGAAACAGAACAAAGTCGCGAAGCAATTTTACAAGAGAAGACCGAGACTCTGCATACCGATGATAAAGTTGCTCAGCCACCGACCTCTGAAACACAAATAGAGGAATCGGATGAAGATTCTGTCAAGGAGTCACAGTCCACTAACCCTGGTAAAAAAGCTACATCTGTTCAAAATCAACCCAAAAAGGGTCCTGCACCAGCCAAGCGAGGAAAGAAAGGAAAGGCCAAGAAAATTGCACAGAAATACAAGGATCAAGATGAAGAAGATCGGATTGCTGCTCAAGAAATCATTGGAGCTGCTGCCGGTCAAGAAAAGGCCGAAGCCGAGGCGAAAGCTAAAGCAGCTCAAGAAGCTGAACTCGCTTTCCAAAAAGAACGTCGAAGAGCGCAGCATGAACGTACACAGAAAGAAACGGCAGAACACGAACAGATGCGTAAATTGATGCTTGAAGATGGTATCGATACTCTTGAAGATAACGAGGCCGAAAAGATGACATCTTTAGATGCATTTGTAGGACTTCCTTTACCAGGTGATGAAATCCTAGAAGCGATCCCTGTTTGTGCACCATGGGCTGCGATGGGAAAATATAAGTACAAAGCCAAGATACAACCTGGTGCTCAGAAGAAGGGAAAAGCTGTGAGAGAAATTCTGGGAAAATGGACTGCGGCTGCTAGTGCAAAGAATGTATTGGATGAATCTAGTATGGATATTGAGAGAATTTGGCCGAAAGAATTAGATCTTATTAAGGGATTGAAGCCGGAGGAGACTACGAATGTCGTACCGGTTGGGAAAGTAAGAGTTATGATGGCTGGTGGATCGGCGGGTGCGGCTGGGGGTAAGGGTGATAAGGGGAAGAGTGGTGGGGGTGGTAGAGGTGGTAAGGGTAGTAAGAGGAGATAGATTGTATATAGTAGAGATGTTGTAAGATTACATCTTACATCATACATCATAAAGAATAACACTCAACAACTCTTAACTAGCCGAGAAACCTGAGACATTATACTCTTAGTTACCTATCTAATACCTATATACATATCAGATAGATTATCAAGATTACAAATGATTTTATAAAGTGAATTTGAGTATCGGATCTTGATTTTATGATATAGTATAGTATAGTATTATATGTTGTATAATATAAATTAAATTAAGAATAGAAAGAAAAAAAAACCAGAAATAGTATAATCTTACTCCATCAACAAACAGCCTGGGGAAAGACATGGAATGGATATGTGATATAATATGATACGGTATCATATGGTATGATATGATATGATGCTATAGTTTTTTTTTATTTTTGATTTGAATTTGATTTTGACTTTGTTAGGTGATGGAGGGAAGAGGAAAGAGGAAGAAAACGGAAAAGGAAAAAGGAGGCGATGCGATGTGATGAGTGGATTTGGATTTGGATTTAGATTTAGATTTAGATTTAGACTAGAATTGTGAGGCTGAAGATTTTGAATGGAGGTGAAGATGTTAATGAGTAATGAGTGAGTGAGTGGATGAATTGGAGTCAGTACCGGCGGCTACTGAACTCAAATTGTATATAGAGAGAGGATCGATTAAGGTTACGGTTAAGATATTCGATATTTGATATTTGATGAAATATTTGATGAAATATTTCCACTTCCCTGCACTCTACTCGAATTTAACCGCGAGCCGTGTCTCTTCAAGTTTCAAAATTTAAAGAATCATAGTGTCAAAAGAGTTGTATGTACTTCCATCTCTTGCCGGGCGGGTATGTTCCCGCTTACATAAGGTTAATTCTCATTCGAGATATATACAATACACGTATACATACATACCTAGGTACATGTACAATACGAAGCATAACCCAACACAAGTCCCACAACTTTTTCATAAACATTGTCATTCATGTACAGATACAGAGCACAGAGTAAAGCCCTCCCGTTCGTGTCCTTGCAGTAAAAACTACTGCGTATGTACTTAGATCACGCGCCTTTATTAGCGATATGCATGTATGTACCTGTACTGTGATGATGACATTGTAGAAAGCTGCTGAGCAAATCAATTCTTAGACAAAATCGGGCTGTAACGGCCCGGTGACCCACTTTTGCTGGAATTTCTGAATTTCTGAGAAGATGCTCTTAGAAGTTGAAGAGTTAAGGAGACCTTGATACCGAATCAAGCGGCTTGGTAAGATTTTCGTTTGTGTTGGAAAATGTATACCTCTCTACATAAATGCTCACCTACAATCTATAGCCCTATCATGCCCGTAGCTAAGGATAATAGTACGCAGTGTGTATGCAACCACCACGTGATCGATCCAAACGATCTAGGTGATTTCCACATCCATCTGAAGATCGAGTCCATATTCGTAAGACGGGAATCTGATATACGTCTGTACACATAATACAAGACTCCGAATGGATCAAGACAATTTGCCCAAAAGAAAGTTTATTATTAAAATTGGGCGTTTGGCGATATTATTATCTCGCAGATAATAATAATCAAGGGCTCTTCCGAAGAAAAAAAAAACTTAATCGATTTTCTCGGGATAATCCTGGTTTCATTGTGGGGATCTGGGGCACATGAAAGAAAGAAAGCTGGGCGAGGGAGCTGGAAACTACGCAGTACTGATTGATTGACTGATTGATTGATTGATTGACTCCCGTACATTTTAAAACTTGCTTGTCTCTACATACTGGCAGTTAGTTGTATACTCGGCATACAAGTATTGGCTGGTATACAAGGGATTGCCACTATATTCTGCAGAGAAAGACGGAAAGAACGTTGAACGTTGAGAATGGTTCGTTTCGGTTCGTTTCGGTTCGTTTCGTTTCGGATGGAGTTCTTGGATGTTGATGCTCGTACAGGAGTACTTAGTGCTTGACCTTGATATAGGGGATGGGGGTTATATAAGCCACGTTAGTTTTTGATTAGCTCTTTATTTCGTCGAATGAGAAGGAAATTGGATGCAAATGATGTCATGCGCACACTGCACAGTTCTTTGGATGAACAATTGGTGCTTTGAGAATTTGCTAAAGAGCCGAAGAAAAGTGTAGTATCAAAACTCGAGATTCGACACACCAAAATCACATCTGAACCATACTTTTAAACAGGTATAGCCGAAAATGGCAATTGGTCTCAATGTCTAAAAACGGGAGTGTCCTAGTGCCCCCACGCCGTCGCAAAATCCATTGGGTAGTTAGAACTTAGCAACTAGCAACGTCAAGAAAAGAACACAAAGAACACAAAGAACACAAAGAACACAAAGAACAATTGCGGCAGTCACTTTACTCGGTGAAGACATAGTAGCGGGGCAAAAGGTTTCAAAATTTAATCATATCGTTCGATTTGATTTTCGGAGGATTTCTGGATTGATTATCTTACTTACTACACTCACTGGTAGTTGCCGTGCACAATAGCCCGTAAGGCATCAGAATAGTGGGGGGGTATCTGCAGCCCAATGAACTGAGCCCTGCATGAAGGAATAATCCCCTTCGAGACTTACCTCCGGGTGATAAGGATAATTTGATTCTGGTATGGAAATAGATGGTTTGATTGATATGTATGGTAGGACCAGGTGGGTAGCTATACAAAGTTGTATCTCCGTACTTGTGCCTGATCATCAGAAGGGTACCTATGCGGAGAGATTAGGTTCGGAGAGTAGGAAATCTGTTGTTTGGTTGTTAGTCGAGGGAAAAGGGGAGGAAGGATATCTGAAGCGAGAAGTAATTCTAGATCTGGTATGGTGGTATATGAGGTATGAGGTATGAGGTATGAGGTATGAGGTATGAAGTATGAGGTATGAAGTATGAGGTATGAAGTATGAGGTATTTTCTATGCTAGAATGGAGTATAAAAGGGATTGATTGATGGAGAAATATTGGCCAAGTAATTAATTTATTGATCCCATAGAGAAGTCAGCCCTGGAATGAAGCTGCTCATAGCGAATTGCTTCAACATCACTTCAATCAATCCATCTACCTTGTGCTCTCATGCTCATCTCATCACTCACTAGCCTGCTTGTAATCCCTTCCCACACCTCACTTCACCTTACTTCACTTCAAAGTACCATCACATCAAAATTGGACATGGATCAACTTTCGGTTCCCTCCTCCAAAGAAAAAACGTCATGGTCAAGGGTCCAACGAATCTCAATGTCTGTAATCTATGCATCTGTGCGCAATCTCATCCAAAAAAAGACCCATAGCAAGCCATAGCAAGCCATAGCAATCCATACATACAACCCTCACCACTCAATCCGTCCAATATCACGATTCACAAAAGAAGTGCTAACTCCACATCCTGAAGACTAAAATCTTGTCGCAATCAGGTATACTTTCTTTCATTTTTCCTGAATATCGCAAAAGTAGTTACTCTACGTAGGGAGAAAGCAGAAGAACATACGGAGTTCTTTTTCTTTTCAACCATTGGATCGTATCTCTCGAGTGAACAGGAGGACGTGACGACTAAGCAATAAGAAAAAGGAACGGCAAAAGACAAACCGGAACCTTGGAAACAAGATATCAGATCACCCTCTTTATAATTCCCTTTTTTTGATTCATTTCGTCTTCACGGAGTACTTCCCTTTGCCCGCATTCTCAAATTAATATTACATCCATCCAATCCAATCCAATCCAACCTTTACAACAAGCCAAACCTCATCATCGTCTCTTCCTCTTCATCCTTCACACGCCTACAATTATTTTGTTTGTGCGACCTCGACCAATCCACGAAACCAATTGCAGAAAAGTCTTAGTCGGCGGGGTTGATCATCCAAAACACTCACACACTCAAGCACAACACATCAGGGCAACTGAAGCGCCACATTCTCACCCCTCGACTTATTAACCCTACGACCGATTACCCCATATCTACTTTGTTTCGTTGCCTCACTACTACTCATCATCACAAAACAAAACACCTGCAAAACATAATTCGATCCTTTTGGCTGCAGTCAGATATTCACTCTGCAGCTATCCGTCGACTACCTAGCCATTGGTAGCCAGCCTTAGACTTCCAAGACCTGCATCCTTGAGTTCGGGCATTTTATTTTACGATTTTAATGTTTGTTACCACCACTTCCGCCTATTGTACAACTTTTATATCTGTCTTGAGGGATTGAGCTGGCAGCGGCGTTCATAACATCTTGATTAGCTAACTGTTACACTGCTTTTCCGCTAGACCAAAATTTACGAAAAAGCTGACAATAACAATCTCGAGTCAAATCGAGTCCAAATTTTTGGTGGCCATTTCGAGTCATCATTCCGCCCACTTTCTACTCTTATCTGTCGCTACATCAACCGCAACTTCAAAGGTTTTCAAATAAATCGAAAATCATACACCTGCATACCAAATAATACTATTTCGATACAAAAATAATCAAAATGAGTGACCGATACACCAGACATACACGACCAAGGTCACCAACTTACAACCCTGCGCGGGCCAGTCTCCCAGTTGACTTGTCGTACAACAATCATTCCTCGGGATCACATTCTCACCATCATCATGTCGTACCCTTATCTCGACACGAAAATCCTCGAAGCAGCAGCTCAAGCTTTAATTCTTCTAATGTCCCGATTACTACCACAACATACAAAGTCAAACCTGATCATCGTTCTGGTAGTCGCACTCGCAGCAGTACGGTTGATTCTCGACCTAATGCTCATACCGTTTTCACCTCAATTCCGAAGCATCCAGCCGTTGTTCATACTTCGAGTGTGAGACCTGCCAGTCCATCCATCAAGAATCCATATCGCTCTAGCCAAGAGGAATATTATACAATTCCAGCTTCATCTCGAAATGATAGAAGTTCTCACCACCACAACAGATATAGTGCTTCTATGGATAATGCCGATGTGAGCAGATTGACCAGAGAATCCCAAGGACATAGAGACCCAAGTCATCTCCGAATTGGTATTCCTGGCAGCAGGGACATTCCATCGTATGTTCCTACCCCAACAACTTCTTCATCATACATACCTACCCCAATAACTGCATCAACGTATACCCCACTATCTACTCCAGCATACGCCACAACCACAACCACTATTACCAAACCTCGTGGACCAATATATACAGGAAACCTGGTACGACACCCTGATACCGTTGCAGATGATTATGGTGAAGATGGTTACGGATATACAAATCCTAAAGATTTGGTTCAGTACGATTTAAACAATAGCAATCCAAGACATTCACGTAGGGAAAGTTTTGATACTAGATCAGCTAGACCCTCTAGTGCTAGTATGGCGGGTTCCACTGGTTTTGGTGAGACTGTTCAGTCCCCAAGATCCTATGATACTAGAGAGCGTGGCCCACCACCAACTACTCGTGGATTTGACAGAATTCAATCATGGGATACTCAACCAGCTGCCGTTCGAATGCCCGTTCCTCATGTCGCACCTATTGAACCAATTCAACGACCAATACGCATAGATCCACCTGCGGGATACGAGAGTGAAGGATCTCAACGACGAACTTCTACCAGGCGCCCCGTTTCTACGTACCAGGAGAGAGACATCAGACATAGCCCTAGAGATGAATATTATGGACCACGAGATGAAGAAATGCGAGAGCGAAGACCACAGCATAGACACGAGAGATACGACGATACTGTTGAGCAACGTGGTTTTGGATTGCGTCCTGAGAGAACAGAAAGACCAGCCAGTCGAAACGAGAGATCAGAAAGACCGGCCAGTCGAGCCGAAAGATCAGAAAGATCAGAAAGACCAGCTAGTAGGGCAGAAAGAACAGAGAGAAGTGAAAGAAGTGAGAGACACGAAAGATCCGATAGACACGATAGATCCCCAAGAAATGAACGTGAGGATGATCGCCGCGAGAAGAAGTCTAGTACCCAGGAGAAGATTGCAACAGGACTTAGCATTGCTTCTGCTGCTCTTAGTCTGGGAGCTATGGCAAATACTATGATGCCCGATGACCGTGATGATAGAGATGATGAAAGAAGACGCAAGGATTACAGCGATGATTCACGCAGAAGACGTGAGCGTGTTGACTCTCGGGATTCCTCTGAATCTGATAGGCCAGATCGCAAGGAAAGGAGCGGGAGAATTCATCACGATGAGAGAGAATCTGGAGAATCACTTGGTAGAGAACCCAAGGAGAGACTTCACAGAGATAAAGGTGAAGTTACACCACCATTACCTCCACGTCCTCGCGAAGAAGAAGGTTTACCTCAACCGAGAAAAGAAAGAAGTCGAGAAGAAATTTCTCCCGATCCACATGACGTTACTAGAGATGGCAAAGATAAACGATCGCCAGACAACGATTTTGTCGATTTAACTGGTCGCAATCCTAAGGAAAAATTAAACTCTCAAGATGATCGTCCTCGTAGTGACGTAGCATCAACCGGTGCTACTCAGGATATTCATTCAGACACCTCAGATGAAGGAACAAATCATCATCGAAGACCTAGACGTATATCTGGAGCTTCAACTGCACCATTTAATCCTAGAGATACTATGGATCTAAAAGCATTGAAAGCTGCACTTGCTGATCAAGATACTCCTGCTGATAAAGAGCCTGTACCAGTATTGGCTCCTAAACAATCTGCTCAAGAACCTACTTTGGCACCAGCCAGTAAGCCACTTGGTAGAAGATCTATCACCAAAGATATGAGTGAGGTAGCGGAATTGAGAGCTGAACTCAACCGTGAAGAGCGAGGTCGACGTGAACCATTGGCACCTACAACAGGTGAAAATAAACAACTCCGAGTCGTTTCACCACCAAGAGAGAAAGTTGAAGAGAAACCTGAAAAACCTGCCATCAAGGGTATTTTAAGGCAACCACGTGAGAAGTTTCCGGAGGATCCCGCTCCAATTCGTGAAGGTGTTGCTCCATTGAAAGATGCCAAGAAAGATGGTGTACCTCCTGATGCACGCTGGACTAAGATTGCTAGAAAGTTGGTTAATCCAGCTGCATTAGAAGTTGGCAAGGAAAGATTTGAAGCTAGGGATGATTTTGTGATTGTACTTAGGGTGTTGAGTCGTGAAGAAATTCAAGCTTACGCTACTGCTACTCAACAAATTCGAGGTATGTTCTTTTGAGATTTATAGATTGAGTAAATGGCTAATCATTTTTTACAGCTGCTAGAGAAGAAATAGAAGAAGAAGCAGATCGTGCTCGTCGTCGTGCAAAACGTGAAAATCGTGAAAGACGTAATCGTAAAAGAGAAGAACATGGTCGAAGTCGTCATCATCATAGCGAATCTGATACTTCTGAATCATATGAAGATGATAGACCAAGGATGTTAGAAGCTGCTCCACCTGGATCTAGTAGACGAGCTACATTTGGAGATGATGCTTTGATGAGTGGTGGATATGGTTCTGAGAGAGATAGAGTTGAGATTGGAAGATGAGGCATCTGAGATGAGGCATTTGAATGAAGAGAGATTTTTAAACGAAGAAATGGAAATGAGGCACTACAGGGATTATTATTGTCAGCATTCAGCACTTTATATGGCCATATCATATCACATCATTTGCATTTTCGAAATTAGCGATTAGGATTTCGGGTTTTGATAGGTTATACCGATGGAAATAGGAATGGATTGAGTTGGAAGAAAAAGTGTAATGATATCAGTTGAGGAGAGGAGGGAAATCGGGGGATGATCGAATAAATATCGGTGGGAGAAATGTGTGTAAGAGAGTGGAATGTATATTAGTATATAAGATTAAGATAAGAATACTTTTAATGATTATGAGTATGGTTATGATTATAATTTGATTATGGTTATGATTTAGATGTGATTATGATTATAATTTAGTTATGGTTATAAATATAGATCTAATGAAGATGCATGATATAATTAATAATTAATCTTAAAATAATTAAAGAATATAAAAAGAGCAAGAGAGCGAGAAGTAAAAAGTGAGGCCACTCACCATTCATGCCTTCCATAACTCGTAATTTACCCCCACCCCACCCCACCAGTCCATCGTTCGTTCCTTCCTAATCGGAATTATATACCCCACCTACCCTCCCAAACACACAATACAATATCATTCAATTAACAATCCGGCATGGTGTAGTGGCTAGCATTTCCGCCTCTCATTCATTCTTTCCCTCTCTTTCTTGAGATTAAGAAGTATTAAAGGTCGCGGGAGACCGGGGTTCAATTCCCCGTACCGGAAATCTTTTCATTTTTGGGTTTTTGGGGGGGATAAAAAGAAAGTGTTTGGGGTGTTTGGGGTTTATTTTTGAAGGAGGAGAGGGTTTTTTTGATTGATTGTTTGATTAATCGATTGATTGATTGATTGTTAGATGAATGAATGTTATTTGAGATTAATTTAATTATTGATTGATTTGTATTTAAAGTAATAAATAAATAATTATTTAATTATTTAAAGATTATATATTTATTAAAAAAATATTTATTATATCTTTTCTTTTAATTTAATTAATATTATTTATAGTTTTAAAATATTTTTGGAAATATAAAAATTATAAAAGATATTTATTTTTATAATAGGTCGAGATATATATGTTCTGATAATATATTTGTTATAATTCACAGATTAGATTATAATAGTATTATTGATATCGGTAATTCATATACTGACTACAAAGAGAGTGTGATTTAACTGTTGTTTTCAAAGGGTTTAATCATCTAAATCTAAAACCTCAGGATTCCTAGGATAAGTATCTTAGATAATTATATTAGAATAGAATAAGTATTCTAATTAATTGATTATAATAAAACAATTATTCTAAAGGATATCATATTCTAAAATCAAAATAGTTTTATAATTTAAAAGCTTTATATTCAATTTAGTTATCAATTAGTTTACTTATATTCTACTTGATCTAATAACGAATTCATTTTCAAATGGATAACCAATGATTAATAGCCTTAACCTACAACTACCAACCATATGAAACCTCAGGCAGCCGCTGCCTCGACCAGATCGTTACAGTCGGCAAGCCGATAATAATCATTCCATTCAATCAATATATAAAATTCCTATATTTCATCCACTTATTTATCTATTCATCCATTCATTCATCTACCTATCTACCTCCTTACTCAAAAAATCCTTTTAATCTTATATCTTATACTCAAATAATTTCACTCCATTATCCTTATCTCTTTCTTTATCAAATCAAATCACCAAAACAACAATTATTTCCCATTTCCTCAACACAAGATGACTAAATAACCACTAGGTGAATTAATCAAATCAAATTGAATGAAATAAAATTGAATCAGACACAACCACTTGAATTCAATAAAACTACTACCTACTACTTATCAATACCCGCATCACTCAACAACAACTCAATAACTCAAACAGTCCCCAAAAAAATAAACTACAAAGAATGAAAACCAAACCCAAACAGACGAAAAAGATAAACGCCTCCAGTAGCCAGCCACCTATCAAATCCATTCGTTCATCGCCTATTGCTTTCCCTAGCAATCAAAAACAAAAACAAAAACATTCGCTCGCTCGCCTCGAAAATGCATATCAACTTCTTTTTTCTCTAACTCGTTTTGCCATTTAATACTCCCATTCCGTCCATCAAGATCTGATCGATCTTCATATAGAGCTACAAAAGACCTCGTGACTGTCGGAAACACACTCCGCTACCATAGCACAGATATCATATCACCTCGCCCTACCGTTCAAACTCTAACACTTTCTGCGTAGCCGAACTAGAACTTCTATCCCTCCTTGAATCTCCTGAAATACTAGGCATCAAACCTCCATTCTTATTTTGTATCCCAGTCGCTTCAACTTTTTCAACACCACTCTTAATACTACCAGCCTCTGCATCCAATCCTTCCAATAAATCTCTATCTTCACTCCTAACACTCCGCCTCTCAGCATCTCCACCATAACCACCTGAAACTCTTAATCCATCATCTTCTTCCTCTTCATCCTCATCTTGTATACCAGGTCTATGAACTGCATTCCTTTCCAATTCCTTCTGAGCTTCATCCATTCTCCTCCTAACCTCTGCAGCAACTCTCATTCCATCAGTAACAATATTATCTAATACACCCCTAAGTCCTTTTGAAGGTGGCACCACACCAGCAGAACTAGGACCACTAACAACATTTGCCGCAGCATTTGCTGCTGATTTACCAAATCCAATACTTGTAAATGTGGTTAGGGAAGAGGAGGAATTTGTGGCATTTGAAGTTGAGGCCATCTTATCTAAGATTCGGAAGGAAGCTGGGAATGACGATTCGAAGAATTGTTCTAGGAGTTCGTCGGCCAGAACAACCATACGGAAAGTGGGAAGAGTTATGTGAAGTGGTTTGGATGGATCCAGAGCAGCATTAGCTCGTTCTGATTGTGCCTTAGAAACACTTCGAGAAGGCGTGGAAATATTATTAGGGTTATTAGATGGTGGAGGAATAATTGGAAGACCAATTTCCTTTTTGGTTTTCTTGGAATCGGTACCGAGATCTAAAAGATCTTCTTCCTCTTCTTCATCCGAATCATCCGAATCACCAACAGCAAATGAGTTGGGATCAACGAGGCCATTTGTACCATATGAGGCATCTTCTGCTTTTTCTTCGCTTTCTTCCTCAATTTCAGCATCTTCCTCTTCATCCTCAACATTTTGTGGATGATCCGGATCAGCATACTCAAAACAACGTCTGATGAATGCACTCACGCTATTCAAAAATCTTTCTTGTGTTGTTGTATGTGGACTATTGAACTGTGCAGGGTTACCAGCCTCATATTCACTCAAACCAACCATAGATGGCGAAGGTGTTAAAGATCCATCTAAACCTCTTCGGGAGAGAAATAGTAAAGCTTCAGATATTCGTAGAATACCCTCCCTATCAACCTTTCCATCTCCATCATCATCATACAACTCAAAGAAGTAAGTAATGCTTCCCATAATGTCACCCTTGCCCTTGATGTGAGCCAATCCCGTTACAACATTTTGCAGTGTCAATGCGGAATTCATATCCACATCCCATCTCCGGAACAATCGTTGCATGAATTCGTGATCGGCTGGTTCGGGATTACCAAAGCCCCAAGGAGAAAGTGAAATATCTTTACGACGGAAAGAATTGCCAAAGTAGGAATGCTTTTCCTTCTCGAGTTCCTTTTCTTGTGGTGATGGCGAATCTGATACAGCCCATCTAGTTATTCCAGCAAGGAATTCTCGGAAGCAATCATAATCCATCAAAGTAGGACTTGGGCCGAGTCCTACCCTACCCTTTTCAATATTTTGATTCTCTCCTAAACCAGAAATAACGCTAGCTCTGTTGGCTTTTGCTCTCCTTTCTTTTTCTTCTTGTATCATCTGATTTCTTTGCTGTCTCTCATATAATACACCATAAAACCTGTCATACAAAGCACCTAATTCCTCAACACTCAATTTCTTGCTGTCTGGGCCTAAGTTTCGTATCGAAGTTCGTTTTGCAAAACTTTCAATACTATTCAAGACAGCATCTTTATGATTCATGCGTTGCTCCGAAATGGTATTTTGTGTGATTCCCGAAAATTCCTTGAAAGCAACAACCATCAACTCCTGGAATCTCGTGACAGCTCGTAATTTGGCGTTCTCGGATTTTGGATGCGCAGATTCATCGAGTTTCGAGAAATAACCTTTCAGCACAGAAATGAAAGCACCATCATCAGTAGCGTCTAAAAGATCTTCTCCGTTTATGCGTAGAATGGCGAGCCCAACCTGAAATAGAACCTTTGGACCTTCTAAAAAGAAAACATCTAAAACACGAAATGCAAATACGAGAGGCATAGAATTAATATACAGAGACAAAAACCAAGGAAGAGAAACGACTGATAGCTGGACGTCCGATTTAACCAAATGATCCCATAATATTGGCATAGTTTTCTCTACTAAAGACTCAAACACGCGCTGGTCGAGTAGAGTGCCGTACATGGTTTGTGAGTAATATCCCGGTAGTAATCTGTCGCAAAGCGCAGATAAAAGGAAGTAAGCTTGCGATTCAGACATATAGATCAATAGTGCTGCCACAACGATATTCATGGCCTGGCAATATCCGACTTCTTCGTTGGTCCAACTATATGCTGTGAGGACTCGCCGCAATCGGTCGATACCTTCCACGCTCTGAAATCCAGGGTATTCAGGTAAACTTCGATTGAGATCCTTCTCTATTTCATCAATCGCAAGGGACTCTCGTCCTTCAAATTTCGCTAAGGTGTCTGTATATAGCGTCGGATTTTCCAAGCGCAAAAATAACGATCCGGATGTTTGTTCCCATATTTCTCCTCGTAGTCGATTCGGTAAACCAACTCGAATCAACTTATGAAACGTAGGTTGGCGTATCAATGTAACATTTCGCCCATTCTCTCGAAGATACTCCCCCCATAGTCTCATTTTGCTTTTGTCCCGTAATTTCCGAACGTCACCAGGATACCTGAACAACATCCCAAGTCCCGCATCCGGAATTTCACCCGTTCTATTGTCGCCTTGTAGAAGATATTCAGAATAACACTCTGCGACAACACGTTTCATCTTCGCAACGTCACCCACTCCTGATTTCAGTCCTTTTTTTAAACCATCGCAAAACCTTTCGCAAGTTTGGCGCGTTCCGGCAAGATTTACTGTAATTTTTTGTTGATATGAGGGTTGTTTCGAGCCATCTTTTCCTGGTGTATTTGCAATTCCATTCCAGGTAGTAATAGCTAGGGCGAACTTCGGTCGATGTCAGCAAGTAGACCGCATGAGAACAAGGGATGCATACCTGGTAGGATTGACTGTGAAGCCGTTCTACTCGCCTTATGGCACATAAAGGCAAAGTAAATCCATTTCCTCCAGGTCCAGCACCATGGGTTTGCCCATTGAATCCCGAAGATATACCCGTACTTGCTGTTTGAAGGAAACTTGTAGGTTGTGTCGAGAAACAGAGGTATGCTTCACTCAAGTGCAACTTTCCTGCATAATGAAAGCCTCTATCCCTATCCTTATCCTTTTCTCCTTGCGTGGCATTTGGTGAGTACTGGTTCGGTGGGGCTATTGTAAGTTCGGCGGTGATTTCTTGTAGAGGGGTTTGGGAATCTGGTAATCTGAATTGATTGCGGAAAAGGGTAGATTTGGCAGGGTTTCGATCAGAAGCAGAGATATTGAGAGCCTGAGTTGGGTCAATAAATGATTGAGCCTTCTGCACAAAACTTGAGAAATTGAACATTGTTCATGGTATCTGCTGGTAATACAGCTTTATTTGGAGAAGTTTGGTTCTTTACAATCCAGTTGAGTTGAGGGACATCCAGTTCTCAACTTCCGATGTCATCAGCCTCGGCTTATGTAATATCGTAAGCCAATGATAATTCAATGAATGGGCCCCTTAAATACGATGTGTGTTTTAGATTTAATAGCAAAATGAGTCTTATTTGTAATTCACGGATTCTAGGACTGCTGTTTATGATGTTGTTACAAATTAGAAATTGTAAATATGTATTGTAGTGTATACCTAGTTTTATCATTCTTCTAGAACTATCTCAAGTTTGGGGATGGCGAGCCTACTCTTAATATACGGATCTTTGGCATGATGTGTGGAATGAGGAATGGTTCAGAGAAGAGGGTGGGCATTATGCTGATTTGAATATTCAGAACGTGGTAATACATTATGAGGATGTAGATTATAAGCATGTATTGATACGGCTACTACTACCTAGATATTGAACATTCAACTTTTTGGGGGACAATGTAGATTATGCTTCACAAGCACGAGATCATGGTTGCATGGTTAAAATACAATCTCAATCAGTGTAGTTTTGATTGAGTACTGTTATGTTTTGACCGGTATGGCCCTCTCCAACAAAGTATTACCATAAATATCAGTCATGTCAAAACACTGACTCAAAACTAGTCAATTTTAAACCCAACCACCCACTCCTTCATTCCCTGATACAATCGTTGAATGCTATCGTTGAATCCATGACCCCTTAAAACTGAGCCTGTGCATTGGTAAAAAAAGTATCAATCGTATCCAAATCCGCAGTCAATCTTTGCTTTACATCAGAAGAAAAAATGGCAAGGAGTGCCTTTCCAAAAGCATCAGTTTCCTTTTTCAAATTTGCTAGGTCGCTCGCAACAGTTGAATCGACCCCTGCGGAGGCGAATGTAGATTTCTTTTCTACTAGTGCATTGAGTGCCTCATTGATATCGGGCTTTAGATTGTCGATTTCGACGAAGATATTTTCAGAGTCGGCCGAGGAAAGGGGAGATGTGTTGCTGGCATCGGTGGCAGCATTTTTGATAGCTGAGGTATAGGGTTAGTTTCATTGATATTGGGGTATCTCGGCTTAATCCTCACAATTCTCCAGAGTCGATTCAGTACTGCTGACTGAAATCAAGCCAAAGAATCCACCATTGTAGTTTTTTACAGCATTTGTAAGAGCGTTGACGTTGGTATCAATGGTGGTTATATCAGAGAGGATGGTAGCTGGTGTACGCCGAGAAATAGCAGCTGCAGAAACTGCGGAGATGAAGAGGATAACATTTTTGATGGCAACCATTGTGTTGATTTGAGTTAGATAAGAGTAGAAGGATGATTAGTGAATAGATTTATTAGATGCTGAGAAGAGGAAGTGAGTAGATGATGATTGGAAGTATCTTTCAAAGATATGTGTTGGGGTATTTATGTATAAAGATGATACATAGATCCCACTAGTGTGAACAATAACTAAAGCTTCCTTGATATGATATTTGTCAAGTAGCTTCAGAGGTCCGAAGATATCTTGATCACATATGCTATTTCCGCGAGTAGAGGACACAATCAAACGCTTGCAAAGACACATATTCTCGGTGGTACTACTCCAGTTCACAATCCTACAACGACCCCGCTTCTGGAAGTAACATTATGCTAGTCTACCATGAGTGCCATGTAACTTTTTAGCATCAGGAGACGACCATATCGGTCCTTCGTACCGGTTCTAGATCGAGCCGATATTAAAGTGAGCTGAAAATCGGAAGGCTAATAGCAGATGTGTTATGTCATAAATGTTTCTAGAGTAACTTGACAGCGATAAACAGCTCTAGTGAGCTCATATTCTCAACTTTCGCGACAAAGCAACCTCGGACAACCCGATTATTCTTCTGGTGTTGGGGGGGAATAATGCTAAATGAAAGCTTTGTTTGTCTCGAATCTCGATGCATACAATTGTTGGAACTTTCCAATAACTCAGCCATAACGAACCGTCATACTTTACCAGTATTACCACACATGAACCCAATTAAGACGCCATTATATGTAGCGGATCTGGTGTGTAAATCGATATTGAAAGGGGACTGATTGCCAAGGGTAACGGGTGTAGATCCCAAACTAACAGCTGCCCGGCTCTTGTAGCTTCTTTTATGGGTGTGAGAAGGGAAAGAATACTCGAGTACCTGGAAATAGGAATGTTATAGGCAAATCATCCAACTATTTGGTTGGTAAGAAGAGAATTTTCAAAAGAAGCATGAGGACGGTTTTGGGGAGAGAAGTTCCGATGCCGAGATCCGGTTGTAGGCTAACCATCTTGAGAGTGATGCAGTTTTCGGTACCCTGGAGAAGTATTTCTCAATCCATCTACATAATTCAACATGTGAAAACGAAAGTTGGATTGCCGTTACTATCTCTCCCATCTTTCGTAGCATTGATCACGCAGTCATTTGTCGCTCCAGATAAAGATGAGCCGACGCGTTTGCGCGCGTGATCATTTGCGCTCACGTGATGCGCATGAAATCTGCCCCGCTCATGATCATTCGAGAGTTCAAGAGTTCGAGACATAGAGCTAAACAATTTCCCCTCTAGAAAAGCGATGAAATTCAGGCTGTATACTTGAAAAGGTGGAAAGATTTCTTTTCCCCTTAAGGGAACCTCAAAGCATTTCTTCCTGATCACTGAGGAAGAGTTCTCAGCAGGTGGGTACGTAATGTCGTGTCGAAGCACTACCTGCTCAAATGGAGAACCGTCGTCAATATGGCGTTTTGAAAGTTACTTTGTATGAAGGCTCCGGTATCTCCATGGTAGACCAATATAGCGATATCTTCCGTAGACTGGAGCACGAGCCTTCTCATGAGTGTGAGGAAGCTCTGCAATGGGGGTTTCGTAGTTCAACCTGAATCATCAGTCTTTACCGTATGCCCTGCTGGAGTTTGAGCATTCACAAGTGATTGTCGACGCAGTTTCAGGACCCGCAAAGAGTTCTTTATGGGCAGGAAAGGATACTTCATACAGGTTTGAAGTGTCTAGGGTTGCTGAGCTGACGGTTTCTCTTTACCTCAGGAATCCGCAAGCTTTCATGGGACATCATGACTTTTCCCTAGGTGCCGTAAAATTGCATCATCCTTGGGCTAATGAGGTTTACAAATATGATAAAATAAACGTTACTGCGAGTTTAGGCCAAGAAAGTTACGCTGCCGTTCCAAAATGGTTGGATGTTCAGAATGGGGCTGGTAAAATCCTTATCGGGATTGAATTCAAGGAGCGGAAACATCCAAGTTTGGGATATTTCCACCCATCTCCACTCCTTGGAGAACAATCGGCTTCAAAAAGCCCAACACAAACAATGATGAAGTAACTGAATTATCCAAACGGCTAGATAGAGCAGATCCATCATCCCACGCCCAAATAAGCTCGGAAAAAAGTGAGGGATGGGAGTTAATATGGGAAGATGTATCCCAACACTTTTGTTCCGTAACCACTACACGGGTGTTATTCAGTCGGGAAATACCCGAGTCCCAGAGCTCGAAGTCGACACCGCCATCATAACTTCACACTCCTCAGAAAATGAAATTCGGATTAATTCTCTTCCAATACAAGACTTGCCTAATCAAACTCAGATGCGCGATGCACTTGAGGTAGCTTTAAAAAGAAGCTATAAATCTGCAATTCCGCGACTTCTAGAATACAACATAGACTTAAACATTATAATTTCCAGCGACTCCAAGACTCAAACACCACTCGAATGGGCCCCCGAGAATGAAGATATTAATCTAGTAGAAATATTCTTGAAAAAGAGGAGCCAATGCAAATCTCACATCCACTCCCTTCACCCGAAATCCAGCATTAATAAAAGCCGTAGAAAAAGCAAACGAAAAACTAGTCAAAATACTACTACCCAAAACAAACCGAGTACTTCTCCAATTCCACAAGAGCCTTATCTCTCGCTGTAGATAAAAAGAACAGAGCAATCATCACCATCTTACTAAATAAAACACGGCGTCTCTCCCCATTTCATCAACGGAGACGAAACCGACCAACAACCCTTCAAACACCCCATCGATTGGCATACCCACAGAATCCGCAAAGGCAAGAACATCCACACCACCACTTATACTACACGCCGGCATTATAAACACTATAGAACTCAAGTCACCAAAATCCGACTACTAAATGGAGCGAACGTGAATTTATCGCCTACCTATCATGCATGCATGATACAGGTCGTGAACATAGAAGACCGTTGATGTTAAAAACGGATATATATACATACCATGTGGAAGAGTTATACAAGTAGCAATACAGTTACAACAACAAGAGATAATTAATTGATTTACTGCTTGAATTTGGGGCTAATGTTAATCTTTTGCAATCAATCTGTTTGATTATATTATTTGAAATATTTCAACCTCTTTCATCTTTATAATTTAATATTTATATTTATTGAAGTAAATAAAAATAATTATATATCTTTAATCTAACTCTTTAAGAACATCTCGAGTTCCTTTCTTTATTTCCTATGAGCAAGATTTAATAATATCAATATCCAAATCTGATTTACAAACCCTGTAAAAGTTAAAATATATGAAGTTGAAAGTAGAGTACTATTGTATAGACTGAAATATAAAGGGCATAAAGATTTATATAGATAGAGTGAGGTCTAGATATGAAAAATAAACAAATAAATTTATAAATAATACAACTTAAAACACTATCGATGATCTTAATGAATAGAAGAAAAAACAACTAATATAATAAATCATAGAAGTAATTTCAGTAGTCATTTATAAAATAAAACAAAGGAGCCATTCATTCCCTTCCACCCCTCATCTGAGCCCCATAACCACTAGTCAACCCTATCATCAAAACCTGCATACCATTCTTCATCATCATCACATCTGATAACCCTTCCCATCCTTCCTATTCTCCCTAAGAACCTCCCCTCAAACCCCCCTAAGCCAAAGCACCCATCGGATCCCAAAGCCTCAAAACCTTCGGTTCCAAGCCCAAAACATCCCTAACCTCCTTAGTCACAAACCTCGGTTCCACGACCGCCTGATAAACAAATTGATCCATCCACTCATCACTCATAACAAACCAACCATGATCTCCAGCTCCTTCACCCCAACTATTCTGCACTCTCCACCTCACACTCTTTCCCTGCTCATCCAGATGCACCGCCGTAAGAACCATCGCATGAGTCATTGCACTTTCACCCGTCATGAGACGTTGTGCTTTCGTCATGCCAAGTTTAATATTAAATCCTAGTTCGTAATCGATGAGATTGACATCCATGATTCCTTTTTGGGAATTACTATATTTTCCTACGTCGGATCCGAAGAAGATTGGAAGTCCGGCTTTTAACATTGAGATGCAGGCGTTTTTCATGGTGGTCATGTCAACATTGACATAGGTGATGGGACGACCACCTACGATGTTACCGAGTCGATCAACAGTGAGGAGAGTATTGTATTCATTTCTTGGATCGTTGACTAGGGAAAACATATCATGGACGGTAGAATTGGTGATTCGAATTGATTTTGGAGAATTTAATTCCTTGGCGAATTCGATAGGTGTAGTTTTTAATTCTTGAGATTTGCCATCTTTATCTAGATATTGCCATGTAAAAGCAGTATCAGATGGAGGAGGTGGACCAAGAGCAAGAGTAAGAATGAGATGAATTTGGCGAACCATATTCTCCTTTATATTGTTCAAGGTATTTGGAGACTTTGAGGCAGCAGCAGCTCTTAATTTGAGAGCATCTTCTCGAAGTTTGGTTGTGATGATACTATCGATCACAGAGGATGATTGAGCATTGAAGCTATCTGGATAGAGAACTTGTGGTACGAGTCCATATTTATGGACAAGGTTGTAAACCCTATGCAAAATTATTAGAATCTTGGTTAAGGTTATATCAAATAATGAAGAAACATACATATCCCATTGCCCACCATCACTAACTGGACTTTCCATCAATCTTTGCACCAATCTTCCATCTAAATCCTCTCCCACTGTATCAAGAATCTGTTCTAAAAACCAATTCGCCTTTTCTAATTTATCCCAAAAGAATAAATATGCTTGGGATAATTCAAATTCTTTAAGATTATGTTGTTTCATGATTGCAACTCGAAAAACATTGGTAGAAGCAAATAACCAACATCTTCCAGATTGTCTTTGATTTGTAATTGGTGCTCCTTCAAATGGAATTTTAATTGAGAAAATTTGTTGATCTTGATTGATTGTTGAGCGGGATGTTAGAACAGTTCGTGGATCTGCAGAGCTGAGGGCACTGAGGGCGAGTCTAGTTGAGTTGTCAGTATATTGAATTTGAATATGTAGAACAGCAATATCTCCTCCCTTCCCCCCCCTCTTTACCTCCCGTCCCTCCCTCTCCCCCTCACATTGACCTCCCGCTCAACCAAAACCTAAACCCTAAAATCTAAACCCCAAAAGAAATCAAACATACCTATTCTTAGGATCAGTCAAAAGTTCCTCTTCCCATTTCTCCACCCGCGCCGCACTTAACGGAGTCCACTGTGCGCGGGAAGCCTGAGTTTGCGAGGTCTGCTGCAAACCACCCTTCTCATCCACACAAACATAATCATCGACATCCTTAATCTCCAGATTTCGAATCTTTTCAAGGAGGATCCGTTGGGTTTCTGTTGGGGTTGTGGAGAAAGAAGTAGAAGTAGAAGAGGTAGAAGAGCGAGGGATTGAATGTGTTGAGCCCATTTTTCTGGGAATCTTTTTTTGGGATTGTGAGGGTGAATAGTTATTGGGGTGATTGAGATGAGAAGTTAGGTGTAAAGAGTGAGTTGTAAGTTGTGAGTTAAGATCTTTAATTAGGAAGGCGAGGTGAGGTGAGGTGATATGTCGTGATTTGCGACACAAACCACAAATACACACCACAACCAAAAACTATCAATAAATAAACACCAAGTAAGAAAGAGCACAGCGAAATAGGGACAAAAATCAAAAATCAAAAGAGTTAAAAGAAAGGATCGATCAACCTAAGTAGCAATAACAAGTAACAATAGCTATCTATCTATCTATCTATCTCTATCTATCTCTATCTATCTATTATTTACCCAGCCAGTACTCACCCACCTTATCTATCCACGATTCCACACAAATAGCGGGGAAATGGAATAGAGTTAGAACTTATCATATTGCACATCTATCTAGATAAAGAAGGTACCTACTTACCTACCGACCAGGCAGTACGTAGCATAGCATAGCATAGCATAGCATAGCATAGCATAGCATAGCATAGCATAGCATAGCATAGCATAGCATAGCATAGCATAGCATAGCATAGCACCTTGCACTTTGCACCTTGCACCTTGTGTATTTGGTGCGAACCGTCAAGGTACTGACTGATACTCAGGTGAGTCTATCTTGGGTTACGGGGTTATGAGATTCCAAGTCAGTCGCACCCGCAACCCCCACCCTCCGATTTCCATTTCATGACACGTTTAATTGATCAATAGATATGGTTATCAAAATCGGGAGGGAGCTGGATCATGTGCATTCCTGATCATGGTCAGCCTGAGTACATTCCTAAATTTACATTGTTCAATGGTGTCACCAGTCACACAGTGGAATTCAACCAAAAACAAATTAAAGTAAAAAGACAAGCAGCGTGTTTTCATTCTGGGTCTTCTCCTATTTACACAATTACAAAGTAGAAAAAGACCTCAGCATCAAGGACCCTCTCAACCATCTTGCTAATACCACCAAAGTAGTATCAACATGAATAGCATCAAAGGACTACTTGAATACGTCGTTAAACTAAATAATCCGAAAGACCAGATAAAACCCGATCGTCCAAATTTCATCCCTCATTAATCAATCTGAATCCATATCTACCGCCATCATACGTTTCAAATTTTCCCTCCGAAAATGCACAAAGAAATCATGATGAAAAAGAAAAAGTCTCCACCCTGGAAGGCCACTGGATATTTGCCGGTAGGACGCCATGGTATGACTGGTACAGGAAATCTATAGACGGGATCCGTGGACGGTCTTCATGTCAACGGCGATCTCACGACCTCCGTCGGCAACGACCATGATGCGGATGCTACCACGTCCACCTTCAAAGGCCTCCCTGAGACGGGTCCAGAGGTTGGATTGGTCCAAAACGGGAATGGCTTGCTTGACATCTCCGGTCTCGGTCATGGCGACGACTGGTAGAGTGTTAGGATAAGATACTTATAGAAGAGATGGTGGGAAACTTACCACTCTGGTCTTGGAGATCGAGAACACGGTATTGCTTGAAGACTGGACCCAACATGGTTTGGACAACGACGCTTGGGCTTGGGTTGGCGATGAAAGATGACTCTTCATTCAATTGTCTGGTGAAGAGGTCGACACCCAAGTAACGGTGTTGGCCAGTGGCAGCGGAGGTGGTGATACGGATAACCTGGCAAGGACGTCCTTGGAGCATCAAGAGATCACCCATACGGATGTGGTGGCAAGGGATGGTAACGGTGTTGGCAGGTTGCTTTGGAGTAGCAACGGCTGCGGCTCCGGCTAAATCGAGAGAGTCAATTGGGTCCTGGTAAATATCCTTCCCGTTCCCGTGTCCATGGAAATATTCCCCACGCAAGGAGTGGTAATTCCCTGATTATTCTTCTTAGGGTACATGAGGGGGTTAGATAAAAAAAACAAACAAAGAAAGCTTACCTTCTTCATCGTAGTAACCCATTTCGATATTGACTGGTTTGAAACTTGTGGTAGATTTAGGTGCGGGTGGAGAGTACTTGACGAGTTGATTCTCACGAACTTCTTCGGTGAAAGTAGATCGAGCTGGTGTGCGAGGTTGTTTGACGTGAACTTCCTCGAATTGTTCTTCGTGGAAGGTTGACTTGGGTTTGTGAGAGTGCGTAGATCTAGGGGCTGGGACGATAGTAGTCTCGGTGATGCGGGTCTCCTCGATGTATCTGGGTTCAGAAGCACGAGATTTGGGAGGGTCGACGATGGCAGTGTCTTCCTTGAAGCTTGGTTGAGTTCGAGAACGGTATTGACGTTCGACGAAATCGATGTTGGTCTCGGCAGGACTCTTTAAAGGAACAGAGTATTGAGATTCAACTTCGGAAGGTTCGTAGCGAGGTTGACGTGTACGTTCTAATTGGAAGTCTACCTCAGAGGATGGACGACGTTGATGATGGGGATGATGGTGTTCACGACGGGGAAGTTCGATATTAACTTCGGTGTGCTTGTGGTGATGATCACTTTCTCTATCGAAAGAAGCTTCGAAGTGTCGGTGATGGTGTGGGGTGTTAAGATCGAAGGAAGCAGAGTGGTGTTTGTGTTTGTGTTCTGGTCTAAAGGAAGGTAAAGAAAACCAAAGGTCAGTTAATGAAGAAAATTAAACGGTGAGCGTTACTGTGTCAACACTAAAAGAAAAAATAGCCCATGTATTTTGGGGTAAGGGGGGGCTGGGACTAAACCGAAGATCGTTGGACTGTGCGTCGTAATAAAAAACAAGAAAAGCTGGCAAATTTGTCTCAGAAGGACCCAGTTAATTGTTAATTGGGGGACTGGGACCTTCCGATATGGCCAGATCGAAAAATGTTGTATAACTGAGAAAAATAGGAAATGGTACCAAAATTGTGAAAAAGAGGTGAAGGGGTGGAAATGTAGGTGTAGACATTTTGTGGATGTTCTTTTTTTTCTCTTCTCTTCTTTTGGCAAGTCGAAGCTTGTGTGTATCGTTTTTGATTTTCCTCTTCTCCTTTTGATTTCTTGATAGTGGATTTTGGGGGGAAATGGTGAATGGATTGAATGGTAAAGAAATGGATTTTTACTACTAACCTGCGTTCTTCACGAATATAAACTTCTTCTTCTACTAGTTCTTGTTCTTGTTCGTGTCGGCTCGGGCGGTATTCAGAACGTCGGTCTTCTTCACGGATAATGTGAACTTCTTCTTCCACGTACTCCTGTTGGTGTTGATGTTGATGTTGATGTTGGTGTTGGTGTTGATGTTCCTCGTGGTGTTGGGGAGGGGGTGGGTGAGGAAGGGTGTGTTGTTGTTCCAGTTGATGATGGTGATGATGTTGATGTTGAGAATAAACAGATTGAGCGTCCTCTTCTTGACCTTCCCGTCCGACGCGCTCGTGATGATGGGGTAAAGTGATTTCACCTTCGACGTGAGTCTCGGTGATATGAATGGGTTGGGCAGCGGCGTCGCTTCTATACGACGACGGGAAGATGCTGAAGGGGATCGGGATTCTAGCGTCAAAGTCCAGGGTGACGACCTTTCAATGCGAGAACTCTTCTCGAATACCTTTCAGCGGACCGAAAGGATATCACAAGAAGGGTCTCTACTTCTTGAGGTAGAAGGAAGAGGGAAGAAAACGTTTATTGATTTAACGTTTCTTTACTCGACTTTCAATTTTCAAAAAATTATGTGAGGCCGTTAAAGTGAACAAAAAGTAGCAAGAGTATATTTTTATTGCGATGTGCAAAAACGTAGTGTAGGTAGGTATGAAAATGTGTGTGTACAAAGTTGATTGGGGATTGGGGATTGGGGATTGGGATTAGGATTGGGATTGCGATTTTGACGTTGTATTTGTGTAGATGTGGGGTGGAGGTGGGAAAAGATGGAAGAAAGTTTCGAAATTGGGAGATTGATGGAAGGGTGGTGGTGGTGGGAGAAGATTTTTTAGAAAATCAAGGTGGTTGGATATTCAATCTGTGTATCCATCTCGCAGGGTAATTCAATTTTAAATTATACGGTATTTTTGGGATTTTTGGGATTTTTGGGATTTATTTATTTGTTTGTTTACATTCATGTTTTTCTCTTGTTTTTGACTGGTGTTGTTTATCACTAACTATATGGAGTAATTCCCTGCTGATTCGGATAGTTACATCGAAGTAGAGCCAAGCTACAATGCAGAAATTGAAAATGTAGGGAAGAGGGTTGTTTTATGATGAATGAACAGATGAATAGAGGTGGGTGGGGTGAGTGAGGGATGGATGGATGAAAGTGACTGTGACTTTGCGTATGATGAGACGGAAATAAAAGAAAAATGATATTTGTCACGCTGGTCATTTTTTACATTTTGTAGAGGTACCGGCAATTTTCATTCTATCTATTGAATTTTTGATTTGATTTGATATGAATACTGGTGGATGGATGATAAATGATGAATCGGGAAACTGATTGAAGTTTGATAGACTCCCATTTCTTTTCTTTGGATGTTTTAGACACCTTCTCTTTATGGTATGTGTCGTAAGGGCTGTCTGTACCAGGTGCCTCAGCTACCCCAGATAGTCTAAACATCAATATCAATATCAATATCAATACCAACAGAACAGAACACCGAGTTGGATCCATTCGTGAACAAAACTCGATTAGGTAAGGTACACTTTGAAGTTTGAACCCGTAGTGTTTAGTGTTTAGTGTTCACCAATACATATCATGTGTAAACTTTAAAAGCATAACATCACCAACGACGCAATCCATTCATGTATGTTGGTGGCGTCAATGAGAACTTTCTCATGAATTGCTTTGGTCCTGCTGTAATCGGTCTCGTCCTGAAGTCTTGACCTTTTCTTGTCCTTCCATATCGACAACCTCCCCACTTATCCTAGACTCCACTTCCTTACTGGATATGGTATGGAGCATCAGTGGATCTTCGTGTTCATGTTCTCGGCCCCCAGCCATCTACTACGATGTAGGGGATTCCGAACTCTGTAAGTTTCCGATAGAAGGAATCCTCCGGTTGGACATCTTGGTCACCGTTCTGCAAATCAAAACAACCACAACCACCAAAAAAGGAATCTAGGTAGCCTCACCATTTGGCCGTGTTCCTCGGACCATGTCCAATGTGGATAGGTCAAAGTTTCAATAACTCTTTGAAATCATGGTTAAGAATTTAAGTGGTCGGTTATGAAATCAAATCCAATTTCCCTTGAGCTTCAGCTCCTCACAAACGGTAACATCCTTGACATGACTCGTGTCGTGGAATTCATTCATTGGATGATGGGATGAAATGGAGTGTAAGCTCAACGTGGGCTTGCCTGCTGTTGTAGCTCCTCCACGGTCTACCCGAGCTTCTAAAGTTCTCACATGTGTGAAGGAACACCAATAACTCGAATCAGATTTCGGCAGGTTGCAGAAGGGACATGAATCTAGAGCTTCACAATCAATGAATCAATGAATCAATGAATCAATGAATCAATGAATCAATCAGGCAATCCATCAATTGGATTTGGATAGAGTTTCAATTATGACGAAGCTGCATATGAAGCCGTCACACTTGTAGACTTTTATTAGATAATATTGATAACATCTCACCTCATGAGCATTGATAGTAGATACTAGATACGAGTCGCTTGATAACGCAATTTGGGTGATCTGAGAGCTTACCTTTTCACTAATTTTCACTAATTTACACCTCGGTCCTCCTCTCCTCTTCTTGTGTTCCTTCCCTCACTTCACTCCGTCCAAGCTTCAAATTAGTAAGGGGTCTTTTTCCGTTGCCATCAAGCTATCTCATTAGCTTACCATGGTAGACCCTGTTAAAGTTCAGGTACCTTGTTCGAGCTCATTTTAAATTTCTGTCCTCTCTGAGTCTCTGACACAGCGCCCACTTCCGACTCCCGTCCGAGACTAGTTTGATCCGTTAGCGTCAAAGCTACCTTACTCCGCAAATTCTTGGCAAAATATTCGATCCGACCTTCTGATTTTTTCTGATCCAACCGAAGTTTCTCGTGTGGCAGTGGACACTGTGGGTAGAACAACAATCGAATCAATGAATCATGTTACTTTTCTTTTTCTCTTTTCTCTTTTCTCTTTTCTATTGACCGACCGAGCGTAGCGTAACTCTCCAGCCATCTTTCTTTTCTAACTTCTTCGTCAGTGCAGTGTTGTATCACTGGCAATGGACACGTACAGACACTTCAAGAGGTGGCAGGAAAGTGGAAAGTCTCCATAAAGTGCTACGACGGTAATTGCAGGTCGGTGCTGCCGATGCGATACAAGGTCTACATTAACATCATGATCACGGATCACTTGCTCTTTTTTCTACCTCGACATTTCTTTCTCATTTCTTTTCAACCGCTCTTCACTGTACTGTAACTGTTACTGTAACCATTCAGGCATAGCCACCCCAACCCCGCCCTTTTCAAACACTGGTTCACTAAGAAGTCTGAACATGAAATCAACACAAGCTGGGACTATTCTCATACCATAGCTTCATCTGCACGTACTCGTTAATGCTATCCACAGCCATCCTATTTTACTCACCGTGTTAACATCCGTCAGCTTTCGTGGCACAAAATTGGCACGGCCACAACAATATACCCAGCACTCGGTACCACCGTTTGTTGACGTGCCAGCTTGAGAAGCGAGCCGCAAGGTCTGCACGATGTCGGGCGATACCCGAGGTTCCATAAAACACGTCGTCGTACCTTGCTCGGTGTGGTGAGGTGGAGTAGATCCATTCTTCAAGAGACTCCATCAGTGATGCAGGCACTGTCTTTGCTGTGAAAACAACTCAGAGAGCTAAAGCTTAGGATTTAAGCCGAGGCATGTTGACATCACCAGTTGAATCATTGTTTACTTTGCTATCAGTCATATTGGACTTACAAATTTCTGCGTGTTGACTTTTGACTAATGTGCCAGCTATCATTGCAGCCAGCATGGTATTGAAACCGCCTTTGTAGATTCCTGTCGACTTGATCATGACCTTTCTTTGCTAGTCATAGGAAGAAAACTTACATGAATAGTACATGCGGCCAGCAGACCTAGAGGGAAAAGGGGGAGAACATGTCAGTATGTCTTGCACGATTGACATAGTTTGAGTGCTTCAGAAACTTCGACTGGACTTGGTGTATTGCGCACAAAACCCATCCGCCATTACACCTCTGAAGTTGAGGCAATAGCACATGGCCTTTTCATCGCCGTGGAAACAAAATCGAATCTTTCGGCATGGATATCCAAAAAAAAATTACAATTAATATTGGAAATTTCAATATGCCCATGAGAAGTTCGCTTGTCTTGTCGCATAGGAGAGTCGGTATACAATTCTGATCTCCTAAAGCTGATGGTCCAACAGCTCTTGAGGTCTTCTATTTTGGACTTGGACATTGGGTAGCTTGACTTGTTGTCAAATGGCATATGGAATATCAATGTTTTCTACTACTTACAACTTGACGTGGGTTCTTCTGCGCTTACTTTAACAAACAATACGGTTGGAATTGTCCCTCGTTCATGTTTTCCACTTCTCACTCAACTTGCAAGTCAGGCAATTTAGGGGTTACTTCCGTGTTCTCGCCAATGTTTGTGAGATTTATATTCCTTTCCCTGGCTAGGTAAACCATCAATCGGGAGATGTCTTCCTCAAATGAGGATTCTACATACGGGGAAAAGCGCACACAATTCTCTACTGCCGTGTATCAGAAGTTAGCTCTCGACGCGTTTATTTCTGATGGGCTGACTTGAATTCCTGTTTTATATCTAGTTCAATGTATTGAGCAAGACTGAAAGATATTCTCAGTGGAGGACGTCATCATGTGTGCATATGATATGTAGGTAAATACCTCCTTCGTCAGCCTGGGAATATACTCAGGTGAATGAGTTCAATAGAGTGTTCATAATCGACTGCTTGGTTATCTGTTTCCAGCGTGCGATGGCTTAGGTCCATACAGAAGGTGATTCGTGTGGCTATGATCATGTGAATAGTCGATACGGTATTTAACAAAGTCGACCTATACCACATTTCGATCGCTACTTTCGGAAGAAGTATCTAACCATCACAGAATACATACATCTGTTAGCAATTGCCATAAGCATAGATTCAGTGGAAAGGTCTCAATCTCTGCTCGGTTATATAAAAAACTTCGACTTACAAGGCAACCTTTTCTCCCAGCTAAAGTGGCTCTTGCAAGATGTAATTAGCAAAGAAACAAAGCTTCGGGTTGCTTTCGAGGGAGTGGAAACTACAACTTTGATCGAAACAGACAACAAACCGTGTACAAAGGATCTAGGGGAAGGAATGAGGGGTTTTGGCAACTACTTGTCGGCATTGGTATACGTTCTGATCTACTCTATAATAGCGAGCCTTCTCTTAAATATTCACCCCCTTCTATATCGATTCAAGGTTCCTATTGTACAAATACTCTAAGAAGCCTTAGGAGAGTCGGTATATTTGTTTTGGTGAAAGGGATTTTAAATAAAGATGATGTCATGTTAAATAATTCAAATACAAAATAGTTTTAATCTATTCTTAATTGAAAATTCTGGTAATGAGTATTATATAATTGTTTATAATATTTAATTATAATAATAGAAGTATTAAATATAATTACCTGATAGAAAAACTTTTTATTTTTGAACTCTAACAATCTTTAATAAAAAGACTAATATAATACTAAGAGTCATATAATAAAAAATCAGTTATATTCAAATAATCATCAAAAAGAATCGAGACTTTTCATTACTTTTCTAATTCCATTCAAGAACCTCTTTATATAGATAAAAAGTCTTCAAATTAATATAAAACCATCGAAATCATTAACCCCTTTTTCGGCCAGCTGATGTTCTGTATTCGGAGATCGTAACAGAGCCTCCCCTTTTAAAACTTTCGTCCTCGAAAGCTTTCGATTTGAATACGGATATTCATCGAATATGAATCGACAATCTCTCGCGGAGCTCTAGTGTAATCTCCTTTCATCTTTCAATAAGTAAACCTTTTGTATAACTTTCGAATAACTATTAGTCTTGTTAACTCCTATAATAATAATATATCATAGTGCCTAGCCTTCATTTTATAGAATTCGATCCACTTTTGAAACGCTTTCGGTATAATATCATTTCGTATTTGATTCGGATTCGAAGTGATCTTTGTACTTTTTCTTGATTTCAAGTACAGTAGTGTTACGCCGGAACGTCACAAACCAATATCACGTATTCTAGGATCATGTGAATAATCATGTAAGGGAGGGAGCGAAGGAACGAGATTCGAATCTCGCTCCCCAGTTCCATCGCTCCAACTCAATGTTGAAACACGAAGGTCTATATAATCAAGATGGATTTCCTTTGTATAGAGCTTCGTATTCAAGATCAATCATTTAATATACTCTACCATTAGTTACGAATAACATATCATTATTATCATTACTTAATCCCTGCTTAACGCCTAGTTATAAACCACCTCGAGACCCTAGAGCACTTCCACGTGATCTAGACGGCTACCCTCGTAACAAGTTGGTAGGCTTTTCGAATGCGCTAAGTACGAGTTTTCTTGCTTTCTTTTCTCGATTTCGAGCTTTTCGAATATAGTAAAATAGGCTTTTTGAATGCAGTAGGTAGGTTTTTTCTATGTGGTAAGTGCGCGCCGGGATAGCTGCTTCCTTTTCGGAATCAACGTCCTCGTTTGTCGATGGTTCTATAGTTCGGTAAACAATAAGGGGGAAGGAGAACGAACTACTTGCTTTTTCCGACTTGAAATATAAAAACTATCATTTCTTCAAATTGTTCATTTTCAGGCCCGACCAGGCTTCTATTTGGAGCTCTGGCGATAATAAAATGGATAAATACTATTTCTATTCTAGTAGTTCATTATTAGTAACACAAAGACGAATCAATATCAAGCCATTCTAGTAATCGTTAGTGTTGCAAAGGCAAGCCATACTTCAATCTACGATATTGATCTCTGGATATGTTTTTAGAAGTAATCGTTATATTGGATTATGAGTTGCAATATGATAATTAGAAAATGGTAGACTATCAGTATTGCTTTTTTCAAGCACAACGATTCTAACAATGAATTATATCTAATCTGAATATTATTTCATCAGTAGTTAAATAAATTAGTTATTGATATAGTATTGGTTATTTATAATTAGTTTTTATTAATGATCTTTGATTGTAAACTATAATTAATATATTTAATAAAAAATATATAATTTATCTTTATAAAGGTTTATTTTCTATTTCAAAAATAAAGATTTATAACTTTTATTATATAAAACCAGAGACCTACACTCCCCGGACCCCTGGCTTTTCGAGAAAGTCTAATGAAAACTTAAGTTTTAAAAAGTTTGTAATAAATTTAAATTTAAAATGATTTATATTTAAAAAGCAAAATATAAAGATTTGATTAATTTATTAAAAGAAAAAAAGAAAAACAAAAGTTTTTTTTTCAATTTAATTATAAAGAGTTACATAATTAAGTTATTAAAAATCTTTATATATATAATTTATAATTTCAACTCTTTTATATTATATTATTATTATTATTATTATTATTATTATTATTATTATTATTATTATTTATCTTTTTTTTTTTTTTTTTTTTTTAATAAATTACTTTTTAAAAAAATAATTAATAAATCAACAAATATCAATCAAACAATTCCAAAAAAAACTACATATAGAATTAAATTAGAATTAAAAAATATTTTGTATATTTTTAAATAAACATAACATATATATACATTTATATAAATAAATATATACATCTTCTATCTTTAATCCTTTTCCATCCATCCGTTCAACTGTTCATCCTTCATCCCAAGCCTAGAGTCCATCCCCCATGCCAATGGTATCTATCCCCCCTCCCAGCCTCCCAGCCACGAAACCCTAACCCTAATCCTGATCCTAGCCCAAGTATCAAATACCAACTACAAATATAAATACAAATACAAATACAAATACAAAGAACAAAGTAGAAGAAGGGAAAAAACATAGTGCATGCATGTACAATTAATTCCTCATTCACCCATCATCCATTACCCATCATCCACCACCAAATCACCAATTACGAATTACCATTACCACCACTTCCTTACTTAATCATCCAACCTAAACATTTTCCTTAAAGCATGAAACTTTTTCTTCTTTCTCTGTCCAGCATGAGCCATTATATCCACATCACTCAATCCCGTAGCTGTGAATCTGCGATTTCCTACATCTGGTCTCGCATCCAAAATAACCTCTTTATTTTCGCCACCAACAACCCCACCTGCCGTATCTGCAGAATAAGGTCTTCCTTCTTCAAATGGTGCTTTTAGCCCTATATCATCCTTTTCACCGGGAAGAGGCCATGAACCACTATTTTGTTTTGGATTCTTCTTCAGTAATTTAGGTGATAATGGATTTCCTAATGAGTCTTGTCGTTTGATGGCTTCAAGGTCCGATCTACTACGTTCAAGTGGTGTATCTCTTCTCGCAGGACTTTCTCCATTATATTTCCTCACCTTACTACTTGCATCTGGCTTTTTGCGAAAAATAGATAGTATACTTCCACGTCTAGCATGAGTTGGTCCTACAGGAGAAGTCGCAATTGCACCTTGACTATTAACAACTTTTAGCATTTCGCGACCAGAACCAGAACGTTGGAGATCCCCAGAAGCTTGAGCTTTATTTCGAGATGACGGTCTAATACCGTTTTGTTGAGACTTTTTAATACTCTTGGCTGTCGGTGGCCTACTCTCATCATCACTATCTGGAAGATCGGAAGAATCTCCATCTTGATAACCTGCAGGTCGAGGTATACTTCGAAGAGGTGTACCCCTTGATGATATAGGTCTAGCCACTGTAGGTGTTGGTTCATCATCATCACTCGAATCAACAAAACGACTTCTAAAACCAGGACGAGGTTCATCTTCATCACTGGAATCAGCGAATCTGCTTGCTCTTGGAGTTGATTTTGACTTCTGTCCTGGTTTAGTTGATGAACTTCTGCCGAAACTGGGAATTTGAATAGGGGATTTTGCCCGAGAAGTAGATTCATTAGAATTTTTTAGGGAACTTCGCATCGTCCCACGCATGGTAACTGAAGGAGGTCCACCAGGTGATGCTGATCGAAGACTAAATCGACTTGAACTTAAAGGAGATTGTTGACGTCCATTATTTGATGTTTCACTACCACGACGCATGGATCGCCGCATACTAATTCCTTCTGCTGCGGGTCTAGCACGTTTGAAACTAGTATCACTATCACCTGATGATTTACGTCGAAGAGGAGTTGGTGTGACCGTCGGAATACGCCTTTGAGAACGAGGTGAAGAAGCGGTGGCAACAGCACCTTGAATAAGTCGTAGATGTTGATTCTCAGCTTGAGAACTTGATCGAATTTCACCAACAGGAAGGGATGCAGGCCTTTGCTTCTTCTGAAGTGTTCCATTTTGTATCGCTTCTTTTGTTGAACCAGGCCCTCTCATCGATTTTCTCATTTGAACATCTGATTCTGCGTGAGGAGGTTCTGAGCGTAAAGATGATCGCATAGTTGTTTGAACGTGGCCATTAGGACCTGCCTTTGACCCTGGCTGAACCATGTAATTCCTTTCATTATTGCCTTGCCTGTCAACTACTGGCAATGAAGATGCTTGCATTGTTTGCATAATAGGAGAAATAGGCGATTCTATCGTTACTGACTTCTTCTTCGCCTTCTTTAACTTTGGAGCTGGCTTTTCCTCCTCTTCAGTGTCTCCTTCGGCATCTGCATCTCTTTGTGCCTCTAATTCCAATTGCTTTTTTCTGTCCACTGACAGGTTCGTCCAATATTGCTGAGCTTTTTCCCATCCTTCTTCTGGATCGGGTTCGCTACTTTTCCTTTGTAATTGGCTTGACATTAACGCTCTTTCTTTCGTCGATCTCGCAGTTGGACTATCCGGGATAGAAGCGTCAGATGCTAGGACGGCCGGCTTCATTACAGGACTTTCTACCACAGCATCCAAGGACATGAAACCGCCGTCATTCGTTTCATCAAATTCTTCGGCAGCATCACTATAAATGCTTTCATTCTCAGAACCCTCCTCTGACTCTTCGAAAATTGGTGTAGGATGAATTGCAGAGTTTTCTCGTGTATTATCATCGAATTCCGGAATATTAGAGTCATCAGTCTTTGATTCCTTAATAGTAGCCGAGCCAACCGGACCGCTCTCATTATCAATGTGAAAACCCTCATCTTTAGTCTGATCCTCAGAAGTTGAACTAGAGCCGTTTGAATTCGGGAAACCGCCAGGTATATCCAACCATTCTCTGGACTTCGTAATTTCAGGGTTGGGACTAGGAATTTGAACGGAAATTTCCGGAATATTTTCATACATGTCGTGATCATCAAATTGGTCTTTCGTTGGACTTGCCAAGTCTCGGTATGTGTCAACATTTCCGTCTTCAGGTCCAACTTTGACACTATTACTTCTAGCAATGCCAATGGTGTTTGTATCCATGCTATAAGTGCTGCTAGCATCTGAAAGCTGCCCACTTCCTTCCACAGATGTCACATCAGGAGGTAAAGGCTCACGAGATTTCGAGATATTCGCTGCATTTTTTGAAGTCGCATCTTGAGCGATTACTGCACCTGCTACATGATCATTCGATTTTCCCATGGAAACTTCTGACATGTCTCCCATTTGAGATGCGGGCCGCGGCGATGCAGGAGCTTTGACGGGGGCAACAGTGTCCACTGGCTTTGATGGTCTGACTAAAGGTCTTTCCTCTGTCTCTCGTGGATTTTTTCTTTCCCTCACGCTTCCAAATGATGGGAGAGCCGGTCTTGGTTTCATTACTTCATCATCATCGTCATCATCCGTAGCGGGCATATCCTTCTTTTTCCCACGACCAAGGTTAAACCAACCACGCTTAGTTTGTGGACTAGCAGCAACAGGTGAATCAGAAGCAATTGCTGTCGATTGACCTAAAACCATGTTACCACCATCATCAAAGCTTACTCTGTTTCCTTTCTTTCTTGGTTGGTCTTCATCATTGGACGCTTCACTAGGTCGAAGGGAAGCTCCATCAGAAGGTGATGGCCCTCTGAGTTCAACCGAGGACACAGAAGAATGTTTTAAAGCAGATTTTCGAGGAGATACAGATCGTGCAGGTGGCTGATGTCTAACCATCAAGGTTTCGGGGGTTGCCATAAAATGCGGAGTTCTCGCAGGACTCACAGATTGCACGCGGCCACCACGAGGAGATTGTTCATTTATTATAGGGGCGGGTACAGAAGTCATTGGGGGTTGACTTGCAGATCTGGTATGTTGCAATTCTTCTGAATTTGCCGGTGGTTGTGCTCGTCCGTGACCTCTACCAGCAGCCGATTGAGGTAATGGTGATGGAGAAATAGTTCGTGGAGGTTCATTCCAATTAGCTGAAAGGCCTCCTTGTCCACGGCGCAATGGAGAATCATCCTCTTCTTCCTCCCTTTCTCTATCTTCACGGACGACGGATGGCTTTTTCACTAACAACGCGCCTGCTCGAGTTTTGTAATCATATGTTTGAGATGACGCATCACTCTCATCGGCGGATGAATTTGGTAGAATTGATGCTTGGTCACTATCAGAATCGTTGATAATAACCCTCTTCTTTTTCTTCTTCGGTGGAGCTGTCACTGGAGATGCTTGTTGGGTATATGATTCTGAAACAGGTCTGGCCTCAGAGTCTTCCCAAGGACTTTCGACTTGTGCTGATGGGGATTTTGGTATAGTGGTATTTTTTGATATAGGCTTCGATATTGATTGCTGAGTAGCTTGTGGTATTGATTGTCGAGTAGGTTGTGATATCGATTGCTGTACAGTTGGTGTAGTTGGTGTATTCGATGTTTTTTCCATTGCATCCACTGCCGTTCCTTTTATCCTCCCACCCACCGTTCCAGCCGCAAGATGTGTACCTTGCGCTGACGGTGTTTTCTTCTTCTTCTTCACTGGTGCATTAGCAATTCCATTAAGTCTTTGCTCGATGGCTAGAATATCTGCCAGCGGTAAGAAACGCCTTGTATTAGGATCGTATACTAAATTTTGGTTATTTGGCGAAACGATTCTAGGATTTACACTTGAGTTTTGATGACATGTTAGCCGTCTTTGTCCTTCAGGAGACATTGGCCTTGTATTCGTAGGGTAAGAAAAATTGACGGACCCTCGACTCTCCCCATTCATCCCAGATACACTTGATACACTTGGGTTTCTTGGACCCATCCCTAGCGATGCTGTCGCCGATGGCCCTAGACTTGAACCACGCCCACCAGGTTTGGTTGGAGGTGGTGAAGCGATTCTTAATCCTGGTGCATCCATACTCGCAGATCTCCGTGACGATTTACCACCAGCTGTGTTTATATCCTTTGGAATCGCAGGTACTGGCGGCGCATCATGCGCACTAGGAACTGGTGAAGATCTAGATGGTGATGGATCACGAAAAGTCCGTTCAGTCATCGAACCGGAACTTCCTCTTCTCACAAGGGCAGATCCTGGTGGACCACGTACGGAACCACCAACAGAACTTCCAGCAGAAGAGGTTGAACCGTTTCTCCGAATTGTTCTTTTCGTCTGAATATCTGCCACAGAAGTAGGTGTAGTTGGTCTAGATCGTAATGCGGCGGCTGCTGCAGCGGATGACAAGGAAGTATTCGATGCTCGAGATGATAGAAATGCCTGAGCCGCGGCGGTCGCGGCAGATGCGCTGACGTTGGAATTAATTGGCTGTAAAATCAAAACTTGTTAGCATTTGTTACATTTGTGGCTGCATGTCTTCTCAAAAGATCCCCGGACCAATGCGATCAAGCTGTCGCGCAACATTCACAACTTATGATTCCGTGGGACGTATGTTGGATGGGATGCAAATAACGTACCGGGTTCGAACTCGTTCTTCTCTTTCTATTCCCAAACATACTGATCGTCGTAGGCGTAATCGCCTTTTAAAACCTCTGCCAACTATGGGCTAATGAGGATAATATCGCATTGAGAAAATGATGTAGAAAATGGAAACGATGAGTTTCTCCCTTTTCTTGATGCAAGTAATATGACGATCCTGTAACACCACTCACTGCAAGATGCGTGATGATGACTGGTGGTGTAGGCGAGGAAATTCGGAATCACTGGGATGTTTTGTATCTCTTGTACGGTGTTTGGTTGACTTGATTTGTGGCTGATGAATGCTTGTATGCAGGAAAACAGTGGATTATGGATCTCTTTTGGCTTTTTATCGGGCAGTAGGTAAGATCAAGATCGTTAATGGAGAGTTATTTTGATGCTTGAAATGGATTATGGGTGGATACTGAGGATATGGACTGCGGCAATGTGGGAGAGGGAGAGCGAGAGGGAGAGGGAGAGGGGAGGATGAGGATCAAAATCAGGGAGTATTTAATGGGATTCTTGAGTTGTAGTGGACCTTCAAGAGAGACGAGGTCTAAATAAAGTTGTGTACAAATACGAATATTGTATACGCAGTACATAGGTAGGTACATATATTGTGAAGACCGAAATGAAATATTCCAATAAAGTTGCAAGTTATTATAAAAGTGTATTTAGTACATAGATACAATACAGCAGGTAAAATAAGTATGTATATTCGTGATAGCCGCCGCGAGGAAATAGTTTCAATGAATTCATTCCATTTTTATAAAAATGTCGCAAATGAAATTTTCATCTACAAAGACAGAGCAGAGAGGAGGTAAAATTGCAAATATTTCTATGTTTATACGACCCGCCAGCACCAGTACAGATTGACATCTCATCTCTTCACCCATCCATCCACTCATTTATTCATCCATTCAATCACTACCTACCTAATCGTGGCAGCTGAAGAGCGAAAGCCGGATATGAGTGAGTCCTCCCCATTACCAATCAAACAAGAGTTCCAACCCCAACCGCATGCATCGATCTGCTCAACATAGCATTTTCAAACTCCACTTTGTATCAGCCGCTTTCTTTGAACTTGTCCATATAAGCTGAACATCCCAAGATCTATGTGGAACGCTCGAATGCATTTTCACCATGATCAGGTACTTGGTTGTTTACATGATTCAAAGATCGAAGTTTATATACAATTCCCTTCCTTGTCTTTACCAGCAAGTTTTGATGATGTGAGTCCGTGAGTTGAGCTAGATTTGAGACGGCTTGAAGGGTCTTTTCCAAGGTTTCTTCTAGATTTATTAATGCGATCCTAGGGAATTGGTAGAACCCGAGAGAAAAGAAGCTTTGGAAGGATGTTACACAAAAACGATAGAGCGTTACTCCGTACTACCGGTATTCATTCACATGAACGTTACTCCGTAAAAATGGCAATTCTCATATATCCTACCCCATCAAGATTTTCCATTGAAACACCGGTTGCTTGATACACGCATGATGTTTGGATAGACACATGGTGGGATTAAAATATCATAGATCGGTCTACGAAACAACCATCACGGATAAGGATCAACAAACCATATCTCGGTCACCAAAAGACCCGTTCTAGCCACACTTTGAAAGGACTAGTCCGGAGGATGTAACGCATTATGACGTAGTTATCACATTGACAAATTTATTGTATTCATTTGCCTCACAGCTTGAGAACTTCTTATTATCGAATACTTAACTAGATGGGCAGCGAGAGAAACAATTATAAATTTGTTTCCTCAATCCTGAGCACTAGTACTAACATCACATATCACGATACATATTAAATATCATAAAAAATGTGAAAATCCCCATCATGTGGAATTAAAACCCGGTAAACCAAGAAGCTCTGGCCACCACTTGGCGATTTGTGTGCATTTTTTTTGGATCTACGGAGGACCGAGGATGTCGTTCGTGGATCCACCTCTTTCCCCCCCATTAATCATACTCAGTATCACTACATATTTTAGATATGAACAATTGAGCAAAGAAATATACATTATATACTAACTTACAATTTCGAAAGTCATGGCCACAAATCATTCTCCTCTAAGGTTAAATAATCTTCCTTCCCATTCAACATCAACAATGAGCACACCCACACCCCTCCCTCCCCTTCCCCTCCCAGCCGGAATAACATCAACCTACATCCCCACCCCCAATCTACACTACCACATCCTCCACGCCGGGAACCCCTCCCATCCACTCCTCCTCCTCCTCCACGGCTTCCCCGAACTCGCCTTCTCCTGGCGTAAGATCATGCCCCTCCTCGCCGCCGAAGGCTATCACGTGGTAGCCTACGACCAACGCGGATGCGGAAGAACCACTGGATGGGATACTCGAGCATTCTCCTCCGTTGATTTAAATTCCACAACGCTTGTACGACTTGTGCGTGATGCGGTCATTTTGGTTAATGCATTGGGTTATAAAGATGTGAAATGTGTGCTGGGTCATGATTTTGGGGCTGTGGTGGCAAGTTGGTGTGCTTTGATTAGACCGGATTTGTTTAAATCGTATATCTTTCCCTCTTTTCCTTTTTCTGCTTCTTCTCTTCATTTTTGGAATATTGGTCATATGTGATGTAGACTATCCTAACGTCAATCTAGAGTTGTAATAATGTCACATCCCTTCAAAGGATCCCCTGCCCTCCCCACCAACACCCCCAACCCTAACCCCGCCGCCCCATCCCCAACCGAAGACATCCACGAATCCCTAGCCAATCTCCCTCCCCGCAAACACTACAAATGGTACTACTCCACCCCCACCGCAGCCACCGAAATGGACAATCCCAAATCCGAGCTCCTCCCCTTCCTCCGCGGCTACTTCTACCTCAAATCCGGGCACTGGCCCACCAACACCCCGCAGCCTCCTGGAGCTCTTCCGAACTCCAAAATCTCCCTCCCTACTACATCATGCCACTCCACTCATCCATGCGCGAAGTTATCCACCAAACCATGAAAAATGAACCCTCGTCCGCATCCGATGATTCCCACGTCCAAAAATCCATGAGTAACTGGCTCAACGACGAAGAATTAACCGTCTACGTAGATGAATATTCCCGCACTGGTTTTCAGGGAATGTTAAATTGGTATCGTGTTACTACCGATCCGTACTGGATGGAAGATACTGAGGTTTTCGCGGGGAGGAAAATTGAAGTTCCGTTGTTGTTTGTAAGTGGAGAGAGGGATTGGGGTATGTTTCAAGAACCGGGGGTTTTGGAGAAGATGCATGATGTGTGTTTGAGGTTTAGGGGGGTGGAGGTGCTAGAGGGGCGGGTCATTGGGTGCAGGAGCGGGGGAAGTGGCGGGATTGTGGCGAGGTTTTTGAGAGGCGTTAAGTGGGAGGGTGTGGCTTATTGATTTGGAGGTGGTGGAGGTGAGGATTGGGGTTTGGTTGGGGTGGGGGTTGGTTGATTGTGGGATTGTGGTATCTTTCTGCTTGGTATGGATTCTTAATATTTGGCGCACATTTTAAGGGGTATCGACTCGAATTGTTTGTGTTGTGGGACTTTGTGGATCCCATTATGTGATATATCTGCTATATCCGGACTATACATAAGAGTATGAGAATCCAAATCATATTTACTCGAATCAATTTACCACCCTTATACTTCTCTCATCCGAAATCACTAGACAAACACTTTCTTCCTCCATCATTACCTAGGTATTCAAGGGGTATACGAACCTAATATCCGCACAACTCCTCATCCTTGGTTTATTCTCGTCTAAGATTAGTATATATTTTTCAACTCGCTTCTAACACTATAACAGCTACAATTAGGTACATAATACCTATTTCACAACACTAAACTACTTCCCCATCTCACCAAATAAAGTATTTCTCCCCTCTGATTTTCCTATATAATTCTCTATCTAACTAGGAAAAAAAGGATTGGGTGGGGAGAATACCTGTTCACATCTTTCAAGTAATTACTCCAAAATATTATTAATAAATGACACCTAGTTTTGTATAGTCTTGTCATTCTAATCTTACATGTAGAAATTTAGAGATTTAAAGGTTTATGATGTTTTGATGTCGTGATTTGAGGATGGAGCAGGGGGTTCTGTTAAATTTTAATGGGATATAGAGGGTTTGAGTAGGTGATGGAGTGATATACTAATTAAATATCTACACCACTTCAAGAAGAAACCCGAAAATGAGGTATCACGTAGCAAGATCCTGCTTCCTGACGGATAGAGTTGGAAGTATTCGCATATGTGTTGGTAGTTCGTATTACAGAAGTAGAAATAATTACGATGTGGATCGGATATTTCAGTACGACTTACCATCTAATATCCATACCGTACTCTCAGTTTGGGAACTCAAAAGTTATTCATTCTTTGTAAGATTACATGTCACCCAAAAGTCTAGTGTGTTGCAATGCACTCGCTATTTTCCTATCATTTCTTTTCTTGTTCTTCTTCTCCTTATTCTTCTCCTGGAGTGCCCTTTATCTTTGTGGTTTATAGAAAAAGCTTTCTTTTCCTAGATTCCATCATAGGCTGACTATTGATAACCAACGTTGCAAGAAAGTCCATCACCCAATAAGTCAAAACCTTTGGTGATAAAGCGAATACTAGGATGAGCAAATCCTACGTGGAATTCGAAGAATGTTGTTAAAAAGTATTTACAGCAATGATTATAAGAAGTGGAAAGGCCAGTATTTGGATTTACAGCTTCGTACCTTTGGCTTTGAATACATGTTCCTAAAAAAAAAATTTAAAAAATTCCAAAGAAAATCCAAGAACAGATTCTTTTTACGGCTAAATAATGAATCTTTTTGGCTGTCAACACAATTCCATATTTAATCTTGCCCTCCCCTTCTGCGAAAATAGATTTTCCTTACGGATAAGCCTTCTAAATGTTTAAGGTCAAAAGTAAACAAATCAATCACGTATTCGCGAAGTTCTTTTGTTCGGGTCTGACTGAGATTTGGGTGGAAAAGTGTCAGCTCTCAACCGTGAAGTACACAAAAAAAGCTTCTTCTTCTGAAATGGAGGCCAGTTAATTATCACTAACGATCATGGCTCTAGAGATTTATGGCCTGTATCTAAAATACATTTATAGGTTGATATGAAACACCGACTTTGGTATGGAGTAAGGTAATTTTGGGTTTGTTTTGATAACCATACTGTCTTTTATTGCGAAATTACTTCGACACTCTCGAAAGCGTGCAAATTGCGAGTATCAAGTTCATCATCATATGTCACCGACATACATCCCACAATTTGGCAGATCTCTAAAATAATTGCAAAAATAGTCATTCGATGATTCTTGCATTCGCACTTCCTTTATTCGTCGTATGCGACTTTCCTTCTGTTTCCAAATTTTGGATGGCGATATTCTACTTGAATATGTAATGCTAGAACAATGATGAAATCGTATGTATAAGTCAACTTTCAACCACAGAGCTGTCATGGGAAAGACTGGTTGAAAAAAAGCGTTCTTGCATCTATTGAAAGTAAGTGGAAAAAATATGGAATTGTAATGAGGGTATCGTTAATTTATCATCCAAGCAAGAACGTAAATTGAGAGAGATCAACCTCTTCTCTCCCGGGTCAGTGTTTCTGTGTCTTTTTACAATCTCACTCTCTTGGTATTTTGGGACTCTTTCAATTCTTTATCGACTGCAAATAACAATCATATCGCTTGAGGAGTAAAATTCTCTTGGAAATGTTGCATCATGGAACTTTCCCATTTCAAAGATCAGTAATGGTGATTTCACCAACGAGCAATTTCAGATATTCTAAGAACTAACAGGGTGTAAAATCACTATTGACCGTGTATATGAATAGAAGGTAAGGCTTTCAATGAGCAGCTAGAATGATATGATAATACATGAGGATGGAGAAAGAGACGTTGAGGAATGTATAGAGAACAGGTCCGAAAATGGATTCGTGTTGAATATAGCAGTTTGTTCGCCACCCGGATGACAATTGCCCACAACTTGGTGAATAATATCTGTTTGATGACTCGAATACGAGCCCTTTAAAGTCTAATAAACATGGAAACACTAGTTGTGCTACGGTGAAACATCCGATAGGCTTGTGTACTTTGTATACGTTGACTAGACATATAGTACAAGGGCAGTAACCAGAAGTAGACGAGTATCATGGAAGAATATTGAAAGATTATATACTACATGAACTCGGGTTCCTCGTGACTCAATATGACACCTAGTGAAATAGTAAGGTCATCTGATTTTAGGCGAGGGCGATCACTCGGCCCAATAGCACAGCTGCACTAGCATCTGATACTTCCATTCAAATGACAGAGTTAAGAGTGTTCCAGTTACTCTTCGTATAGGAGATTGATTCAACATCTCTACTACGTATACATCGTATGATAGAGTAATAATGCCTGGCTTGCATGTGCAATCGGAATGCTCATCTCATGTACTAACTATGAGCTAGCTGTCATTAAGCAAATGTTTTGCTGACTTGATTCTAATCTGACAGTATTTCCAGGACAAGTTGGAAATGTGATGTGCATAATGGACATGCCAGTTGCTATAAATATTAATAATTACGTAGACAGCCGAAACCCAACACAACCCTCGCGTACTTAGGGAGATACTTATTGTAATGTGATATGGGAAGCGATCAGGTGTGCCAAGCATTTTATCGAGGTAAGCCACTAAAAAATAGGCTTCACACTAAGCAAGAGCCATTAAATGATCATTACCACTTACGACATCGTCCCGAATGACAACAAGACTGAATACCTAAATAATATCTCCAACTCGACAATATAATTACATTTACACTTATGCTTACAATTACAATTAGACTTCACAATCACGATCAAATTCCAAATCTATTGTAAGCAACACTCTAGAATAATCGCCTGCACAAGCATCTACTGCATTGCGAAATCTTTATATTCTATCGGAATCGCGCGATTGTCGAACCCCCACAATGTCCATAACCATCACAACCACCACAGCCCCTTCATTCCTCAACCTTCCTTCCGAGCTCCGCCTCAAAATATGGTCTAACCTTCTCCCCGGCCCTCGTACCCTTCCAATCCGCTATTCTCGAGTCAATAAATCCTATTTTACTCTTATCCCCCCTTCAATCCTCCTATCCATCTCCTCCGAAACCCGTACTCTATTCCTCGAACACTATGTCCTCCTCAATCTCAATCCCTCCTACAACTCCACAATATACATAAATTTCTCCCTGGACACGCTTTGTTTTGATCACGAAGAATGTTCAGCGGTAGGAGATTTGGCTTTGGATTTTAAGAATTGTCCGCAGAGCAGTTTAATTCAACGGGTGGATATCGATGTGCACTTATGGGAGATCTTAAGGTTATTTCGATTCGATGCTCTTTCAGAGATTAAATATTTACATGGGTTGCGGAATTTGACGTTGTTTATGAGGCGGTATGAGGAGGAGCAGCAGTGTTATGGAGAAGCTTTTGAGAGGAGTAGATTGGCGAGGAGTAGGGAATTGCTGGCTGGCAGGATGTTGTTTGAGGGACAAACGACGGACAGAGAAATTTCCCAGTGTCAGTGGTATGTACAGATGGTAAAGTGGGAGGTGGAACATGGCGAGGATGAGTGGATTAAAGGGAAACCGAGTGTGCAGATGTGGATAATATGAGGGGAAGGAGTTTCATATGACGAACACGAATAATGGAATTGGAAATTTCTCCAATGGAGCTCCGCGTCTGGACGTTCACCTCATCACCGGGTCGTCCGATTGCGTGCTGTAGCATTCTCGTGTTTGCTTTAACCCATTACTTCCTGGATTGATGATATCTATGTTATTATCACGGACGGCATTCATTTTGGGTAAATTGGACTCACAAAGTACGAGAGGGCTTGTTTGAATAATGTTTATCTAATAGAGGATGACTTGATAGAAGTGAGCGCTGGGTGTGGTGTCCTAGTGGACACCTATAAACATGGCCTTCAGCTCAATTCCATGTATAGTAAGACCTCATTATACGGAGCTAAAAGTTTTGTTTAATTAAAATTCGGTATCAAGAGATATCTGAAAGATATTCAACAGCAATATTAATATTGTATAATGATCTAAGTTTCAATTTTGATATTTTCGAAAACAATTGTGTAATGATTCCTTGTTGAAATAACAAATTTTTATTTTTACCTCAATTTATATCGGATTTGATGCTTCAAAGTCTACGAATAATGATTACAAATAAGAACCAGAAGAGTCAGTTATGCATGATATAAAGAGGCAATAAGTCTAAAAAAGAATCAAATATTGTCCAACGAATGACCTGTGTGCGGGTAGCGCCAAGAACCCAGACTCTTTCATCACAGGCCAGGATAAGCGAGTTCCAATGTGTAACCCATCATCTGTCTAATCGTCCATGCATCTACCCTTTCCCCCACGTTCCTTCCTTCTGCTCCCACGCTTGTCACATCAATGGGTCACATGACTAATTTCGTCTCCATGATTAACCTACCTAGATTACTCCATCCGTACATTAATTCCTCCATCATGATATCAAACTCACATTCTAACCGTAACGGCACTCTGCTATCGAATGCCCGGGAACCTTTACATTTGATAATTGACCATCAAAATGTGGAGTTAGTTAGTTCATGCGCTGTCATTTTACTCGATTGCTGATGGAAAGAATATAGGAAGATATGATTACATGATACATTCCTGCAGCTCGCGCTATACTTACTTCATTATTGAAGGAAGCTAGTCGCCCCTTATATTCCTATACTAAATAAGTGGCTACACTATGGCTTTATCGAGGACCCACACGAAGAATTTTTGATTAAGGAGCAAAAGAGTATCAGAAGAGAAAGGCTGGAAGACGATTATATGGACGAATACTGGGACCGTAGGTACACTATCAGGGATGAAATTCCACCTCAGCTAGAATCTTTCAAGGAAAGAGTTCTGTTAGCCGGGAAATATCTAAATGTGGTGCGTGAATGTGGAGGGATAGCTTCGAGCAAAACTACTCGAAATCTTCCACAATCATTTTCATTGATGATGTTCGGTTTTCCGAGAATATCAACAACGCCTATGCACACGCGAACGAATCATTACTTAAATTACTACTCACAACTCACTAATTGCCTGCTAGACTGCGGTCAATGAAACATTATTTTATGCTTGACAGATCGCATCTCCTCACCTCCTTTCTCGAGCTAGGAGCATCTGAGTTTCGAAAATCAATCGATAAGATCAATATGAGTAAGGCAGAATCTCTATTGGATCTTTTTTTTAGATCAGTCGGGAGCTACTCAAGATGATTTTAAGGAAGATCTTCGGGTTGAAATGAACTCGATTAGTCTCATTGATTCTTTGAATCGAGTGGTTAGTATCTCCGGAATGGAGCAAGGTGAAAGTCTTGAAGTACCTACTACTCAGAAAAGTGAGAGTGAACGGATACCTATTGGATTTACATCACTACAGCTAGATTAATCGGTGCCATTCCCCGTCTCACTAGTCATCAGCCGGAAAACAATCTGGAGGTACCAAGTGTTATTCCGATTTCTACTCTCGTTACAATATCTAGAGCGACATTTGTTAGGGAGCTGCAATCTCAGAATAAAGGTGCTGGGTGGTCACATAAAACATCGAATAAGGAGATTGAATATTGGAAACGCCGCGTCTTCATTTTACGAGCCCGAATGCTAGTTTTTGTTCAGCAACTTTTGAATTTCTGTACCTCCGAGGTGATTGAGCCGAACTGGCAAGTTTTGATGGCTAAACTAGAATCAAATGGCTTAGATGGTTCGGAACTGGCTGTCAAGACGGTTGACGAGCTAATGCAGGATCATGTCAAACTTTTGGATACTTGTTTGAAGGAGCGTATGCTTACTAATAGTAAACTTTTGAGGGTATTTTTCGTGGTCGAGGAGCCTGAGCTAAGCTAACCCTGTGGACAGAGACACTCTAAACTTATACAAACATGTACTCATTTCGCTTCATTTACAGGCCGTCTATCCAAGGAGTTAGGGAAGTTAGACCCAGATCTACCGGGACCCAAGCGACCAGCAGCTATGTGCAAACTGCAATGGGAACGCTTTCAAATTGAAAAATCCCGATCTACTCCGGACCACCACCGTTCGTCTGCAGCAGATGAATCCCCACTATTCGATAAAATGCGCGATTTGATGGATAAATCCGAATATAGCTTTGGGAAAGGTCTTCAGAGCTTCATCGATGCATTAAATCATTTTGCGGCGACGGAAACTGTTGTTTTCCTAGGTATTTGTGCAAGATTAAGTACGGTGAATCAGGGGACGGAATTTAGTGGGTTGAGAAATGAAGAATGTGGGGAGGATTGATGTAGAGGTCTGAAATTCTGGATAAGCATATGTTTTCCACATTTGCCAATCCTATGGCTGCCGATGACTGAAAGTATTGGATTGGCAAACCTTCGATGTGTGGGGTTAGTCGGAAGGACAATTTGACTTATAACCTCAATGATTCGGTCGAAGTGGTTTTTAAAGTTGCGAGATATTTCACTTGTCTTATAGCAAGAGAAAAGCACACTTTGGCTTCCCTAGAGCTTACAGAAGATACTTAGCCAGCCTTGTGGTTTCCGGGGCTGTATCGAATGCAAGCTAAGATCTCGACGCCCCAAATCCATTCTAAATGATCACCCAACAAATCCGATGCTTAGTCTCGCTTTCTTTACATGCTCGCTCCTCCAGATTCAGGCAATCCATATCCTAATTCACGAATAACAACTTTGCCTTCGAAAATCATGCTCCGCGACTTGTCAGGCTAAGCATGGAAGCTCGTCACAGGGACAAGTAAGACGTCGATCACACTCAGCTACATGGGTTTCCTCTATTTGGATTCTGTCCTTCCTTGCTTCCCGGCATCTTGCAACCCGAAAGCCTTGATGACCCTGAGACCCAATCTTGGCTGACTGCATTATCAACTAATCGTTTATTTTCCCGTTGATTCCTTTAACCTCGGTAGGCTGAGCAAAGGCTACGACTACTAGGCTTTTTTGTGTGGTATTAGTAAAGGTCGTAAGAGCTCGATATCACATCAAGGATTTGTCTATCAATCTGGGCTTTGGTTTCTAGAAAGGCTGAAAGAACGATTCGAGATGGGTATGCGACGATGAACTAGAGGACCCATATCGCTAGCGTCTTCGGTTATAGGAGGTCTTTGCCTCCGGGGAAGTGTGAAGCGGTAGGTCTCGGGTTTTATACGATAGCCTCAGATTGAGGTTGGGGGATAAGAAAGTTTCTGTGTTTGATGAGATGATGTATGGGTTTATATAGACAATTTAAAGATTAATAAATTATTGGATGAGGAAGAGATTTGTGATTCCAGCAGATAATAAATATTCTCTATAGAATCAAAGTCTTCATAATAATTATATTCAATTTCGCAATTGTAAGATTAATAAAGAAGTGATGGTGCCATGAAATATATACTGTAATGTACATTCAGTCACGTTAATAAATACTTTTGACTAGATATTAAGATCTTAATCTTACAATTACAATTCTTTCACCTCATTGTTTGTTGTTATCCGACTCATAAGAGATTAATTAAAAGAAGAATTATATATATTATTAATTTAAAGAATGCTAGGTATATTAAAGTCTTATTATTTGATGAATATAAATAAATCTTCTTTTATATTTAAACTTAAATATTTTTCATTAATAAACAAAAATCTGCCTCGGGTACCAGTTGTACAGCTTAGGCGCCAGCAACGTGGACAGGAACATTTGACGGCATCTTTTGAAGAATCCTCGAATTCCGAATTTATTATTGTTCTGATATTTGCTATGATGACTATTGTTATTGTTATTATTATTATTGTTACTAAATGTATAGTCCTGAATACTTTGTTAATAAATATCACCTTGAAGTAAAGATCTTTGATTATAAGTTGATGAGATGTTTGAGACTGTATATTGGAAAACGGTTTTAGCAGATACGTAAAGAAAGAAAATTTGAGGTGTTCGAGTGGTATAGATTGAACAGAGGGTAATATGTATAATATTTCGAGAGTGACTGTTTCTTAGTATGGATTTTATATTTTAGTTATCGATTGTTCAAAATTGGATTATGTATAATTATTAAGAGGAATGTTTGGTGAATGGCTTGTGGATGGATAAAAACAAAGATTCATCATAGGACTACATGCATATGGCTGTGTCTAGTATATAATTTCATAAAATTTATATAAATAAGACATCAGATAAACATGAAATCTTTAAGATTACTAAAACATAGTGCCGTCCTTAAAAAACATCATCACCTCAAGACACTTGGAAATGCTGAGAAAAGGCAGATAATAGCTCAATATGTGGGCGGTTTCTTTTGGCACTTGATCCTCGAGCTGCCTCGATGCATATAAAAGCATAAATTGGGCAAAAATCATAATTTTAGAAAACCAAATATAACATTAAAAAAGAAAACTCATACAAGCCGTAGTAAACTGACGCAAATATCTATGGAGCATGGTGATTCGTTCCTATATTCTCTCAAATGAAAAGTGCGTTTGTGAAATGTAAGATTACTATAGTACTCATTGATTATTTCTTCTGATCGGGTGTATGTGTTTTGACTGCTTTACGCGGAATCTTCTATCAATCTCAAATCTTACTAGGAATTTGGACTTGTCAGTAATCTTAATTCAAAGAAATAGACAAACATCAACGACACTACAACATTTTGTTTATGATACATCTGCGGTGATCCACCGCAATATGTATTCGAAGCACTCTTCTGACGTTTCAAAATGTTGGAAATTATCGTTCAATACTTGATACCCTCTCTAGTATCAATCTGACCCAGCTGATCGTCGGGACCGAGTAAAGGAGAAATATCAACTTCCCGCTTAGGAAGTTAGGAAGTCATCTACTCCTCGGACCACTTCTGTGAAGCAACATGGGAACTAAAAATTCTCGGCATATCAACGGTACTCGTACTCGTACTCCGTACAGATAGACTTGATCTCCTTGAAGTACCGCCAAGACTTTCGGTACCGAAACTCTGCGAACAATGCAATGCGGGGCCGTGCACCCACAATTATTCTCGCGTGGAACTTCAAATGCCCCCCTTATGCTTATATTATAATTATTAGATTCGTAATGCATTACGATGATACGACGATGATGTTCTTTAGCGGTATTATCCGCTTTGCGCAGTTGGATTAACTTCTAGGTTAAGTGTCTCTGCAAATCTGAATTGTCCGATTGTTGTTGCTTCGGACCCATCGTTTCGATGTGATGTGCAGTGATGGTGATTTTTGTCTCTGTATCCGGATGACTAGATATCTTGCACTGAAGTATGCATGCGGTAGAATGTAGCAGGGGCATACGTACTACCTCTACTATGATAAATCTGACCAAAAGCAGAGGATTAGCTAGGGTTTTCAGAAACTCACTCCTTCCATGCCCTTGAATCTGCAGATACAACCCAGTGATTTTCTTTGTTTGAATGCGGCATATCCACAACACCCCAATCATTACGCTCGTTCCAGCACATAGTCTGCAAGGTACCTACAGAATGCCTCCAGCCAAACTGTCGAATAGGTTAAAGCTTCAAGTATAAGAACTTCTAATCGTTCCTACTTTTCTCGCCGTTCATCCAGTCAGCCATTAGCTCATCTCTTGTAAACACCATATTTCGAACTTCCATCGCACCGAATAATCATAATGAAGATCTCGCTTACTACCCTCCTCGCCTCAGGTTTGGCCTCAATTGCCTTAGCTCAGGATACAACCTGTAGCACTTCCAGCCTCAACACTACAGCCTCCACTTGGACTGTCGCAGAAACCGATACCATCTTCAGCATCGCTACCGCCACCAACCGTGGTGTTTGTGATATTGCACGTGCTAGCAGAATGCCCGATGCTGAATACATCGATACTGGTATGGTACTTATTATTCCCGCTCAAGTCTGCAATCCCGACAACGAATCCTGTCTCCTCACTGCCTCAAACGATACCACCTCATGTGTATATGGAGGACCTCACACATACACTACTGTGCGTAATGATACTATCACCAAGATCGCTACGAAATTCAATGTTGATGTTTCGGTGCTCTCAACCAATACTATTACTGGCATGCTCAAGGTTTCATCGGTCGATGAGATTATTACCGCTGGGACTGTGATGAAGGTGCCCCAATGCAGCCCTTCTGAGTGTACTGTTCAACCAATTCAGTTCACATATGGTGTGTACAAGGATTTGGCTGAGTATTATAATACTACTGTTGGACAGCTGTTTGGATTCAACACTGGATATCGATACAGTGATTCTGTTGAATCCCTTTCGCCTGTTCTTACGATTCCCATGAATTGCAAGCCGCTTTCCGGTAACATTACTGTTATCTCATAAGCTACTTATGAGTGGAGGAACTCTGAGCGGATTGTGAAGTATATGGGTGGAGAAGGATGTATGTGAGGAGTGTAACTAGCTAATAGGATGATGGTTTTCTTGGGTAATAACGTGGCTTTGCTATTACCATGTTATCATATCCTGATGCATTGTTAGTGATTATTTTGGAGATTTGATGAATAGACTGTACAATTCTGTACTGAGTAGGAATATGATATAGATGTTTACAGTTAAAAAAAAAGTTCACATGCATGCACCTCTCACCGAGGAAATATTCCTTCATCATGCCATGAAAATAAAGTCGTGACTGCGAAACTCTGTGTCTCCCTTCCAATGTATTCGGTTCCATCAAATGACTCAATGTTAGCTTTGCAAAAGTATAAATAGCGAATCAAATTGGTCGTATAATCATGGTCAAAAGTTCGGAAGCGCGAAATTTCTGGCGTGTGCAACCTAGCGATGGACGAAATAAACTGCACACCACAATATAATTCTAACCAAATTATCAAACTCCCAAAATGAGTTATTTTGGTCGGAGATTCCCAATGTGTTTTATCAGATTTATTCTCAAACTGTATGCCCTTTGGAAATTACCTCCCCTCTTCATATCACGGCGGCTGTTTCTAGTTGTGATGCTATTGCATAGAGTCTGTACGAGAAACTATACTTCTCGGAGATCGAATAAATTGTTACAAAAAAATACCATCATGTGTGACTTCATCAAGCTCATTTCATGATGCAGACATGTTTTGATATACTTTTCTAGCGTGGTGCACAGAATAAGAGACTACTCAAGAAGTTGCCCAGCGTTAGTAACAGGACAATCTAGGTAGAGCTCTTTCTCTCCGTGATCTTCAAAGCTCAGAAGTAATCTAGGTCGGACAAGAGTGCTGGGAATTTTCACCCTCAAGCTATACATGCGAGCTGAAAAAAACCATTTGGGGACAGCGGCAAGGTCTGGTGGCTGTAAATCGAATTTTCATGATTGGTGGATGCAACAAATTCTATGAGGTACTTCGGGGTGGATTATAAGGCAGTTCGAGTGCGTAGCAGTGGGTGTTCAGGCCTTTCCATGCAGCTTGGGAGCACTTAGATGCTCCTGCCCGTATGTGATAAGCATTAGAACGCGGGTTACAGCTCAATGTATCGGTTTAGCGATAGGCTAGAAAGAAAAATCGCAAGACAGCTATTTCAGGAGCTTCGTACTCGGTAATATGCGGGGTAAAAGTAGAAGCTATTCACATGTTTTGCTTAGAAGACAGGCGAAGGCCGCTCGCATCATGGGCTGCAGGTTTTCCTGAATGCAGTAATTATCATTCCATGTGTGACTCTCACGGACCATGCATCCCAGATTATTGAGCAAAAGTTGGAATCTGATTCTAGCTAACCATTTGATTAGATTGCCAGGTGCTTACTGCGGGTGTTGCTTGGAGTTTCCTATTAGAAAGAGAAAACGTGACGAATCATTGCAAAGCAATAACAGTCAGTTATGTTCAACGATTTTTGACTGACCCAATAGCCCTGATACAAAACCATTTATTTTTTCCCACCTACAATGCTGACCTATTCAAAAAGGACTTTGCGTATCAACAGGATATTTACTCCGGCGATGACCCTGTTCTGAAAACTGGGTTCTTTCTGATCGTAAGTCTGCTAGTTCGGTCGGGGAAGAATTTTTGTTGACTCAGTCTCAGCCCAAACTTCTCGGACGTTCTTGAACAACGGCAGATGCGCAGCGGAGCACTGCTCTTTCAAGTACTGCAAGACTCTACTTCTACTGCTGAATGACTTGCGCTGATCTGAAGCGTTATCCTTAGCTATCGCACCTCATTTACCATACTCACTGTCTTCGTTAGAACTATTGCCAATGAGTGCAAGCTCGGGCTGGGCAGGCTGGTGCAAGAACGTGAAATGCGGCCATACAACAACGAACATAACAGGTTTCGGTGTAAGGAGGCTGGTTGTCGAAAGCAGTGGAAAATTTGTCTAACTGGAGCCCATAGCAATGCCCAGGGCAAATACGCCATCTGCATCAAATGCGTCAATCATCCTGCAGGCGGACATGACGGGTTTCATAGCTATGTGGACCTGTCATAGCAGTGCAATTATTGATTTATCATTGGTGATGTTGGTGTTCATAGGGAAGGTGATGCTGTTTATATAGTCTTAGAATAAATTTTAGTGTTTGGATCCATCAATGCTCTCCCCTTGTACTGTATGTCTAGAAGACACAAAGTCATACACGTGCACTATCTATCCAGCTGTGTATATTGGCGGCATCTCGGAAGCCGTCTCGGGAGCCGGTTCCGCCAGCACTAATACCATCGTCCAATTCTTCTTCATCCGATTCTTCTAGGTCAAGGTCTATCCATGAGTGCCGGTAAATATCCTGCTCACATCGTGGATAGCCCGTCACTCGCAGCCATTCAAAGATACTTCGCGTTGCTAACTCTGATAATAATTCAGACTTCAGTTCCCCATCCTTCCACGCCTCTGAAACGACATCACCTGAGTTGGCGGATATCTTTGTAAACTCTATCTAGGTGTTAAAACCACGGTCTATGGAGCTTTTCCCATCGACCAGCTCCCAAGACCAACCTAGATATTGCAAGTAATGCCCTGAACACTTTGCGTGCTGGCGAACTTCGATCTCAGTATCACAAAGTAATGTAGTGCCAAACGGCTTCCGAGGACAAACAGGGACTCTCGAATGACCCTCGGCCTCCGTGAGATAGAGTAAACGGCACTCGTCGGAACGAGATATTTCGTTATTACCAATAGCACACCGCGTTGGAGGCCTGGCATTAATGAATGAATGTGTAGTTGATGTCCAAGCACAGGCATGCAGTTCGACAGATAACAATCCATTACGAACGTATGGGAGGATGATTTGTGCCATCCCACTGATAATAGCGCCTAGCCATAGTGACGCAAGTTTGGGTTGGCGTTTACCCATGACCATAGCCAGCGTTCCATAATCGCCTCTTTGAACAATTGGGTCAATGATCGAGAATATTGGTTCTAACCATGGACTAACTAGGTTACAAGAAACCTCGGTATCAAAGAATGAGCCGCAGAGGAGCGACTGCATCCCGCGACAATCACAGCTTAAGGTCATATAGTAAGGCAGAAGTTTACCTTCTTCAAAAACAATCTCTGCCTCCAGTCCTGCCGGTGAGAATGGCGGCGTGCTTGGGCAATTGGAAGTCGGCAGTAATGCCAGAGACATCGCCTTGCTTGGATAGAATTAGGAGTTAATTTTTGGCAACGGTAGCGTCGCAGTCATGTTGCTGAGAAAAGGAAAAGTCAAAGTTGCAGCTAAAGCTGCGGAAGATTGACTGCGAGTATTATGAAGGACACAGAAATCGGAGAGGAACCGTAGGGCCTGCTCGGATGAGGGTGGCATGACTATCTCAGCGGACGATTTTTGATAGTGTGCTGTCCTTCGAAGCTTAAAGCTCCGGGTAGCAGCAAGAGAAATGGACCACGGCGAGCGATATACTTTGCTATCTCGAGTAATTGTCGCCCGCCAGCCTTCACCGTTGGCTAAAATTGCAGTCCACCATCGTGCAGCATCATCATCTATATCACCGAGATCAACCGCAAGGTCATCAGGTAAGCTTCATCGCCGTCGCACGTCCATTTAGCTTGGGAACAAAAATAGCATATCCGGTCATCTTTCTTGGTCGGCGCGGGTTTCGTGCCCATAGACTGTTGCATTTCTACCCAGAGCGCTGATAAAATGTATGCCCAAGCAAATGATATAACTGCGAGGCAGTTACCGCTCGCAGGACTCTTTCTTTCGCCTTGAACCCCGGGCCAATCGTAGAACGGGGAATTGTCCGCAAAACAACACCGTGTTGAACTTTGGAGGCCAAGGAGTAGCTGGTGGTGGTGGTGCATGATCTTCTCTTTAAGAGAGCAGTCGCCTTCCGATACACACCAAGTTGACCATCCGTTGATGTATAGCGCAGAATTGTTGCTGCTCGATTCAGAGTGTCTAAGCTTGAGCCGAGGGGATTCGCAGTCTTTAGAGAAGCCATTCGCTAGGAATGCTGGTACTCTGCCAAGGACGTTTCGAAGTAAGAAGCAGTCTTGTTGGAGCCCATCTTGAGGGTTCGTCTTCGCAGTATAAGATAGCCACGTGTGGTAGCTTCTTACTAGCATGCGTTGCGTGTCCGCTTGGCTTGGTCGAAGAGCATCTTCTCGTACGACCATCTAAGCTGGAACACATTGGTGTTGGTAGTGTTGTGATGAAGAATCCGGGAGCGCAATACACAGACCTTGGATGGTGATAAGAAAAAATAACGCTATAGAATGGAATGTACGAATAAGTTGAATGATGAGGCGACAGGAACACCATAAGGATTGTCAGTGTTATGTCAAATAATGAAATCCAAGTTTCTTTTAAGGCTGATATCACGTGGTCTTGATTCGCTTTGGAAAGGTTCATTTGGCGTCTAACCTAATTAGGTTACCGCCTTCTAGCATAGCTACATTCAATTCGAAAGTACCATAATGATAGAACTCTGCTGAGATGTCTCCTAATTAGGCTTAGGCGTTCAGCTGGCCCGGTGTGTTCTCAGCCGGCCCGTGGATTCTTCTACGCATGTCTCCATCTCCCCGAGATGAAGATCCCGAAATCGATCCGAATAGTGGCCCTCCTTCCTATTTGATCCCGCGAGGGAACACTCATCTTTCCTGGCCTTGTACTGTGACTAAATTTTTCACACAATCCTGCTTATACCCTAAGCATCTATTCAAAATTACTGCCCTGGGCTATCACACAACAAGCACAAATAAGCAAGTTGGCGCAGTGGAAGCGCGCCGGGCTCATAACCCGGAGGTCCCCAGATCGAAACTGGGACTTGCTAACATGTGAATTTTTGAATTTTTGCCTTTTCGATCTATTTCGATGTTCTTCTTTCGGCCAGGAGGTTGGAGAGGATGTTTGCTACAGAACCGGATCTTTTAATTTGCTGAAGATTCTTTTTTTTTATTAAAAAAACGATATCCAAGAAGTGGATACTACCGATAAGAAAACATACTAAGATTAATCTGCCCTTCGGATAATCTTCCCGGAAAATGAGCCGGATCGGGATACACATAATCCGTAAATGCCCCACCCTCCCTGCTTTATTTGCAGCAGCTTCATGATTTGACAGCTACATACATATATATCTTTTACAGAACCCAGCAATCGGAGTTCCAGTAATTATCATTTATTAAAAGAGTTAGAGATATTACGAGTTAGAACTGACTATATCAGTGGGTTTGAAATGGAATGAAACAGACTCACTCAGTAAGAACATGACTCTGGTTCAAGGGATATCAAGTCGAAATGTTTGGTGAAAAGCATTTTATTCTCAAGCCGTCGGAACTTTTCGCCATTTGTTTGAAGAATGAAAGCTCATCACATCTGTACCGTGGGACCAAGTAGTCATGGCTAACGTTTCTATTTTCATCAACCTTCTTATCCTCCCACCCTAAGTACAATTGTAATCCACACACAAAATACCTGTTTTTATCAATACAATTTTGTTTATTCAGCGACCCCTTCCACCACCGACTTCTACCTAATATCACAGTCTATCCTACTCAGTTTATGGTTTATTTGATTACATATCTAAATATGTACTCACTGTACTCACTGTACTACCAAATCAAACCTCCGCTTTACTATCTGTTTGCACATCAGACCATACTCGGGCTATTCAAGGGAAAAACAAAAAAACCGCCAAAAACAAACCCGAAGTCAACTAAAAAGACAAAAGCAAACCCTGAACAAAAAAGAACTCCGCAACCAGAATTCTGCATGAGCTCCAACCTGATATCATCGATGCCTATTCCCAACAGCACCTTGACTTTGAATCACCCCACTCGGCAAATGGAATTCTGGCATGGAAAACAGCAATCCATCCGGTTTTCCGTCGGTCGTTCTTCAGGAAGCAGAATATCACTACACACTGGTCTGTCCCGAGGTTTGCAGTCTCAACTAGAACATTGTGCTCCGCCGTTTGCTTCTTTACTTGTCCAGGTCAGACTTGCATATATGCATTAGACGTAGTCACCCTTGTGCTCCCCAGTCATAGTGGGTGAATTGGGAACAGGGCCCTGTATGGTAGTACCAGTGCCATCATGTATGGGCTCGTCCAAGGCTCCAAGCCCGCATTATCGAAGTATGAAGCCGGCGTCTACCAGATAACTTTCTTGCCGTTGTCAGGTAGGGTTATTTTCGCATACAAGTCGCTGGTTTCCGGGTTACAGTTTTCCCTCTTGATGAGATGAAAGCAGCATGTGCGGGTAGCATAAGTGGTTGGAGGTAGTAGTGGTGAGTGCCGGTTGCCGCAGCTGACGACGTGGTCGCTGTGTTGCTATTTGCGCTACTCTCCGAAATATAATGCTGTATGATCTCTTTGTATATCGCCTCATGGTAAACGAACTTTGGATAAAAATATCCTCGCACGGTAGCCAATGAATTCGGCCAGACGTTAGCCTGGGCTGTATCATTTCCACTGAATGTTTTACTCAGCAGCTGACTCTTTTTGACCTTGAACTAGAAATCATTGAGATTTCAAGAATCCATTCTCTTCCTTTAGAAGATAGAGATACGTCTCTTTTCTCCACGCGATTTTCATTTTCTTCCAGTATGTATTTCTCCTAATGGTCAAGCTTGAAAGTAGGTAATTGTGAGAGCTTCAAACTCATACTCTGAACATATAGTTATCATCTCCGTGGCAAACGGCCCGTTCCAGAGGCATTAAATGCGCAAATCGCCGCCTTTGGACCCCAATTTCTTCCATCATGCAATAGTGACTAACTGCGACAACATGGCTGGGCCATGCAGCTTGTCTCGTGGAATTTCCATCTGGTTTTCGAGCTTTATTTGATCCCGTGTTTGAGGAAAGTTATGGTTGGATGGGACCTAAGCGTTTTACGCCAGTGGCTTGTAAGGCGGAAGATTTGCCAATATTGATGCGGTGTTTGTTAGTCATAATCATCCTGATCACCTTTCATACACAACTGTCATTGAAATTTATCGCATGTATCCGCATGTGCAGTTTTTTGTGGGACTGGGAATGGCAAAGTAGTTTCGTGATTGTAGGATTACTGCGATAACTGAGATGGATTGGTGGGGGTGTTGCGCATGGTATTACAGATGATGAATAATCCCAAAACCAGTCCAGAAAGCATAGAGCCAAAACACGGCAATCAAAGCCTGAAGTCTTCTCCAAAAGCGCATCTCAGTCCGATCTCCCGTCTTTCTAGCCAACATGGCTGAATGCGTACCCCATTCGACTCCAACCACACACTCTGGGCATCGTGGTCTATCACATTCGGCGGCAAATCCGTCTGTTTCGCCGGCGACACACGTTACCGATGCGCCCGACGGAATCACTGAGTTAGAACCCGGTTTCGATATTCTTCCGCGAAACCCGCATTTTGCGCAGATAGGGATTTAAGAGGACCGTTCGATCTAGGACTCATACCTATTGGTGCTTATGCGCCTCGTTGTATATTCCTGTGCATGTAGGGACGTGGGCGTTGACTAGTGAGGAGGTGGATGAGCCGCCGAGGAAATTTAGAGGCGATGGAGATTAAGGGACTTGTAAAGACGGGCATTCTTGATGCTTAGGCTGTTAGTGAAAGTCGACAGTTATAAGTCTTTCGATGTTGTGTATAGAGACTTTTCCCGACTTAGGTGTTCATTAGATTCTGGTATTACAGGTATGGTTTGGAACGTTTAATCTCTTGTAGAGTAGCTAGGAAAAGTCTTAGGAGAGTCATATTTTTATATACTTCACTCACTTCCTACCTGATCTTGCAGGCAACTAATTGTTCTCGGAAAATAATTAATCGATCTCTAAATCTTTCGAAATGATATCAATACTTTCTGTGGAACTAGGGCCATGGCCCCCACCTATACGCTCAAAATTCCTTCGAGATTGACCCGAATGCTTGATGGGTAAGAACAAATAGACATCAGTACATCAAAACTCGTCGGCTGTCTTATTAATTCAGTTGATGTTTGATCGATGACTAAGGTTAATTGGGTCTCATCACATTACGTAGTAAAGCTGAAAAGAGTTGCGTTTTGCCTACACTAGACTAGTCTCTCTGACGCGCAACAAGTCCAACCTTTACAAAATTCCGGGTCTTGAAATCTGGGTGACAATATCTTAAACAATGTCCACAAACGCCAATATGAATAGTAAAGAGGATTATAATGGTGGCGATGGAAAACATCTTTTATCGAATCTCCCTCTTGAGATATGGATCAACGTTGGGAAGCAGGTATTTCTTTCGAAAAGCTTTTGTTTCTCCACCCGTGTACACTCTCCTGATTAACCGCAATTATTAGATGCACACTTTACAATTGTTCAAATCTCTAGGAGCTATCGCCCAGACCTGTAAATTCTTTTCAGATATCTTCGTGCCAATACTTTATTCTCGAAGAATTATCTACGTCGATGAACGCTGGCAATCAAACCTCCCTGTCGTCAACAATAACAGCATCCTTCCAAGTACTCTTATCCATGCGAAGGACTTGGAGTTCCACTTCACCAAAAGCATCATGATTTTAGATGGTATTACCGGATATGAAGGATTCGATGAATTCGTTGCAAAAGTCTTGAGCAGGACACCAAATCTTCGGTCTTTTCGGTAGGTCACGAAGTCTCAGCATTCTTAACTACGTTTACAGCATTCCCTAACAAAGTTGGAGAGTCTAGACATATGTTCTCTGTGAAGTCTCGCAGGCATGTCTCGACATGCAAATGATGAACAAGGTTAAGATGTAACATTTGTAATCAAATCTATTTTGTGTTCCCTTTGCTTGTGCATTCACGTCGTGGTATATACTCCTTTGTGCATCGACCATAATTATACTGACGAATGCATTTCAGATGGTCTGATCAGAGTTTGCCCGGTAGCAGCCTCCAAAATCTCCCTTTGCGAGAACGGGGTAATATGGAAAAGTTGAGAAGAAATCCAAAGCTTAGACATCTATGGATTGAGTTTTCTACTGATCTTAACGGGAAAAAATATGCCGAAGCCAATCGCTGGTGTTCCTTGGAGGGCTTTTGCAACTTGACATCCCTTAATCTTCACAATTTTTATGGTAACAATTCTCAAATAACAGATGAACTTGCTCAATGCCTAGTCAACTGCCCGAACCTAAAATCCTTGGGGATAAGCCTAGGGTCTCATTATGATTGGAAAACGCTTGGTGGTCCGGTCGTCAAAGATGAGACCGACAATTTTCTGGAACAACTGTGCTCGCTCTACGGAGATCGTTACGATAGCCGCCCCTTAGATCTCCATACACTGCGCTTAGGATTTGGAGCATCTCCTTATGCACCCAAGATGAGAGATAATCAGAATTATCTCCAAAACCTTGTCTGCACAAAAGGATTGCTATCCCTGGAGTTTTACAATGGTCTGTGGGTTGAACACCTTGAAGGTGTGCCAAAAGATGTCTTACCTATTGATTTTCAGCTTCTGGAAGGGTGCGAATCACTCACTCATCTTTCCATGACTGGATTAGAAGGCGATGTCATAGATTGGCTAAGCAATAGAAAACGATTCTCGATCCGGACGATGTCAACTGCGAGTTATTCCCATTTCTCAGATGAAATATCCTTTAAATTAGATCTTCCAAATCTTTCAACACTGGTCACTCATAATCAAGCACCTAGACCCGTGAATGAAGATGGAGATGTTCCTCCTTTGGATCCGTCTTCCGTGCTACACCATGCTGTTTCGAAGTATACTATTCTGGATAATCTTCTGAACAAGGGTTCACAGCTTACTAGTCTTACGTTATGTATTCATTACGAGATTCAATGGGTATGTAGCTTCTTCACTGGCCTATCTGGAGATGCTAACCTTGGTAGGAAAATTTCTGTAGTCAATTAGCAAATCTAAATTTATTGACTCATCTTCGATTGAATGACCTTTTTCGAGGAGGGATTTCACTGCCAATACAGCCTTCGTTATCCTTCAAGAATGCGACAAGTTATCCGGATAGGGCGTACTATTATGCACAGGAAATATCTAAATTATGTCCTTCTTTAAGATACCTCATGATTTCTTTCTCTCGCAAACCGCCAGCTGCTTGGGAAATCATACCGGGTGGTGATGGTGTCCGAGATCGGCGATTTCGAACATTAAGTGTCGACGAGTTAAATACATTCGAACTATTCTCCGATGATTTTGATGAATTAGAAAAGCCGACGGGTCTTCTTCTAGAATCCCAATGGGAGAAAGCACGACCATATCCATATCTACGATGGGCTCCACATGATGCCCATGATGAACAAACAACGAGCCGGTGGTAGCATTCAGCTAGTGTGGCTGAAAATGGATACTGTCCACAATCCCCTTCAACATGTAATGCTAGACACTTTATATTTCCACGCATTTCATCGGTTTTCGAGCAAGTATGACCGTCAAGACTTGCTTGAAAGTTGTAGAAGCCCCCAGCCTCCACCAACATATTTTGGCACTCGGTGACTTCGAGAAGATTTAACTGTGCTGGGACGGAGTTATATAGTGGCATAAAAAGAACCTTCAACAATGCAAAGAATCAGTGAAAGCTTATAGTCAAATGGAACGTTCGTCTTGCCTTATTTCTAATCTTCACTGATGCCAATGCTAGCATTCCATATCTAATATCGGAAAGTCCGACATAACAAATGGTACCGAAGTTATCACTCTTCCAAAGATTCTTCGATGAACCATGCAAGTCTGTTGACGGTATAGTCAAGTCACTGTAATGAATTTTACAGCGCAATTGTTGATATCTTCTGACTTCAAAAATGCCCAGTACAATCTGTCCGGTCCTTGCAGATCATTTCGAAATTCTTTTGAAACGTAACACATCCTTATCATGGCGAGTAACTAGTTTTGTACCCTCCTATTTAAAATCCTTCTACACAGGAAAGATATTTGCTTGAATTAGAGGTTTGGAAAGGAATGATATCGATCAGCAAAATATTATTCGTGGGAAGTAAAAAGCAGTTATATTATATATATCATATCCTTTCTGAAAAACGCTTTTTCTATAGCTAACATTGTGTTATATCTTTAGTTATATAGCTCATCGTGTTGAGTACTCTCGTTACTTCAAATTCATGGTCGTGTAGTGTAATAGATATCGAGACACTTAGAAAGTTGTATATTTGGGTACTGTATGATTGAAAGCTGCGTCCTGTGATTAAGTTCAGAGTCTATGATAATTGAGAACTCAGGTCTTTCTATGACTCTGAGCAACTATAAATATTTCTTGCTACAAATAAATCAGTAACGGCACCAGCGATTAGACTGTAGTTGCAGCTATTATAGACTCGAGCTTTGCCTAGCTTATATTCCATCTTTCCAATACAGACAAAATTGAGATCAACCAAGTGGCAAAGCAAAAATGCTTCACTTATGCATAAACCGAAGGCATATTTGCTAAATTAACGTAACACGCGTGCCGATGATCTCCGTCATAACTTCTGAATCGAATATACCAGCAGTTGGCCAATACTTTTATATTCTACGGAGCTGACAGCTTCTGCCATACTCACGTGCCGCAAGCGAAGTGACGTTGTCGATCCTATCCATCCATTGGTCCCGAGTTGGTAGGTAACAACAACTAATTATCTCTTCAACGCATCCGTCATCATGAGTCTGGCGTGTAAGGAAAGAAAAGCCACATCCTCATCGCAACAAAGCAGTGCTCGGCAATTCACCCACAAAGATCATGTATATCTCATCATCAGACAGTAAAACTGATTTCGGAGTTATATTCATCAGAGTAAGTGTCGCCTAGTTTTCAGACAAATGTTAAAAAGTAGTCCTTCAAAAGGATTTGACAAATTGAAAGAATATGATATTGAGTCCGTTTATACCGTATCATGTCATGTTTCTAAAAGGTACCTATCAAAGTAATCGAATTGGGATAGGTTAATGCAGTTTGATACTTTTATGCTTTTTGACTTCGCTCGATTTTTCATACTTAACCTTAAATGCTTATTTATTGTTGGTATTGCTGAGTTCTATCTTGGTTCTTAAATGCATGTTTTTTCATTATGAGACTTGTTAAGCTGTACCATTCAGCCATCATCCATTTACGATATCCAAACAAAACTATCCACTTAAGACCCTTTCATCCATCCATCCACCCTTCTTCCCCTCCCTCCACGTCCCCCTCCACCCCTCTACCTAGGATTCTCCCCAAACGGCATCCCCGTGCAATTAAACCCCTCCTGACCCACCACCCCATCACAAAGAAACTGCACCGGCCTCGTCGCATTAACCGTATCCCAAATACCGTCCATCCCCTCAATCACCACCCCCGTACACGGCGCCGCACCACTACACTGCAACTCAGCCACCACATCACTAGTCGCCGTACCCTTCCAATCCTGCAATCGTATATCCGAAAACTGGAAGAGCGACGTGTCGCAATTGTCCGTCGCGGAATTATACGATGTGCATTGTGTAATGGCGAATATACCTGTGTTGTTATGGAGTGTGAAATTGGTAAAGGAGAGGTTTTTCGCGTGACCTAGACCGCCGCCGCCACCGTTGGGGGGATAGCCGGTTGAGACACCCGTCCAGGTTTTCATGTAGACGCCGTAGCGCATGTTGTAGGAGCGGATGTTGCGGACGGTTATATTTTCCACAATTTCGTATCTACCCTCTGAATTGATATGATTTGATTAATGTGAGTTTGCTTTGGATTCTAGGGTTGAGAGACCTACCGTATTGACCGATACTTCCGATGGCTATGCCGAGCCCGGTGTGGAAATCACAATCTTCAATGAGGATATTGGTAGAGTTTGCTTTCATGGAGATGGAATCATCACCATTATCTACCGTCCAGCCACGAAACGTGATATTATTCGCATAAATAGTATCCGCACCATCAGTCTAGCAACCTATTAGTTTCTTCTCCAGAACATCGAGTCAAAACAAAATAAAACGCAAACCTACATTCAAACTACTAAATTCAAACCCGACCGGCCTCACATCCGTACTATTAACATAAATATTTTCCAACAAGATATTTTCCGCATAAATCAACGTCATTGTCCACATCTGACTCTGCACAAACCTAATGTTCTCAAACACGCAATCCGTGACCCCAGTATAGGTAATCTGATGCGGTCTCCCAGGATAATTATTCGTCCCATTAATAAACTTATACCAAACCTCTCCATTACCATCTAACGTTCCATAACCATGACCATCCCAATGAATATTCCGACCGCCGAATAACCACGCACTACTTTGATTTTGGTAGCCGACTGGAAGAGAATTATTGAGCCAGTATGTGATGTTGGTTGACCATAGTAGTGTACCGTGGAGATCTACTTTGACGTTGGAGAGATTTGTGGTGTTCATTACGGTTTGGATGTTGTAGGTTGTGTTTTTGAATAGGATGGTTCCGTGGGTGGTGATTCCATCGTTGTGACCGCATTCTGAAAAGGCGCGGATTATGGCTGGGGCACTATCGCCGCCGTTTGCAGAGGGTTCTACTATGCATATTTTCTCCTTGGGGACGGAGACTTCTGGGACGGAGACTTCTTGGGAAGGATGGGAAAATACGAGGGCCGGAAAGCTCAACGCTGTGAAAAGGATTTGAGGCAACATATTGCAGTACAGAAGGAGAATGAAGCATGATAGACATAGAGTATAAATATATAATAAAAACTCCGAAACTATAAACTTCCAACGATCTTTCGGTGTAGAATTTCCCGTGATGGAGACAAATCAGATATTCCAAGGTCAGAGAGGATATATGCGGGGAATTGCGGGGTACCATGGTGATCAATGACTACATTAAACAATGCATACGTACAAATGCACAATTACAAAAATACAACAAAAAGGTAAAATGCCCAGGAATTCATCATCATCATCATCATCAGCATCATCAACAACAAAGTCCGTTATGAGCCATGTACCGTTACAGTGTATATTCAAAAGCTTAGGATGATCTAGAGATCACTGCGTCTCAACCAGCTGAATCAACCAGAAATCCTTTCCTTCCCATATTTTCTATTCCCAAGAGCATCATCGTGATCAAATATTCCCTCCCCAATCATTGAAATTTTACCTTCCGCCCCGCCCCCATCTTTCCCATGCATGGTAATGCTCTCCACTCACCAAAGAGGGCAAGCCCTCGGCAATTGATGGCAAGTATGATGTCCCGAAAAAGTGCCGATTCTGTTTGTGAATTGTATTCCGTAAATGATTTCGTTCTTAACATAGAATATTTCTACTGTGGAAGTGATGATGTGTGGCTCCTAAAATACGTCTTCTTTTAATATATTATTTTAATAGTAATTCCTATGAAAAAATGGAATTATTTTATGTCGATGAAATAAATGGCTTTAAAATATGAGCTATGCTTCCTTGCTAACTTTGTGTACTTCTCGTCTCTCGAATAGTATGATGCCATCTAGAGTATATCCCAAAGCTCCAACGTTGCCCTTCAATCACTAATCTAACATTTCATCACATACACGCATCATACCCCATCCATACTTCCCTACAATCTCACTCCCTCATTCCCACCATCTCTCATCCAAGCCCTCCAAAAACTTCAAATCAACATTAACAAAACTTCTCCACAAATCCACCTCCTGTCTCCACGGTCTCATCTGAACCGCAAAAGTAACTCCCGCCACAATCTTCGCTAGTTCTTTCTCATCCGACGCCATAACCAAATATTTATCTCTCTTCGGCACCACTTTATTCCCGAATTGTTTCTTAAAGGGTTCTATCCGATTCTTACACGTAACATGCACACTAAACTCTGAATTCGGCAGATCTTTTGGAACAAATAACCAAGTGAACATGCGCCCTTTTGAATCATAGAAGGTAAATCCATCACGTTTATCGTGACCAACTGTTAGGGGATAGAAATATGGAGCACTCCATAAGCGAAGTAGAGCGAATTTGGCATTGGGGTGAGAAGTTGAGAACTTCTTGGCAGTACTTAAGAGCGGCGGTACTTTAGAGGGATCTTCCATCCAGCCTGGCATTTCGAGGTCAGGAATAAGCGTGCGCCAATCGACGAAGAGGTCAGGTTTGGAAGGACGAATGGATTCTGTACCCTGAAATGCTTGGCAACTGGCTTCTGTCGATGCATGACTTCGAATGATACCAGACTTGTAAACTGCAAAAGGGTCTGTTAGTGACTTTGAGGATAAAGGAAAGGAGTGCGTGCTTACGTTTTGCAATAATAGGTCGAATTGTCATATCCCATTCAAGGGGGAATGTTGCGTAATCATCCGTGAACTTCATTTGCCTTCGATACTTGTCGAGATCGGCGTAAAATTCTTTGGGCTGACGGATTGTAGATGTGTCTGTTCTAATATCTGGATAAATCTTGGCTCGCTCCTCTTGATTGAACATTAAAGAGTTTTTGAATGCCTTTCCCTCTTCGGAATTCAGAAATTCAGGGTTAAAAAATGGGTATATTTTAGCCAGCGCCTTCTCTGCATCTTTCACCTCGTCAGCTGTGACCTTGAGCCAACCCATCACCTCAAAAGTGAGCACGGTTGAAGATCCTTTGAAGAAGGGCCTTCGAGAACGATTATATTTCCAGGATTTATGGGTCATTTTCTTCATTTCTAGATAGCGCTCTTGCCCATGGGGAGTAAAGTCAGCTTGATGCCAAGCTTTTTTAAAATCTGCTCAAGAAGTTAGTTTTGCTTGGAAGTGTGAAAGGAGGGCCGGAATCATACTTCTCGATGTTGTCTTCTCAATGAACTTCATAAACTCTCCCTCCAAATCCTCATTAGGAAATTCATCTTTGTGGGTCTTCTCGACTGCAAGTCTGTGTACAACTGGCCAAAGTTCCTTGGGAAAATCTTTCGGAAAGAGGTCATCATTATCATCGTCATCCACATCTTCGAATTCATCATCGATAGCACTTCCATGAGAATCATCTTCGGAATCTTCTGATTCCCAATTCCAGGTTCCTTCGACGAATCTCTTGATGGAAAAGTCTTCTTCCTCAAATGCTCTCAATGAATCCTTTTTACCAACAGATACCCGGGCATTAGGTGCCTCGTGGGCTCGCTCCTCGGGGAATAATACCTCATCTTCCAGAGCATCTGCCTGATTATAAAAGAGATTGCTCGGCCATGAGTCTGTTGGTTCAGTCGATGGCTGATTCGGTCCACCGATATCGCCATAGAAGAATTTTGATCTCCCATCTTGAAGATAATCCCATTGGTTTGTGAACTGTTCTTGATCTCCCGGTCTAACATCTCTGTAATGGTGGTCTTCATCACGGTACAGCGTCTTCAATATAGACGCCGCTGGTTTGTATAAGTCTTTACCCTTACCACATCGAAGTGCTTTGATATGCATCTGAGCTCAGTTAGTAGGGGTTGATAAGTTCTCTCAAGGGGTTAACTTACTTGCTGAACAGTATTATACAGTCCAGCCAAGCTTTCTCCAGGTTCGAGATCCCAAACATAAATATCATAATAATCTCTGAAGGAAAAGTTCCACTCTCGATGACGATCCATTTCCTCGAAAAATTCAGGTCCAATTCTTTTCAAAACGTTCCAGACATTTTTGACAGCCCGTCCAAGACCACTCTTCTCTCGCCATAGCCACCGCTCTTCTTCTGGAGGTTTTACTAATAACTTACCACTTTCAGCATCTCTAACAAGTAAAACCAGACGATGACTTTGCATGGACAGATATTGAATGAATCGGCGACTCGTTTGATCGTCTCGTTTAATATGGGCACAAATCACGTTTCTTGCTTGGAATATAGCATGTTGACGTCGGGTTTGTTTGCTACGACCTCCCTGTGAAAAGCTGACACTGAGCTCCTTGGCATCCGGGTCTGAACTTTCGTAGTACATGATGAAGCCCTGGCATTATTTCATTAGTTGACCAACCACAAGTAAGCACAACGAGACTCACCAGTTGCAGTGCTTGTTGCTTCAGCCGATTTCCAACCCATGACGCCCAATTTGACGCAGGGAAGTAACCCCAGCAAGCCAAAATATTTAGCTCAAAAAACTCTTCCCAATTCCGACAAAGCTCGATTGCAGTATTGAGGTTACTATCCTTCGCAATGATGGAGAAATGCAACCACCCTCCACGACTCATTGCTTTATCACTGGGATAATTCCATATCGTCCTACCACAAATCTTTACGCGGATCTTCTTGCGTACTTTCCGAGTGCTATTAGAATTACCAAAATCAATCGCACCCCCTTCCTCAACCCCCATGATGTTTTTCATGGATGAATCCATTCCAGGGATCATCCCAAGCATACCTTCAGCCGCCTTTTCTCGGGAAACCTCTCGCTTTGAACGCCATGTCCCAGGTAAATCGCCGCGCTTTTTCTTTGTCAACCTCATCTTCACGTCATAAGGGTCAGCAAGGCCAGCTTCATCGTCTTCGTGACCATGAGCGTCATCGTTTGGAGCCTCCCGTTCATTTTGCTCTTCTGCTTCTTCTCCGGATCGAAAGAAATCTGCGCATGCATCGCGGATTTCTTGGAGGCTAGGTCTCTCCATTTTGAGACAAACATCTCTCAGGGCCATACCAGTCACTTCCACATCTGCAAAGAATGCCTCGATGCTATCAGAGCGAAGAGCTGCTGGTAGTAACGCAGCGTGCCCAAGCAATAACCGACATAACAGTAAGTGCTTGATCTCTGATATCTCTCCGAGTAGTCGTTGAATTTCAAATTCTGTAAAGGTCCGGGTCGTTTTTTGAACGTGAGGGTTCTCTACCGTACCAGTCACCATTACCCCATGAACATGACCAAGGTCAATTTTGATTCCATGAGCCAACCTATGATGTATGTCCTTTCGGGTTTCGATGAGAGATTTATCAGGGAGCTCTTGTGATTTGGCAGTCGGTTTACTTGCCTTGGCCGTCTGGGAAGGAGTGGCAGTTGTAGCTGCTCCATTCTTCTTCTTTTTCTTCTTCGACTTTTTGGATATAGTAGAGGACTCAATTTGGGCTACAAGCTCGTCAATATCGTTTGTGTTAATGGTTGGTTCTTGAGATTCTACATTATTCTCGACTAAATCATTCTTGTCTATTTCATTTGAGGGCGGTTTTTCAATTTTTGGTTCTTCGGTTTTAAGTTCTTCTTCCGAGGACATCCATAAAAAATGTCGCATGAGATCTTTTATATGGTCAGTTTGTGTCGAGTGAGCATGTAATGTGAAGTCCTTCTTTTCAAGTTTGCATATGTAACTTGTAGATTGAAATCAACATACCTATAAAGTTCCCTCTTCCATCCTCCAGTTCATCTTCAATAGGATCCCACTCCATATCATCATCCGTACCCTCATTCTCCTCTACCTCTTTCATCTTCTCTTTATAAATTTTCTCCAGGAAAGTTTCTTGCTTTTTCTTCTCTTCCCTTCTCATTTTCTCCTCCATTCTTTGTTTTGCTTGCTTCCAATTTCTTTGCCATAACTGTGCTTCTTGTTTTATCTTCTTTTGCTCCTTTTCTCGATTTGCTTCCTCGTCGTCCTGGCATTCTCGTACCCATTGGAACCATTGTTGATTTCTATACAAGATCTGCGAAGAATTGATTAGCGCAAAGTCCATGGTATTTGTCAAAAGTTGACAAACCTCAGCAGTTCTTCTCTCGAGTCGTTCTAAAGCCTTGGTAACATATATTTTCTGGTTCATGAGCTGATCCAAAAATTTCACATGCCCATAGTCCATGTTCTGACTGAAGAATCTACTATGATGCAACCTTCTCGCCCTTACTACTCTTTCCAGTAATTGATATTTCGTCCATAGCCACTCGTGAAGTTCCTTGCATTCTGCTTCTGTTGTTACATCCTCAAACGTCTCATTGCCGAGGGCAGTTTTCGAATTAGCAAAGTACAGAGGAGGACTGTTGTCCAGGCGTTCAAGTCGAGCTGTGCGAATTTTGTATCCACGATAGAGACCTAAAGATTGTTAGAAACTGTTGAACTTTTCGGGACGTTTTTGTGGTATAATACCTTGACATTGCTTGGAGTGGAAGCTACAAAAAAGACCATTTATAGATGTAGCAGTCTCCAAGCAGCGTTTCTCATCAGACACATTCAGTGCATTGCACTGTGAAGGAGAATTGGTATCCATCGGCGCACTTCACTGGCGAGAATTTAGAGGTGTGAATAAACTTTCTCACATGCCGATGGGATATTTCAAGGAAAGGTATAGTACTTGTGGGCCCCGGCGGTCTTGATTGGTCCTGATAGGAGACGCGTTTCGCGTCTGAATGTGATATCTGATATGCATGGCAGTTAATGTTGCTTGAGGATGACGTTCAAAAGAGCGATTAGATGAAAGATTGATATCATATGAAGCTCTGGAAATCCAAGAATTGATCTTACTCGGACCTGGCTGTATAGAAGAACACTGGAAGAAATAAATCCATCTCCAAAAAGAAAGAGTTTCTGATATTGAAATCTCAAAGTAACGATTTCTTGAACCTGTCGGAAGGAAAAGCTACCCCGCCTTTCCCCGGACCAAAAAGATCACAGTTGCTATTACTGCACAACCATAATCAATCACCAAAGAGCCTCTTATCCCAGTAATATTAATGAATGTATCAGGATAAAACCCGGAAATTTGATTTTTTTGGAATGGGTGTGATGCATATTTGGAACGTGGAACTCGTGTATAAATTAAATATTGATAGAAAATGTATATGGACGACTCAGAAGACGTAGACCTAATTTGACATTACCTTTCTAGCTATATCAATATGTAAGATCTTACTGGCTGTTCATAGCACCTGCCATTTCATTTCTCGATGCTTCAAGCTATGAGCTTAACGACCTACTACCTATCTTTCTAACATTCACAACAATTCCAACCACCATATGGACAACATTCACTTATACAGACAGAAGTGGTTTTCCTCTTTTTCTTCTTTCAATCCAGAATCCACTTTTCGATATTTTCCCCCTATGTTTCTTTTCTCTTTCTTTCTTCTCCAATTCATATCACGACACAGGATCCTTCCTATTCATGTCGCGAGATCCCATCAAATTTTGATGTCATGACACGATTTGTTGACACTTAATATATGAGCAGACAACGGCTATCCTTTTCATCACATCACAGCCCGTTTGGCTTAGCGGTAAAGCGCATCACTAGTAGTTTTCCGAAGGGTAAATCAATAGGTTAATGATGAGATCCTAGGTTCGATTCCTAGAACGGGCAATTTAATTATATTTCTTTTGCAATTATTTTTGTTTAATTATTGGTGAATGCATGCAAGACGGAGAGGAGAGGAGTGCTAGATATTTTTGATCTTGAGGATGTTTCGATAACCCCCACAGCGGTGAACAATTTTGTGCGGTGATGCTATTTTTTATTTTTTACACCCAACGTGTTGACCTCATTCATCATTTTAATCAGCTCAAAAATGCTATTTCTTCAATTCTTCACCATTAGATTTAATCCAGCTAGTTTACGACTCTTGGCACCGGGAAGTATTCTTGCTACCTTTCACTATTTATTACTTAACATGGCTCTACTTTTCATCACAAGATACTTGAAAACAGAGAGGACGAGTTTGATACATACTCATTAGCTGAGAAAAATGCCCATGGGTCACAAAGCTAGACGGAGCTTACTTACGGGCTTTGAGGATGCCGGAGTGATTAACTTCTTACTTTGTATCCAACACTGAATGGTGACTAGCTAATCTAGTCGAAGGGATGTCATATTGAGAGACTCGGGAATCATAAGTAAGTAATATGCGCCGACGCACTACGCATCGATTTCATTCTGGCTTTTCTTCCAGTTATCGTTAGCCATTTGAAACTTTGGCATGTGTCGAGAAAATGCCATCAGTGTTTGCGACATCCCAATTTCTGGTAGTATCCACGATCGGGAAATTAATCAGAAACTTGTAACTTCTGTAACCTTCAGTAAGTTACCATCATTATGGAAGTCCGGCGAGCAAGGCTCAGCGCTATATTTTCGAATGACACCAAATCTGTCAGATTCCAGGACCCTTATTCGACCGAAGCAAGAAATAACAGATGCAAAAGGCTTAACTTAGCCAAACTTTATCCCACAATACTGAAGATCAGATAACGCAACTAAATCTGACACTCTTCGACGGAGATATCCAGGTTATCAGCATATAATTTTCGACCCAAGGGTTCATTGTCCTACCCCCCTTATGTAACTCGTTTAACATCTAAAACGACGGTACGTCTTTGTACAAGGTGATAGGTCGTAATTGTACCATAAATCAGTCAGGTGAGTCAATGACAACATCTTTAGAAGACCTTGTATGGTGAGTTGGTTGGTCTGCACGTGTGTTAAATTTAAAAAGAGGATGGATATGGGGAAAAGGAATTGAGTGTTCAGCCTGTAAGGCGTTGGATACGACGACATCTGATAAGGCGGAGTCGGATTTTGAGGTACGGATCTACTTGACGAGAATACATTTTACGATGATCAAGACAATGGATTTGTGTACTTTCTGATCCGAGTAATTTTAGGTAAGACTACTTTCAACTTGTTATTAGATTTGAGAGCCTGCATTCGTTGGATTAAATATTTTCCAAGTTACCAACGCTTCAAATTCCTTCACAATGGCTTACCTCCCTTATGTTGAACCTGGACTCGAAATCATTCTTCCACTATCAACTTTCATTTTCATACTCAACATCACTCGAGATATTCTCGACAACTTTCTCTACTGCGGACTCATTGGTGAAATATTCATCGGTATACTATACGGAATGCCCATCACAGGAACATCATGGCTCAACATAGAAACGCAAGAAACAATACAATATCTCGGATATCTCGGGCTCATCTGTCTAGTATTCGAAGGCGGACTCATTACCGATCTTAAAATGTTGGGAGAAACAATATGGGTAACACTTTCCGCAGCAGCAATGGGAATTCTAATGCCTATGGCTCTCTCATTCTCCATCATGGGTATGAAATTCGATACAGTCGAAGGTTCGGGATATCCAACTGCATTGGCTGCTTTCTCAGCTGGTGTCTCGCTATGTTCCACTTCTTTAGGATCTACTTTCATCATACTTTCGTCAGCAAACTTACAGAAAACTCCAACTGGTACATTGATTGCTGGCGCCGCGATGATAGATGATATCCTCGTCCTTGTAATGGTTAAAATCGTCACAGCACTTGGACAAGGACAATCAAATCCATGGAGAATAGCTCGACCCGCCATTTCAAGCCTGAGTCTCATTCTTGCCACCTTTCTCCTGGTGCCATTTCTAATCAAACCCATATACAAAACTTTCCATTCCATCCTCAAAAATCAGAAAGAAGTTAACCGAGGTACTTTTAGTGAGAGTTATGATACGGAAAGGGGAATTTCGCGACGTATAGGATTTATACTTTCTACCTTGATACTTATACTTCTTGTTACTATCGCTGCCTGTATAGAGGGATCTATATTACTCTCTGCATTTCTAGCAGGAGCAATCGTCAGATACACCTGGCGAAGTGTTGATTTGGACTTGGAAATTGATATGGATATGGAGATTGATCGACCAACACTCATGTTCGAAGAGTATTACAAACCAATCATGGATCACATACTCGTACCATTTTTCTTCGTAAGTTCTCTTCTTATTATCACACTACTCTACATACATCATCAAAATCCAAGGATCTATAATCTCCCACCCCCTCCTTCCCCGGCGCGCACATCTAAGGAAATAAATATTCACCCAACTCTATCTAGGCCTCAATCGGCTTCTCAATCCCCATCTCAGAAATGTTTTCTTCATCTATAATCTACAAAGGAATTTTCTACGCCCTCCTCATGTTCTTCGCAAAAGCATCCGTAGGATTAATCCTATATATGAATTTCCTGGTTCAAAAATTCACAACACGAAAATCCCCCCCGTCACAAATACAAATACAAATACAACATCCCGAATCACAACCAAGCGTCGCACAACACGAAACAGGAACCTCTAATACCAGCACCCAATTCCCCCCAAGATTACCACATCTAGATGCGCTCATTGTAGGCTCTACGATGATCGCCCGCGGTGGCTTCGGCTTCCTTGTTGCGTCTGAGGCGCAGAGTTCGGGGTTATTGAGTTTATATCGTTCTCATGGTTTGCAGTTCAAGGATTCTGGCAGAATTGACGTGCAAGGTTTGGTAAGAGAGGGGGATTTTAGAAGACAAGTGGAAAGGTTAGATGTGGTAGAGGATCAGATTTTCTTGGTTATTATCTGGGCGTTGGTTTTATGTACGATTTTGGGCCCCGTGGTGGCGGGGGTGGCGGTTAGGAGGAAGGTACTTTTTGGGAGTGGGGCTGGGTGTGCGTGTGCGTGTGGGCGTGGGAGGGGAGCAGAGGGGAGATGTCATCTTTGTTTGTAGGGGTTTCATTGGGTTTCTGTGCAGGGGGTGCAGGAGGGTGGAGGATGATAGGAATGGGAATAGAGTCAAGGAGTAGATGTAAATGTTTAAATCTTACATTTGTTCTGAAAATAATACATATAGATTGACAGAAGAAATAACTAGTCTTATCATGATATATAGTATATATAATTATCTTCCTCCCCATCCATCACTATACTACCTACCTACTACTGCTATACTTAATCTCATATTATATATGATATAATACAATACAATATAATACAAAACAATATATTCCTAATACCTCAAGACCTCAATATACCAATTAAACAATTCATCATTAATCCATCCATCCACCCACCCATTCATTCATTTAAAAACCTTGGTGCAGAATCTAATATATATATAATCTTGTAATTATATATATTTTCACTTCTAAGTCTCATCTTCTAAGTAAGTCCCAACTCTTAACTCTTAACTCTTAACTCCCAACTTCTATTTTTAACATCGATTTAAATCCATTCAATCCATCCCAGCCTATCTCAAACTTTAAGTCCGAAAATATCTTCATTTTTGAATCATTATACTCGTATTTATAATCTTAGATAAAAAATAAATAAAATCTTTTATTTTTATTAATAATATCATAATTTCAGAAAAATTATTAAAACTTTTAAATAAACTTTTTTATTATCCGTTCTGTTTTATTTATCTATTTATTTATTTAATTTTTATTTCTTTTTATTTCTTTTTAAGTTTTTTTTTTATTAAAATGAGAAGAGTATATAGAAAGAAAAATATATCATTTATAACAAAAAAACTTACACTTACTTTCTCTCTCCTTTTTACTTTACCTCAATCGATCAAGTATTTAATAAGATAATCTTATTATATTTAACAATTAACTATTAGATCTTTTTGATAAAGGGGATTTTTTTTATAAATAAAGAGAAAGATATTTCTTTCCAAGCTACTCATTAAAGAAAGGATGACGACGAACGAGACTGATGACTGGGTGAGTACACCAAACTAATGAAAAAAATTCATATTATATATCTTTACTCGTTCATTATAAACACATATATCAAATATGCTAGGGTATAAACCTATTTATCCAAATCTCCAAAGGTATCTAACTCATCCTCATAAAGCAAGCCAAACCAGGGCAAAGCACACAACAAATAATGCAAGAGAAACGACAGCTCTAGCCCTGTAATCCAATACCGTCTTGTCCCCACGCCCGCAAAAAAATTCAATCGAACTCTGATGCGTCCTAAACATATAACTCAAAGAAGTATAACCCTACAACATTAAATGAAATAGCCCTAAGCTCCTCTACAAAAAAACCAAAACGAGAATCACCCCCATAGACGTCAAGACGCAAACAGCTACCAGGCTTTGAACAAAACTTGTCCAAATGCCTCGACCTTGTTCTTTCCGTAGGGTTCTCAACCCTCCTTCTTTGCTTGTGTATGGTGAGATTGTGCCGTATCCAGATGACGAAACCACCGCGCTTTTCTCGATATCGATGGTGTCAAATGGTTGCTATGTATGAGTGATTAGCGGATGGTACATGATGATTCAAGCAAATGAAGATGTACCATGATGCTGGAAGGCTTGGATTCTACTGGGGAAGAATTTTCTGGGAGAGCTTTGTACTCCATCTTTCTGGCGGGAGTTGGAAATGGGTATGGTAGGTGAAGCATGAGGTTGAAGCCCTGAAATGGAAAGAATAGATCCGTGGTTGCGAGGAAGGGTAGCTGATGAGGAAATTTGCAGATGTGAAATGGTCCTGCAGATAGGAGATATTCTCTGAATATTGATTTAATCAAACATTGAAATCTTGAGGAAGCAGTCTTCTTTTCTTCTAAAAAATCCCCGTTCTGATTTTGTTACACTAATGTCCTTATCTGTCGATTCTGCAAGTAAAATCAATTTGGTGTGTAGTTGATAAGCCATGAAGTCTGCTGCAAATGCCATGTGATGGTGCTTATCTCTGCACAGGGGTTCAGAAAATGGCACACTCGTGATTTCTCATGCAGAAAAGATCCGGCAAACATCCGCCACAGCGAAAATAATTGATAACACTTTATATGAGACACGAATAGAGAGGATCCGGTTGATAAGAGGTGGGTAGCAGTATCAGCCGGATTGAGGGGCTAAAGTCAATATGATAAACATTAAGAAAATTTGTCATGTGAGGTCCATAAAAGACAACAACTGACGCTGTGCTTGTGAACTCGATTTGAAATCATTATTACACGGCAAAATATTGCGGCAGAATTCTCCTCCATTGCAAGACACAAATGTTGGGCTGGGAGGGTTGCAGATGCTGCCAACAAACATGAGCATACAACTAGTACTACCATAGAAGATGGATATGAGGCCACTGCGGGGAGAAATACCCACATTGAATCATGCAGATGACGGGGCATGCGACTATATTGCGCGAGACTTGGTGCCAGAAGAGTGGTGGTTTAAGCATGAAAAGATAAAAATACTTGGGAACAAGACAGCTAACGTCTAACAATCATGCATGCCTCATTGGTACTAACCAAGAGTATTCCAGTGCCCCATATGGATGAATGTGTAGAAATGGCAAATCTTTACTTTCTTTTTTATCAGACCATAAAACCGCAAAGTGTACATTATGTATGGTACACGCATACACTGGTGCTGAAGCTAGGTAATGCTTTGAGAGGCCTGTCGAGGTCCTGCCTAAAGGATCCAGTATATTCCAAGTAGATATCGAGGCTTACACCTTAGAAAGTCTCTAGTCTCTTACACATTCAAAGCCATCATGCCTGATGTTCTGTGACTATCACTTCGTAATGTGCAGACGGAGAATGGCTTCTTATAGATTCCTTAAGAAGGTGCGAAGATATTCATGAAGATTTCCCCGGTAGCACTTGGACGGCCCAGCATGCGCATCAAAGATCTTAAGTTCCACCCATTTTGTAAGTCTTATATTGATATTGGAGGATATCGACGCCACTGTTCGAGTGAGTCGTAGCAATAGGACACTTCTCATCTGATCTTTCGCACAGAGGGATAAGGCTTTGATTTCAAAACCAGCCATGTATAGCATATCTTATCGAATATTCATCTCACTTTGAGAATTGTATTTCGGTAATGCTAGAATTCTAAACATATCTCGACCTTCGAAGGAGACGGAGGAATGGCGGTTAAATTTCCTCAGCTAAGTTGAGAAATCTCCAACCGCATAAACATCTTTTTCGCGACAATTGCCAGGGCGTATTCAGGTCATCGTTGTGGTCATCGTTGTCGGATAGGGTAAAATTAAGAAGTTTGAGAGCTTTCCTCATGTTGTTGAAGTTGTGCTGCCGAAAGAATTGATGAGATTTGGTATGTCATAAAATAATGGTTCACCGCCTGCAGAGTACATAAGATCTTAAGACTTATACAATAATGCCAGAACAAAACAGGCTTTTAGACTACTCGTATTTCGTATTTCGTATTTCGTATCTCGTATCTCGTATTCGCACTCCCAAATCCATCGGAAATCGTACAGTCCCTTCTACACAATGATAGGTGTGTTCGTAAGGTAGGACATTACTCGCCCTTGCCGTGCTTCAGACGATGGCTATGGCTATGGCTATGCCTCGTCATCCATGATGCAATCATTGCAAAGCCACAATTCAGAATTCACCAGCGGATCACAAGTAGCCTCCCAGCAGGATTATTATCACAAAGTATTTATATGAACACTCACATTCGCATTCACCTGTGCTCGTCGTATTTGTGATTGTCATTTCACAGTCACATTCACGCCTGATTACAACTTTATCCTTAGCCATCCTTACTTCCTTACCCTCTCGAAGAACCCCACCTTCCACTTCCCCCTCCACAACAATCTTATAGTTACAGTTAACAAATTCTACAACAGCAACAACAACACAAGCTTTTCACAATAGCAAATAACATGGCTGAACCATCAAATAGTACAACTAAACCGTCAGCTTGGGAAAAAACCAAGACTGGTGGTAAAGCTGCTTTTGATAAAGGATGGGCTGCATTTGAAAAGCTAGGAGGACCAGTTAACAAACTCACGAATAAGATTGGATCTGAGGCCTTCTGGCCAACCGGGATGGATAAAGAATGCGAGAAGGCTGCTCGAATTCTTAAATCGTTCTGTAGTACGTCTGTGCAATACTCTCAACTACAAAGGGCCCACTAACAATTTGACAGAAGATGGATTTATGGCGGAGCAACAAAAAGATGCATCCTTAGATCCAGAGACTAAGAATAAAGTCAAAGATGGACCCAGCAAACCACCAAAAGTTCTTGTCAAAATCCCTCAAAAGGTCATCAAGAACTGTGTTGGTCTTGCAATTTACACCACAATGCGTTCTGGATTATGGGTCTCCGGAGCAGGTGGATCGGGCGTTTTAATTGCCAAGAATGAGAAGGGACAATGGTCACCACCGTCCGGAATTCTAATCCACACTTTGGGTGTAGGATTCATGGCCGGGATCGATATCTATGATTGTGTCATTGTTATCAACGACCGCAAGGCTCTCGATGCATTCAGTAAATTACGTGTTTCCCTCGGTGGTGAGATATCCGTTGTCGCTGGGCCAATTGGAAGTGGGGCTATATTGGATAGCGAGCTCTTAAAAAGTCGAAAGCCCTTGTTTTCCTACATGAAAAGCAGAGGTTTGTATGCAGGAGCACAGGTTGATGGAACCATAATTATCGAGCGCAACGATGAAAATGCAAGCTACTATGGGGAAAGGTTGCCAGTAGCACAAATTTTACAAGGAAGAGTCCCGTCACTTCCACCAACGGCTGAATTGTTGATGGAGGTCGTGAAGGATGCTGAGGGAAGGCCAAATCTAAATCAGGCTGTCCTGCAGCAAGTCTACAATAAGCCAGCTCCTGCAGATGTGGAGATTGTACATTCAGGAGAGGCTAGTGAAAATGAAAAGAAGAAGTATGGAAACCCGAACACGGCCGAGGGTTATGCTATTCAGCAACAACTGCATGGATATCAACAACAGCAGCATCCAGGATATACGCAGGGTAACGACCTATATTATCCTCCTCCACCTCCAGGACACCCGCCCCATCAAGGTCATGATCCCATGGAGCAGGCTCCTCCGGCTTACTATCCGCCTCCGCGTTCATCGGGGTTTCCACAACAGCAAGGAAGTGGTGCAACTGAACCCGGCTATTATGCACCCGAAAAACCACCTCGCCCAACCTGAAGAATTGTTAGGATAAAGATAAATTAATTCTTAGCTAGTTTGGCTTGCTTATTGTTCGGGTTTTATTCGATTCTGAAATTGCTCGTCCGATTATTAGCTAGTCTTGATTGATAGAATGAGTGAGATACGTTGTGACACACTATGTATGGCATGAGACGCCTGCTTGAAAGATCTTCAACCAACCAGTTTTTTTATGATCAACCTCGAGTTGTACCATTTGGACCACGTGTGTAGACACTCAATCGTCGTATTGAGTACATGTGTGTCTACGAATATCGCACAAAGCATGTTAAATCGAATTGTAATGGAGGCTAAAAACAGGAATGTTGCTGCCATGATACTCATATTAAACTTATGGTGCGAAAGAATCTGGAAAGTTTCTTTTCTATACTTTAAGGAGGATTTTTGATAAACAATATTATCAAGCTTATAATAATATTTGGAAGCCTGAATTGAACATATTGATAGAAGCTCTCCATGTGCGGAAAAACCACAAGGATTCCTTCTCGGTTGGAAGAAATTTTATCCGAGATCTGCCAAGGTTATGGGCAGATACACCAGTATTGTGGCTTTCCTCGTTCCTTCCATCAAAATTTCATCTACTCGATGACTTCTTTCCCACTTTCATATCCCCAAGGTTCATCTTTTCATTTCAGTACTCTTCCCTTGATTGCGAGAGCTTGTACTCTGAGAACTCATTACGTTGTACTACCAGGAATTACCCGAATTCTGATTTTCTTGGGTATCAATCATCATCGAAGCTCCAGTCGGAGATATCTTGAAGAACATCCCTTGGGTTGATCCAGATATGTTCCTGACAAGTCGGTACAAATTTGACTTTGGCTGCATGTTGGTCGATTAGCACACTTTAATATATTTAACTTGCTCAGGTAGCTCAGAATGCCGCCGAAGACTCCATGACCGACTAGGATCTGTTTTTACATAAATTCGTTCCTGACCCAATTATTGGCCTCTGATCTTTTTGCGGGAGAGAGCTTCCACTTTTGATATATGATAACTCCATATTGGGACGCTACATAGGTACATTTGACTAGTGCTACTGCACTACTATTTTGCCAACCAAGTAACAATGCTTGGGTCCCCTGGATGCTATATTAGCGACAATGGCACGTCTGGATTTACAGCTCACTGTCCAAAAGCCTTCACTCCCAATTTCTTCAACTACACCTTTTGGTATATACGGACCTTTGATTGCAATCTGTTCGAACCCCTTCTGACTCCTTTTGCCTTTTATTCTCCTCCCGGCATACTTAATCTGGAACGACTACAATGGAATTTTACAACTTCTGTCAGTGTCTAAGTTCCATGGCAAATACTATTTATCGAAGGTTTGAGGTCAACATCTTCACTCCCTGGGCAGTTTCCAAGTTCGCACATTGACTTCATGGAGCTAAAGAATGCAATTACAACAATGAAGTCACAGCACACGGCAGTTTCGTCACGCTTGAGGTGGTATTGAAGCCGCAAACTTTTGTATTCTTGCTAGATTATAAAAAAGCAAAACTTTTTTACCTCCTTCCGACTGAACGACAAAGCATAACCTATCCGATTACGTCCCTCAATCACAACTTATTCTTCTTGGCCTTCCAATGGAGTCAGGATTTAACCTTCCAGCCCTTCCAAATCTAAAATGGCCGTTCGCCCGATGGTATTTCGGAAGCTTTTCAGACTGAAATCCCAAGCTGGGTATAATGTTAGTAACATTATGGATGGTCCAAAAGTTACGTACGTACCTGATGATCTAACAGCCAGTACCACAAGCGCCGCAGGCTCTTCCTGGGATGACCCAAACTTCCTTCCCATTGGCAAGGCAAGTTGGGCATCTGACACCGGGCATCTAGTTCTCTTTTAGTATCAATCAAACCTCAGTTATATGAGGTGCAATATCTTACGCCGGGCATTTCAGTCACACCAAAAGACTCTGAAATTTCGCTCAAGGGCATCAAAAGTGGCTCGATGGAAGGGAGAATGTTCATCTCTTCTTGAAAGATGGTTTCGAATGGAATTGGTTGAAAAGGCATCTTGATTGTAGTTGATTGAGAAAGATCTTTGACCTGATAAACAAATATGAGACGATCGTGTGTTGGAATAATGAAGTGGTTTGGGTTGATGAGCTTCAACTTCAGTCGAGTGGAAGTGGTCATTATATAAATTTCAGGAATGAGTCAAGAGGGGTTCGAAACTTGGTCCGAAAAAAGGAAAGATGAATTATCTTATGATTTTGCGGTTGCCTGCATCGTCGAATGTATATCTGCATCTGCAACTAATCAAATAGGTAGCTGCAATCCCTTTCCCAGATTAAATGGATCGTGCCTTCCTCGAGCACAGTCTTATGATGAACAAATCCAAACATTGCAGCACCGCATGATGGAAAACTTGAGCGACACTTGTTATCAATGGTACTAGTGATCAATAGTAAGGTAGATGTCCGTGTTATTTCAGGTCAGCAGACCTATTACATGCATTGGTATTCTCCCTTTTATCTGAACGCAGCAATCGTCGGTCAGTAATGAGGGCATATTGATAGGTCGATCTTCTTGGCTAAACAAGGAATCCTCGCACCAGGTTATCATGGCCATGAGTGTACCTGAAGGTGACCGGGCCAACTCTTAAGAGCTAAATGTGACCAGGCATCAATGCCTCTCTGTTTCAATCCAATGATCTTGCATATTCTGCAACTATCCATGCGGGCATAAAATGCATGTTTCGAGAGCGTGTTCGGAAGTTTCCAACAGTTGCAGAATTTCTTTTACTAAGCGACAGACCCTTCATGCAGCCTGCAAGTGGGCGCCAAGTCATTTTTTCTTTGTATTTCGAAATATCCCTAACCAAATTACAGCCCAAGCCTAAGGTCCATTACCACAGATAGAGATTAACGAATTCATATCCGCCCATTATGTTTTGCACTCGAAAATTCCATCACATCAACGATATCCCCGGAGCGATCCCAAATACACCGATTCATTGTGCCTTTCAACCACTAATTGGAAGATTAAAACCCCCTTTTCAATTATGTTGGGGGTCATAACGTGGGTGGAGCTGTGTGATAGATCATTTCTGACAGAAATGGGAACCTATTTTCCGACTTGTCATTTTTTACGGCGTGTATCGGATGATATACGTCAAAAATAATCTTTCCATTCAAGGACGGCAGTTGGCTTCTATGCATGCATCTGTGGCTAGGTCTACCAAACCGTCGGAATGTTTTGATATGAACTGGTCACGCCCGCGAGATTTGGGCACAATCATAACTGCTTTCAACAAATATGTCAATATTTGATGTCGATCAACTCAGCATATCATCCATCGACTATCTGCGTTTATCGAACGAGATTAGAATGGAAAGCACTTGACGCAAAATACCAAATTCTCTGAATCTCATAATGAGTTGAGATCGACAGGGACTTTGTTGAGTCTTCTGATACCCGGGACGAGGAAATGTGCGTTGTGTAAGGAGGATCTGTGTGTTACATTTTACAACATACGGAGTGGTCCGACTGCATCCGGAGTTATTTCTAATCCTCTTTGAAGCAGTGGAGAAAGTTCTCGCTAGTGGACATTGCCATGCAATCCATATGCAAATTTGAAAATTTTCCTCAAAAAGTGATTCGATACAAAGGTTGTTATTTTTGTATTACATTTACACGAATACCAAGTCTACTGTATGTTTTATTGGGCCAAACCAAAAGTTTGAGCAACATAAGCCAACACATCAAAGTGCATTAAATACATCAGGAAGAAGTGACATCATATCATATCACGGCGAAAATGCTCAAGTGGATAATCCATTTTCATATCTATTTAGGTAAATAGATAGGTATTTTCGAAACCCTCAATTTATTGTCATTTGTTCATGTTTCAATATGAAACCCATCAATCATTATGAGAGAATTTGATATTCTCTGAATCTTCCATCTCACAACATAATGTCTTCTATGCTTTACTGTTCAAATTTTTTATCGATATATTAGTATGGTAACGCAATCCAATGTACGATATATGTAACTCTGCAGAAGTAGCCACCAAATTATCTCTAGCCCACTTACTTGAAGATAGATGTCCAACACAAAACCGATCTCTCTGATCGTATGATATCCGAGTCGAATTGGCATGCATGCACGAGGCTACATTAATCTAAAAGAAAAAGTTCCTATGTTACAAAGCATATTTTGATTTGGAAATAAACACTAATGTCCTTAATATATCGGTCGGGTAGATGCAGATGAAGTCGATTATTCTGCATCCGAAGTGGCGGTGGACGAACCATTAAGTTGGGATTTCTATTGGGTTCCAGCTGTGCAATTGAAAGGGAATAAATCAGCGTTGAAGAATTGTACATTGATCAAAGCACGATTCGAGTCATCAACTTATTGGCACAGAATCACCTCACTTCTCACATCGTCATCGTCATCATATGGTATGCTATGCTATGCTATGCTATGGGTATCGCATTATCAACAAAAACGTACGTACGTACGTTGAGAATACCAATTATTCTCTCACACATGGCAGAGTAGATTGGAATGAAATTTGGAGGGGAAACTTGGAGGGAATTTTTAAAGAGCACAAAGGTAAGGAAGGAGGGGCAGAGTAAGTAAGATTTCGTTTGTTGAATGATTGAATGATTGATGAGATGCTTCTAGAATTAATTAATTTATTAGATGGATTTTAGATTTTACATGGTCGGGATGGATTTAATGTTGAGTAGGTATTGAAGAAACTTTAAACGAATAGGATAAGATGGGATGGGATGGGATGGGATGTAATGGGACGGAATGGGATGGATGCATTGGCATGTGTTTAATAAATAGCCTGTTATCGAATCAATCCGCCTTGCTTTGTGTCACGATAAGATTACTATGATCGCGAGATCAGTGGAGAGAGCTTGATTGGATGGGCTGGAGCTGGACTATGGCTTTTTTTTGGTGAAGAAGTAGATAGTACATAAGTAATAGTAGTAGTAGTATTGAATTGTATGAGCGTCCTTCCTTTGAAAATAGTTTGCGCAATATATATTTTAATTCTAAGAAATTTAGTTTAGTTTATTTTATTTGTATTTAATAAGTGTATAAATAATCTTATATTATATATTATATTATATTATATTATATTATATTATATTATATTATATTATATTATATTATATTATATTCTTATAAGTCTAATACTTTACTTTCAGATTATTTTTTTATATCAAAAATAACAATTTTCATCTATTAATATTTCAACAATTAATAAATTTTGAAAGTTTCAAATTTTTCACGATTTTATTCATCGAGATTTTGAAAAATTTCCATTTCCATTTTCAATTTGGATAAAATTTATACACAAATTTGAAAAACATTAAAATTTGAAATAAATTTTTAATATAAATTTTTTGGAAAATCTTGAAATTTTAAATAAATTATATAGAAAAACTTTTATTTATATTTATTTCTAGATTTTACAAGAATTAAAAATTATAATATTTTTCTAAAATTATTTTTCAAAATAAATTAATTCATTTGATCAATTATATTATAAATATTCGAAAAGAGTTTATAATTTATTTATTTTTAAGATTTTTTAAATTTGTATATAAATCCTATACAAATAGAAAATAAAATTTTTTAAGTTTATAGAATTTAATGAGATCAATTTCAAAAAATCTGAAATTTTCAGAATTGATTTATAACTATATATTGAATCTATGATTCAAATTATATCAAATTCTATTGATTGATTGTAAAGTTATTAATAGTTGAAAATGATGATTTTTGGTGTAAAAGGGTGGCCCAAAAGGGGGGGGTCTCAAAAGTAGGGTACTAGACTTATCTATTCAATACTTTCTAACACAGTCTATCCCATCTACATAGCACTATCTACTAGGTATAGATCCAAGTAATCCATTCATCCACCATCAGACCATCCATATATAATTACTCTCCAACTCCAATTCCAACTCCAACTCCATTACCATTACCAATCCACTCCCAATTCCATTCTTCAACCTCCAAGAACTCCCAAGAACTCAAGAACGCCAAGCACCTGCGCTCCAAGCAAACCAAATTGGAAAATTAAACCAGAAATGACATGACCAACAATATGAAATCCTAATGGGGTATCTTCTCTTTCCATACTATCTTCCCGTTCGTTCGTCCTTTCCCACATTCACACAACTTTTCATCGACCGATCCCTTACTTTAATTTCCTTCATCCTCTCCATCTCTTTCCACCCTTTCTGCGCCTCACTAATCTTCCCCCGTCCCGCTCACGCTCAAAGAAGTACGCAACGCAACACAGCCCAATACAACCCAATTAAACTCTTCGCATATCTCAATATCTGTCGATCAAAAGCGATCGGACCAAACATGAAATGAACCTATTCATACAAACCAATGCCAAGCTTCTATAGCTTCACAAAACATACATCATACATTACATTAAAACTTGTCATCTTAAAATCAAGACAAGACTTTCTCAATCTTCACCAATAATAAACCATCTGTCGAATTGCCCTTGACGTCTTTCAAAGGAATTAATCGATATCCCTGTTGAAGACGATCGAGTCGGATGCAAGCCCATGCTGCTAACTCATCTTTTGAATAATTGGCATCTTCAATTTTGAATCTGTAGGTGTAAGAGGAGTTAGTAAAATGACATGTTACGGTATGAGCTTAAATTGGAGATAGACTGATTGATTTGATTTGATCAATGAAATAGGAGAAAGAAATTATTAAGGTAACATTGCATATACATCATATATGAAGTAGACATGGAAAGAAAGTAATGGAATGATAAGGAACGCATGCATGGTAAGGAAACCACTTCAACAAAACGGAAATGATGAGCACCAAACAGGCAAATAATAGGATTGTGGTAGTCGAAAAAAGCCATGTACTACATGAATTGAAACTAGGAGCGAACTCATCGCATGGGAAGGGCTGAAAATTATTTGAATGATTCGATAAGATGAATGTTGGGGAACCACACCCGAGCAGCCAAGCGTCGGTAAGACTTTTATACTACTGCACCCCTAAATTGATCTGCATAGAACTTTGGAGCCATGCCCAGCCGGTTCCGGGCCGTTGAGCTGCTTGAAGATTGATTGAAGAAAGCCCCGAGGAGAAATTTGTATGTACCAGGCACTTGGGTAGAAGTTTCAAAAATCTGAGCGGTATGACATAATTGCAGATACATGATATGTCAACATATAATGATTAAATCATATAAACCTAGACCTTGTCTAGTTTCCTGTTTGTGTAACATTCGGAAGCATATAAATAAAGAAAAATGTTGAAGAAAAGTAGTGTAACATGTACTAACCTTACAAAGCTCAACTCCTCTACCACGTTCCTGATACCTTCAAAATGAAGAGTTTCGCCTTCATAATCAGGTTTGCTACCCGATTTGTAAGCCGTCTTGAGCTTGTGTTCACCTTCTTTTGCTTTGCCTCCATTTTCAATTGGTTGCCCATCGAGCTCTTCTTGGCTTTCAACGTGTAGCTCACATTTGACGTATGGATGAAAGCCTTTTTCAGTCTCGCCTTGAGGAAAGGGAACTTGTTGCCCAACGAATATGCTGATTTTCAAATCAAGGGTCTTGTAAGGAATAGCTGCACAAGATTCGGACGTTGCATCCTCGCTGCGGTAGCCTGGGGGTTTCAATATCCACCCTTGTGATCCGGCAAACATCCCTTCATTTAACATCATACCTTCATCCAAAGTCTGCCAATTCAAGGCAACCATTTGAATGCCTTTGCGCCAGCAGACCGAAGGGTCGAGATTAGATGAATCGAATCTTTTCCCAGCGGGAAATGCTCTCATGAAATAATTGCGATTATGAGCAAACATTTGTTCTCGATTTGATTCATGAAGTTCCAAGATCACTTTCTCGCCGACGGAAAATATGTGGGAAGGTTTTGTGGCTGCTCCAACATCAAACGACACAAAATGTTCGCTGTGAGTATAGATTCCAAGTTTCCCAAGGGTTTCGCAGATCTTTGCTCTCTTCTTTGAACTTGCTCGGTCGTCCTCAGAGCCTGAATGTCCAGATTCTGCATCTTTTGTTGAGATCACTGGTACCAATGTGTTGGATGACGCCTTCTTCTCTAGAGTATCCGTGTTTGTGGGAGATAATCCATTCGTGGATCCATTCGTGAGTTCGTTCAAATGCTCTGGTGCATCTTTCAACTCCGGAGCTTTCTTGACCTTGACCAAAATTTTATTAAGAAGCTCCTCAAGTCTAGGAACCCTTTCTTCCGGATTACATGTTTCGAATGGAGAGTCGAGTAGGAGACCTTCCCATTCTTCCTTCATGATATCAACCATTATTTCCTGTTGTTCATGATCGGCATGAACTTCTAAACTGACGATGATAGGAAGTGGGCTCGTTGTGAAGGCAGTTTCCCGAATTGCTTTGCAAACAGCTCTAAATCCCACCGGTGCTGTCAATGTCCAACCATGTAGAACCAAGGGTTCTCCAATCATCGATGATCGTATGGAGGCCGGCCTTCCACCATGTTCATCCTCATCCACAACCTTAAGTTTATCACCCGTGTTTGTCTTTGAAACTTTATGTTTACCCTCTAATTTCTCTTTAGCGATCTCCAACTTCCCTTTAGCACTCTCTAATTTCTCCTCCACCGTCAATATAGCTGCTGCTGCTCGACTAGAAAGTGTGCTTCCAGTCCCAGAAGGCTGCCGTTTGTGATCGGTTTTATTCGAAAATATTGATTTATCATCTTTCTCTGCCGCCTCTCCATTGTGTACATCTATTTCAATACATCGACAATTTTGTGTGAGAGCCTGATGGCAGTTAGCATAAAATCTTCATGATATCAAAATCCAACTTGCCGTTTTGTATGCTTCTGTAGAACTCCTTGATAGCAGCTGATTCCCCTCAAGATATGTATTATGACTACTACTGATGTAATAGTTGGTGATTGGTTTTGACTGATCTAACTCCGGGATACGTCTCATAACCTCTAATGAATGACTGTAGTACACTGACTCGAGAAATTGTTCGAATTTGTATGTATCTTTTTCCAGTGTGATTGTATGTCCCTGAACATCTGCCAACCACTTCTCAAATCGTTCTCTTCCTAGGCATGGTTCCGGACCTCTTAATTCATCGAAAAGCTTCCGTAAATATTCTTGAATCTCATGTGAAAGATAGACTGGCCGTGGGGGATCCCCTGCGGTGGTATTATTGAGAGGGGGAAGATGTACTCCATGGCCAGGGGTGAGCATTGTAGACATGGCTACAAGTTTGTGAAGAGAGAATTGCTTTCCGGAGGGCGTGAGGAGAGGCATGGTAGATATTCTATTATGAGAGCAGATAGTATTAGCAAATGAATTCTCATCCAACACATTGGAACCACAAATGAATGCAAGACACTGGGTCTAACAAGCAGATTTCTTGATCCATCGTGATTCACTTATATCGCCAAAACTACGGTGATCTTGACGTGTTTCGATCTCATTCAGTAGCCCACCTGCCCTCCCTGGTGGTGGTGGGGGGAAGATAGTCAAGCAAGATGCAAGATGGGAAAAGAAATAACTTACCTCCGGAACTTTTTCCTCAAAAACGAAACCATCTCTCCTTTAACATGAATTGTAGAAGTTGGTTTGAATCCTACATGAGGAGTGTATGATTATGATGAATAAACTTTTGAATGATTTACGAAGCAGGGAATGAATTCTTTGATTATCAAAGGAGCCAAGACGAGGCTCGTTCAGCTGCTGGGTACAAACGTACTATGATTCTGTTACTATTCTTAAATGCTGACAAGGCTAGAACCAGGTGGGTACAAATGTTTTGATGACGGTAGGTTGAAGGGAAGTACAGCCAAAGCCATGATAGCAAAATGACATATGTATATGTATCGTGAGACAAGATTTGAGCGAATGTTATGAAGGAGAGATGTGGGTGGGTAAATCATGCTGATCGTTGATAGTTTTCTATGGATGGATATTAAGTTCCAAGTTGATGAATGTTTACTAGGTAAGGTTATTTATTTTTAAGTATTTTTATTTGTTTAAAGCTCTTTGTTATGAGTTCTCCACTTGCTTGCTTGTTTGAAAGCTAATAACCCCGGGCCGTACCTTTTTGCTGGTGTTCCTTGGCTACCATATGGCCGGTGATAGCGGGATGGCATCGCTGGAACACGCTATTAAAGCCTACTGAAGCGCTGAACTATCTGTCTATGAGTGCTTCGCACCATGTCGTGTCAAGCTTTGCGAAGTCTATAGAATCGACACTAACTGGAGCACATTGCCGCGGAAGCACTCCTAAACACCATCTACAGACAACTGACTGGTTCGTGCTAGAGTAACAAGCTTTTCAGGGTTTTATTTGTGGAGTCTTCAATTTGCCCCCTCAGCCCATCATCTATCTTCCGTACTCGAGTTCACAACACCATAACACCGCCTCGCTACATATCATATTCCATAACCCCCTCCATCGAAAACATCCACGGCCTCGGAAACAAAAGTTCAATTGGAGGAGAAGCTTCGTGCCTGGGGATTGTCATCAGCATTTACTTGGACGGATGCTCCGTGAGTGAGAGACCCATCCCATCCACTTTACGGAGTGCACACAGCCTCAACTACTCCACAATACTCCATAACAAGGCTGATTCTAACTTTTAACTTCGCCTCATTTAAGAAATACTCATTATAATCCACATTCCCATGATGGCTTAACTACGCATCTCATCGTGAATGGTCAACTTACCATTACCTATCCGAAAGACGAGGATGCTCAAAAGGTTACATATGGTGTTGGTGATAGAATTGATGTTGATGCTGGGAGGGTTCATGAAGTATGGATTGGTCCTGAAGGTTGTACGTATGTAATTGGAGAATGAAGCGGGTGCTACCTTTCGTTGCTCTTTTGTCTCTTGGTCTCTTGGTCTCTTGATCCCGCATATCTATACTATGTGTTTGAATGCTTCATGACATGATTGATAAGCAACATAACATGGCAACGGTGATGGCGATGATGATGGCGATGATGATGAATAAGGTAACTATGTAAGATCTTGGGGAACTTCGACAAAATTACAAATACTCTGGAATGAGTTCATACATCTATTATCAAACTTTAGCCAAGACTGGTGGACCCTGCGTTCACATTACCACGAGCTGCATATAGGGCTGATGCGACGATAGCAATATATCTATCTATATTGCTATTTCTATTTATGTTATTCGTGACAATTCCTCGTCTCTTTGATACTATTCAAATGACATCAAACACTCTACAAATTGTTCCTGGATTTATTGTCATACATTTCTTTCCTTTGTATATGTTTCCTTCTAACCGACACGAATCCAATTCAGAAGTGCTGAGATGGTATATTAACATCTTTCGTACTTTGCTTTCCACATCAGAGACAGATCCCCCATAGCGGTGGAGTTTTCTAACCAATTTATACTTGATTGCATTGGTTAGCTAGCGCTAGCTTCCCGGAGGAGACTGATTTCGATTGATCCCACTCCTTCCCTACAAAAGTGTAGTATGATAGCAGGAACAACTGGTAGGAAAAAGTCAGCAGTTACACTATCCAAGTACATAATATCAATTCCCATCTATTATTTTATTTTACATTACCCAAATGCAAATTCCCATCTTCGATAAACTTTCATAATTGATGGCATTCATATTACGAGCACCATCAACACTTCTCTTACTATTGTCTGGGTCCAACTTACACCGCATCCATTGTCTGAAATTGATAATCCTCGACTTTAATGATTCCTCTTAATCAAACAATCTTTAAGAATATTTCCATCTTCATGTGCACTTCTCAATTCCAATCATCCTTTCAACACCCACCTTCTAATCCCAATCATTCCTCCAACAATTACTCCCATCCCACCACCCGAAACCCGAAACCCAAAACCCAAAACCTCAAATTCAAACTCAAACACCAAACATCAACTCAAAAATGCCACCCACCACAAACCCCACAAACCAACCCCTTAACATCCCCAACAACTCATCTATCTATACATCCTACTACCAACAACTCAAACTCCATTTCTCCAAGAATCAAACCCGATTCGACTCGACTCTGGAAAGACCACCCAGATGAACCGATCATGATGAACTCACATTAAAAGCACTATTGGAAGTAGATAATGATCCATTAAGAATCTTAATCGTAATCGTACATTCTCCGAAATTACCATCTACGCCGACGAAAAAGGGAGATTCTTTGAAAAGTGTTAAATCAACCAGCCATGGATGATATAGTTCATGAGTATAAAGTCCCTGAACTTGGCAGAGACCAGAAGAGTTTAAGAGCTCATGGGGCGGGAGTTATAGATAATGATTCTTGTATAGATAAGTTTCGAGTTTTGGGTACAAATGACAAATCGCAGGATATTGGTAATAATAACAGTTGATCAGAGCTGGTTGTTTGTATCGAGGAGGCTACTCTACTTTGTATGGACACAAACTTGTATTTTGGTACTCATCTAGTACTGGGAAGCTGGCACTGTCAATTTACTTTGGAAACAAGCTTAAGTAAGACGGAGATAGTTATTCAACTAATTATCCTTTCTTTCCTCCTGGCAAATATCAGCGAGTTTCTGAGCTCACAGGAATTTTGCGTGGATTAGTTATATAAAGGTGTACTTTATACTTGAGCTTCATATTGGAAAAGATGAAGTAGTGGTGTTATTAGTCATCAAGTTTCTAAATATCATCCAACAGGACTTTATATCTATTTAAAGAGAGAGAGAGTCAACGATTAATAATCATTTATTATTTAGATAGCGATATAATACTTCGTTACATTATGAATAGACTATTTGCAATTAAATACTCAAATGAAGTACTAATTACCTAGTAGGTATACAAAGAAAACATCAGAAACATTTCTATTTAAGATTACTTTAGTAGTATAGATATCTACTTAATCTAGTAACGACTTCACTTCCAAATGAATACCTATAATAACAGCCTTAACCCAAAACTACCAACCAGACGAACCTCAGACAACCGCTGCCTCGACCAGAACATTACATTTATATACAAATTTGAAAATCTTGAAAATCTTGAATAACTTTTCAATAAAAATTGCTAAAAATAAATTATAAATTTTTTTAGAATTTTTAGATTAAATGTTATATAACAGATCAATATTTTGAATTTTAAATAATATAAATGAATCTCTATTGATATTTTTAGATTTTACAAAGATTAAAAATTATAACATTTTCATTAAAAGGACTTCTGTATAATATTTTTTAAAATAAATTAATCTATTTGATCAATTATGATATAAATATTCCCAAAAAAAATAATATAATATATTTTTAATTATTTTTGTTGAAAAGTTATTCAAGATTTTAAAGATTTTGTAAATTTGTATGTAAATCCTATATAAATCAAAAATCACAAAATTTAAGATTATAAATCTTAATGAAATTAATTCCAAAAAATCTAAAATTTTCAGAATTGAGTTGTAACTATATAATGAATCTACGATTCAAATTTCATCAAATTCTATTGACTAGTTGTAAAATTATTAATAGATGGAAATCACAATTTTTGGTGTAAAGAGGTGGTCCATATTAGGGGTGGTCCAAAAAGGGGGTACTAGACTTAATTCCTAAGTAGATTACAGAACTCGTTCTCTGCAGCCGGACTATCACCCATGATTCTATTACTGTTCTCGCGAATATTGAACATGATCGAAGTACCAACATCATCACCTTCACACCATAATTCAGCGCGGCGGTTCGCATCTCATGGTTTTCCCCTGCGAAGCAAACATCGGTCTTTTTTGGTAAACCAAAATGCATGATCAGACTCCTATTTTCCAAAGACAAATCAGGAATCGAGATCTTTGTAATCACCTTCATCATGCACTAATACACTTTCGATTACTAAAGATATGAAATCTCAAAATGTCATGGGGTTGTCAAAATCAAGTAGATGTACTCAACGTCACAATATGCAATGCTCCGTCTAGGCTTACAAAATGTTAAAAAATAGGTGAAAAATCATAAGTATTTGCCACTAAACTTACACACTGCAGCCTCTCCTACTCTTTCTTACAAAGCCACTGATATCACTTTTGTGCCTTCCAAGCGTGCCAACCTGCTGCTACCCTTGTTTGTTTGATGCTTCTCTGAACTGGATCATGTTTATGAGAATCATCAGGTGTCTTCTTCGCATTTGCTTTTCGTATCTTCTCGAGATTTTTGACAAATTTTCTTTGATCCTTGGCCAGTGCAATATATTTCCCACCAAATCTGCGTTCTGCTATTTCGAGTAATTGTAATACCTCGTAGTCACGACCTCCTGCTTTACTTATAAAGTTTAATAGACGGTCGGGATTTCCGTCAAGTTCCATTTTTTGCCGGAGCAATCGTTCTTGTCGTGCCGGATCAATATCACCATATGCAAGGTTGTCCACACGCCATCCATATACTTGAGCTGCCTTTTGAGGGGCACGAGTAGGTGAGTATTCTGGAGAGTGCAACGCTTCATAATATAATCGATCGACTCTTTCTGCACGTTCTTTGTATGCAATAGTATTGATTCCATCAGTCTTCTGATTGGACCTTAAAACTTTTGCCACTGAAATAAATTCTCCAGGGGACTTGATGATTTCCGCGTACTTGAATAAATACTTCTCGTAGAGTGATGTTTCAGTACCTTTCCATAGCTCTGCGCGTCGATGATAAATTTCGGCATGTGGAACTTCGAAGGTGCCGTCACAGTATGCTTCAATGTGCAACAATTTCTCCCAGAGATTATCTGCTTTTTGAAGGCGTGCAAAACGAGCTTCGTCGGTTTCATTGTGAGGTACGTTGACAGCCAGGTTTGTGGCCGCCATTGATAGCACAAATGCAGATTTACAATCGGTTTTAAGTGCAAGTTCATAACACGCAGAGGCTGCTTCGTGAGCGCCAGCCTCTCTGTGTCTTGTACCTAATATGCATAAACAGCTGGCCAAGTCGTCTGGTCCTGGAAGGGAATTTTGAAAGGAAACTTGTACGAGGGCACGTAGTTCCGGAAGTGTCTTCATCCAATTTGCTCTCCCCGTAAATTCTTCCCAGTTGGTAGCCGGGCCATTGATAATTTTACGGCGGTGACATAAATTCAATTTTTGCGGGGAATGAAACATATCTTCTGCTTCCTTTGCTTGACCAGCTAGTCCCAGAGCTGATTCAATGACGTCTTCAGTTGCCCCTCGACGTAAATATTTTAATGACCCAGCAAAGTCTTGCAGATCATATAAGACCAATCCATACTCAATCCAAAAATCATCAATAATATTTTCTCCGGCAATTTCTACCATTCGATCAACGGCAACTTTTGCTGCTGCAGGTTGCTTCAATTTGCGCAAGGCACGGCTTTGAAAGTAAAGACCTTTAGCACATTCCTCTAATGATGGATTTCTGAGGAATATATCGAGCGCTGCTCCAGGTCGATGATCGTTTAGAAGTGCTTCAATGGTCCAAAGCTTTTTTTCTACGTCGCTTGCCAAACCCGGCATTGCTTCTAAACGTTGATATATTTGGCTGGCTTCACTATAATGTTCTGTTTCAAACAATCCTTTAGCCAAGTGTTTCAAAAGTAGTGCATGATTTGGATTCTCGTGTAAATATCCCTGGGCAATGACTGCCGCGTCCTCAAATAACCCAGCTGATGATAATCCATTAACACATGCAATTGCATAATCGGGAGATTCAAATGAATCAACTGCAGTGTTTATTGATAGATTGGCACCTCCAAGCAAGGAAGAGGTTGAAGATGAGGACGTCAAGGGTGAGGGTTGCTCGCTAGATTCATGCGAGTTAATAGAGAGCCTCGAGAACATGGCAGCATAACGTTACTCAAATATATTTACTCAATAAAAATGGCTAGAATCAAGGTTGTCGAAGACGACGAAACCATCTACACTCAGAACGAGGTTTTGGAGAGGTGCGACGTCGCTGAAATCTTCAAGTACCGAGTTTTTGCAAACGAGTTCATAAGTTCTTTGTTCCCCAGATCATAGATGGCCAGCCTTGTTCTTTGTGACTGCACGAAAAAGCACACAATAATTTTGCACTCAAAGGCGAGGCTTGATGTATAATAAGGCTGAAATAAATTACTAGCGCTTTGGACGAACAACTAAAAAAGAAGCGGGGAGGAATAGACTTTGAGGAAAAACAAAAGCAAAAAATTAAAGGTGCCCTCAGATAAGCTCTCAAGTTCTCATTGCGAACACTTTCCATCTTATATAGCCCCAAGGCAGTGATAAGACAGTAGGTTGGCCTGCAAATTTGGCTTTTTGGACACGTTTGGTCATCACCGGGCAAAGAAATAAACTCCCATGAACCTCCACATCGACACTATCGAAGTTTGTAACGGATGATCACAAGAATGATTGAAAATATGAAACTAGATCTCGTTAGCACCGGCTTGACTTTTCATTTGGAAAACCGGAGATCTCGTTCAAACCTGCGGCATGAAATATATGGTTGTGATAAGAGATGAAATGGGTTTGTTCTTACCAAGCTACTCCGATTGAAAACTATTTTCCACTTTCAGCGATAATTCTTGTGCAAATGTACCATCACAATCAATGCCCACAGCCTTCATTACTGATTTCTCAATAACTTAACCGGCGAAATCAAAGCGGTAGAACATAGCGAACATCTCAAGAGGAGCTGATTGTCGTCATTGTGGCTCGATTCAAATAATAGAAGCATAACCTGCAACCGCCATACAAGAAAACAAAGGTAATCGAGGTGAAGAGATTGGAAGCCTGCTAAGATTTCTGTTCATCCATTCACACATTCCTAACCTTATGATTTCTCAAAATGCTAAGTAGTGTAAGCTCAATGAGGGTTCTCGTCACTGCAGGTTGTTGTTGTTGTTGTTGTTGTTGAGAAGAAATTGATATTTCAGGCGCGTTACTGATATGCACAACGCGTTGTTGCCAGGCTAGAAACACACTAGAAAATGCACTACTGTACTCGTGGGCCCAAGCTCAATTGCACAAGGTTGTTAACCTGTGAGAAGTAAATATAAATAAATATATCTAGACGCAGTTACTCCACCATAGCGCAACCTCAAAGCCCCAGTTACAATCGTATAATCCACGGAGGCTCATCGCAATCATGGTAATTCTATCACCTCAAGTCTTTGCATAATGACTGCTAACATTTCTAGGCGCGTAATTCAGAAAAAGCCCAGTCGATGCTGTTCCGCTTCAGGGAAGCGCAACAAGCAGAATTAGGCATCATTGATGCTGGGAGGACGCGACGGCCAAAGATGATAACGGAAGTCTCATCCATACCGGCATGCGAAAAATGGAGAGGTCAGGTTCTGAAAGAGATCTCCCGCAAAGTCAGCAAGATCCAGGATCCAAGCTTAAGTGACTTTATGATTCGAGATTTGAACGATGAAATCAACAAGGCCATGAGGGAAAAATTTATGTGGGAGGTCCAAATCAAGAATTTAGGGGGTCCTAACTATATGCGGGGAGGAGGGAAAGTTTATGATGAAGAAGGACGAGAGATACCAGGTGGTGGGAAGGGTTATAGGTATGTATCCATGTGATTCTGGATTATGTGCGAACGATGCTAATGGTGGATTCCGTGTCCAGGTATTTTGGGCGTGCTAGAGAGCTACCTGGAGTCAAAGAAATGTTTGAAGCTGCAACGATAAAACCTCGCGAGGACCAACCTCTAGAATCAAGAGTAGACTTGCGAAAACAAGTCGATGCTTCGTATTATGGTTACAACCTCGACGAAGAAGACGGCACTTTACTAGATTATGAGATACAAAAGGAAAAGGAAGCTTACGAGAACCTTCTGGAAGGCAAAGACAGTAAAGCCCCGGATGGTTGGGAACCATTACCAGGCGATGCAGGCGATGGCATAGGGTGGAGACTACCCACAAGCGAAGAAGTTCAGGAAGAGCTCGTCGATAGACGACGAAGACGATTACTGGACAAACTGGGATGACAGGACACGCCACCGAGTTGTAAAGCTTTTATTGCTTCCAAATACGAGAATTCAAGTCGTCTATATTCCTAACCCCGGAGTGAGCCTTTCGATTGCCCGACTAGATTTGAAGACGCAAAAAATCGAAAAAATCCATATGAATTTATTGCATGTCATCACGACGAGCTTGGGCGATATTTGTGAATACTAAGTGCTTTAAGCAGCCTTGAGCCGTATCTTTTCCATGAGATCACCAGATATGCATTGTGTGCAGTTTTCATGTCTTGATAAACTTGATGAATCCATAATGTCAAAAAATCAAAGTGTCTAGTGCGCCAGGCAAAGTCCCAACATCCGCCTTAGTTCGAAGCGCTAAAAATGGTAATACACGGCACTCGAATACATCGGGAGATGTCCTCATATATCTTCCAAATGCCCAATTGCTGTTTACATGTTCTCAACTTCTTCAAAGCGCGTATTGTGGAATACCCTTTATCCAAATCTCGTCGATATTACCCCGATACCGCTCAAATGCGACTTTCAATCCAAGACTGCTCAACTTGACTTCTGCAAGAATATCCGACCCTGCTGTTGAGTTCAATGGCATGGTAATGCGAACATTGTCCTTCCGTAAAGGGCTTAGAGAGCGTTTGGGAATCTTGATACGAGTATGATCGGCTGATGTAATATCAGTAAACACTTCTCTGAACGAAACTGAATACATACCTTCGATGGATTTACGCTCTGTCTTTGATAATTTTTGTGCGGATACATCATAGACAATCGCATTCCTCGTCTCCCAGCTGTTTGTTCGTTTGGGTTTTCTATCGGTGTAATCGGTCGTCGAACTAATCGATTCAGTGAGTCCTGAGGTCCTTGGCATCGTGAATAGTGAATGATTGTATCACAGTGCGATTCCGGTGTGTAGTTAGATTGACTATCGAATTGATCGCTAATATTGACCGTGGGAGAAAGCGGAACTCTTCTGACAATATACCAGATTTTCTGTGAAAGCCTTGAGAGGCTCTGCAAGGCAGATTATCAAAAATTGGTCATGGGCATATATTGTGCCGTCACCGCTGCATCTCACCCTATCCAAATTTATCCTGACATTGTTTCGCTCTCCCATGAAAGCTGATCATTCATTCACGTAGTCTGCCTTAGAAGGCAGATTGCTTCCAGATTTAGGCAGTCTGCCTCGTAAACTGCCACCATGTGTTACTTCATGCAGGCTAATGAGCGCCAGCTTAGTTTCTTTCTTTAGCCAATCTTTTCATAGCAGTCTTCAAGGATTTAGCTGCCGCTGCTTAGTTTCACCAAATTCCTCCTCAGTGTCGACTTTGACAACGCCTTGTGCCGTTTTCTATTTTCTAGCACAGGCTTGGGAAGTCTTATCGCCAATGATGGATGATTGGTAGGGCTTGATGAAGTATGAACACAGAGGACTGTCCCCAGAAAGATTTACGGCACGAACCATCAGCAAGGCTGGTGGATAGATGCATACTTAATCCACCACAAAGTCTCCGTGTACTCCCTCCTTCGAACGGTCGCGATTAGGGGCAATGTGACTCGAGCCTCATCGTTCAAATTTCCACATTGGGCCACATGGCCGCAGTTTAAAGGATCTTGCCACAAATGAAGACACTGTCATACATTAACCTATTGACTTCGTGATGATGCCTTACTCAGCCACCAGATTTCAAATGTTTTTGGGGGCATTTTGCTAAAACCATAATTGAAGCAGAGCCTCATGCAATTTCATGCAATTTGGCTTGCCATTGCAGGGCTGCAATCTTCTCATTGGGAAGGTACTCGAGGAATCCCCAAGCACAAAAGTGGTGGGTCTCCCAGAACTGGTTCGTTCAGTCTCTTGAAAATTTAACTGAATCATAATGGATGGAAGATTACTGACACCGTGGGATCTAGACGTATCAAGACCCATGGGACAATCGACCGGCGATGAAACCTCACGTTGCTCCAGTCGTTTGGACTCGATCATGACCTCGTCGGCCATCACTCCAAGTACTACTCCAACCAAACAAGCTGATCGGTCCATAAGCCACAGCCCAAGTAGCAATACCTGTCGCGATAATCCTTGGAATAAGAAATATATCCTTACACTAGGTATAACACAAATCAATCTTAACTCTACAGACCCAACTAATCGAAGACATACAGATGGTGGGGGTGTGCGTGGCTTATCCACTTTATATATCATCCAACAACTTATGGTGCTTTGCAGCTCTTTCGAACAGAGCCAAGATCCACTGGTCCAGTCAAGTTTCCATCCACGTCAATTTGAGGAAGGTCAAGGGTCAAATGTCGGCAACGAAAATTCGGGGAGCACCAAATTTTTACCGGTTCATTATTTTGACTATGTCGGTAAGGGATTGTTACCTCTATAACATTAGCAGTCATGGCCTAATATCTTTACAGCGGGTACAAGTACTGGAGGGTTGATTGCTATAATGTTAAGCCGACTACGAATGAACATCGATGACTGTATCCGAGAATACCAGGATTTTGGAGAGAAAATATTTGGTCAACCACGAAAACTTTCAATGCGGGGCCCCATACCATGGAACCGGGAAAAATACGACCACCGCAAGCTCGAGGAGGTTATAAAAGATGTCGTCAAAAGGAGAGATTGGAAACAAGATCAGTTTACAGATTCTGTTTTTTATTCTAACCCAGAGCGCTGTCGAACGTATGCCTCCAGATTCTCTTTAGCTTTATCGTACTAATTTTCAAAGAATCGTATTTGCAGTCAGAGAAAATGCATCCGCTAATGCGCCCTACCTCTTTCGAACATATGAGCATCTCAAATCACAATCCAACTCTTGTGAAGAACTTAATCCGGGCCGCCCTCACTATATCCCTATATGGCAAATCGCTCGAGCAACAACTGCAGCACCGACATACTTCAAACCATCTCAAATCAACAAAGAACGGTTTGTAGATGGCGGATATGGCTATAATAACCCCACCTTGCGAGCATTTTCGGAGGTCGAGCAAGTTCATGGCGAAGGTACCACCGCCCTCATACTTAGCATCGGTACTGGTCGACCTACAAAAGTTGCGCCAATAGCCAGGAAAGATAGTGGACTAATAAATCGCTATCGACAAATGATTAAATACACCGCAGCTACAACTACCGACTCGGAGCCCATCCATGAACATGTTAAGGGCCTGACCTCGGGTCGATGTACTTATGAGCGTCTCAATGTCGACGGCGGGCTCGGTGATATAAATCTTGGGGAGTGGCGTATTCATAATAAGAAAAACATGACGCTTGAAACGATACGAGAACAAACACTTGCATATCTCGATCAACCCGAGGTTAGTATACGAATGGAAAAAGTCGCTAAAATGCTAGTGAAAAATCGCCAAGAGAGGTCTAGGACTCCTAGATGGGATATTGTGGCTACAGGTCATAGATACCACTGTCCTGAGGGATGCGACAAAGAGATGATCTTTACAAGGGAAGATGATTTGAGAGCCCATCTTTGTGGTGCTCATGGGTTTTCTAGTACCCCTCGGGACTCGGATGAGTGGATTAGACTGGAGAAGGCGATAAACACGGGGAGAATCTTGCATGCCGATTAGAATGTTGTATCTGTTGTACCTGCATTTCTTTACTTGCTTCTATATTTTGCATTTTGTGGGAGACTTATGATTGGGTAATAATGCAAGGAAATATGTCAGGGCTTGGTCTGAGTGATTTGGAGAATAAGGTTGGCGTTGATGTTTGTTTTAAGATACCACGTTGTTTTTCTTTATGAAGAGGCTCAATTCTCTCATGGTTGATTATATTATTTTGCCCATTATGGATATCTATGTACCAATTTAAAGATGTGGAGGTCCATATAGACAGTAAAACCGTCCCAATAAGTTTCATATTGCTCTCTTAAGCGATCTATGGGTTAAACATTATATCTATTCAAGTTAATGTAATCTTGTCCACGATACTAGTCCTCAATATATGTAGAACCCCCTACGCACGTCGGATGAGCACTATGCCAAGTTTCCTGCCAAAAATACTTAGGTTGAAAGCTATCATCTAAACTATTGCTGAACCAACCAACTAATTATACTAATAACCACAAAGTCAGATTAATACCTAGGTATCCTATCAAATCCCGATGATCAGGATAAATATCATATCACTGCAAAATCCGATTCAACTACAACTACAACTATCTCTCGATAGGTATTCGAGCTAAATAATCGTTAATTGCCTACTCATCTATTGTATAGGATGACAGTCAGTCAGTAGATAGTGATGTATCATCTGAATGGCAGGCAGTTCGGCACTTTCTTTACATTGTTGGGGTCTGGAGTATTTCGATTGTGTTCGTTTTATTCATGCTCGAGGGTGTGGTTGTGTTGTAATGATATTAGTTTTACGTATATGTATATATGTGTATGATTGGAGAGGTGAGATCATATCTCTACTCATCATGCATCATGTAAATAGCATCAATATATATACCATCTTTATACAATATCCTCCACCAAAGAACAAATACCATCAATACCACTAAGATATCAATCTATCTAATTATCCCTCTCCATTTAACACATATCAACCCATCAAGCACCAAACCCCACACGAAAACCAACCAGCAAACTCATAAACCAACGACCCACCAAAAGCCAAACAATGAATGTTTTGGACTCGCCCCTCGCCCCTCCTCCCTCTCCCCCTCCGAAAAGCTACTAAACAATCGCAATCACAATCACACTACGATTCTCGATACCATTGCACCTGCAAATAATTTCAACCGGCAAAATCAACATCAACATCAACAGCAAAATCTTAGTTCTTTGATCATGAAGCAACGCTATGCTATGCTATATTTTCTTCTTCTTCTTCTCATTCCTCTTCGAAAAAGTGATATTGCATAATATTACTAGAGTAGGTAGGCAAGATTAGATCTGTGTGTAATTTCTCGCTAACGTGAAATAATTTTATTTTTATTAGTCTTAACCATCTCATTTATTCTTAATTATTCAAGCTATGGAATTGGTTCTAAGTAGATATATAATTAAAAGAATAGATCTAATGCAGGAGGTATCGATCTTAAGCGCCATCCTTTATCAATTTTCTTGACATAATATACATTTAGTATACGCGTTTGATATACAATGTATGATTCGTCCATTCTCACAAAACCCCCAAGTCCTCGCTTTCCCTGTTATAGGAGAGAAAAAAAACCCCCCCTTCCCCAAACGCCACGCTCATGCAAATGCTTTTTTCAATTCATTTTCCTCATTACTCAACTTGCTCTGGAAACGGATTTTGATCATCGTACTTGACCAACTCACTACCATCCCCAGAATACCCTATCGTATCGCGATTATCGTCAATTATACGGGCGTATTCAATTAGAAGTCTGAAGAGATAGATCTATGTTTTTCTTCGATTAGCACCATCCATCCACTATGGCTTGCGTCCAGCTGACGGATTAAACTCACCTCAATATCCTCTTTTCTCAAAACCTTATTCGCCCATTCTCTTCCTTGTCTTCCTAACTTTCTCGCCTCGAAATCATGTCTTTGTACATAAGGCTTCCCATCTTTGCCTTTCGAGTTTGCATCTCCCAATCCAATAAAATAGGTGAGGATACTATACAATTCGTCGTATCGGTTATCTAGTGGAACAAAATGCCTCCATGCAAATAACCGACTATCATGCCATTCCCTGAATATGGTACTTTTGATACCCAGTCCCTTGCTTTTGAGAAATGCGTGCCAACGGCCGGAGAACGAATGGCCGTCAACGTCGATGAGATATTTATTCTTAAATTGGTTGGTAAGTTCCACACCAGGCTTGTAGGTCCATACATCGTCGTAAAAGCTACAGTTTGGTACACAGGAAGCGGGCTCAGTGAAGCCCGCATCCGTATATTTTGTGGCAAATTCGCTAGGTTGAAATTGGTCATAAGGTTTGTATGTACCTGGATTGTTCGGATCCATGGCCATAATCTCCACATTCGTATCTTTCATAACAGTCCCGTTGGTGAGTAAAACTAGTCTTTGACGATGCATCCTCTTCCAAGTTTCTGCTGTATTAGTCCCGCCAGAAGTGACACCCCTCCAAATCATATTATCCTCCTTGTCGTCCCATCCTACGTCACCCGCCGGGTTGTAGGCATATCTAGCATCATCATACTCGTAGTATTTGTTCGCAGGAAATAGAATATCATTATTGATATTCACTTTACATTCTCCAAATACAGGTAGTGGAAGCTTGCTGGCCGTTACTGTGCTGCTTGCATATAAAAACCCATGCAAATCTTGAACTTCAGGGCCGATTGTGCAGAGATCAGAAGAAAGATTGAAATTTGTAATAAATCCTCCCTCTGAACTTTTATAGGTGGCCTCTGCAGCGGATTGAGACAGTGACTCTCGGGCATGAGATTCCGGTGGGCAGGCTTCTTTTGCAATCAACATATATTGCTGACCAGGTGCTCTGAACCACTCTGGGTCTTTCAACAGAGGTTCAGTCTCCCCTTCATTAAATAAGGATGCGCCCTTTTGCCACAGCCCAGACATATTTTTAGTGAAATCAGCGACAGCTTCCGGCAACATAAGTCTACTTGCAGTTTCATTGGCAAGTAGAGCTTGCAAATCATTCCATGGTATCGCTAGTCGTGGTTGGTCTAACCTGTTCATGGCAATATCCATATCCGGCAGGTATTGGACAAAGGGCTCAATCATATCTCGCATAGTCTCTGCCCTCCAATTTTCATTGCTCAACTTCCAAACTTTCCCAGATCGTATGTGGATTCCAGAAATTCCGTCATCATGATTGGCATGGAGATGTGCCGCTTGAGATCGAATAATAGCGGGATCGACTCCCCAAAATGGACGTAGGTCATCCATAACTTGATTAAAATCATCAATATTATAGATCTTCCTATCCCGAGCATATTTATACCACTCCTTGAATTTGGGCGGTGGATGCCTTCCATGTTTCCTTCTATATTTCGAAACAGTCTCCTTGAAAGTTTTCGATCTGCTTTCGTCATAAACTCGAAATGCTTCATCCGCCTCTTTCATAAGTGCAGCTATGGGATGTTGGTCTGCAATCACACCCACCACCTCTTGACCTTGATGCGACGAGGGCGATTTTGTGGACTACGGAAGATAAAATTAGCCAAGTCAGGGGAGTTTGTTTTGGTAGAGGCGCAGAAAATACTAACATCAGGCTGTGGCTTATTTTTCAAACCTGGTATAGGGATCTTTTTCACATTTGATTGCACATCTGTGCCAGAGAGCATGGAAAGATTGAAGAGAAGGATTATAAGACCAGTGACGACTAGAAAGAGGAAAACCCGCCGCTGACCGCGATCAAGTCCCATGGTGCCGAATTGAGGTGTACTGGTGTACCTTCTCAAGTTTAATGTCGTTTATAGAATTGATGGGCGCATTCGAATATGTCAGAAGTGGGCGTGTGTCATAAAATTATTTTAAATGATAAAAGCATTGAACAGGCCATTAGAAAAGAACGTATGCTGTAGTTTGTGTGATGAAGTTATGGGTTACAACATGGAGAAGAGAAATTTGTCGATGTTGATTCCTCAAATGTTAGTTAGGTCAGTTTAGTTGTGTTCCCGCCCCTGATGTGATCTACTAAAAGTGGAAAATGGAACTTCCCTACGCTGAAAGAAGCTTAAATTGACGTAGCTCGGCCACTGGTGGGCTCTCATTTCAGGCTATCTTCAGGGATGAAATACCTAGAATTTGATTAGAACCCCTCGGGAAGACAGTTCGGGCCAATTCGACGTTAGGAAATTAAAGCAGCAACAGTTTAAACACTCAATTAGCTTGAACTTTGAGGGAAAAAAGCTCTCATCCAATGTTAAAAGTTTAAAGCAGCAACAAACTTCTGAACATCCAATCAGGAAGCAAACCAACAAATTTCACTCAGAAACTCATAGCGAGGCTCGATTTTGACATCATTCGAGACATCACAGCCTACTCACTTTTCTTCCTCCCTCTACAACAATCATGCCTCCACAATTACCAGCGCTTACCGTGTATTGTCGCTCAGCGCCGACATTGGCCACTCCTCTGGCTGCATTTCTTGCGCCATCTATGCAAGCTCGAAGCGCTTCGATTCTTGCAACTCTGTCGGATAATCCTGGGGCATATAATAAACGTATACGAAAAGGTCGAGGTCCATCATCAGGCAAGGGAAAGACATCAGGGCGTGGTCACAAGGGTCAGAAGCAGCATGGAAAAGTACCAGCACGGTTTCAGGGTGGTCAAACACCACAAGATGTCGTCCATGGTGTGAGGGGATTTGAGAATCAGTATGAATCTCCCACTTTTTCTATGCCCAATTGAGATTTACTATTCATTCCGAGAAGTATTCATGCCAGCAAGACTAATTTATTTCTCAGTTTTTCTGTTGACATGTCTCCGATAAATCTTAATCGCATACAAGATTGGATTGACCAGGGCCGACTCGATCCCACACGAACTATCACTTTGAAGGAGTTAGCAGACTCTCGATGTTTACACGGAATGAAAGACGGTGTAAAACTACTAGCGAGGGGGAAGGAGGAGTTGAAGACACCAATCAATATTCTAGTATCTCGGGCTTCGGCAGCGGCAATCGAGGCAGTGGAGGCGATTGGAGGAACAGTTACAACCAGATTCTACACAAAACCAGCGATTAAGAGACTTTTGGCAGGCGAATCTGTCTCCAGTTCCGTCCCACTTTCAGCAATCGACGCCCAGTTAGTCAGCGACTCACCAATCCTCACGGCCGCTTCTGCCGCGTCACCTTTTTCGTACCGCTTGCCTGATCCCACGAGTCGTAAAGATATTGAATATTACAGAGATTCGGCGCATAGGGGATACTTAAGCCATCAAGTGGAGGAGGGTCAAGGACCAAGTTTGTTCTTTAGAGCTCCTCGAACTGGAAGTTTCCACAAGAAGTCGAAGAAAACAGGTACAGCTGCTGCGGCGAGGGATAACAGAATCTGGTAGACGATACCATTGTATATTAAAATCATGGAACGGCTGTGTCGTATGGTTTGCAGTTCATAGTAGGCTGAAGTTTCTTCTCTGTCTTACCGACCTTCATAATTCAGCGTCAAGGACAGCAGGCGGCGCCGATTCATTCCGATTTTCGCAACTATGCCCATTCCTCTGCAGGCATACCATATCACGATTCAACGAGAAGAAGACAGACCAAGTTGCACGAGCCTTGGCCTCATTTATAGTTCTGGTATGGCTCGCAGCTTTGGATTTAGGTCCGATTTGGCGAAGAAATCAAAGTGCAATGCATTTGTAGTAACCTGGAAAGTTTCGAAAGAATGCCTCGCGTACTGCTTTTGCGCCAACAGACATGAAGAATTGTAGAATCTTACCTATATTGCCTATGTCTCCAGGATCATACTCTTCTACTTAAAACATCTCTCTGAAATCCCAAATCGAACATTCTTACATTACCAAGACTATGAGCAACTAGAGTAAATATGATACCTCCATGCCTAACCACCATTAGAACATTGTAAGTCCATACATCATCAATAGCAAAGGTCAGCGTTGAGCTTTTGCATGAATTAAAGGGGCTCACATTTTAGACGACTTCATTCATCACAATCTTTATAAACGTGACCACACTAATGAATTGAAGTTGGATGCAAAAATAATGTAGTGTTTTGTGACGTGAAATGGACTTTATATGGACTTATCAAAATGATCTTAATAATTCTTCGAAGTTCATATCAATCTCTTCATTGGGTTTCCTGTCACTAAAGGATCCATACCTCCGCAGTCCCACCTAGGTAATACACTAAATATGCGCGGTTACATGAGATCGCATGTCCAAGCTTTCCGCATCTGGAGCTTCCAAGCTTCCAAATCCCTAAAACAATTATATATGATAACGACGGTGCGATACCGATTTATTCCATTTTGACTTATTGTACATAGTTATACATCTCAAGATAATTACTGGTACAATGTCTCTATTTGGAGAACCCGATGATCCTGTCGAAGCAACGAACCCTCCGAAGTCGCGATTATCTCTGTTCGACGACGAACCAAGTTCAACACCAGGATCCAAATCTTCATTGTTCGCAGATGACGACGATGTCTCGGGAGGCTCGCCATGGAATACATCAGTGCCAAAAAGACTAGATAGGGGAGACTTGTTGAAAACTCTCCTTCCAACATCCGACGTGCCTGAAAGTTACATTGATATCTTTGACGATGTACTCAAGGATGGCAACGATTCTAATGGAAAGCTCAGTAAAGCCGGCATCGCAAAACTTCTAAATGCTGCAAATTTAAGTCCCGATAAGTCGACTTGGATCTCGAAGATCATTGCCCCTACTGCACAGCTTCAAGATCTAGAACGGAACGAGGTCAACGTACTATTGGCATTGATTGGTTTGGCCCAGGAAGAGGAAGACGTTCATGATGTTACACTTGATGGCGTAGATGAGCGACGAAGGAGTCAGTGCTTTTTCTTAATTGATTTCGCTTGTTCTAATCCGATAAATGCGCAGATCTCCCAGTGCCCAAGCTTACAAGCTTGACAACAATATCAACCTCAAACTTTGGATCCTCCACCACGGATGAATTAGCTGCGAAGTCTTCTGAACGACCTACCAGTCCGCCGTCTGCCCCTAGCTCATTTTCGCCACAACAATCTCGAATGCTACGAAAGGATTCCCTCGAATTTCCTGAAGCTGATCCATGGGGCAGTCCGGCTCTTCATAAAGGCCATAATCATGCTAGTCCCAGATCGAACGGAGCGCCGACAAACGGAGTACGCGAGCCCGTCAGAACTACAAGTGGCTTTACAACTGCTTCTACTGGTGGATCAAATGAAAATCGACATCAACAATCAACAACTGCTCCTACAGAGCCTGCAACTGGGGGATGGGGCTCTTATGACTCGAATCCAAATTTCAATAATTTGGCCGCAGCCCCAGTTGGTGGAAGCGGTGGGTTTGGTGGTGATGGCGGAGATGGGGAGCGACCGGAAGAACCTGCTCCACCAGCGCGCACCTTTGGTGGTGGTCGTGTGAACAGCAACGGAGTTGAAGAAAACATAGTCGTCACCCTGTTGGCTGAGAAGGAGGGAATGTTTCTATTTCAACATCATAACTATCAAGTCTCTTCTGTTCGTAGGGGAAGTAAGGTCGTGAGAAGATACAGCGATTTTGTCTGGCTGTTAGATTGCTTACAAAAGCGATATCCTTTCAGACAATTACCACTTTTGCCGCCAAAGAGAGTCGCAGGTATGCTGAACAACCAAAGGAAGTTTTCATTGCTAACAAGAGGTTTTCTTTAGTGAATGGAAACCATTTGGCTGCGGAAAGCTCGTTTATGGAGAAACGGAGGAGGGGACTAGCACGATTTTCCAATGCACTTGTCAGGCACCCAGTTCTTAGTCAAGAGCAGCTGGTCATAATGTTTTTGACTGTCCCAACCGTAAGCATCTACTTCTTTTAAGTTTCATATATCGTTGCTAAGTACAGGCTAATTAGCATCAGGAGCTTGCTGTGTGGCGAAAGCAGGCTACTATATCTGTTCAGGAGGAATTTGTTGGGCGACCACTACCTCCAGGACTAGAAGATTCCCTGCCACCCACTTTAAACGATCTCTTCGCCCAGACTAGGACTGGCATTCGAAGGTCTGCAGATGCCTATGTTAACATGTGTAATCTCATGGACCGTCTCGCCAAACGCAACGAAGGACTTGCTGCGGATCATTTACGTATGGCGCTGTGTTTGCAATCACTCAGTGATGTCTCTCAAGACACCTACGCAATCGACACTAATGATGTACCACTATTGAACGAGTGTCTTCACTCTACCGCGAAGCATCTTTCCAATAGCCAAAGTATTCTTGAAGATGAGGCTAAAGCCTGGGACCAAGGTGCTTTAGAAGATCTAAAGAAGCAACGAGATTCGCTTGTCAGCATGAGAGATTTATTCGACCGCCGGGATCGTTATGACAAGGACAACATACCATATTTAGAACGTAGGATTGAGAACAACGAGAATAAACTAGTCACAATACGATCAAAGCCGGAAAACATGGTTAAGCCAGGAGAAATTGAGAAGGTCACGGAAGCCATTATCAAGGTAAGCTTCTCACAGATTCATTCAAGCTCACAAGAATTAATGATTTGTAGGACAAGGAATCCATTGTAGCTCAGCATGCACGAGGGATATTTATTAAAGAGTGCATCAGAGATGAGCTCATCTACTTTCAGTCAACACAGTACAATATCATTCGACTGAATCAAGACTGGGCACAAGAACGTGTAAAGTACTCGGAGCTTCAAGCGCATAACTGGAGACAATTGGAAGAGGAGCTAGATGGTGTGCAGATTGGGGCGGATTAGGAGGGAATGCATAGCGGTTGCTTTTCATTGCGTCCTTTTGAAAACTTTACTTTGATACCATTAGCAGCATTCATCTTGGGGGGTGTCATTTATTCAAAGCGTCAATTATACTTGTATACATAAATCTTGTTTGGAATGTTGGCATGGGAGGGTGCATGTGGTGTGTGTGTGGTGAAGTCCATGGAGGGCCAGTAATGATGCTTTAAAATAATAATACCAATAGCGATTAAAGTGAACAACCTCTTCAGAGTTAAACAGAATCATTCACAAGTATATCAGACAACTAACTAACTGTACAAATTGAGAGCCAAAATTCTCGATTGAAAGAAGAATGTCTTTAAAGAAATTCAGAATAAAGTTTATAAGTCCGTCGTGAAAATACTATAAATTACTACTGGTAGTGAACATTCTCCCCCTTTTGTCAAAAATCAAAACATGGAACAAATATCGCTTATGATAACTCTCTTATCTTGACATGAAGTTCTATTCATAAACTTTATTTATTGCGCTAGGCTGCGGGAGTAATAAGACCGGACCAAAAGTCCATACAGCAATTGTTGCAGGTACTCTTAACATTATAACCCCGCCATCTCCTTCTAGACAATTCAATAAACCAAAAATTTAGAGGTCAGAGTTGCCAACTCTCTCAACATGCCTCTAACTGGCTCGCAGCGTTCCATGCTTAATGAGTTCATGCAAATTACTGGCATCTCAGAAAGGAATGGCACAAAAGTGAGTGATTGCTGCCTCAAGCTCCTCCTACATGTAAACAAAAGAACCACAGGCTGATACACATTGGTCTTGCAGATCCTCAAAGGAGCAGGCTGGAGATTAGAGGCAGCATGCGATAGGTGAGCGAACATTTCACTTCATATAGCTAGTAGCAGCTGCGCAGGACGAATACCGTCTTATGGACAACACTCGATTAACGATCAACGTTCCTCTCGGTTTCCGATATGAATATGGACCTTCGATGGCATCTTTGGGAATCACTTGGGGGCATTTACGGCTGGTAAAATGTGTCACTGTACATGGAGTTTAATGAGCGGATATACATACGAGGACAAGGATAGGAAATACTTCGGGGTGCATGCTTCTATCCGCTACTCCGTTCATCAAAACACCGATGTGTTGGAGGATTAACGGGCCAGAGGACTTTCTTCAACTTGCATCCATCGATACGCCACTTCACTATGCCTTCTATGATCTGAATAACCCAGATTCTTTTCGGATTTACTCCAACCGCAGACGTCACTTCTGATCGAAAACCTCTGGTCTCGTCTTTATCATCAGTGCTTGTGTCGACGGTTCAATTTCATGGTCGAAGCTCTTGCAGCTCATATTACAGCTTAAATATTTGATCTATCCTGACATTTCAACCATAATAGTTTCTTCCAAGCAAATCATAATGCCGTTCCCTCTGCTCAAGCAAAGGAAAAGGAGACTTTAACGAAGCTTTTCGAGAGTTACCGCAGTATGTACTTTGCACATTCTCCCCAAAATTACTTTAATAGGAAAGAAGCTGATTTGGCAATTTAGCATTCAGTGATGATGTTGATATGGTTGGTGTCGATGGCACTATGAAGTATTTCGGGGATGATTTGGGCGTCAACCTCGAAGGTGTTGAATTTCTTATCCCTTGTGAAATCATTCAAGTGCCATCAATAGGAGAGATGTCTAAAGAGGGCTTTGTTGAAGGATGGAAGAAGCTTGGGTAATAACCCCCGCCCACACTTGTTTACACTCGGCTGCTGACATTTAATCAAAAGCCTTGACACGATACCGAAGCAAAAGTCACACATTTCGAAGGCCGTAGCATCATTGTCGACTGATTCAGAGCTATTCAAGAGAGTATACAAACACACTTTTGTATGTGCTCGTGAAAAGGGGCAGAAAGCCCTCTCATTAGAGCTTGCCAGTGTATATTGGGAACTCTTGTTCAATGCACCAGGAAGGCAATGGAAGACTAATTCGACGAATTGGATCGCATTATGGTTGGAATTTCTCGGACAGAACTGGAAGAAGAGTGTGAATAAAGATCTATGGAACCAAACATACCAATTCCATGCAAAGACAATGGAGGATGAGAGTCTGAGTTTCTGGAACGAAGATGGAGCATGGCCAAGCGTCATAGATGAATTCGTAGCATGGGTGAAGAAGAACAGGGGCGATCCGGAAGCTGGAGAGACAATGGAGACTGATTGAGAAGGCATGATGAAGCTTTAGAACCACACTTTTTATTTATTTCGTTTGCAGCGAAGCATATTCCTGATTTGCACGATGGCGTTCTAGGTAGCAAGACTGGCGTTCAGACACCACACAAGCAAGTGAGGAGGAATACCAAGACCTCGATCCCTTAATATAAATTTAACCTCCATAACCTAGCGGCATGCAAATATTGACTGGATTTCCCTTCTGACGCCTACACATACAGTATAAATTATATCATACCATCCATTTAATTCTCTTTCAAATGTTCTTTCATTGTCCAAGGAATTGTCGAACCAATTTTACTCAAACTCTCCAATGTACCATCTCCCAATTTCACCGAACTAAACTTGATCATCCGTGGATCTAATCCAAGAGTCGTCCGTACATCATCCTGTGTCTTGCTGGAGGCGTCATATCTCATGACAAAGTAATGTCCTTCATGATATTGTGCTTGATGCTTGCGAGTTCGTCTGGGTAAACTAGATATTCCCCAGTTACGTATACCGCGTATGGTACCACCGGATCTGAGGACGAGAGATCCAGCTGTGCGGGCAATTCTGCAGTTGAAGAGGGAGGAATTAGCCTCGATGTTTGAGGTGGGTAGGAGGAGAAAGGGAAGAGGTAGTTTACTCTTTGACCTCGACGAGGTTGCCGGGTCGGACCTGGAGACTTGTTAATTATATACTCTTTAATGCATTCTATCTTCAAGCAAAAAACTTACAATTGCGACGAGCTCATACAACATCTTGGTGGCTACATTCGAATTTTGATACTGATGAGTCTCGACTTCAAGATTGTTCAAATCAACCGGAATTTAGATTCGCCGACGCTAACTTTATGAATAAAAAAATATTGCGATTGTGATTGTCGATAAGAAAACCCCACAATCTATTCAATAATTTTTTTGAGGCGTCGCAAATTAGCTACAACGAAAATAGACAAAAATTATCTACAACAACATATATGCAAAATGTCGAAACGCCCAGCGGAAGATGAGAACATGGACCTGTCTTTGAAGGCAGGGGAGAGGCCAGAAAAACCAGAGTTAGATGATGGAGTGGGAGAATTTGAGGACGAATTCGAGGACGAGTACGAGAGTGAAGATGAGATTTTGGAAGCAGGTGTAGATGGAAGGCCTGATGCTGAGAGGGAGGCTGAAGAAGCAGGTTCGTAGAAACAGTTATGAAGCAATTTCAAGTGCGCATGTCTGGAAATTTCGCTAATATGCTTATAGAGGCCATGGAAGTCGATCAACAAACTTTCATAGTTGGTAGGAATAAATTAGAACCAGGGCAGACATTATCCCCTGATCTTTCCACGTACGAAATGCTTCACGCTCTGAGTACTCCTTGGCCTTGTCTGTCTTTCGATATACTTAAGGATGGTTTGGGCGACAACAGGAAAACATACCCGGCTACTATGTATGCAGTCGCAGGAACACAGGCAGAAAGTAAACGGGAAAAAGAAAATCAATTGATGGTTATGAAGTTCAGTGGATTGAGCAGAATGGAAAGGGAACAGGGCGAGGAAGACTCGGATGAAGATGAAGATGAAGACTCGGATCCTATCCTCGAATCGGCTTCGATACCCCTCACTGCTACAACAAACAGAATACGTTCACACCAGACACCTGCGTCTGACTCGTCGCGGCCTCCTACGACTCTGACTGCTTCAATGAGTGAATCTGGTCAGGTTCTCATTCACGATGTTACTCCTCATTTATCCTCTTTGATACCCCGGCACTGTTATCACTCCACAACAAAATAAACCTCTATCTACTCTTCGAATGCACAAATCTGAAGGTTATGCAGTTGATTGGTCACCTCTCATATCTACTGGAAAGTTAGTAACAGGAGATAATGATGGTAAAATTTATGTCACTACAAGAACTGCTGGAGAAGGTTGGGCAGTCGACTCGCGTCCATTTACAGGCCATACTGGAAGTGTCGAAGAATTACAATGGAGTCCTTCTGAGAAAAACGTCTTCGCATCCGCATCTAGCGATGGTACAATCAAAGTATGGGATGTACGAAGTAAAAGTCGAACTGCAGCTCTTACAGTCCAAGTAAGCGAGACAGACGTTAACGTCATGTCCTGGTCACGTCAAACATCTCATCTACTCGCTTCTGGAGCCGACGATGGAGTATGGGCAGTCTGGGATCTCCGAAACTGGAAACCTACAAATAACTCTCTACCCTCTAAACCTACCCCAGTCGCGAGTTTCAATTTCCACAAAGAACAAATTACAAGTGTAGAATGGCATCCTACGGATGATAGTATCGTGGCTGTAGCTGCTGGTGATGATACTTTGACGCTTTGGGATTTGGCTGTAGAATTGGATGATGAGGAAAGTAAAGATACAGGTGGTGTCAATGATGTACCGCCACAACTTTTGTTTGTGCATTATATGGCTAAGGTTAAGGAAGCACATTGGCATCCACAGATTCCCGGAGCATTAGTGGGAACGGGGGAGAACTTTAATGTTTTCAAGACGATTAGTGTTTAGAACTGACGTTGAAGAAAAACGAAAAATAGAACTAAGAGATGATAATGAAAAAAAGTTTAACATTATCTATTGTATTTCTCTTCGGCATCTCGGATAGACCGTTCCTGGTGTAAATGGTATGCAGCCGGTCACAGTAAGCACCAATAAACACCCCAGGTCTAGATATCCCCTCTATTCATCTACCTAGTAACCTTATCTATCCATCCATCGACCACAATAAGGGTACCTAGCCTAGCACCGGAAATTTCCCAGTACATTCTCATTCTTCCTTGATCAGCTGGTAAAAATAACGAATTTTTGCGATGGGTATCGTTATGGTCATGGTTAGGGTTATATGGTTTGGTCATGGATTGCATAATGCATTCATTGCCTTTTTGGGATTTACGATCGGATACATGATCGGATATACTCGAGTACTCTGTGGTAAGGTGCGGTTATGTTAGTGTGGTGATGTGGTTATGTGGTGAGGTGATTTTATGAGAGGGGGTTGGAGTTGGAGTTGGAGTTGGAGGAGTTATGATATCCTGTAGTATTTGTATGATCTTAGATCTAGGGAGTAGGTATATGTAGATATATTAAGTAATAGATGCGAAAAAATAAAAACCCCCGGCTGGCCCTTCCCGTTTCAATATTTCAACATTCCAGTATTTAATGCTCGATACCCGGTAGGTACTCAATGTTCACTCGTCTGTTTTCTTTGGGGAAGGGGAAATGGTCGTGTAAGGTTACTTTCCACGCTATAACTCCTGGAGATGTGTATGCAGATGCTGATGGATAATGGATAATGGTAAGTTATTAGGGAATGAATATGAATTGGGATGGATGGATGGATGGATGGATGGATGGATGGATGGATGGATGGATGGGCGGGTGGTTATGAAGCTGAATTGGGTGAGCTAGATCGATGGGTTGATAGCTTAGCTATAGATGGTAGGTCAGATAAATTAAACTACCTAATGGATAAGCGCTCTAATCGCAATATGGGTTTTGGGGTTTCTAGAATGAGACATAGAAATAGAACGAGGATTAGGGAACTTGGATATCCGGTCGGGAGTTATTGTTTTTATTCTCAAAGGTAGACATGGATAGATGAAAGAGATGAGGGTAATGTAATCTTACTATCTGTGAGGTAGCTATTGATTTTTTGTAACATATATGTAAATACATGCATGAACATCAATTGATATAAACCTACATCGGAATTTCATCAAATTAAGGTTATCTACTTAATATTTATTCTCTTTCATTATTACAGAATATATCTTCTTCCTTTCCAGCTCCCCAGCTAACTAGCTAACTAACCAACCAACTAATAAAACCACCCAAAACCTACAATACAATAAAACCACATCCCTAACCCATAACCCCATACCATCCTATCCCATCCATCCATCCAACCATGCATACAAACAAAAATATAAAAACGGCCTCGTGATCCCCTAATCGCATCAGCAACAGGGTTCTACAAGCCTCTTTAGCTAGGCTTTAGCTGGGCTTTAGCTAGGGCTTAAGAGGCTTGAAGTTTATAGAAGAAAGTACTGGTGCTCAGCTGGGGATGGATGACCTTTCCCCGCAAATATTATATGTATAGATGTATGCATGTATGCATGTATGCGAATGTGGAGAGGTTGTGGAACGGGAGAATTAATGGATGGATGGATGGATGGATGGATGGATGGATGGATGGATGGATGCATCAGGATGGGTTGGTTTTATTCGGAGAGAGGAGAGGTTGTACGAGAGGTGAGGTGAGGTGAGGTGAGGTGGATGGGCTGATAACTGGCGGCTCATCTTTTCTGTGTTTTTGTGGTTTGTGATTTTGTTTTTATTTTTTGTTTGAGATGTGATGTGATGATTCTTGAATCTTGAGATCAATTTTTCATACCATTTATTTTACTTTTACTTGATTGATATTCGGGACTAAACGAAACCATACAGAAGATGTGAAGTTGGTTCTTGTTACCAACCAGCAGAACATATACCAAATGACTGATCTAAGTCGGATTCCTAGTCTTCTTCCTTGAGTAAATGAAGAAGATGTCCTTTTGATTGGATCTCTCCTCCAATCTATTCTACAAATCAGAAATCATACAAATGAATGTGGATATGGTACCACTTCACCACTCTATGGCCATCTCACTCCACCCCAAAATCCAAGAACCATTTCAATTCCAAATCATCGCCAATCCCCCTAACGAATCCTCCTTTCCCTTTTTCGCACCTGCATCACTTCCCTACCGCTACAAACGTGCGCGACCCCTCTCAGACGTCGATGGTAAGGGGAATTCCGTTGAGGAAGGTCGGAAGAAAAGAAGGTTGCGTCTTCATCTTATTACATCGCGATTAAGTCGGCCTTTTTCTGTGCCTGCTACTAACATAAATATTGCATATCGAGGTGGTTGTGCAAAGAATTTTGTGTTAGGAGGGAAAAGGAAATTCGGTGAACATGGAGGGAAGAAAGAGTTTGGGATTGGGAGTGGAAAGAATATGTTGAGGAAAATTGCAATATTGAATCGGGTTAGGTTGCAAATGCAAATGCAGATGCAGATGCAGTTACATGGCGCAGAGGAAGTTCTATGTGTTTGTCGCTGGAGTCGGAGTGGAAGTGAGAGTAAGCGGAAGGAGGAGAGATTAGGATTGGATGTGGGCATACATTTGAAAGAGATCGTGAAGGTGACAGAGAAACAAAACAAAAGGTGGAATGAATTTGTGTTGCCGCCGAGTCCGCTTGGAAGATCGAACTACGATGTTCTAGACTCTGAAGATGATATGTTTATGGATGAATTGGAGGATGGATGTGAGAAGGAAATCTATAGTGATTTCAATGTCATGCGTCCCACCGGCGAGGGAGATGATTATGAGTATATGGATACACTTGATGGTCTTTCACCGGAGGATATGCAGGAGCAGCCGCCGAGTCCGCCGGAGGGAGAGAAGGTTATGGAGATTTTTAAGGAGCAGAGATTGCATGACAGCTATTTTCTATGTCTTGAGAGTTCGTGAATGAGATTGCTGGTGGTTACGACATGCAATGAAGAGAAAAATGGAGAGGGCTGGGAGGTATTTTTCAGGGGCTATGACAGCATGTGAAAAGAAGGGGGAACTTCGGAACTATCCATTTCCGCAGAGCGAAGTTGCTTTTCGAAGGATGTATAATGACCTTGAATGGAGGCTATCTTGAATACTTGGGAAATGGCGAAGTCATGGCGTGGGCGTGCGCATGGTGATCAGAATGACAAAAAAAAAGGATAAGCATAGGCAGCCAGATCTCTTGGATTCAAAGCCTTTTCATATTGTTTTTCAAATCTAGAGTTTTGAGGCGCGATCTGCTGCAATATCACACATCGCCTATATTCATTGAATTAGCTACAAAATCATTTTTAGTCTCACACACGTCTTACCTGAATAGCCTCCTTTCTCTCAAGTCCAATATCGCCCCTAGATATTCTTCTCCTCATATCTTCAAAGATCGCAGGTCTCGATCTCCCATTCACGAAAACACTAACATCATGATTAGCACTTGCTTGTCTACCGTTAGGCAAATGGGTACATCCATACACATATCTTAAGCCTGGAAAAGTGCTCTCATATTCCTCATTAAGACCCTTTAACTTCTCAGCTTCTTCAGTAGGTCCAGTGTTCAATTGAGCTTGTTCAGCCTTTGATTGTAGACTATCTACTTTCTTCTCGCCTAGTCTAGGATGAGAACCAAGAATCTTGTCTAGCCACTCTTTATCACTTGGTAATGTACTTTCTGATAATTCAATAAGTTGAATACCGACACTTGCGATAAGATCATTGTAAGTTTCAAATGTCGTGGTACGAAGTAGATCTACAGAGAGTGTATGAAGAGCAATACATGGCTCGAATAAGGTGTCGAGGACACTGGATCGTTCAATAGTAGACAGGGAGGGAAGTCCAGCGATGGGAGGTAGGGAATTCATTGTGCCGGATATATTGGTAGAGACGGAAAAACGTATGATGAGGAATTGAGGATAAGATTTGGGAAACGAATTGTTTTTGTATGTTCAAGAAAATATGTGAGCTAGCTGCAGGTGAATTTTATATATCAAAACATATATATATCATGAAGTCACAAATGAATCTGAATTCCCCACAAGGCCGGCGCCGGGAGCTTTCGAGCTACAAACTAATCCAAAAATAGCTTAGCTCAACTGCAGTTGGTCGCGACCTCAAAATATCTTTTTGTCGGGTCGCGCCGTGAGCTTCTAGCTTTAAACTCCATACCAACGCGAATCAACATGTTGTGCTCAAGTAAGTTTAAAGTGCTCCTAGAACTGATTTATGACTTGCGACTGACTTTTTACAGTATCTGGAGAAGCTCCACTGGAACCTGTTGCTTCATCGAAATCAGGTAAGTTGGGAAATAAGTTATCTATCTCTCAATGAATTTAAAAATAACAGATTTCAGGCAACATTTTCGAAAAACGACTTATTGAATCATATATTGCTGAAAATCATAAAGATCCAGTTACTGGAGAAGACCTCGAAATTGCAGATCTAATCGACCTCAAATCCGCCAAAATCGTTACTCCTCGACCTCCGACTCTCACATCGATTCCTTCTCTCCTTTCTACTTTCCAAAATGAATGGGATGCATTAGCGCTAGAAAGCTTCACTATACGACAACAATTACATCAGACTCGACAAGAGTTGTCAACAGCATTATATCAACATGATGCAGCCGTGAGGGTTATTGCGCGGCTGACGAAGGAGAGAGATGAGGCTAGAGATGCATTAAGCAAGGTCTCAATTGGAGCTGGAAATTCTGGAAATGGTGATGCTATGCAGGTTGATACTCAAGGTCTTCCAGAAAACTTGGCAAACTTAGTCGATGCTACACAAGCCGAGTACGAGTTTTGACGAAAGGGTTATGAGATCAATTGCTAATCAGATTATAGACTTTCCAAAAGCCGTCGAAAGCGACCTGTTCCAAAAGGATGGGCTACAGCAGAGGATATTGGCCAATTTAAGATCACCTCTACTTCGGAACCTTTATACCCTGGGTGCACTTCACTCGCTCAAAGTGAAGACAAGTTAATCGTTGGTGGATCGAAAGAGGTAGGTATCTACTCATTGACGGAACAAAAGATCATAAAGTCGTTTGAGGCCGGAGGTCCAGTCACAGGAGCTGTTTTCTCTGGCAGCATGCCTATTGTGTCTACTGCAAAGGGAGTTGTAAAGTTGTCGGGGGATGAAGAACATACATTTACATCGCATGCTGGCGCAGTTAATGCTCTAGCATTACATCCAAGCGGCGAAATTCTAGCATCTGTTGGTGTCGACAAGAGCTTCGTATTTTATGATTTGGCTGAGAAGAAGGCAATCACTCAAATTTATACAGATTCAGGTATGTCGACTTTGGAAATTTTATCTAGTGCCCCTTGTTAACATTTGATAGAACTTAAAACAGCGGCTTTCCATCCAGATGGCCATCTTTTTGCGGCCGGCGGCGTTGATGGCCAAATTAAATTATTCCATGTTAAGACGGGAGAGAGTGCAGGTGTAAATTTCGAAATAGATGGGCCTGTCCAGGACGTCGCCTTCTCTGAGAATGGTATATGGTTTGCAGCTGTTGCCAAAGGATCTACTAGTGTTGTGATTTTTGACATCAGAAAAGAAGGAAAGGCTGCAGAGGCAAAGGTTTTAGAGATTGGTGGACCAGTTGACGCTATTCAGTGGGATTACACGGGCCAATTTTTGGCAGCCTCGGGACCAAGAGGGCTTACTATCTCTCAATACACCAAATCTACAAAATCCTGGTCGGATGCTACGAGCTTAGCTTTGCCAGCAACTGCAGTGCAGTGGGGTGGGGAGGCGAAGAGTTTAATCACTGTTGATAATGAGGGAGTTGTGACGGTTCTTGGTGTAGCTCCTGAGTGATGGAGTTTTCAAAACATCGAGATGGGGTGGGAATATCATGGGAGTTGGGTCGTTTGAAGATGTGAAAAAGAAATTTGGAGTATTTGTTTCACAGACTGTAATATTAGGACAGAAGCATATTTGCAGTGCCCAAAATGAACAATATTAGTGGCACATGCCGACCTGCACTTGGAGTTAGAATATTAATTTGCGAGTCATGAATGATGAAAGTTAGGAGATTATAATATGCCTACCTATGTACCTAGGTATATCCAAGGTTCAAGGGTTGATAAGAATATAAATTAATATATTATCTAATATTTATTACACTAAATATAATTTATATATACTATAAATACTTATGTATAATAAAATTCAAGTATATAAAAAGATTACAATATTAATTTCACTAAATTTTATATAACAAATTCCATACCGGTCGAATAAGAATAAATATATATACCGTATAAAAAAAAATTGATAATACATGGCCTAGGTACCGATAAAGAAATGAACTAAGATCGCTTACTCATATCTAAGTCAATATCATTCATATCAAATTGGGCTCCGATCGAACATCATCTTATTGCAACAACACAAAACACCCCACTACAAAGGGAATAAATTCGATTCTATACCATTGATCCATCAAACAAAAGGATCTAGTCAATATCCTGATCTTGTCAAAAGTTCTTACTTTCCTTTTTATCCACAAAAGCAATCGAAAGTACAGGATACAGGATATTTTGCCGCAACTGGTGAATTTCATTTGGTCATGGAGAATGAATCAACAGGAACCCGGGAGAGTCGTAAGGTAGGAGCCAATGTTCACTTTTTTTTACTTTTGTGGATAGAAAGAATATCTAGTTTTTTCTTTACTAACATTTTTCATTCTTTTAAAGCGTTCTCATCTGGAGATGTCCCAGTCGCATTTAAGACTTTCATCATCACCTGTACTATTTCGGGAAAGACCCTCGAACTTCGATAACTCTCCTCCAATACTTGCACCATTGGCAAATATTCCTACTGCCTCCTCTTCTTCTCGAGAACGACGATTCCGAACAGAGCGAGGACGAACACCAATTTCTCATAATCCTTCGGATCAATCAAGTCGCCATTCACGATCATTTAGGGTTTCGAGAGAAATGGAAGCAAATTCAACACCACCTCCTCGACCCCGGTCAATAGTTAGCTCCGGAATCATCATCGATTTAACATCAGACCAAGACGATAATCCTTCACCTCCAGCCCTGAATCGTCGCGCAGCTCCTATTCATGCCCCTTCTCCGAGACCATCACCGACTTTAGGGAGGAGTGAAGCAAGATTAGAGCAGGTTGTGGATCTTACAGCGGACGATGATGATGATGATGATGAGGATGATACTATCATTATAACCCATTCTCGAGAACGTTCTATACCCCTTCCTCCCCGTAGCCGACTACCACAACCACCATCAATAACTCCTTCATTTGGACAGGGGACAAGACTTCATACGATCCGCGGCAGTTTTCTTATTGGAAATCAGATGGGACCAGCAAGACCGCCGCCAGAACGCCACCTCCCTATTGGTGAGCGTGCCATTGGTGGTATGAGAGCTCTTTACGAAAATGGCGCTGACATCATCATGGACATTCACAATCTTATGGGTCTTAATCGTGATGAACTTGTGGGACTTCCTTTCTTGGGTGGCTACCCAGCTATGCCGAATGGTATGGATTATGGAAGAGTGGCGTTGCAAGAAAATAAGCCTGAACATGTTCCACCTCCGCCAGTGGGATATGGATTTACAAGGTCACCTACAGAGAATGATACTGCGATTTGCCCAAGCTGTGAAGAAGAATTAATTCATAAAAAGGATGGTGATGAGCCTTTGGCAAAGAAGTCTCGCGGGGCACCTAGTAGAAAAGACAGAGAAGAACATCCTTTCTGGGTTGTCAAGGATTGTGGTCATGTAAGCTTTACTTACTTCATCTCAATCAAACATCACTAATATAAACTAGGTGTTCTGCAATAAATGCTATCAACATCGCTCGAATGAAAAAATATCCTCCTTTCGTGGAAGCAAGAACATGCTCTGTTCAGTTGAGGACTGTGAATCGGTCGTCAAAAATAAGGATAAATGGGTGGGCATATTCCTATAACATCAAGATCTCGGCCCTTACGATGCCAAGATGGTTAAGCAATTTCAATTTTTTTATTTTTTTTTGTCAATATCGACAGGATAACATTTCATGAATTATCATATTAGGGACATCACTGTCATGGAGTTTCAACATTGGCATCAATTACAGGAGTATCGACTGGTTGGGGCGATTTCACTTGATTTCCATAAGGCGGGCTTGGACTTGGCTTATATCATTATGTGCTCTATACTGGGGCGTTAATGATGGGTGAGAATGGAGGAATAGATCAAGTTCATGGGCCGGGAACATGTGTCAATAAGTATGGAGAACAATGGAAAGGAATTCTCTGGGTAAGGTCTGGAATCAATAGAGAACAAGAGCAAGTGAATGGAGAAAATTCTCTGACATTCCAAGGGCGATATATTCATATGTATCACATTATTTCCATTCTGGACATAATGGGCAGAGGTGTATGTATATTAGAGAAGTATAATAACAAAATGAAGTAATTGCAGCAATAGCTTTATGGTGACCGAGATTATGTGTGAGTATACGTTTACGTCATCTTTCAGATTGAGATCTTGATACCCGGAGGAAGAAAAGAGGAAGAAGAATACAATGAGGAGAGAATAAATTTTAAAAGAATATCTAGTAGTAGTCTTGTCTTTTTAATAAATATCTATCTATTTGATTGGATTATAAAATGTATAATTTAATTTAAATTCATTTTTGATGTGATTTAATACTTCTTTTAGAATTTTTTGTTTACTTTAATCTTTTATTTTATTATTTTTTTTATTTTTTTTAGTAATATTTTTATTTTAATATTTTTATTTTGATATTTTATTTTTTTAATCTTTATTAAAAGAATAAAAAATATATATATATATATAAAACTAGTATATAATTTTTAAAAATTTATATAAAAATTCAATTTTATATTTTTAAAGACTTTTAATAAAGAATTAATAAATATTTATTTTATTATATAATATATTAATAAATATTTATATTAAAACCTTAAATTTAAGTTCTTGTGTATAAGTTTTTGATTTAATATATATAAGAGTCATATACAATAAAAAATCAATTAGTCTTAAAAATAACATCAAAACTTTTTAATGTTTTTTTTAAATTAAATAAACCGTTCTTTTTATAAATAATCAAAAAGGTAATTTCGGATCGAATACATTTTGATATATTAACATTAATAAAAGGTTTTTGCAAAATCTTACAAATTAATAACTCGATGTTTCGTCAACTGTATATTGATATTATGAATATAAGGCCATTGTCTGTAATGGTTACAGGTTTTCAACCTATACCCTGGGAGCGTCCGTGACAATATAAATACTAGTTGAGAGTAAAATAATTTGAATTTGGATTTGAATATAAGTGATTTTTTTGGGGTGGAGGTGGTAGAAGTTGATAGAAGTTGATAGTTGATGATGGAAGGAGAAGGAGAAGGAGAAGGAAAATATAAAAGATTTATAATGATAATAGATTTATATCAATCAATATCTTCCCTCCACCTCCAATCTAACCCTCTAACCCTCTGAATCTAAAAGCCATTCATTCCCTATCATCTATTCATCATCCTCACTTTCACCCTTCGCTTCATCCCCCTCTATCCCACTCCAAGCGTCCAACCTCTAACTCTAAGCCCCAATTCCCCATTCCACCCATCTTATCTTTAGTAATCATAAATACATACACAAATAAATAGCTAAGCTAATCAGCTGCTCTAGGACAGAATGAGATTATTATCTTATTTTCATATTTCTCCTACTGGTGTAAATAATGGGTCCGGCAAGAAGTAGTTAATGATCATGAGGTATAAGTAAGGAATGTAGGAATTGGACAAAATAAACGGAAAAGGGGAAGCGAGAGTGTTGGTTGTGGTAAGAATGGATAATAATATTTATAGTGAAATAGTGAAATAGTTGGTGAAGTTGTTGGGATTGGAATCACGGGGAGGAGGTTGAGAGTAGGAGGGAAGATGGAATAGAGAGGTGTGGATATTAGGAAGTGTGAATATTGATAGGAGTCATAGGATGGTAGAAGAGAATGGTGGTGATATCAGGAATAGAATGAAGTGAACGGTAGTAGAGCGAAGTAAAGTGGAGGAATAGAATGAATGAGTGGTGAGGGATGGTGGTGAATAATAGGAGATGTGAATATTAAGATACTACTAAGGTCCGAAATGGAATGACATTTATAGTATTTCAATGATGAATATTAAAACTCCCTATCCCATTCTCATGTTTTTTTTTCTAATTCCCTCCTCATTTATATCCCATTTCCTCTCGTGCCATCCTATCTGATCTCATCGATATATATCTATCATCTCTATCAAGACCAACCGGTAAATGACCATGCGATATATCAAGTCTAATACGTTGATAATGACAACTGTCAGGAAGACGCAGATTTGGATGTTGGTTTGAGATGAGAATTTTGATCTCTGACTCGTGGATCCAAATATAGCTGCATATAATTATATCTGGGCTTTAAAATATAAGATCTGTATGTAAATTTGAAGAAAGTGGTGAGTGAGTGAGTGAGTAATAAATTACCAAAAGCTTGACAGTTGGAAAGCGGAATAGGAAATAATAAGTATGAAAGGGTACGGCCCGAACGGACGGTAAATACTTCGAGGTGAAATGTCTGAGAGTGCTATATTATATTTGTGAAGTGCTAAGATTGTTTGAAGTTCTTTGACACAAATGGCAAGATGAGTTAAAAGTAAGGACTTGTCTTTCACTTGACGACTTGAGAATTTCGACTTTGAAAAGTTGTGAGTTGAGATGTATGTGTAGGAAAGAAAGGAGGAGATAATTTATATATATATATGTAAGTGATTAAGTGAGTAAGTAATAGGCAGACAAATTCAAGCAATAGAGTACGTAAAGTATAGGAGTAATGCGCATTGAGATGATTGGTATAGATGTCTTCTTTCTTGAGAGTACCATCAATACAGACAGAATCAACCTCGCCCAGTAGAAAGACGCGACAAGGTAATGATGCTTTTATATAGATTCCAAAGTAGCAAGCTGTGCTATATACACCCTCTTTCGAAATTTTACTCAGCAACAAGGTATAGTAGCAAAAATTTCCCAGGACGAAAGGTTATATCACGATAGGTATGATGATGGTATGAATACTAGACATGATTTTGTCAATTGACCACAGAGAAATAGTGCGATCAATGTCCGCTGTTTTCACATTCCCCATATCATAGCTGTCGAGTCTACGCATCTATCCTACAAGTAGACTTCTCTTGCACAGGCAACAGCAGCAGCATAGTAACAGAGAGCAGCACATAACAAACAGCAGCATATAACAGACAACATAACAACAACGTTCCACCACGAAAAAAAACCGAAAACCCTAGAAATAAAACCATACAACCCTAACCGAACAACAACTCCCTCCACACCCCTTCCTTCATACCCCTCCTCCTGTAAGAATCCACCCACATCAACGCCGATCACCTCACCATACATACATAAAAAATTGCAGATACCCAAACCCTTATGCAAGAATGCTTGTACCTGGTTTACCTCGCTCGGAATTACTCCTAGAAGAACCGTATCTCGGAAGAGAGCGGAAGGCCCCTGGATTTTTCGTGCAGTAACCCTAAGCTAGCTAGCTAGTAAGTACGCAAGTACGCAAGCAGGCTAGCAAGCAAGTAATCAAGCAAGCGGCATGCCGATAATAGATAGAATCTAAGATGCAAGAAATCTGCTAGCTGAAAGATGGGTTTCGGATGGTGCTAGCTATGCTGTAGAACTATCCAGATTTTGGAGTGTGGATCAGATGGATGGGTGGGTGAGGAGATGAAGAGATGCGGAAGGATTGATGTTTGAATTAGATTATCTGTTTAACGAGAAGTGGATAATATGATATGAAAGATAGATATATCTATATATATACTAGCGATGGATATTACATTTATCTTAGATATCTTTCTCCAATCAACACTATTTAAATAAACGATTTTATAACAAGAAAGCCATGATGTAGATTTTATACACGCCACCCACCCCGCTAGTCTCTCGCCCCAAACCCCCGATTCCGATATAGACCGATTCTGCGCGAACTTCCTTTGCAGATTTAGATTTCGTTTGTAAACGATGATCTTAGCTTGGAATTATGCATCTAATAGATAGATAGGTAGGTCGGTAGTTAGACATGCAGTAGGATAGTTCGTCTTGTCGTGTATGTTTGCGAATTTGTGAGCAGATCTTGATGTGATGGATGATTTTCTGCACAGTTAGGGAAACAGCATGAACGGGTGGATTTGGCGAGGACTTTTTTATTCTGTATAGTCGATATATTTATATGCTGTGCTCAAATACCTTAGAAGTTAGTTATTTTTGTCCTGCAGGCTGTTTTGGTATTTAAGATATAGATAGTTTTTGAGGAGTTATTTGGATGATGAAAGTTTACAAATAAGTAATTTTGATTAAGGTATTGATTCATTTATTTATATTATTTATTTTTGAAATTTATAAAGTATAATAAGTTTTTATATTCAATCCTGATTTAAAAATAGTTTATTATTTATTTAAGTTTTTTTTATATAATAATAAACAAATTAAAATAAAATTAATAAAATTAATAGGTTTAATATTTTATTTGCAAATTATTTCTTTTTTAAATTACTTTTTTATATCAAAATTTATAATTTCTTTTATTATTAAGATTATTTATCTACTCATTTCAAAAATCTCAACACTGCAGAATAAAATATAAAGTATATCCGTGTAACGATCTGGTTGAAGCAACAGCTGCCTCAGGTTTTTGTATAATTGATAGTTGTAGGTTAAGGCTAATAATCATTGATTATTCATTCGAAGATGAATATATTACTAGATCAATTAGAATATAGGTAAACTAATTGATAACTAAATTGAATATAAAGTTCTTAAATTATAAAACTATTTTGATTATATATTAATGAATATAAAGGAGCTTTGTAGAGCTTTAAAGTGTCACGATTTACGATTAAAATAAGGATATGTTGAGGGGCAGCAGTCAACGTGTCCATATGAGCTTAGGCCTTATCGAAAAGCAAGGCGATTCGTATACAAATTTGTATAATAATCGCTTTATGTAGTCTCCTCACTTTTAGTAAGCTTGGATATATAGTCTGATTTTAATCATGTGATAAGGAGCCCTGGGAGCTTCGAAAGCTCTTAGAGCTCCAAGAGCTTTTTGGAGTTTTAGAGCTCCACAAAGCTCCTTTACATTCATTAGTATATAGTCAGAATAGTTTCATAGTTTAAGAGCTTCGTGCTCAACTTAGTTATCAATTAGTTTACCTACATTTCAATTGATCTAGTAACGTATTCACCTTCGAGTGGATAATCAGTGATTATTAGCCTTAACCTACAACTACCAACCATACGAAAACCTGAGGCAGCCGCTGCTTCAACCAGATCGTTACATAAAGCTCCAAAAAGTTTTTGAAGCTTTAGGAGCTTTTGAAGCTTTTAGGGCTTTTTATCATATGATTAAAATCAGACTATATATCTGAGCTTGTTAAAGATGGAGAGATTATATAAAATAATTATCATACAAATTTGTATACGAATCGCCTTGCTTTTCGATAAGGCCTAAGCTCATATGGACACGTTGACTGCTGCCCCTCAATATATCCTTATTTTAATCGTAAATCGTGACAATCCAGGCAGAGTATTCAAAATATTCTATATAATATAAGATTCAGATTTGAAGATATAAGTATCAATTGATAAATAGATTAGATTCAAATGATAAGTTTGGTATTAGTTATATATATATATATATATAATTTTATCTTTATTTATTTTATATTATATTTGATATATCTTTATATATTTGTATTTATGTATATATATATATAATATATATATAATGTATATACTATTTATGTGTATGTGCATCTGTATATATATACAATAATAAGTTTGAATAATAATCGATTAATATTATCTAGTTGAGATGTACATGTTGATTGGTATATCAACACATCCACTCATAACCATCAATCCAAAAGAACAGAACAGAACAGAATCCCCCCTCAAAAAAGAAAAGCTGGGGAAAACAAAGGAAACCGGGGTTTTCACACATTACACCGTATGTTGAATCTGGCTGGACCTTTTTACTCTCGACATCGTTTAATATCTAGATATCTATGAAAGTTAGTTCTATTATTCAATACCTAGCTAGATATCTAGAAAAGGAAAAGACAAGGCTTTTTGTTTTTAAAAGTGAGTGGGCATATCTGTATATATATTTCTATAACTCTGTATACCCATCATATATATCATATATAGTACAGTCAGTATATATAGTATATAGGTCACCTAGCCTAAGTATCAAAAGTTCTAACGTCTTTCAATCTTCTTGTGCATTGCATTGCATGGCATGGCATGGCATGGCATAGCATATAGGTATGGTAGGTATGGTAAGCTATGAGTGAGAGACTTAGACTTATTATAATACTTTGCCGGCTTCCGAGTGGATATCGAACTACTGTAATTCTCTCTCTTAGAGTCTTAGGGTTGGGAATATCATATCATTTCATATACATGATATATATCACATACATCTAAACGAATATCAAGTGAGTATTGAGTAGGGGATGAAAATCGACGAGTGGCAATGAAAAGAGAAAAGGAAAAGGAAAAGGAAAAGAAAAAGAAAGGAAAGGACTAGTAGGGGTATTTCTCTCGTTTCTTTTGTTTGTGTGCAGATAATTTTAATTTTGCCGTGCTGTGAGTTTTTGAGTCCGAGATTTGAGGTGATGTGATGTGATGCGATGTGATGTATAAAGCAGAAAGCAGAAAGCAGAAAACAGAAAACAGAAAACATATAACATGATCGATAGAACAACGAATAAGAGAGAATAAATTCACTTTAGCTTAGACTCCAAAATTGTTATTGTTACTACATACACTACGGGTGTATACGCAAGGTACAGAGGGACTCAGGGAGCTATGTTTGCATATTCCCAAGCGGTTAGATGATAGATGCGATGTATATATGTGAATTCCTTCTCATGTATCTAGTTCTTCTATCTTTTTGGTGTAATGTTTAATATTTGTAATATATTTATGGACTGGCTATATAAGGAGGATATATAACTTCTTTTATCGTTCTACAACAAGCTTGGATCACTTCTTGATCTGTATATTGTGTATGTAGATTTTCTGATATGTACCCGTCCGGGGTTGGTCTGGAGAAGACACGAGTTTTGTAAGGGATATCCTGGATGATTGTGGAGACGACGAATCATTTGCAGTGTAGAGTGAAGTTTATTATTTGTACGAGGTGAGTACTTTGTGCTGCACTACATTGTAGCGTTAAGTCAGTGAATAGATGGATTGATGAAGAGATAGATGAATTGATAGTATTACTAATTGATACCTACCTACGTATTGAAATGTATGAGAAATGAATGAATGAATGAATGAATGAATGAATGAAATAGAATAGAATAGAATAGAATAGAATAGAATAGAATAGCCAAATTATATTATTCAAAGAAATAATCCTTTACCGGGAAAAACAAAACTAAAAGTAGAATGGTAAATTACAAGCAAAGAACGGAAATAGGTTTGTACGAGGCATTTTTTCTATCTATCTGCATCATCAATCGGTGTACAGGGGTGGTTTTTTCATATCCGTGGTGGGTAAGGATAGAAGCGGGCGGATTCTTCGGATAAGAGCGGCGATGTGAAATGATGGATGATGGATGTGGGGCCTAAGAACTCAAAATATTATGTAGCCTGCACAGTAAGTAGGTAAGGAAAAGTAACCTCCTTAGTACTAGATCTGTAAGGTTAATCAATGGATGAATACCGTACCTACCTACCTAGTATAAATTAATAATCAATAATGATAAAAAATATGGGTCGAAATGTTCTGGATCAGGATTCCATTTCTTTCAAAGACTGTTTCTGTTTCGGTTTCTGTTTCGGTCGTACCATGCAGGAGAATCGTACAGGAGTATCGCTCATAGCCAGTCTAACGGTCGGATCAGTGAGTGATGAGATTATTTGTAGATGGAGATGTGACGGTACATACTATCTAGGTATTCCGAAACATTCTGGACCTTTGATATCGGAGATCCTTCCGGTGGGCATGTACAATGGGAGGAGATACGATGAAACCATAGAGGACTGTGGATGAGATGAGATGAGATGAGATGGACTACTGTGGATAGGGTTTGATGATTATGTGCTCTAGCTAGGTAGCTAGCTGGGGCTGTAGCTAGCTATGCCGTAGCTGTAGTGTTACATGTAGGAAGCTTGGATTTTTGATCGAAGGGTGGATGGGAATGGGAGCCGAGAATTAATTCACATCACCAGTACGGGGTAGTAGACCACAGATGTAGAAGGGTTAGTAATGATCAGAGAACAAAATCGAGGCCGTTCATCGTGATCCAGCTCATGTGCTATTTGTGGTCGGAGTCCCGGAGTGTGTTATCCGATTCACATATTTGATAAATGAATGAGAGCAGAACATACCGCATAGTAAGACTTACATACCTCATATCGCATTATCTATCAAGAGGCGAAATGTTCCAGCCCTAAATCCGTTGAATCTTGATAATGATTGGAAAAACTATTGAACGTTTTCATCCTGATGTCTCGATCAGATTACTCATTTCGTTTACTCTTTCCCATCCTTTTCTTTGTATGGGCTTGGGATGCTTAAGACGATGACTGTGATGAAATGTTGTGGATCCTCGAGAAATGCTTAGAGATTTGAATGGCGAGTAAGAGAAGGATTCCTTTGTGTACGGTGTAACGAATCAATCACTTAATTGGTAGACTTGTCAGTGGGTGCGTTGCAGCATATGCGGTAGCTACCTATGTAGCTGTGTGCCTATATGGCGAAGAAGCTCTGATTGAGTTTAGCTTGATGAAGTTGATGAAGTTGATGAAGTTGATGAAGTTGATAAAGTTGATAAAGTTGATTTGTTGGTTAATGTTATCATTCAATGTGATGGCTTTTTGATTAATTGATATGGAAAGCTTCCATTCCTTCGTGAAGCTTCAACTTTCTGTAGAGAAAACGCCATCTATGATGTATTTTGAGTGAAATATCCGAATATCCACCACCCACCACCCACCATCTAGTCCTTTCATCCCATCCATGCACGAAGAACTTGGAGAGTCGAAAATAGTACGAATTCATCACATTATTCATTCCTCTTGGCTCTTATTGCCGTGTGAATCAGCCAATCATTTGATCCAATCCTCGAGGAATAAAGAAAAGTGAGTGGTTACGGAGATCAATCCTACTCTGGGATACCGTGGGATAGGCTTCTTCTCTCAATGTAGGAGGTTCAGTTACTTTCTACCGGCCGGCAGTTATCTGAACTATTATCGGTCCCTACTGATGAATGTTCTTCGATATTCCCCAATCAACTGATATCGTTAGCCATTGACCTTGGCCGTTTACTCTAGACGATTCTTGATCTAAATGCTTGAACTTGATCATCTGTTATTGATTAACGTTTCGGACTTTACGAGGTGGTTCTAGTATTCCGAAATTCAAAATATCAACCACCACCTGCTCGCCTGCTCGCCTGCTCACCTGCTCACCAACACTCTCTTAAAACGGCAAGACATCGTCGAGAAATCCATAGGCTCTGAAGTATGAGGTACCTCCCTCCCTAGTCACTTATTAGTCAGTTAGGATTAGGGTTAAAAGTCCCCCGTGCGTGTCCGAATCCACTAAAAGAGATCCACCCCTCCTCCATCATACAGCCCAAACAGCAAAAAGCCATCTCATAATTATGGATGTGACCAATGACTACCCTAGACTCCCTTAAAACTACCCTGAAAGTCGCATATTCATCCAGATTCCTACATGTTCATACAGCTTCATACATCTTCACTGCCCCATACAGCTTCATTACTGGCTATTGAAAGAGGTCATCCTGTTCCTAGTTCCATCGGTCGTCTCCACCACAGCTCTCTCTCATCCTCTCTCTTACCTTCCCTGTCTCGATGCGCAGGAAATAGACAAGACGGCCTAGCACTACACGGCTACCGATATCTAGAACATCGCGCCGTTTATGAAGGGATTCTATCTGCGGCGTGCAAAAAGAGAACCTCAAGTTACTACTTACTATCCAGAGGTACGCATTGTGAGCAAACCATTATCCTCATTCATGTTCCTTATTGGTAGACAACATATTCATTGGGGATTTCTTTTTAAGTTTACACGAAGGAGCTTAGTGGAATCGGCTCATTTACGCACAGAGTTACGCACAGAGGATATACCTACCTCACAGCCACCCCCAGATTTAAAACTACATCCCATTTCAACTACAGCTACAACAAATCCTACAACAAGTACTACAACACAACGCAATCCAACGACCACCACAATCACAATCTTTTTCATTTACTTATCGTTTGTACCGAATCACAGACTTTATTTTAACGACAGATACCATTTTCCATTATCATTGGCCTTTTCAATATTTACACTATTCTCTTCTTTCCTGAATACCATCTTTTTCAATACCTCCATACGTCCCATTCCTCCATCCAATTCCAAATTCCAAATTCACCCAACGGTACATACAACCGGGAGGCCTGCAAATAATCAATCATTTACTGGCCAAAAAGGAATAAGTCCCTACACCATCTTTCATTTATTGGTCTGCAGAAACGAGAAACCGTAAAGGATCGGGTCGGCTAAAGCTTCAACGGCCGAAGGTTGTAACGACTGAAAAAGGCTTGGGTGGATTTATCGTTGCATCGCTGCATCAAGAACTGCAAGTCCCCCAGTAAAGGATCCGCCAGCCTTTGATTCATTGGAAAGCCCGTAAGTCGAAAACATATACCCATCGTACCTTTGCCACGAACAAATCACTCTTCAAACCGGGAACGAATGGATTATTGAACCATTTCTAGCATGTACAATCCTTCGTAGGAAGTTATTCTCAAATATTTCAGCCTCGTTCTTCTTTAATCATGCGGGACAAATCAACAATCAAGCAGGAGCAATCGCCTAACATGTCTGCGCCGACGTCATCTAATAGCGCTGAGTCAAATGGTGGCATGAATGGTGGGGAGACGGGTAAGTAAAAATCACAATATCAAATACAATTCGGACATAAAGCTCCTGTTCAATCGATGATATGGTTACCGTCTGGGACTAGAGAAACTTGTATCTGACTTTTACATTAGTCACAGCATCGACGACATCAGCAACACCGACTGCTACCACACCTCCCGACGCTTTTCCACTCAAAACCGACAAACCTAAACCTCATGGTTGCACTACGTGTGGAAGACATTTTGCACGTCTGGAGCATTTGAAACGGCACGAAAGATCACACACCAAAGAGAAGCCATTCGAATGCTCCGAATGCAAGAGATGCTTTGCGCGGCGGGATCTTTTGTTAAGACACCAGCAGAAGCTGCACTCCAATCTAACCCCTTCTGCGAAGCCAAGAAATCGTCGAAACAGTAGTATGAGTAATGCATCCGTAGCTGTTGGACCGAACCCAAACAGGGTACGAAAACACTCCATCGCCAATCCGTCAGGGCCGAGACCAAGAGCAAACACAATTCCCAATTCTGAAAGCCCCTATGTGCAAATGGCAATGCATCAAATGCTAAGTGAACCTCACCCGGCCAGGGATCAGAACCATACAATTCATCCAAATCATGGCCATAGTCGTCACGCCAGTCTCGTGGGCCTGCCAATGCACAACTCGGAATTTGGTGGAATGCGCGGCGGGATGGGTCCGATGAGTGGGATGTCCGCCGTGATGGATCAGCGCAATATGCCTCATGGATTGCCCAAAATCGAAACGCAACACGTGGTTTCTAATGGCTTGCGAACTGCGCCGGTCGCTGGAAATTTTCCAAATTACGAATTCAATCATTTTTCTCCCGGTTTTTCATTTCAAAATGGAAATACTCCTAGCCCGACGATAGATCCTAGTGCCTTGTTCAATCACTCACCGCAATCCATGAGCATTGGGCCAAATGATACATCCAATTTCGATTTTCCAACTTACTCCGGCAACTCGGTTATGGATGACCCTTTTGGCTGGAATGGAACGATGAACCCCTTTAACCAAACCATGACTTTTGATGAGAATGTCATAATGGACGGCTCTTCTCCATCTGCCATTAGCACTGCCAGCCAAAGTGGAATCAGTGATGGAGTCATGCTGGATGGATCCAATAATACGGCTGTGAGCTCTGCTCCTATGTGGCATCCCGTCACGGAAGCACCTCTAATGACTCCAAACTTTTTGGACCCCGGCAATCAGAATTTCGCAAATTTCTCCAACGGAAACCCTATGTCACCACACACTCTACCACAAAACCATGCGAATTTTTCGAATGGAAATCCTATATCACCACACACTCTACCGCAGAATCATCTACCATATTTCCGCACTCCGCCACCCCTAAGTTCTATGGACCATTCTGCAATGCCCGGGATGAACAACACACAAGGTTTCCAACCCCCCATGACTCTTGGCCCTGAGACCCCAAATTCCACGACCGACAGTATTCACGGAAGCTTACCTTTGTCTACAGTTACGGACTCAACCCGTTCGGCTCTAGCGAATGCCCTGTCCCACAACACAGCCTTTGGCGGACGAAAATATTCCTTCCCTTCTGCACACTCACCATCCTCCCAGTCTCCTCGGCCACCAATTCGAGCATGTAGTGTTAGCGAAGGCGTTAGATTTCTTCCTAGCACATCCGATCTCAGAAAATATATCGGCGCTTATATACAGTACTTTCATCCACACTTACCATTTTTGCATATTCCCACTCTTAACTTCGATTTCTCGAATTGTACAAACGATGGACGAGGCGCTGGTACCTCCGTCGAAGGGCCTGGATGTCTCACACTTTCAATGGCTGCTATTGGTGCACTATATGTAGGAGATCATCTACAATCGAAAGCGCTATTTGAATCTGCCAAGAAAATGCTACAACTCTATATAGAAATCCGTCGTAAAGCCGATGTCCGCCGAGCGGACCACCGTTCGAGAGCTTCAGAGGCTTCTACTCACACACCAGTATTTCTTGCACAGGCTATGCTGTTGAACATTATCTACGGTTTCAATTCCGGGGATAAGGTAGCAGGCGAAAATGCCCTGATTCACTGTGCGACTTTGGTCAGCCTTGCTAATGCGGTCATCAAGCCGCCGCCTCCTGATAATGGATCATCACAGCAGGATGTACGGATGACTGATGATGATGCGATGAATGGCTTCATCAAAACCGAGACTCCGGACGATCAACAGGAGTGGCTTCATTGGAAAACTGCGGAGGAGAGGAAACGGACTTTATACGCAATCTTCATACTATCCAGCATGCTTGTGTCCGCCATCAATCATGTACCGTTCTTGACTAATTCTGAGATTGAATCGGGTCTACCATGTGACGAAGAATTCTGGTCAGCCGAGTCTGCTACTAGCTTCTATGCTATGGGTGGCGTGAAAATGGCGAATCATAACCAGACGACGTTCAAGGCTGCTTTAAGCGAGCTCCTGCAGGCCGGCGATAAACAACAATACCAGCAGGCGCAAGCTCAACATTTTGGGAATGGGCACAATGCCCAGGATTTTCCCCAGAGTGATTTGCTGCCAAGCACTTTTGGATGCTTGGTTCTGATCAATGCACTGCATAACTACATTGTAAGTCTATCTAAGCTCTCGCGCCAGGTTTCCCATGTTTTGATAGCTTTTCTTCTTTATCTTTAGTAGTAGGAAATACTGACTCGAGGATAGTGGGAGACCCGACAGAGGCACGCCGAACAGGAGTGGACGAATGAGGAGACCGAAAGAATGTATCGTCACATTGAACCTGCCTTGAAAGCATGGCAATCAGCATGGCAACGCACTCCTGGGCACAGTGTGAAACGTCCAAACCCATTTGGGCTAGGACCTTTATCAGCCGACAGTGTTCCTCTCCTTGACTTAGCATATGTTCGCTTGTTTGTAGACATGTCAACTTCAAAGGAAATGTTCTGGAAACGTAATTTCGATGACATGGCAAATGAACTTGCCCATGGAAAGGAGATGATGCATCATGCAGAACGATCTCCTAACTCCAATGCCGATTCCACGGAATTTTCAAGCGGGTCAACTGCAAGCTCTGTGTTCGTCGATTCTCCTACAACATCAAATTCTCCTTCTGACTTTCAATCTTCCAGAGCTTTTCAGTACCCCCCACAAAAATCAGAGGGGCCTTCCAAGCGTGAACGCCATTTCAGAAAAGCAGCTTATTATGCCGCTGATTTTCTTTCAATGTCAAGTAAATTTGGTATTACTTTTGCCGACTTCACATCCCGGGAACTCCCTTTACAGGCTGCCATGTGCGCATTCGATTGTGCGCAAGTAGTAGCTGAATGGGTAACTCTGGTGCAGGAACGCCTCGGACGTTACATTGGAATTCTAGGTCATAGCGACGTTGATTTTAGCAGCGTGCCTGCTATCATGTATCTGGAAGAAGAAGATGTCAAACTTTTGGAAAAGATTAAAGAGGTCGTCCACAGCGCTGAAATGAAGATGCAACTTGAACAAACAAATGCTCACATGAATGGTGTTCAGAGGTTCCCGGCGTTGGATAATTGTGGGTTTGGAAGCAGGATCTTAAGAGTGACTGCTTTCCAGCTTGATAGAGCTGCCGTTTGGCAAGGTAATTCTTCTCTATACTTGTTTCATACCTTAAATGCTAACTCTAGCCACAGTAACACATCTTATGGCACGAGCTTTAGAGACACAAGCTATTCATGTGCAAACGCGAGCAGAACGCTCTAGTCAACCAAAAGACCATTTTTTGTGATACGGAAAATAATAAAAAATGAGGTTCGATTACGCTTATACAAAAAAAGCAATTTCCTAATATTACCCCTTTGATCTTTTTGTAAAAAACAAATTGGACAATAAGACTTGGTCATGTCTTGTTGTCTTGATTTCGCGGTACATATGGGTGGTAGGTTGCCTCTTTGACATACATTCAACCGAAAAATGACGGCTTGTCTTCGTCCGCTCAAGCCTTCATAGGATAATTTTTACGAAACGATTTGATTTTTAATTCAAAACACATATTCCCTTTACGTATTGTGTTTCTCGCGCATGCTTGATAATACCATGCTTTGGTTCTTTTCGACTCGACAGCACGTCTTCGTACGGCTATACGGTTTCTTTCATATTTGATTGCATTTTTTTGGCGGGATGGTTTTAGCTGGTTGGGTATGGGGTTTGGGTGTTTATGGATGGATTGTTGATCGAAACTGCGTTTGTTTAATGCAATGTTGTTGAATGATGAAATGCCTGAATGATGATGATGAGAATGAGAGGATGTTAATTTTTTCTTTCCTTCAATTCATGATACATCTTGAGACATTAAGTCTAGTTTCGGGATGAAGGCGATATTTTCTGATGGAGCATGAGTGATAATATTGATGGAAGATGGATTGGGTTGATGAGGAGAAAAATATGGAGAGAGACAAGGTAGAGAGGCAGAGGTGAAATATTCACGAATGGATATATCACAAGTTTTCGAATGAAAAAAGGATAGGACGGGTTGAACAGGAATATGATATTGAATTGAACTGAACTGATCTGAAGGAACGGCAAGGAATTGAACTGACAGCATTGATATTGGAACGGGATGGAATGGGGGTTAGGTTATCGGATGGTGATTTGGCGGTATCAAATGTACCTAGGTACCTACCTATCTACCCTTTTTATTTTATTTAATTTAAGTGAAGTAGATAAAGGGGGCATTAACGAGAAAATCAAATGTGAAAATTTAATGAATTAAATAACAAGAAATGAAATAAAGAGATGAAGTTAAAGAGATAAAATTAAAGAGATAAATTAAAGAAATAAAATTAATATTGAAATCATTTAATATTATTTATTTTTTATATATTTATACTACTCAGTGAAAATTTTAAAATATATAAATAAAATTAAAAATATTTATAATTTTTTTAAAATTTTATAAAATCTTATATTTATTATTTATTTATAAATAATTTTCAATTTTATATATATTTTAAATTCTTTATTTTATATTTCAATCATTTTTTTAAAAATAACAAAATCAATATTTACAACTTTTTATTTATAAATATAATTTCTTGAAATTAAAAATATAAATTATTAAATTATATAATAATAAATTTTTGATAATTTTATTAATTGAGATATTAAAAATTGATATTATAATTTTTAATTTATATGAAATTTATATATAAATTTTAAAAATATAAAAATCTTAAATTAATTTTCAATATAAATTATCAATGGCCTGTGCCCCTCGGACTTTTAGTTTTTTTGAGATAGTCTAATGAAAATTTAAGATTTAAAAAGTTTATAATAAATTTAAATATTAAATATATATTAGAGTGCGGATAGAATATTGATTTGTTTTTGATAATTGAAATTTGAAATTTTTTACTTAATAATTATAATATTTAAAATAAAAATAATAATTATAATAATATAAAATATTATTATTATTTTAAATATCATAAATAACAATATAATAATATTAAATAGTATTATTATAAATAATAGTATTAAATCATATTATAATTATTATTTTTAAATAAAATAATTTAATTTTCAATTATTAAAAACAAATCAATATTTTACCTACACCCTGATATATATTTAATATTTAATTTATTATAAACTTTTAAACCTTAAATTTTCATTAGACTGTCTCGAAAAAGGGGTCCGGGGGCGCAGGCCCCTGGTAAAATTATTAATATACATAAATTATAATTTTTGATACAAAAAATAATTAAAAATGAAAGAATGATTAGAATATAAAAAATAATTAAAATGAAAGAATGATTATAATATAAAAAAATTTGTTTTTATATAATCTTTAATAAAATAAAAGATTTTAAAAATTTAAAATATAATAATTAACTATAAATGAATTTTTTTAAAAATTATATATATATCTATTTAAATTTTAATATATTATTTATTATATATTTTTTTAGATTATTTATTTTTAATTAATAATTTTAATAATTTAAAAAAAAAACTATTTTAATCTTTAATATTTTCTTTTAATAATATTTTATTACTATTTTAATTTCTATATTAGGTCTTTAATTATTCCATGTTATATATAAATCAGTATAGTTATTGAATACTTATACAATAGTCTAAAGAAACCCAGACTGAAATCTAAATTGACCTGTAACAAATGAGGACTAAAGATAGGTAGGATTTTGATAAATCTGATACCCCGATCTCAAGCATTTCCAGGACCAAGAAGAAACGTGCATGAAATTTATTCATCCAGCTCCAAAATGTTGAATATGCAAAGCCTAGCTGATGTATGTGGGTAGTATGTAAAGTGACGATTCCTACACTGTTAGGAAAAAGTCCATTAGTACGTATCCTTAAAAAGAATATATAGCTTAACATAGATTAAGAATACCAAAATGGCTTACATGCACGACTCGTCCTTACCAAAATATCTCATACTTATTGAGAAATTCCCATGACTCAATACTTTCTGATATCCATGCGTTATATGCATACAAATCCAGATGGAGAAAAGAAGAAATGCGTCGGAATGTCCTTCATGCGTATAACCCCAATATCATTCGATATGATGCTGCATGAGATAATTAACGTACAGGATAGCCCCACTATTGAAGAAGATGCCGCTCATTCCGCCATATTTGGCGCTCTAGACTTTGAGTATAGATGAAAGCCTTGATGAAAGGTATTTCTTAAGGTGTGGTTGTGTTTGTGAAGTGCCGTACCAGATAGAATATGCATAATGGGGCAGGTAGTAAGTAATATTTTTGGTATCAATCCAATTCTTCGTTTCACAATATTCCTATTGGTTTTGGTATCCATGGTCCCTCCCAACGTGTCCAGCCCTTTTCCGTTTTATTCGTGGAAGATTTATGACCCGTATCTACTTGGAGAGAGGCATTGTTACCATCTAAATCATGATCCATTCTTATAATTTCCGCTCGAAAATCATCAAGATCTTGGCCGGCTGTACCGGGGATGGATGAGGCATTGCTTTTCGAGGATTTCGATCCTTCCCAGTCGGATATCTTCTGTCGGAATTTGAGCGCTTGTAACAGTGTCATGGGATCCTCAGAAGATTCCTCCAGTTCATCTAACGTGCGAAGAAGGTCGTCTCTTCCAAAGATCTCAAGTCGATCCTTTATCATATTTAAATTAATTCCTTGATCCTTCTGCGCTAGAACTCCCCGCACGAATGTCTTGCAATCGTCATCCTCTTCACCAACAGATAAATCTACCCAGTAAAAATCCCAAATCCATTTTAGTGCTTTGCGCGCAGCTATTCGAAGTTTAGGAAGTGATGGGAGTTCCTCATGGGTAGCTTGATGTCGAAGTTCAACGTACGTGGCTGGTAAGCCTATAGTTTTCGCGATCGAGTACATACTTAATTTGCGACGCTTATCTTGATGACTATCGAGAAGACCTGTGACAAATCTAATGATAAAATAGAAAGCATAAGTCAGTCATTGGAAGAAAATAGACAATGAGCAAACCTCAATCATACCGACAAAAAGCAGCAGAATAAGCAGCTCTCACACAATAGGATGAATTTCCGGGAACATCATTTAAAATGGCTGAAGTAATAATGGCAGAAGATTCGACGAGATGGGGACAATTTCCACGCTGCATCCACACAGAGATGAGGCATACAGCTTGTCGACGATGAGTATCATTTGGAGGGCCAGTCTCAGTATTTTGATAAAGTTTTTCGCGCACCTGGATAAGCTCACGACGGGTACGCCAAGGCGTAATTACATATTGAACCATAATTAATTGGAAGGATAAGTTAGGATTGAAAGATGATCAAGATAATGAAGACAATGAAGATGATGTATAGAAATTATAGCAGAAGTGTTGAGTTGCCATTAACTTGAAGTTAGTTAGTTGTAAGTGTTTTGATACTGATGCCAAGCGATAAAGTTTCCTGGCTAGCGCTCATATTGTAGAAGCTAAAGAAAATCATTAGATAAGCTTAGAATATAAAGAGTCTTTATAAAACATAATTGGTGATAACGATGAACAATGAACGATCAACGGAGGATTTGGTTATTACTCCCAGTCATTGAAGGGTGGTTAAACATATTCACTATTCATAAGGGATAAAGAATAATCTTCATCTTGTTTGTCTGTTAATCCGAATTTTCACTCAGGTATTGATATTTGTGTGAACCTATATACATATATGTATGTGTATGATTTGGGAAGACAACTTCAACCAAACATTTGATGGAAGTGTCTAAATGATAATCTAATTTATCCCGCCCGTCATTGCTGACATGATCCTATAGCTTCCAATACTCCAAATACCTGTCCTGTTCCCAATATTTTAACATACCCTACTCCATCGCTAAAGTCAAAGTCATAAATTTTCCCATCCGGAGACCCATGCTCCATAAAATCAGATCCAGCCTGTACTGCCATGATTCGTTGCGTAACTTGCGTTGAAGTTGGGAAAGTTTTGTGTAGTGCCCATCACATAAGCAGTGGTGTTAATCACTTCAGCAGGTCTTCCTGACACATCATCTTTCTCATCTTCCTCTTCTTCCTCTTCGTCCTCCTCCTCTTCGTTTTCTCCTTCACCATCCTCCTCGTCATCTTTGTCGTCATCATTTTCGAATGGTGGTTGCCAAGTCTCCTCTAATTTCAAACACTTTCCAACTGGTTCAAGTCGACGATAGCTGTTGCCTAACAGCTGTGACGACATCATTCGATAATTATCGAGTTGAGGATCCGACAATGATATTTTGCTATTGTCCGGAGTGTCATACAGTCCCATACCAATTAACTCCTCTCCTTCTAGCTCATCATCAGAAAGTGGATGATAAGGTATCGATTCTTCTGGAGTAAATGTGGGGTCGGGATGTTGAATGGGAAGGAAGTTATCTGGTGTGGGTGGAGCGTTACCATACTCGGATCCACTTGTTGCAAAGTTGTTCCAATCAAAATGTGAATACATTGTTGAATCTTGATTATTGTTTGTGTATGGAGCTTGAACAGCCATCATGGGGTTTTCTAATGGTGTATGATCCGGGGTGTAGAATTGATCGAGTGGATATGAAGTAGGCGCCGTGGCAAAAGGATATGAGTTGTGATGATCCTCACTGAAAGGCATCGACACAGGAGAAAAGCTGGAGTCTGGTGATGCATATCCTGAGTAAACAGCTGGCGTCGGGACATCATAGTTGTAATACTCCTGGGGGAACGGGTATCCACTTGTAGATTGCACTGGCTGGTATATTTGTTGTTGTGAGGATGGGTGCCAGCTGACGGGACGGTTTGATCTTATTGGCATCTGAGTTGGAAGTCCATTGTTCGATCCCCATTCATTAGAGCCCATCATTTGTTGTTGGTTGAGCATGGCCATCTGACGTTGGTATGAGCCATCCGACATGAGGGTCTTCCGTCGATTCTGTTTCACGGAACCTCTTGGGCTATTGCTTGCACTGTTTGGTTTGGTAACGCGCATCGGTGCCATGTTCCTTTGGCCATTGGACATTGATAATCGAGTTCGAGACTGTGAGGGTTGAGTCATTTGTCTCGAAGCATTTTCCAGAAACATCTGAATATTGTCATCACACCCCATCATGTTCGTTCCATATACTGCTGTAGCATAAGTTGAATCCATTTTGTGATATCGTACAAGAGTGAAGGTAGGTAAGTCGAGCTAGAGAGTCGGAGAGATAAATTCAAAGATGAAGTGTTCCAGAGATATATGAAGTATAGGCACTAACGTCAAGTGGACGCTAGTAGTCGAGATATCATAGCCTTGATATGATTTAATCTAGAGAATGCTGGACTTAAATTATAAGAAAGGGATCTACCCAATCTTCCATGTGAGGACTAAATATCGGCAGTACAAAAATATAAAGACCACCATGCAAGTGACTTACCGTAAGGTATGTCGTCTGTGTCATCTGGCTGATGATGGATCCAAATCGATCCCACGAATGGGCAAGGATTATATCATAGGGAGTTTGCCGGGTCTGAGCTTCTTCTGGGGGATACTAGACAGGGCTTTGTTGGCGGTCAAAAGTCAAAGCCCCTGGCTTGCAACATACGCAGATTCGAAAAAGTCAGCGGTACAAAGGAAGACAAGGGGGATAAGCTACATCCCGCGGCTGGATACATGTCGCGTACGAGGCTCCTTCGCCCCAGGGTGTGCGGGAATCAAGGTGGAAGGTGTCAACTGATGAATCAACTTCCTAAAGAGGAGGATTTGCTTTGCAAGGAAGGACGGCGAGAAAGGGCGGTCAGGTTGTAGCAGCGCGAGGGTGGGATAGATTTTGATTTTTCCAGGGTGTATATATATCAAGTAGCCGACGGGGTCCAAGAATGCTCTTGCTGATGCGGTGGAGTGTAAGTTTGTGGCATTATCCGGGTGTGGTAGTAATGTGGATAACTATGAACATCTAGCATAATTAGTATATTAATCTAAGCCAGAAATGTGGCCTTCCCGTACTGACGCAGCGCCTCTGGAAGTTTGAGATGTGGATGTTTCGATACTTTGGATCGTTAGTTTCGTTGTAGTGCACATGTTAAATTGTGGAATTTAGTCAAATTCTCGGCCCCATCGATCACAAAACGTGGGTAAGCATTCCAATGGTTCCATACCTAAACTCTGAACATCGAAAATCCCTCGGTCGTATCGTCCTATAGAGAAGACCTATTTCCTTGAAAAGCCTAGAAGGTTCACTGGTGCTAATTTCGTGCGGACCAATTATTTAAGACGGCTCAAGTAATAATATACAGTAGCCTAATAAAGAGTGCGTACCGTAGGCCAATATGATTAGGTAGAACCATACAGTTCCGCCAAATGAAGGAGAGCAATGAAATGCGGTGCTACCGACCAACTGCAATGTATCTAGACTGGCATGACCATCAATCATACTTAGGTATCATGAAGCATCTAAGTGGCAAGCACGACTCGTTCTACATTTGGCGACATGTACCGTACCGTGTATAGCACACACCCACGATTAATATTCTTGGCTAATATGATTTTCCCAGGAGACTGCAGGATGATTGGCAAAAGTATGTATGGTATGCCATGAGCAACCAACGATTGAGGAAATTTCCAGATATTCTATCAGATACTCCATATATTAAAATTCTGATGAAATGCATATGGGGCAAAGTATATTTTATTCTTTGCCTTGTTGTAAGTTACAACGCTATCCTAGCTATGAAATCGGGAAAGAAGGCGAGACTTTGAAGGCAGATGGTATGGTATGGGGCAGCGGTACGCGAGTAGCTGCAGTAAAAGGAGCTAATCTCAGTTTGAGTACAAGTCATAGTTTAGAAATGGAATAATGCAAAAATAAATCACCGACCGTTCAACATCCTTGGTATCCACCAGCGCAGTAGGTGGGTGCAGTAGTACAGAGTACACTATGGAGTAGGCTCGCTAGGTAAGGATGCGGAATGAGTTAGTGGGATGTTGATGGATTGATGGATCTTATGCTAAGGGATTGCGAACGACCCCCAGGGACCAGCCACCTTTAAAAAAAGGGCTAAGAGCTCTCTATCACGAAACACCCAATCATATGCAACCACAGGTGACAACATTGAAAAGGCCTCTTTGTGAAACTACGAGCCACAAGTTCCCATAACCAAGAAGGACTCGGAGGGAGGGAGCCACTTAAGGAATGAAATTATAATATTAAAGATGCGTCAAATGGTTAAATCGTTTCGCCCGCCGCTCATACCCAACTGAGGTAAGCTTTCATTTTATCCCATCGTCACCACCAGGATGATCTTACAATAATGTCATTGTCACTCTTGGTAAACGTTTTCTAAGTTTAAGACCAAGGCGCCAAAATTATGGGGAAAACATTAGACCAGTCAAACCCGTATCATGGTATGCTAATCATAGTGGCAGATTTTCTCAGATATCAAATTTCCATTATCCATTATCCATGGCCCATGGGGGACTCATGGCTATCACATACATCATGCATATCGAGGCCTAATCAGCAGCCAAAAGGCAAAGCAATCATTATTGAACAGATTCAGTAACTTTTCATTGATTGAGCATGAACCCGCGGCGAAGTATGCAAAGCACAAGTACAAATTGCATGCATGCGCAATAATGACTAAGACCGGCATATAGTAAGCAGATCATGAAGCCATGACGGTGATCCATGATATTTTCTACTTTCCAAGAATTTCTACATTTCGGTGGAAACTTTGAAGGAAACGATAAATGAGCAAAAAAAACTATCTTAGCATGCATGGTAGGGAGGCCCTGAGTTCAGTTTCGATTCAAGATTGAGGCGTTGTTTTGGTCATCGAAGAGTCGAAGAACCCCTAAGAAGGGCGCATTGAATTCCAAGGTTGTCTTCAACTATCCCTGTTTTAACTGGTAAAGCATAGCAATACGGTCAAGCTCCCCTCCACTTCCGAAGTTATACTTTTCCTACTGTCAAGGAGCTCATGAAGACCGAAAGATGTTTCGCAAGGGGTTGAGCATGATGTTGGAAAAGCAAAGCACAAAAACATAGTCAACATCTATATGTCGGTCGGGCGCTGAAACAGATTCGGACTTAATAGGGTACATGGAATAGCCAGTAACTTAAATTTTGCTTTTGCCGCATCGATGACCTGTTAGACAACATGCACGGAAATGGCGGCCAGAATATAGCACCTGTTATGACCTGCGTTCATACCGTGTGGACTCAAATCAACAATTAGATGAGTTTTTCCGTTGAGTTCTTTGAGCTCTAATCCAAAAGGGGCCACAGCCGGAGATTCTTTTTTTGTGTGATCACCCCGCAATAATTCCAGTCCACCAGCAGATGAGCCGGCCCCTTGGAAACTTATATTGCAAGAAAAAGCTAGTATGGTATGAGTATCGACTGCAGCATCTACTAGATGCTAAGCCTAATGACGCGTAAAACAGCAGTTTCTTTAGACAATCTGAATCATACTATTGGTTAGAAATATCAAGAGCTAATCACTAGTCGCTAAAGTAGATCTTATCCTTGTATATCTTTTTTTTCTTTCCTTTTTCCCACCCACAGCTTCCCCTTGCTTTTCTCCTCTTTTAGATTTCTGCCCTGGTCAATTGTAGATCGTGTTTCGCTTACCCGTGCCACGAATTTATATCAAGGATGAAGATGGAGATGTCAGAATCTAGGATCTAGAATTTTTAGACCCATTCATGAGAGCACCACCATCAGATCCTTACGCAAGCAAGGGTCCGGTTACTTTTACCAAACTTCTTTTTTGGATCTTAAACGCTCGAGACATCATAGCACAGTGCACATCCCTCGCTTCGCATCTAACCGAATCTAAATCAGCGATTCAGTAGAAAAAAGAAGATATCTGATGAGCACAATTTTCATCCCAGTTGACAAGGCTGGGACCGTCCTTCCTTTTCGGTTTTTTTTCATTTACAGGGGACTACACCTTCAGTGACACCACACTTTCCTGGAGGGTACAAGCTCGAATTGCTGAAAAGGAAGTGGTACCCTGCAAAATGAGGCACGGATTTTGATCGCTGAACTGAATGGCCGACCCGTCTTCACAGTAGCGCTGCTAAGTTCTAACTCTCCACATAAGCTTCAAGCCAGTGATCCTCCTTGGATGACCAAAATTAAGCACAGCGTTTCGGTCGGTACCATTCTCACGATCAGGACTGATAATTGGACACTATATTGAATCTTGTTATTGTGCCCAACGGATGGGTTCATTCAATCATATCAAATTGGTAAGACGGATACTCTAAATTTACCTAAAGCTATTGAACGAGCATTATTTAAGTATCATGTCATGCCAATCAGCCATCTATATTTTTGCTCCCGCCTATCGTGTTAACAGAGTAGTTGCATCAATCCACACTCTAGTCATCATACCCTCATGCGAGCATTTTTTGAAACCTTCCAATCATCGTTCGCCGTCGGAAATGGTGCCAGGCGATCTTTTATTATTGCAACACCCTTTCAATCATCTTTGGTCTCGGCTTTCGCACCGTTGCAGACGCTTGCATCCTATTCCGGCCCAAACTGCTTCCTCTGGACCAGGGCGAAGCATACCTGCAAAAGTACAGTAACTAAGATCATCAAAACAAGGCAAGGCCAGCCAATTTATGACTGGCTTTATTTGGGAGCGACCCATCGTGTTGCATTAAATTTACTTGTGTTGTGCCCACCTGATAGGCAATCTAATACAGGGTGGCCGGCGCGATGAAATTACCCTAAAATTTGGAGCAGAGCTTGTGGAACGTATGGCTGATTGACGGCTCAATACATACAGATGAAAATAGGTGGTCAAAGAGAGAAACACAGTGGTGATTTGTATATGTGTTCAAACTTTGTGTTGGCTTTTCGTGTTCTCTTTCGTATTCCCTATCCGGATTGACTGAAATCTAACAGTTAGATTTTGATAGTCGATATTCTTCTCTCCTAGATTAATTATCCTCCGGAGTAGGCGTCTAGTGTTAACGGACAAAATACGATTTTGGTCAAGTATTTACAGGCATCACGAGAATCATCTATCATCACCGAAGTTTTCACTGCAGATTTTGATTGATGTGACATCTATCCATCATCATTCATCCACATTTCCAAACAACTGAGCCGTCTTAAACCCAAGCCTTGTACACACCATGACACTAGCCCCATCATCATGTGAAAGGAAGAAGAAACTCCTAAAGGCTCAGGGTTCTTATAATTTTGTGCGTAGTCTGTTTCTGGCGCGTAATCCGCTCAGCAGCGTACGAATTCAAGACATTTTCAGCTGGAGATAAATGGGTATGCAAAATGCAAAATGCAAAATGCAAAATGCAAAATGCAAAATGCAAGCAACGGTCGGATGCAGCACATTAGCATTGATCGGAGACGAGATGTGTACCTGGTTCTAACCCATACACTGGCATGTATGTATGTCTCTCCAATCTAGAATCATGGATAAGGATAAAAAGCAGTGTCGAACGATGAACCCCTGTTTTAACATCCTACGCTCTGTTCCGCAATCACTCTCCGAGATACTTTACCGTGTGTGGAAAAGCGGAACCGAATGGTTTAATGGCTTATTTACCAATGGGTTACAACTTACGATGAACGAATCATGCTGGTCTGCACACATCGGAGATTCACCAGGAGCATTGTCTAGGGTTTCGTGGATCTGCAATGAAGGATGATGTATGTATGATATTGTTCGCTGAGCCCTTTGCTCAAGAATGGCCCCTCCAAGTGCTCATGAGCATTTGTTATTGGTCCAGCACCTACATCATCATCCCCATTGTCTAAAACTCTTATTTCATCAACAAGGCTTACTACCAAACCCAAGGAATCAAATTCTAGGCCCGCGTGAAACCTAGAGGAATCCGGTGAGCCTTGTGAACACTATTCTATTACCTAGGCCCCCAAACCCAAACCGAAAATCTATAAAAGTCAGAAATATACAATCCCCGCTATGAAATAAGGAGGTGGGAACTTGGATGAGAAAGTATCGAAGCCTGCAAGGAGGGGCATAGCACAGCTCCTCATTTTATCGAAAATGAATGAATAAATGAATCAGATCTTTACCAGTTTCGATATCATCTCCGGTAATTGGAAACCCAAGAAACTTTAGAATTTTTTTTAGAAACCTTATGGAGTATATCCAAGCGTCTGTCTGTATTGAGCCTCACTTACAGACATAGCTTATTTCTGTTGGGTCACTAATGCACATTTTTATTCGTTTTTGAAAACCTTGGGTAGAAACACAACTCAATGCTAATTAACAAGCTACAAACTTACAGCGCAATAGGGTGTGCCAAGTCTCAAGGTCTCGAACTTTGATGGGACTACGGGGTTGATGAATCAATGGAATCAATGAAATCAATGAAATCAATGATACTCGAATACGAATGTAGGTATGATGTACGAATTGCTGAGCACAATCTACGACGATACGTGGAAGTGGACCTGCTCCATCACAAGCTCGTTTGCTTCTTGGTTGGAGGTTGCGGTTCGTAATTCGCATTATGTCCGCTGAAGGGGTTTTCGGCCTGACAGGGACTGGGGATTTCTGTACTATCATATCATATCATGACGGCAACGGGCAACTCAAGGCATGGCAAGTACCATTACATTTAGATTGGAGCACACCACCCACGAGATCCCAAGCACTCAGCCACCATACACATACGCAACTGTACGCTTTGAGTCTTGACTCACGAAGGTTCGTTGTTTTCTTGGTAAATAATGTATGGGCGGGTGGATATGATATGCGATATGCGATATTAGATATCGGATGAACGGCCGCGGACATGCTCTGCCATGGCTTGGTTCTTACTTCTAGCATACGGGTTCTGCAGCTTGTACAGCCTTTATTGCTTGCGTGGAAGGCTGTTTGTGATTTTTGATTGAGTGCCTGTGTGTAAGGATATCGCCTTGTAAAATATGATGCGTCCTTTAGTTACGAAAAATGTGAGAAATGCACGTTCGGAAATGCTGATGATTCCGGGATGAATGGCTGAATTGAACGCTGAAGTGAATGTTACGATGTGTACAAGCGCCATCCTTACACCTTTCGTACGATGTATGGTTAATAAGACTGGCGAGTGGACAATTTTGGCTAGCAGTTCCATTTTCACCGAGCGAGGTTGATCATCTCAATCAATAGCAAGTTACAGTGCGGTTAGTAGGTCTCACGGAAAGGAAGAAAGGGTATGGCGGATAGTGATAGCATAGTATGGATGGGATAACACGACAAAGGCTGTTTCCAGTTGAGTAAGTAGGCATGGTCTCCAATATTATGTTATTGATCTCGTACGGAGATACATTATCTGCACGACCCAGGAAGGCAGGAGTTCATTCTGTCTCATAGAGTCGTAAGTGGGTTGGTTGGCTTACCACTAAGGTGAGCAATTTTCCACCCTCTCTCTATTCATTCGGTTGGTGAGGTCGGTTGGTAAGAGCGTACGAAGGATGGACTGACTGGACCTGTACAACGCATCCCATCCTAACATTCATGTGTGAGCGTCATTTGGCTATCATCGGTGTAGGCATCAAAGATTAAGGTTGGTTGACAGGTTGAGGAGATCCAGGGGAAAAACTAGCAAGGCACGAGATCATGAGATCCTCTCTTCGTACGGTAGACTGGATGTGGGTTGTGTGGGAAGAGAAATGGAGCCTACATGCCTTCAACCATGCTTGTTTGCTAATAACAGTTTATGAAAACACCCAGATCCAAATATCGTAAATGCAAGGTCCGACTCCACACACATAGACAAGACATACGGAGTACGCATATTTAGACGGTTATACACAAGATTTGACGCTGGGATGCGAATGAAGCCGATATGTACGGAAGCAATTACTTCCGAACGGAGAAGGTGCTAAGTCAATCCATTTGATCATCACCATCCTCCAAAGCATCGGTTCTGGGATCTCCTTCCATATTCATTGTACGCGGGGTGATAAATAGATGACACAGTCATCTATCTACGTACTGCATTGCTGCCATGCTGCATCGTTTCGCATCCTTTGCATTGTCTGTTGCATTGGAAGTAGGTACAGTACAGTACTGGGTTACGGGATTGGTGATGAAGGCGTACACTGTGAAGGGAGGGGTGGGATAGACGGATGATACCCTGATGTGAAAATAAAGCGGGCTATGTAGTACGCATGAATGCCAATATATGAAATGTAAGTGTATGCTTCAGACTCTAAAGTATGTATCGATCGAATAGATAGCCTCCACATACTGTTTTCCTTCACCTGCATTCATGTATTGATAGGGCATAGTATATTGTTGCCAATTTGTTGGTGTATGGAGGTATCTATTGAATGGCAGATGGCATATGGCATTTCAAGGTTCGTTATCGTTAATACTGGTCGGAGGGGTAACCTGCCCTGCGATTGGATAATAAGGCAACAAGGTGTCAATGGATTGAGACTAAAAGTAACCTCTTTTGGAAGAAGGTTGAAGAAGTGCCTGAAAGCCTCAGGATTGATCTGTAATCTGAGGTCCGAGGATCTCATAGGACAACTGGTGTCGGAATTTTAGATATTCCGACGTGAGGTTGAAAATGCACCGGAATCCTAGGACCCCTGCCGATTCGATTCAAAAGAGGCTTAGTGTGACTTCTTAGGATAGGATTTGCTAATCTCATATGTTGAATTTCATGAATACCCATCGATAAAAAAGTATTCAGGAATAGTAAAAGGGAGTGGTGGTTAGAATAGGAAGCTATTGAGACTTTTGCTAGAACTACATGAATTTCATATGGGCCTCAAGCAATAGAATATCTGTCTGAATTCGTGCATTCCTCAGTGACTTGTGAAAGGAGGGGTAGAATACAGCTACTGATTTGTATTGTGCATGAGAATGGACCAAAGACAACACAATACAGTAGACAGAAATAATAAACATCAATCAAAATGGCTCACTCCGCACCACCAAATATATCTCTTCCCAGTAGGGACCAATTTGACACTCACGATGAAGTATGCCACCTTGATTTGGAGCTTGCGAGTTCCAGATTCATTTCACACTAACTGACTTACACTGGCAGGGACATTCAAGCGCAAGTGATTCAGAGTATCAGCATGCGCTGGAGGTAAGTTCATCTATCTCCCCTTCTCGGAGGTGTGCAGATGCATTGAAGCTTACGAAATACCTTCTTCCTACAGGTAGTCTTCGATGCTCAAAATGCGCATCGTAGGAAATCATCCCTCGTAACAGCTGATACACCCCTAGCGACCTTTCAGCGAAGAAAAAACACAGAATGCTATGTGCATGCGCTGTTGGAGAGCCAGCGTAAAGCTGGTAGGGCATCGAGTAGTGGATTGGAAGGCATAGCGGAGACTTTGGCTCCCCGCAGGATTGCAAGTGATTCGGATGGAGTTCGTGAAGGAGAGGACAAATCGCCAGACCCAAAAATACACAACCACGTCACGGAAGAGGAGGATTGCGGACAGGTCGATGAGACTTCTTGGAGAGATACTATCAAAGCGAAAGATGCGGCACAAGCGGTTGAAGATGATGCAAGTGGGAAGGTGGAATTCCAAGCTGATGGTATCGATGCGGGTGCGACACATAGTCGCCTTCTTACGAAGAAACAACTTTCTGATATGGCATGGGGAGTGAGGGAATTGAGTAAGAGGCTGGGGAGTATTAGATTAAAGCTGAAGGTCAGGACGGTTTTTATTCTTACAAAGGCGCATGATGAGAGCTTGATTGCGAATACAAGAGAGGTTACTAGATGGCTTTTGAGCCCGGAAAGACAGGTCAGATACACGGTTTATGTGGAAGAAAATCTGCGGGATAGTAAGAAATTCGATGCAAAGGGATTACTAGATGAGTTGGAGAAGGCTGAGGAGGGGCAGGTCAATGGAGATAAGCATAAGAGGTTGAGGTACTGGTCATCAAATATGTGCAGGACAAGGCCGCATACGTTCGATTTCATCGTTACTTTAGGGGGTGATGGAACAGTTCTCTATGCAAGCTGGCTGTTCCAAAGGATAGTACCACCGGTTCTAAGTTTTGCGTTGGGAAGTCTGGGGTTTCTTACCAAGTTTGATTTTGGAGATTTCGAGAAACAGTTAACCACTGCATTCAGAGATGGAGTTACTATTAGTCTTAGGTTGAGATTCGAGGGTACAGTAATGAGGAGCCAGTCGAGAAGAACTAAGGCGGTTGAAAATGGCGAGAATGGTGATGAAAACTCAGCCCCCAGAAGAGATCTAGTGGAGGAGTTGGTAGGTGAGGAAATGGGTGAAGAGAGAACTCATCGACCAGACGGCACATATGAGATTCTTAATGATATTGTGGTTGATCGAGGACCAAACCCCAGTAAGTAAATACCATCTCGCCTCATCCATATCCATTTTTCATCAGCATGTGACTTACACGCAACAGCCATGTCTTCAATCGAGATCTTCGGCGATGATGAGCATTTCACCTCCGTCCAAGCTGATGGCGTATGTGTCGCCACACCCACTGGCTCCACAGCTTACAATCTCGCCGCAGGTGGCTCTCTTTGCCACCCCGAAAATCCCGTCATCCTCGTGTCAGCTATTTGCGCACATACTCTATCTTTCCGTCCCATTATCCTTCCAGATACTATTGTACTCCGTCTCGGCGTTCCGTACGATGCGAGAACGAGCAGTTGGGCAAGCTTTGATGGGAGAGAGAGGGTGGAATTGGCTCCTGGGGATTATGTGACGATCAGTGCGAGCCGCTATCCATTTGCTAATGTGATGCCCCAGGGTAGGAGGAGTGAGGATTGGGTTAATAGTATTAGTGGAAAGTTGGGCTGGAATACGAGACAGAGACAGAAGGGGTATAAGGAGTGGTCTTCATGAGGAGGTGACCGTTGAAGGGTCTCATTTTAGGATGGGAAAAGGTGGGAGAGAAAGGGCGGTGGATATTGCGCGGAGAAACAAAGAGGGATAGGGAGAAGTGGGTTATGAGAGGATATAACGGGAATGCACAACTAGTCACAATTGCAGCGGTCAGTGACAACGGTAATGTAGGGTAGAATTTTCCACCAGCTAAAGACATTATCTTTGACACTGACCCTCAGCGCAAATTCTCCTTAAACAGATAGGCCAATCCACAGTCCACACAGTAGGACGCCTCTGTACCGGACACAAATTATGCCTACCCCGGTATAGAGAGAACAATGGGCTCGATTGTTAGTCTCAATTTCAGTCCCAAACCCCTTGGAATTTCATAATTTGATCATGCAATAAATCAGTGACGAGGGCGCACGAGTCCTTTTCGTGCAAGTTTTATACTGGAATTGTGGAAATTTAGCCAGTTTAAGTAAAATACCGGGATCTCCGGGATATATAACCTTATACAAAAATATAATAAAGCTTGATTATATCAGATGGAAAAATTAGACCAATGAAATCTGGTACGAAGAGGTTACTGGTATTAGAGAACATATATAAAGTCTTATATATGATTTTTGCAGATTGACACCGGTACTTGGATTTTATTGTTGAACCTCTGAATTTCTTGAAGTTGTCACATGATAGGTCTATATCGGCATCAGCATTATACCGAATTTTAGTAAAAGTCGGCCGACATTCCGATATCCACCATAAAATTCGGTGGATACAAAATTTGAACAGATGAAGAGAATTTTACGGTACAACTAGGTCTCTGGTATTGTCGTACTGCGGTATAACAAAGTTCTACTGTATGTAATCTTACCAGTCATGATTTCAAAGGGTCTTAAACCAGTGTTTGAACTTTGAAGCACAGCTTCGGAGTCGTGGTTGTCTGGCCTTGCGTTGGAATAACCTTAAGTCTATTTTCTACATTTCTACTACAATTGGCCTGGCGGGTCTCCTTTTCGGAGTATGAAAGTATCTATCTCTCGCAAGCATTAATGCGCACATCACGATGATATGCAATAACACGCGAGAAATAAGTTTCCGTCTCCTTTTAAGGATACAGAGAAGGTCCACTTGTCGATACAGTTGAGACTCATAAGAGGATCTGAGGTCTTTTATAACCTTATTTAAGTTCTGTATGGAGTTTGTGAGTGGCTGAGTCTCAATTGTTTTTATGGGGTTTCTTGCTTGGCTCCGATCTTGTTGTTCGTAAATATGATTTTCCAAAAATACACTATCCCAATTCGTTTTTCAAGTGATCTAAGTAGCATTTAGAATTTTTACGAGTCTCTAGAAAGTTGGTAATAGGGGTCTCATGTTTGCCAGCACTTCGTAGTTTTCTGATAACATCGTATTTGACCCACGTCTCTCGGCAACTATCGACGCCCCATATTGACCTTGACGTATTGAGTACAAGATAAAAACAGCAGTATTCGTCCAGAATTCATGATGCAGATACTTCGATATCGAATATTTACTCGCTTTATCAGATCCATTCAGACAGTTTTATAATATGAGTACCTATGCTCTGATCGGCTTGGCGGCGGCAGCTTCAGCAGCTGTCCTGGAGCTACCAGTCGTAATCCAAAATACATACGTACGTCACTCCTAGCATCTGATAATAAGTTGATGGGAACTAACCCCGGACCTACCTTTAGGCCTCTGTGGTGTTTGACATTGGCACTCCGGCAAAACCATACAGACTGTCGTTTGATACCGGATCCTCAACTTCATGGCTTACAGGGCGCAATTGTACCGACAGTACATGTCCTAACCGCAGCGGTTTTGTCCGCACTCCATACAATGATGCAGACTCATCTTCTTCGTTCGCTTTAGACTCCTCTGGCAACGTTGGGTATATTGACGGGAATGGTGTTAATGGGCTTGTATTCCAAGATGTGTTCTCCGATGAGAATGGAACAATAGCTTGGAAGCAAACTTTCCTCGCCGCAGTAGATGTAACGGACGAGGCTTTTCTGGCCGCCGACGGCCTTCTCGGCTTAGCCTTTTCATCCATTGGGGTGGAGAATACAACGACTTTAGTCGAAACACTCATTTGGGACGATAAATTGGATGATCCTCGATTTGCCGTCTTCTACGGCACAAATTTGAACGATACCGGTGCTCAAGACGGTGTTCTCACTATCGGAGGTAGTCATGAGGATACATATGTTGACGGAGAAGTAACCTACGTGCCTCTGCGCCTTGAAGATCCATATGAAGTCTGGCGCGCTCCTCTCCGCTCCATCAACGTATTATTCGCTCAAGACGGCGCCATCGTCAGCACACACAATGGAAAAGCACCCACCACCAACGCTACAGCAGGCACATGGCCCAAAGCCAACACCACATGGCCATTATACGGCACGGGATTTGCAGTCTTCGACACCGGCGCGGGAATGATCTCGCTCCCCAGTCAACTCCTCGAACCCGTATACTTTAATCTCGGGTGGAATCTCTCAAAACTGTACAGTGGCGAGGAGCAGTTCGGATGCGAAGATTTCAATTCGACGTGGGCGCTCTCGTTTACGTTTGGGGAGGACGAGGACGAGAGTAATGATGTGACTTTTTCGATTAGAGGTGATGAGATCTGGGCGCCCTTGGAACAGTGCATGCCTCCTTTCGGAGACAGTGGCAGTGATGATTTCGCGCTGGTTGGAGCTTCGTTCTTGAGGAGATTTTATTCGATTTTTGAGTTTGGGGGTAAATCGGTCGAGACTTATAAGCCTAGGGTTGGTTTTGGAAAACTCAAGGAAGAGTATGATTATTTGAATTATTAGTATGACTAGTGCTAGATCATAGGATCAAGCTTAAGATTATTTATTTTAACAAGATTTATATATTGTGAGAAAGTTGGAATTATAGACCAAATACATAGAGGTTTTTAACTAATCAATCACATAACCTTTTGTAGTTAAATATAAAAGGAAAGCTTTTGTCTTTTCTTTTGAGAATAATCAACCTTCTATATATATACATTTGAACCCACATAACATCAACCCCAAAATCATTATAAACCTTGTTTTCTCCATAAGTAATGTATTACAATATAATCTAATTCAGCTTTCTCTTTCAATTCCTTCCTCATAGCATGCTATCAGGACGCACATATCTCGACCTATCACTTTTATAATATATATATATATATGATTTATTTGTAGGAATAATATAGTATTAGTATACATTACTCAATTCTATATAAATAATCTTATAATAATAAAGAGAATAATAATAATTATTATTAATTTATTAATATTATAATCTTATTATATATGAGGTTTATTTAGTGAATAATGAAAAATAAGAAACTTATTTAAATAAGTCGCGATCCTGATAATCTAATTGGTCTAAAATACCCCGATAAATACCCCGGTAAATAAATCTAATAAAAAACTTGATATAAGCAAACTTTATAATCTTAGTATAACGATCTGGTCGAGGCAGCGGCTGCCTGAGGTTTTGTATGGTTGGTAATTGTAGGTTAAGGCTAATAATCACTGGTTATCTATTCGAAGATGAATATATTACTAAATCAATCGGAATATAGGTAAACTAATTAATAACTAAGTTAAGTATGAAGCTTTTAAACTATGAAACTATTCTGATTATATACTAATCTCCCTTCTTGTATGCTAGCTTTGCTAACTGGCTAGTAGAGCTAGCACATCACGTGAATGATTCTGAGGCCTCTTCTATCTTAAGGCCTTTCCTTTCCTGGAACACTTGTCCCAGGAGCTTTTCCTCTAGGAACTATAACCCTAGGATACGATATCCTCTAGGGTGATAGTCCTATTACAACCAATTAGATAGAATACTTGTCCTATTCTACTATGGTTGCCTAGGATACTTATCCTAGGAATCCTGGGGTCCTAGGCTTAGGTAATCAGGACCCCCGAAAGCAACAATTAAATCACACCCCCCTTATAATCGGCATATAAATCACCGACATCAATAATACTACTATAATCAAAACCGTGAATCGTGACACAAGCCGATAATAAAATCAATCAATTTTTATTTTCTAATTTAACGAAATCTTATTCAAAAATCTATACCATTAATTATATTATTATATATAATCAAAATAAAACATTGTTTATATAATTAATATTAAAAACTACCTTGTTTTGTATTTGCTCTGATTATAAACCGATTGCATTTGAAGACCCATATACTTATACATATACCTGTTACAACAATCATCGCTGATCACCGCGTCACATAATTAACTTAGGGTAACGTAATTAATTACCAATCACGTTAACGCCCGCTGAGGACCGCTCAGCTATCCTAGCTAGCCATGAACACGAGGGTCTATATAATCAGGATGGATTTACTTTGTAAGAGCTTCATGCTCAAGATCAATCATTTAGTATAAATCTACTATTAGTTACGAATTGCAATCATTCACTGTTGTTACTTAAGTCCCTGCTTGACGCCTAGGGCCATCGATGTTTGGAAGGTGAAGGTCTGCGCTAGTGCACGTGCTACCACCATTAGCGCAGTTGAAGCACCTCGGCTATGGGGCTATATAGGACCTTGGAAAACTTCGTATTAAATTATATTTCGAAGCCCTTCTTTCGAATCTATACATATTTCTAAATAACGAAGATGTGAGATCAACCTTGAGTATCTGGTCGCATCGCTTTCCGCCAGTGACTGATATAGTTACAGGTCATTCGCACGGTCGATTAAAGTCGTTGGTCCTGCTGGAGTTGGCAAAGCTACTTCGATAGGCTGCATGCTCTTCAAGGTTTGCAACAACACTCTCATCCTCCATTCGAATCGATAAATGACATCTAGACTATCACGTACTGACTGATATCTCAAGTATGGTGGCATACCTATGGACGTTATAGAAGTATTTCAGCGAGATGGGATCACAAAATATGACCAAGTCCCTGCCAAGCTTGCCACTCTTAAAGTTGTGCCAACTTTTGATATCCCAAAGTATCATATTAGTATTCTTGGTACGTATTCATTAATATAAATCGAATATCTATCAGGAAGCTTGTATGATTGACAAATAATAGATTCGAGCAGTGACAAAAAAGCAGATTGCACTATTCTTGTTATATCACCTGATAAGTTATTGGAGAATGTGAACTGTGATGTGAAATCCATGATGGCAATCCAAGAAAGTGATAGGATCATTATATTATTGAACAAAATGTTAGTATTTATCTATTTTTTATTTTTTTATTAATTATTCTATTGATTTATTCTTATATGCGAAATCAGGGATATATATGATTGGTCTGAAGCACAGTTTCGAAAGAGTAAGAAGGAAATCTTAGACTATCTCATTTCCTTGGGGAAAGACATTACTCGGTAAGGAATTCGCTATCATCTCTGGAACAAACAATTTCTTATATACTGCTAGGGTTTTCATTGTTCCTGTCTCTTCTACCAGCGGAGATAACTATATCGGGACATCGTTGAAGAGTTCTTGGTATGTCGAGAATTCTAAGCCAAGCGCTACAGTCTTGGATGCTCTGACTTCTGTTCTGGCCTAAGCTTTGGAATCAGGAATTTCATGGACATAATATCATTATCTTCGAATTTATTATCTTGCCTATATTCCGTCTTTGCGTGTATTCTTCAGAATATCTACAATATTTACGTACCCAAATGCTTCTGCTCTTGATATTGGTGTTTGGTCGTCTATATCTCGCGCATATATATCAATCCCCTCAACGTCGACAATAACGCGTACAATATCCTCGAGACCTAATGCTGCCGCCCACGAGAGTGGAGTGCGTCCACTTTTGTCCTTTCGATTTGCATCTACTTTCCCTGATGACAAGAGCACTTGAACGGTCCTTGGATCGGACTTTTCCAGCGCCCATGCCAATGGTGTCCACCCGTCAACATCTTCTGCATCAGCTCCAGTGCCGTTACATTTGATGAGGTAATCGACGACCTCATAGTGCCCACCGCCTGCAGCCCATGATATCGCATTCCTCTGATCTTTATCCTTACCAGACACTTTTAGTTTTCTACTCTCGAGTAACAGTTTAATTACCTCTAGATGCCCAGCAGCAGCAGCCCACGATAAGGCATCTCGTCCAGAGAGATCCTGGTTCTGACAATGCAGTCGATCTATCGTCAATAAATGTTTAACAATTTGGGTTTCACCACTTTCAGCCGCCCAAGATAGTACGTGCCGCCCTCTTTTGTCAACATGATTGATGTTTGTGCCGGGGTTTCGTGAGAACAACTGCACGATATCTAAGTGCTTGCCGCCAACGGCCCAAAAGAACGGTGTCCATTTGTTCACATCTTGAACGTCCAATTTTACGCGAGAATCTTCAAGCAATGTTTTGACGATATCAATATGACCATTGCTAGCCGCAAGTGACAATGAATCTCGGCCCCCAATGCCTTGTGCATTTGGATCTATCTTATCAAGATTGAGAAGCAGTTTTGCAACTTCCAGACATCCAAATTGAGCTGCAACGATCAGAGGGTGTAGTGCTATTGAGACATTTATGCCGTGCCAGATCCGAGTTCTTAGAACATCAATAATTTCCATGTTGCCCTTTCTAGATGCCCAATACATAGCCGTCTCTGTGATGGTCTGATCGTGCTTATAATCTCTCGCTAATGACGCATCCAGTATTTCGACAAAACCAAAGTAGCATGCGGCAATCAATGTATCAAAGTTAGATGGGTATAACCACTCTGGTTCTGTAAAGAACCAAAAGTAACGAAACCAATTCTTAGAACAATTCTGACTCATGTTCAGTAGACTGAAGGCAGACTTGAAAGCACTTATCTTTGCTGATCCTGATCTCGAATAGTGCTCTGACCAATATCGAGCAGAGTAATCGAAAAGAGTATGAGCATCAGCGATATCTTGGTATGTGTGGTAGCTTGTATATTCAATTTCTTGGAGAGTAATATCTTCCTCGAGTTCGAATGCGTCCCAGACAGTATCCTTGTTCTCAGGTTGTACACTCCCAGGCGGGTCAATATCAGTCGCATACGCGAACTTATCGACCGCAAAATCCTCCAATAGAAGATATGACATCGTTGCCTCAGTCAATAGAAAGTTGGCTTTCTCGATTTCAACGCCGAACACTTGAGATAAAGGATTGTCCTTCCTAGTCCAAAGGTTTTGCAAGAATTCCTTGGCAGACTGGTGCACAAGTGATATTTTGTTATCAGATATTCGTACCAATGGACCTAGTATGCCCTGGATAGTTTCGCTAATATTAGGCTGGCACTCCTCCTCGACTTGCTCCAAATTTCGATGGTGTGGCTGGATAGCCAGTAAGATTCGAAGTTCGTCTAGTGAGAGTGAGCGCATGCTGCCAACAATAAAATGCAGCAGCTTATTTGCTATGTCCTGATAATCCGAGGGAATGCTCAGTAGAAAGCGCTCGTAAGTAGCTGTTAAGCCCTTTGGGAGTTTATTAATGATTCGCTGAAAGTCATGTTGGGAGGCAAGGTATGTTCTCTCTAGGATATGGAGAATTACAGTCACCCAGAGGAACGTTTGGTCGGCTCGTGAATATAAAGCATGTTCCAAAAACTCCCTTGTTTCAGGGCGGCACTGCGTCCTTCTTACTATGGCATCAATTCTTGTCCGTATGACTAAATGAAGATCGCTTTCGTTGTTCGAGTCGAGGTTCTCAATTGATAGAGTATGCCCGGTGCGTTCGCGCGCCAATGCATATTGACGCCACAATAGAGGTCGGCTGGTGATTAGAAATTTTATAGCATGTGTACCAGAAGAACTTTTTTGGCCCACAAATGATGCAATTGCTCTCAACAAGCGATCTCTCGTATTCTCTTCGCATTCATCGATAGCATCAACAATGACGTTTATATGGCCGGCTTTTCGATCATTTGTTATAGCCGTAAATATTCTCCAGAGTTCATTGAAGTTATCTGTCAAATGAGCTCCTTGCATATCATAAGCCGCCTTCACATGTTTTATCAAGACACGTCGTCGTACAATAATCTGATAGATGAGACTACGAATAATGGCTTTCGCATCTCTCTGCGCTTCGATTTTTTCATCACAGAAAAAGCAGCAAACAATCAACTTGGTACTCGTTGAAGAGATGCTAGATCCAAGATATTCGAGTAGAAATGCTGACAAGATAGTCTTACCACTGCCAGAATGCCCACTAACCCACAAAAGACAGGCCTCTTTTTCTGATAACCAACGAACATATTGTGGATTAGAGAGCACCCATTCACAAGTGCCCTCGATGCGGCTAGGTAAAGTAGACTGATACTCCAATATATCTGGCTTATTGAATAAAGATATACAAAGAAGTTCAGTCTCGTTCAGTGCTTGGTTCTCTTAGCTCAAGTCTTTTCTCTGTAAATCTAGAATTGCAGCACGTACAATAGGCCGAGGATGCAAAAGTCTTTTGACTGGGTGACTCCTTCGATGGTAATCCAGTATTTTCATTGTCCGTACTTCTTACAAGTGGTTTTACCTTTATGAGTGATAAGCATCGTTGCAGTTCACCCACCACTTTCTGGTAACCATCCTCGGTCCTGTCAGCAAATCTGCACATGGACATATGATTCGCATTGATAGTCTGAATTCGCTCAGTTCCCGTAAGAATTGAAGAGACATTCTCAACGACCTATGGAATGGAGATGATTAGTGAAAATGCAAGGAAGGGCGGATTAGAACTGACTTTATGATCAAGTGTCCCGTAACTCAGTCCTGTCATTCCCTGTGCTTCTTGAAATGTGCAAACCTCAAAATGTCGATCCGGCCTCTCATATAAAGAAATGAACCCTTCATGGATGATTTCGAGGTCCGAACTGTTAATTTGAAGGTTCCGGATGCTTTGATCGTTCGTACTAAAGCCCACAGCGGACACGATTCTGCGCACAACCTCACCCAGTTCACCCATCTGACTACCGCGATGAGGGGTACCAAGAAAAAAAATTGCTATCGTAGAAAGATAGATATCATTCAGATTCTTATCAGGTTCAATCGCAGCGCGCCGTATCACCTAGAGGGACGGTCAATAGCCTCGATTATGATGGCTTATCATGAGCGGCGACGTAACAGGAATTGGCTTACATCTTTCACGATAATTCCTAGTCATCGTCAGCAAATTTATCGTCATGCAATCGGAAAATCCACTCACCACCCATAGAATGTGCAATAAAGACAAGGGGACGTCCTTTCTAAAGCAGTTTTGTTTAGTAACACGATGATTCAAAGATGAAGGAAACGTACGCAATCCAGACGCTTGTTGCTTAGCAAGTAAAGAAGATCCTTTGCATATGCGAATATGTTGTTCTTGTTTGTCGGACCTCTAAAGAACTTGGCAACGACAGAATCATAACCCCAAGTGAATATCCTCGTGTTATTGCAATCATTTGGCAAAAGGTCCAAAGGCCAGTATACCTCTTGTTCAGTTGGTCTTGTCTGAGAAACTTTAGCTTTGGTTTTGCCTCTAGAAAATATATTTCTGAGGCTTCGGCGAGATTCGTCTGTAGTCGTGGCTTGTGAGGGAGAGGCAGTATTTGGTACGTCTTTGCTCTGATGGTTTTGCGCACGTATTTCTTTTGTTGTCCAAGTTCTTCGAGGATGGCCTTGTAAGCCATGGACAAAGACAATACTATGGTAAGCTAATATTAGCTGATGTTATGCAGGTTTTTGGAAAGACTTATTACTCTGCGATAGAGTCACTAGGCTCGTGAAGCACAGAGAGCCCTATGTCGTGTATATCTATCGATGCGCCCTATTATCTCGATCAATGTTCCGAAACCATAGAAGCATATAAGATATTCCACAAACCATTCTTCCTTAGTGCTTTAGTATCGATAACGTTGCACAATCTCTAGTGGAACGTTGGCATGATAACGATACGTTTCGAATTGAATAGATGACGATTGCTGGTTTTTACGACCGCAACAGTGATTATGTCAGCCAATCGACAGGCATATCTTAGTACCAAATTCAATCGAAATACAAAGCAACCAGGAGATAGAGATTTTGCTGTGAGCAAGCTTGTTTTAATAGAGAATTGGGATATAGTTTTATAGTGATATTAGGATTAATGCAATCCATCCTTTCTCTTACAATCCCAATAAACAGTAGTCCATTCTCAATTCAGTCTTGTGGACCCAAAGTATAGTTTTCTCCCCATCATATTCCCAGCTTATTCCCAGTCTGACGGTCCGTGACCGAAGATCATTAAAACTCAAAAACATGTGCCTTTGATAGTCTTAACAGATCCATAGAAAACAAATGGTTAAGAAAGAGATAAATATTTTTGCTATGTATAAAATTTATCTTACGCTGCACATAATGTTCATTACACTTTTCAGCATTTATATGCTGATTGCTTTATACTCCAGAAGTAAGATACCTGGCCATAGATTTGTATGAAATCAGTTCAGCGCCTATCTCGCGGATAGTCCATAGCTCTCCTAAGCTAGGGTTCCTATTAAGCCACTATAGGCTTCCTTCTTCCGGTTCTCCTTCGGTATAGATCGGTGGTTGCTCTGTAGCAAGTTCGGTAGCGCTGACTGCGCATAATTGAGGGGTAAAGGTAGCATTAAGTTGACCTTGCCGAACTTCTTGTGGTGACCTTCTCCTGATGATTTCTTGCTTTGGCAGTTTCTGGCTCGATGGCTTGCCTTGCTGTATTCGAAGCAGAGCTTGTCCTTGTGTTTTTGTTCTATTTCTTTTTTGGGTAGTTTGTTCTTAAATGTTGTATCCAATTGTATTGGGTCTTTATAAGACTGTCGTTGTTTTCGAGGTCTTTTTTCATTCTTGTGGTACTTACTATGATCTCGGTTTCCATGAAAGTTGGAAGATCAGCGTTCTTTCTGATACTCATAGAGCATTTCATCCGCCTTGTGTTACATCATTCATCCTTGCCGTAGTATAACCGACATCCCTACATCTTGCACGACCCCACATCTTGTACATTCCTCATTCATAATTACGATCATTTCAAAATTTAATAATAATTCGATTTTATAAGATATAAAACTAGAACTTTAATTTACGAATGAAAAGATGTAATATTATTGTATAAAATCATAAAAACTTTATATTTGAAATCTTAATAGAATCTTGATTTATCGTTAGCTTTTTGTATATATATTTATTGTAATGATCTGGTCGAGGCAGCGGCTGCCTGAGGTTTCGTATGATTGGTAGTTGTAGATTAAGGCTATTAATCATTAGTTATTCATTTAAAAGTGAATTCGTTATTAGATCAATTGGAATATAGATAAACTTATTGATAATTAAGTTGAACACGAAGCTTCTAAATTATGAAACTATTCTGACTATATATTAATGAATGAAAAGGAGCTTTATAAAGTTCAAAAACTCCAAAAAGTTTTTAGAGCTTTAGGAGCTCTTCAAGCTCCTAGGGTTTCTTATTATATGATTGATCTTGAGGTCTCTCCTTTCCTAAAACACTTATTCCAAGAGCTTTCCTTTAAGAACTACAATTCTAGGATACGATATTCTTTAGGGTGATTGTGTTATTACAATCGATTAACTAGAACACTTATTCTATTTTAATATAATTGCCTAGAATACTTATTCTAGGAATCCCAGAATCCTTTTTGTAGATGATTAGGCCCTCTGAAAGTAACAGTTAAATCACACTTCCTTTATAGTCGGTATGTAAATCATCGACATCAATAATACTACTATAATGAAAACTGTGAATCGTGACATCAAGATATTAACGTTGAAATTTCAAATTTTAATTTATATAAAATTTATATATAAATGTTAAAAATTTAAAAATCTTGAATAACTTTTCAATAAAAATTATCAAAATTTTTAAGATTTGTATATAAATTTTATATGAATTAAAAATTAAAAATTCTATTATTTATATCCTAATTAATAAAATTATTAAAAATCTAAAATTTAAAAAATTTATCAATATTTACATAAAGAATTTTATATCTAAAATTTCTAAAAAATTATATTTATAAATTAAAAAGTTAATAAAAATTGATTTTTGTTATTTTTGATGGGGATAGATGACTGAAATTAAAAGTGGCTGAAAAAGAGGGTACTCGATTTATTTTATCTCACCTAGCTTAAATATCCAGCTTTATATCCCATCAGATGTATCAATGATAAGATCCAGAAACTTCGAGACTTGTTTAAGAATAGGTGTGAAATTGATGAATCAATGAAGAAACGGAGTTGTTGGAAAATAACACACCCCGGGGTTTGTCAATATAGTGATTAAATGAAATAGAAATTGGTGATAAATAAGGTGGACATCGATTTTAAAGGTTCCACTATACATCTCGCTATTTATCGTCTAACTTAACCTTATCAGATCTTTCCTTACCTCGTCTATATATTGAATCAAATCCCATGTCCTACCTGAGATTTCAACATATTCTCTCCTTGTACCCATTCGACCGATCCCCAACCACTAACCTACAATTCCCCCTTCAGCTCATTCCCCACCTCTTGTCCATTCCTCCCCTTCCCCTCCAAAACACCCATAAAATCTTTAACCAACTTCTCATGACTTTCCTGTAATGTCGTCTTGATAAACCCCATCAACATCCTACTCGCCCTCACCACCCCCTTCTCCTCCAAAACTAATCTCCCATCCCCAAGCATCAACGAACTTTCCCCGGGCCCCGCTTCCCTCACTATCCACGTCGTTACACTATGAACCCCCATCGGCGCATGCGTAATACTAACCAATCCATCCTCGCGATCTTGGAGACTACTCGTGTAAGTAATTTGATCTGGGATAAATCGTTTCGACCAGCCGCCCCGCCATCCGGATCCCGTCTCTCCTTCTGTGTTGGCGGATAAGTCGTCGGTTATTTCCCATATTTCGCAGGGACATCGCGTGCTAGGTTGGAGCTCTATAGGCTCGAATTTGAAGAAATCTTTGGCGAGAATGTGCGTAGGTGGGAGGAGGGTGTGTACTGTTACGAGGGGGTTCATGGTTATCATTTTCTCGTGGTCGTGTAGTAGCGTGAGCACTTGGGTGATGGGGATGTGAGGAGGAATAGGGGTGAGAGTGAGAGTTTCGTGGGTTGTGGTGAGGACTGTTTTGGGGGTGATGTTAGCATGATGGATGTGTTATGGATTGATAGGAGGCTTATGGCAGAGGGGGAAAATGACACTTACAAGACATCATGCCACTATCGAATTGTATTATATTGAGTTCGTTTAGCAAATCGTTCTGGATCTTTCTAAGCTGTATTGAAGCTCAGATGGGTTGTGTTGCGGTTGAGATGCGGTTGGGGTTGACATTTCGAGGTCGATTAAGCTGATTGATTGTGTTCGTAACGCGTGTTGTTTCAAAAGCTAAAGCTAGATCTCCTTTGCTGACGAGATTATACCGAGACATGATTTTTTGAAGAGAATTTTAACTTACTGTACTGAGATGATGCAGGAGTTAGAGAATATGATATACTTACGCTGTTTGATTCTTAAGAGGATTTGTTTTGTTATGTTGTTTTTTGGTTATTTACAAAGTTCTCAGTATTGTATTGCTTCGGGGGATGGATTTGTTGTTGGGCCTCGGTTTGGATTTTAGTTTCGGAAAAGCTCTTTTCCGGATCGGATGGAAACTTTCAATACAGCCAGCTATAGCTACAGCTAGTAGAAGACTTACAGACTAAAATACTTTAGAACTCTAAACTTTAAAAAGAGAACAAGAGAGCGGCTTAACCCGAGGCAAAACTATAATTTAAAGTCTTATTATACTCTTTATCATTTTCACTCGCGAGGTCATACAGTACACTCTATCCACCTTAATCCCCAGGTGGAGTCCCCATAGGACACGAACTTTTCTCAGCTTGCAGGTTATTATGGAGATATGGAGACAAACTAGAGAGACTCACTAGAGAGAAACTTGGTGATAATTTCCTCTCGCTCTCATGTTCCAAGAAGGAAATTCTTCCGATCTCTAGAGCTTTTCACCTTGACTCATTAATTTGTAACGTTACGACTCACGAGATAGCTGGCCGACTTGTTTGCATTATCGAGAAGAACAATTCATCATCAGCTACGTATACGAGTATCATGTACTTCCTCGGCTAAGCGGTACTGATCAACGCGGTGGTCCTTCCAACAAACAACTCACGATCTCGGGAGGAAAAGTACGAGCTTGGAGCCACGGTTTATAACATCGAGTCTGTTATTGCTGTGCCGCTGTTGTGTTACCGTTACAAGCCGAACAATTTCCTGTGTACAAGGAAAGAGGGAATACAATCTCATGGAAACTCGATCCACTCCCCTGGATCATCTCCGAACTTTTCACAGCTTGAGAGTCGAGACTTCTTCAAACCCGTATGATCGTAAGTTTGTCCTTTCACGTTCTTACCTCGGCTTTCCCTCGAAATTTTGGATTATCCCATCTTCCATCTTTCATCATCTTATACATGATTCGCTATTTCCTTCCCATTCTTAATATTGGATATGAATCTAGACACTTTAGCGAATCAGAGTACCAGGATCCCAAAATCTCTTCATTCGACGGAAAAACTCTCTCCAGGAACTCTTAGAATTCTGGAGACTGTAATCAATGACATAAGCCTTGTTCCTTGCTGACCGACCTGGGATTGAATTGTTAGACTTTTTTTCTGGACAATTTTCTAGGCGCCCGGATATGGCTTATTGAGGCTTGCAAACTTTCGAGTCAAACGCCAGGATTAATGAGCCACTACCGTCATCTAGTGTCATTGAATTCCATCCTTGGGATTCTAGTAATCATGATCTTCATGTCTTATTTTGACTTCCTGGAAATATATAGCCAATCGCCTAGAGGTTGTTTACTGATTATTGTAACAGAAATCTTGCTACTGCTCGGGAAAGGAAGACACGAAGTAGTGTTTCGGGCCATGTGTGTTCGGTTAAACTAGCTTTGAGTCTGGGTAAACAATTGTCTATAAAAAAAAGTTAGCCTTCCCCAAATCCCCAGCTCTCCACAAAAAATCTCCAAAGAAATGGAAGGATCCACCAACATCCTTTTTTTCTACCCAGTTTTCAAACAACAAAGCCACTCAGTAAGTTGGCGCGCAAATGAGATGCCCTGACAGGCGCCGATCAACGTCCACCCTAGGTGTACAACATCGACTCCGTATACGCACCCATGTTGATACTACATAGATCGTCGTCTATACTGCATACCTCGCGTGATACAGTTGGATGGATTGCCGGAAAGCGTTATGCCTGCATCTAATTTGATGATACACGAAGGTATCTATGTCATCAATCTTCCAGGTGAAAAGCTTCACTCTTCGAATCATATCAATCCTATGTAATCGAGGGTTGAAATACTTGTAGGAAGGGTGGTGCCGACGAACCGTGGATTGGCGGGGAAGGAACGTCCCCAAAAAGTGTTTCCAAATCCATCAAAACCCACATGGCAAGGACAATCCCCATGCTGCTTGACACCTAAAGGTAAAAAACTTGGGAGGATCCATAGGTAAGATTCGGCCCTTCTTTTTCTCTCCACTTGCTGTCTCTCTAGATTTCATTATTCCAACTCTTCTCGTGCTCCATTATTACCCTAGCACTTCAAGCCTTTTCTCTATATAAGTCTTTGTGTCGATCACCACGAAGAATCTCATAATTCCTTTCTTTCCTATCAGTCCGTCCTGCTTTGAAAGAAGGTCGACTTCTATTTTACTGTGTACAACACCTACATCCTGTCAGCATAAGAAAAGGTCTAGTTACCTGATCCAGCACACAAAATGATGATCGGTAACGTCTACTTCATTGCGGCCGTGTCCGTGGTGGGTGGTGCTCTTTTCGGTTTTGATATCTCATCTATGTCCGCTATCATCTCCACAGATGCATATTTGTGTTATTTCGATCAAGGAGGAATGGTTGATGGTAAATGCACGGGTCCAACTCCAAATGTTCAAGGTATGGAATCATTTTCACTCTTAATTGAAGTTTATCAAAGGCTAACCGTATACAGGTGGTATCACCGCTTCTATGCCTGCTGGAAGTTGGCTTGGAGCTCTGATCTCTGGTTATATCTCTGATATTCTCGGTAGAAAGAGGGCCATTCAAATCGGTTCTGTCATCTGGTAAACATTTCCCGCTTTCATATTTTGCATCAAGAGCTGGCCTAATCAAGCCTGTATAGGATCATCGGTTCAATTATCGTCTGCGCTTCCCAAAACATCCCTATGCTTATTGTCGGACGTATTATCAACGGTCTCTCGGTTGGAATTTGCTCTGCTCAAGTTCCAGTCTATATCACAGAGATCGCACCACCATCCAAGCGTGGAAGACTCGTCGGTTGCCAACAATGGGCTATCACCTGGGGTATTCTCATCATGTTCTATATTTGTTACGGATGCTCGTTCATCAAAGGAACCTCTGCTTTCCGCATTCCATGGGGCTTGCAAATGCTTCCCGCCGTCTTCCTTTTCTTCGCTCTTTTTTTCTTGCCTGAATCTCCACGTTGGCTCGCTAGAAAAGACCGTTGGGAAGAGGCTCATCAAGTCTTGTCCCTTGTTCATGGTCACGGTGACAGCAACTCCCCATTCGTCGCTAAAGAATTGGCAGAGATCAGGGAAGTTGTTGAATTTGAGAGAGCTAACGCTGATGTTACCTACATGGAGTTGTTCAAGCCCAACATGATTAACCGAACACACATTGGTATCTTCACACAAATTTGGTCTCAACTTACTGGTATGAACGTCATGATGTACTACATTACTTACATCTTCACTATGGCTGGTTTGGGTAGCAATGTTCTTTTGCCTTCCTCGATTCAATTCATTATCAATGTCGTTATGACTGTTCCTGGATTGATCTGGGTCGATAAATTGGGTCGTCGTCCTGTTCTTTTGTTTGGAGCTTTCTTCATGATGATCTGGCTCTTTATCAACGCTGGTATCTTGGCTACATACGGAACAGTTCCATACCCAGGTCAGTTCTCTAGTGCTGCTGAATCCATCTCTATTACTGGAGCACCATCAAAAGCCGTCATTGCATGCACATATCTCTTCGTTGCATCCTATGCTCCAACATGGGGACCGGTTTCCTGGATCTACCCACCTGAGCTTTACCCTCTCCGCGTCCGTGGAAAGGCTGTCGCTCTCGCTACTTCTGCCAATTGGGCTTTCAACTTCGCCCTTGCATACTTTGTCCCACCTGCGTTTGCCAACATCAGATGGCAAGTATATATTGTCTTTGGGGTATTCTGTGTTGCTATGTTCCTCCATGTCTACTTCGTTTTCCCAGAAACTAGTCAGAAGCCCCTTGAGGAAGTTGAAGCGATCTTTGATTATTCGACTCCTGGCAGTATCAGGTTCTTGGGCACACCAGCCTGGAAGACAGGTGTTGATAAACGTGCAGGACGCTTAGAAAGAGGAGAATTTGATGTGGAGGATAAACTTGGTTCTAGTGTTGCTCATCATGATGATGCTATACCAGTCAATGAGGTTTCTAAGTCTGACTTGTAGGTGAGACGGAAAAGGGGCATTGATATGTGGAGGGAATCAGAAGGAAAGCTTGGAGAAGCTTATTGAGAGAGCCGGTACGATTTAATGATGGTGTGGCATTCATGAATGGATTGCAATCTGTTGATTGTTAATTTGCTTACAGACTTGCTTGAAATGAGAATGTAGATGGATGTACGAAATTATGGAATGGCGAATAATAATGAAGGGATTATGTAAAAGGAAAGAAGAATTGGTGGATTATTGATACCCAGATATGTATTTAAGAATGAAATTCAAGAGATTATGTCTTGGTACCTTTTTCAGTCTTGTAATGATGCTTCTGAAATGTCGATGTGTGAATTTGAGTGATTTAAATTAAGGATGTACAAGTTGAGTGGAAGTGTATTCAGGAAGTGAAAGAGATGGGAATGAGTAGATGAGAGAATTATATAAGGAAAGTTATCAAGATATATAGAAAAAGAAAAAAGAGATGTTTATTTATTATTTAAAAAAATATAAGTTTATTAAATTGAATATATATATAAATTTTTATTTTATTCTATTTTATAATTATTTATTTAGTTTATAAATAATATTTAAATAATATTTTTTATTTTTTATATTAATTATTAATCATTAAAGAGAATAATTTATATATATAATTAAAAATCAAAATTTTTATTAATGGATTAAGAATTGTATTAAAGGATATATATATATATGTAATAATTATATTTCTTTTAATGTTTTTTTTATTTTAATTATATAATTAATATAAGATTTATTAATTTTATTTAATTCATTCCGGGTTAATTACCAGGGGCCTGCGCCCCCGGACCCCTGTGTCACAAATCACCTATATCTAAGATTATAGAACAAGTGTTCTAAGTAACTATAATATAATAGGACAAGTGTTCTAACTTTACGAAATAGGCTAGGATAATGATTATTCTAGGATATTTATCTTAGGACAATTACACTAAGATATCAACTATCCTAGAGAGGGGATTATCCTGAAGAAATTCCAATAGGGCAAGATCGCTTCCAGGATAAAAGATCACGTGATGGAGCCTCCAGGAGCGTAGGCTCCTCGAGGCTCCCGAAAAGGATTAGTATATAGTCAGAATAGTTTCATAGTTTAGGAGCTTCGTGCTCAACTTAGTTATCAATTAGTTTACCTACATTCCAATTGATCTAGTAACGTATTCACCTTCGAGTGGATAACCAGTGATTATTAGCCTTAACCTACAACTACCAACCATACGAAAACCTGAGGCAGCCGCTGCCTCGACCAGATCGTTACACCGCTGCCTCGACTAGATTGTTACAGTTATAAAGTCGGCAAGCCAACAATTATATAATTTTGATATTTTGAAATTAATTAAACTATAAAATGAGTTTATTAATTAATATTAAAATTAAAAAAATAAAAGTATTTTATAAATGAATCAAGTTTTTATAAAAATAATTTATTCAATATATTAATTTATTAATAAATAAACTTTATTTTCATTTTTATTTATAATTTTATTATTTATCTTCTTTTTTGATAATTTCATTTTTAATCTTATTATCGTTCTCTTCTTTTTAAATTTTTAATTTTTAATCTTATTTTAGTTTTTTTCTTTATTTAATTAATTTAAAAATTATAGATCTTGAATTTTTATAAACTTTAATTTTTTATAAATCTTTTTTTTTGTTAAATTAATATAATAAGATACGAAAAATATTTTTGAATTAATTAAATTTATTTGTAAATAATTCGATTTTTGTCTGAACCGAGTACATTGAATAATAAGTTAAAGTATTAAATAATGAATTAATTTATTTTATAATTAATATAATTCATTTCAGAATAAGAAAATTATACAATGATCTAAAATTTTAATTTTTTTTTCAAAATGATTTATTTAATTATTTTATATAATTTTATTAAGAAATATTTAAATCTTTATATTAATATTATATAATATAATAAAATTATATATTTCATTCTTTAATCATCTTTTTAATAATTTTTTATAAGAAACATAGATTAATTATAATAGAAGCATTACCGCTTTAAAAAACTTTAGAGTGTGTTGGTATACTTTTAGCCAGCTCCCGAAGATAATATCTCTTTCCTCTTTCAGTCGCCCCCATTTCATACTCCAGAGCAAAAAATCCCCTTTTCCCATCTTCCTCCTCCTTCTTCTTTCCACCTTCCACCACCCACCTTCCACCACCCACCTTCCACCACCCAGCAAAAACGCCGTTCAAATTCCATCCCAACCAACACCGTCATAAAAAATCATATAAACCTCACCCACGCGTTTCCACCTGTAGTCCAAATAAAAAATAGTACACATTCTAAAGCAAATTTTCTTTTCGTCCAGTTTGAAAAAAGGAAACCATATAGCTCGACACTTAGTTCTCAACCTTAACAGAGTTTACTTTTTCATTCGATCGATGGCCAGCTAACCTGCAGACTCAACAAGCGCTGAACCCCTAAATCTCGCTTAGCAGGTTAGTACTTTCCCCGTCTTTGCTTAGAGCTAACTCTAACTATTAGTCGAGAATTAAACCATATTCTTTTTCTTCGATTGAGTATAAGTACTCTTGGGGTTTTCTGTTTGTAGAGAGTTGTTCCTTCCCAGATCATCTCACTTAAACGGGACACCCCTTCATTATCAAATCTTAAATTCCAAACTATATTCAGGTTATTGGAATATAAAAATTTCTGGGTAATACATACTTCCATCGTTCAATCCTCAATCGACTTTATCGAAAACCCAGCGTATTAACCCTCACATCGCATCACTCGACATTCAGTACACCAATATCATCGGCTACAGCTCTTTTGTTTTTACATACCGGACCAGAACATAACGTGCGAATATACCGTATCAATTTATTGCACTACCGACAAATAGTTCTTCACTTGAATATGGAGCCATGAGCTCCATCTGCGAGAAGGATCAGAATTTATCAGATAATACCGACAACCACACTAACGATGACGTGTCACCATTGACAAAGATGGAAACTCTATTAGTTTCGGAAAACCCGACCTCGCCAAATGTCCAACCATCACAAGAAATCAGCAAGAACGAGGAAGTTGATTTGCAGTTGACCGATTTATGCGCCATTTGCACCGAGCGCATGGATGCGTCGGAAGAATTCACGAAGATGGAACCCTGCTGCCAGAATCTCTTCCATAATGAATGTCTTCGAAAATGGATAAATTCCACCATAGAGATGGAACAACTAGAAACTTGCCCCTTGTGTCGCCACGTACTTTCAGATTTATTTATTGATCTGGTGTTCGATGGTGACGAGGAAGAAAGCGTGCCGGAGCCACGTCGATGTTGCGAACGTGATGATATGGAGATGATCATCGCGGCAAAGTATTTCGAGAACTTACCCGCAGAGCAAAGGAAGGCCCTTTATGATCTCTTTGAAAAAATAGAAGAGGAGTTTTTCGGCATTTCGCTGTGGTCGGAAGGAGAAAGGAATCGTCTTCGCGTTATTTTCTTTCTGTGTAAAAATGACCCCTTGGGCAACGTCATACAAATGCCAGGAGATTCAATTGAAATAGCTCACTGGCGACGGTTGATGGCACTTTTGAACCGAGCGTTATTACAAATGCGGAATGAAGAGCAGGAGTCCGTTCTGTGCTCGACCATTTTTCTTCGTCCCCGCCCCTACAACTTTGATTTTTTCCACCCTGATGTTTCCGGGGTAGGCGCCGGCTTTATTATCGACTCCGACTACGACCCCGACAATCCAAGGTGGGGTGTGTTTCCTAATGAACACGTCCACCAGTCTTGACTCCCAACTCCATGAGTTTCTTGTGAATTGTTAACCTTGTTCCCGAGTTTCCTTTCTTTTCCGTTTCAGCGACATCAATTTTATTCGTGGGTTCCAAAATGTACTTCTTACTAGCTGCATTTGGATATGTCGACGGCTCAGGAGATTTACCGGACCTGGAGTAGGAGTATGTGCGTTTGGTTTAGAGCGAGAGCGTGGAGCGCATGTATTAGATGTGAGAAAACAGATAATCAAGATGCCTCTTTATCTTTATCAATTCTGGTCTGGAAAATGTGGACGTGCAATCATTACCGTCAGTGTGATGTCTTTGCTTAAAGAAAAATAGGGTAGCTTTGTCCTTGTGGTGATGAGATCTGAATGTTGCATTACATGTGATGGAGCAGGCATTGATAAGGCATCGCTGACCGTGGGAGTTGTCGATAGATATTAAATTGAAGTAGAGCTGCAAGACATGAAGTGATGCTTTATGTTGCAAAAGGACCTGTCATGTCTTCTCAGAAGAAGAGTTTTCTGAATCACTGCCGAGATTGTGAGTATATCTTGATGATGAACGCAACTGCGAGTTTGACAACCATTCAAAGCTAAGCTTGCTGAATTGCTGGTTGTGATGATTGATACTTGTGATATTGCAACTGGGAAAATTTGATAACCACTTGAGCGTGAGATTCCTATCACCTATCCCGATATAGTAGGTCCTGGAGGTGGAGGATTTGTGACGAATTTGCAGTAAGGTTGAAACGTGACCGCCAAGTTTTGTTCTACGGGCAGTTTATATCTGTCGCTTGATTCAAATTCCACATCTGGCACTTTCTTTTTAACAGAGGGGAAAGGACATCATGGCTATAATTATTTTGCAATACCCGTGAATAGAACGCGACTACTATTGTTTGACTCTATGGGGAGTTGATATCATTCGCTCGATTCTGAAAATACCATTGTATTCAAAAGAGAAACACCGCTCGTGTATAGACCACTCCTCCAACTAAAAGATGACACATTTTACTCAAAGCTTTCTTGCAGGAGGGAAGGCTCTCGTTGATATTCGAGCAATCGCTCACTCGAGGCTTACATGACATCGCATATTCAGAAGTTCATGTTATACTTAGGATGAGTCCTACCTACCCAAGTTCTTCAATGAGATCATTATATATATTCTGTGAGTTGGTGTGGATCCCAAACTATGAAAATGGCGAAATATTTGTTAGACTTGTCTGTTACAAAAGGTATTTAGGAATAATCGTGGACTTGACCACAGAGGCCAGAATTGGGTCGTGCATGTATACCCTATTGAGTTGTCTTCCCCGATTTTGGCCCTAATAAAAGGCCACTTGACCTTCCAGCTTAACCATCCTCGACCTTCCCATGTATTTTTGACATAATCACTCAGTCATTCAAAAAGTATATTCTGAGTAATCATGGAAACTCAAGAAAAACGACCTGATATTCCGAAAAAGCTACTTCCTAGTCGAAGCCAGATGAACATGAGTCCAATTGACCCCAGGGAAAAGAACCATCTCCGTTCCAGATCAATGCAGTTGAAAAGGTGTCATGACCTCGAGAACAATCCATCGCAGAGTATGCCTCAGCACACAAGTGTCCATAAGCGTTCCTCCCTTCATTTGAAAATGTCCTCCAAAGTATGAACATTGATGTCCTCGTTCGTAACCCTTTTTCGTGCAAAAGCCCAGAACTCCATTGCCATGTTAATCTATTTCCCTCCACAAACCCATCGCGATCATATCGTTCTGTTTTCGATGAGCTATTTGCTGAGATGTGGTAAATTTAACGGTGCTGTAAAATTTGTTAGTGGTTGCTCCATTCCATTTTGGCGATCGTAAGATGTGTGGATGGTGAAGTGAGATGGCGCCTAGATTGTGTGAGCGTACCTTGACGAATCCGATATCAGATGCCTTCTCTCTGAAGCATTGTCTGCAGATGTTGAGACCGTATTTGCGGATCAAACCGGCCTTGTGTGTGCAAACGCGGCTGTAAATAATTATTAGAAACGAAATTCTTCAATTGAGATCCTTGATAGAATCGTAGTGAAATCGATTCTCCACATACCATCCGCGGGCTCCCTTTCCGTAGGTACGGGGTCTGGACATCCAAACTGATTCGTGAGACATGTTGTCTGATTTTGGCGAAGACTGTTGTCGGCGGTGGTGAGTTCTTGAAGTTTGCGAAGATCGTTGTTGTCGTGGAGTTCGTATGGTTCAGATTAACTGGAAGGGCTTATTGAAATCTAAGCGAAGTTTCCCACAAATGGAGTTTTTTTTCTAAAAGCCTGAGAATTGAGGCGAAGTTTTATGCACGCGGAATAATGAAAGTCCGCCTGAAAGGCTTGGACATTTCGAAGTAGATGTAGCCTTGCAGATGAAATCCTAGCCTCACCTTACAGCCTTGTTGTCTCATCATCGAGTACCACAGCATTGCTGTAGTGAAGAAAGAGTAAACAAATAATTTCAACAATCAAATCTTCGTTTGTTCTTCTGAAATTCACTTCACAAAAGTAAAAAATGGTAAAAAACTATAGGAATTCACTCATTCCATCCATAATATTACTATTACTAATAATGATACAGTCTAAAGATTCAAACCACACTTATGTACATTTCACACTCTCCCGCACAGCAGATCTTTTTGAGGACTTCTGCAAAGATAAACTTCCCGATGATGACATTTATGTACCACCTCACAATCAACCTATAAATCCAGAAGATGAAGACGACGTGGTCCCCGATCAACATGCGGCATTTGGTATTCAGAGGGCAACTCAGAAGACAAAAGAACCAGCTTGGAAAGATTTGGGATTGGGGGAACTGATGAAGAAAGGTCCTGGTCGGAAGACTGGGAATGAAGGAGGAAGCTCTAAGGGGATGAGAAGTCTTCCGAGGTGAAGAGTTGCGTACATGAGTCTGGACTTGAATGGTGTATAGTATATTGGGAACTTATGCTGAAGGAGTTTGGCATGCAACAATTAATTGAGGGATTCCGGGATCGAGAGTTAAAATGTCACTGGCTAGGAAATGTGGGATTTATGGTGTTACAGGCACATTCATCTTCTAACGCCAGGGATATCATCATATTGCGGGACACATGTATAGCACAGAGAAAACAGTGCGATACAACTTTCATCTTTTATAAAGGAGTATCGAAGAACTTTGAGTTGCTAGTGACTCAGATTCATTTCAACCTACTTACAACGATATGGGCGAGGATCATGAAAGACAGACTCTTTGAAGCAGTCTTCGATTTTAATACTCTATTTTCCCCAAGCTCGTCAGTGGCTGTACGTCCATGTTTTAACCTAAGAGCCTTTCTAAAGCCTTCTATAGACGTTTAGTGTGGAATCCTTCGCTGAATATACTCTACAAGCACCTTGCCAGATTCCATCAACATTTTGAGTCCTAAATGTAGGGGAGCAAGCCCTGTGACACAATATCTCAACGAGTCTAGACTCGGAAAGAATTGTTTAACGTAAATAAGTTACGTAAATAGTGACAGCCATATGTTCACTTCCATATCGTATCTAGTCGAATACAACGACCGCGGGACAGACGAAAGACCCAATTCAACCATAAAACTCCATGCAAATGATGCCCCTTTGCGCCCAACATATGATCATGGATACCCGTGGAAATAGAAAGCTCAAATGATACCTGCCTCCCTTCTAACTCTTGGCCAAAAATGCCTCTCTTTCCACCACTTCCTCCTGGAACTTGACCAAGAACACAGTCTTTCCAGGCCACAGTTCTCCCTCCTCACCCCTTCCCACACTATGCGCCGTCACTCTAGCTGGGAACCCCGCTCCGTCACAAACACCCTCAATAATACCCGCAACAAACGCCGCACAATTCAACTGGTTCATTTCTTTAGGGACACTAATATATTGATTTACCAGAGGTTCATTGTCCGATATCATGTATTCTTCTGGAGTATCTGGATTTGAAGATTTCTCGAGAGCATCTGCTGGTCGAGAAAAGAGATGACGCCAAAGAACAGTGGTTATGAATTGGAGAAGGGCAATGATGTTTAGGGGGCGTGTTTGAGTACGTGGAGGTTCGCGATATATTAGAAGATCAAGGAGTTTGAGGCCGATCGGGTGACCTTGGACGTTTAGTCTGTAGTTTCATTTTAGAATCTCATATATAGAATCCTAGGGTACTGGCCATGTATGATCTTACCGCTTCTCAAGATCTTGAATACCAGTAACTCGTCTTTGCGCATAACTAACCATCTCCCCAAATAGGTATGCAAAGCTAGCCTGGCTTAACTCCTGTGTTTTACTGCGATTCAATGGTCTATGGTATATGGTTTTGCCGGTCGAAGGATATCGTAGCCCTGACTGGGAGCCTCGTTGAGGATGAGAAGATTGACCAGGCAACGGCGGTTTTACCGGCTGAGAGGACATTTTGTTGTTCAATTATTGGTCGCGTGTACTTGAAGAGTGTATTTCTCAAGGTATTACAAGTAGTTTGCAGATTTGAGAGTTGTATGAAGTCGGATGTATGTTTTGGTGGTGTTTGTCGCAAGGCTGTGGAAATTGAGAGTGAGGTCGATGTCAAGCGAGGGGGTTCAATCGATATCATCATTTACATTCGGCAAAGTCGTGGGCTGCTTATACACAGTTCTCAACTATATCTAGTCATATCGATTAAAGCGTAGTGTACTCTATCCTAATTGAAGCGAATTATTTGTACAATTGTTTTGGACTCTTCACTCCTACTCCTGATATTTTAGTATTATGGATTCTGCTTCTGGCAACTCGTAACACTGGCACCGCAAATAACAATTTCCGCTCCGTTCAAACAGCCAACAAGCTCACAACACATTGTACATATTTGGTTTTCACATTGTCCTTCTCCAAAAGAACTATTAATCATGGCCACCTACTGATTTTTCGCCGTACGTATGTATGCATTGCTGTTGTGAAAACCGCATTGGGTGACCAGAAGATCGCCTTAACCGCGAGCATAAGCCGTACCAAAATCCTGTCGTGCATCGAGTCAACGTATCCGGACATTGCTTGATGCCATCAGCGAAAAAGACCATAACTTAGAACTAGATGAAGAACCTGATGAGATCGAACCCCTCAGTCTGATTCTTGAATGGATGAAGAATGATCTGCGATCTGTACCTCCCGCCCCATTTCGAGCGGACTTCCCTTTCCCTAAGATCATAGCCAAGTCAATATTATCAGCTCTTGTTCTTATGAAGGATCTTCACTCGATACATACAGGTATGTATACTAACGCAACACTTCTTTGAGATTCAAAATTCTAAGATTGTTTTTCTGTCTGGCATCAACGGTCCAACATAAGCTAATGTAAGTTGTTTAAAAGTTTTGCTAATATACCACCTTGTACATTGGTAGTGTCCATTCCTTCTATTCGTGGCGAAGGACAAGATGGTTCAAGGCCATACCGAAGCCTGGTGTATTGTTAAAATCCGGCGGCTTATCGCACCTCTGGGGTCATCTTCAACGATCGACCGCTCCAGTGGCATTGCAACATGTATCTTCAATCTCTATCCTAAGTTATTTTTGTGCTTGAAATTATGAATCTCCGGATTTTTACAATTATAATAATATCAATAACATGAATAATACATTAGAATGACTGAATATAAATAGTAATAGATAGATAGTAATATTTCTACTTTAAAAGTTCAACAAATTATAAGTTTAATATAATCATTATTCAGATTTTGTGTAAATTATCTTTCATAATATCTTCAAGAGAAGAGACAAAATGAATGGAAACAGGTTGGGTGCAGAATTTGTATTTTGTAGTCTGGAGTGTAGAATTTAGGAATTGGCAATGGAGATTAAATAAGGACTTTATTGTAAAATGTCTATGAAGCAATTAAAGTTTAGGCTTGTTAAGAAAGAAGATACTGAAAATAGAATGCGGATATTAAGATCTAGGCACTTGTGGATGATGTTCCGTCTGTTTTTGGCTCGACAGCATGGCCATTTGATGACGACTCTTCAGCTGCAGCACCGCCAATACCAGGAACATTTGCACCCTTCAAATAAACCTCACTTTCTCCGATATGCTTCCCCGCTTCGACCCAGCGTTCAAACGCAATCTTTTGTCGCTCCTGACACGTCTGAATTAACGCCGGCCAGTAGGTTGCATGATCATACTCGAATGCAAGTTCTCCATCAAACTCGGCCCAGAGTTGCTGAGGAGGTACATGTTGCTTCATATCATCATTAAACTTCAGCTTTTCTTTGGTCAGGGGATCGATGAATGGCGTGATGAGTTTGAAAAAGCCGTTAACCATCCAGGGAACTTAAAAGGAGTTAGTGAGGAATGCGTTTGTCATCGTAGGAGACTTACTGTTGATAATCAAGGCCCTTCCAAGTCGTTCAGGATAGTGAGTCTGAAGAATATTCAAGACTTCTCTAGCCTGCCCAATGCCAGGTGCTGTGTTCGACCTGCTCTTACTGGCTTTGAAGTTGATTAACAATGCGAGAGTAAATTGACCCGGTATCATTAAATCAATACATCGCTCAAGCATGAATACTAAATGCTGTACTTGCTTGGGGTTAGGTTCGGTATTTTGTCTTCCAGGGTTCAAATAATGACATGGTCGACCTTCGTTGTCATAACCAAAGATAAATTGTTTGCCAGTTTCATTTTCAATTGAAAGATCATCGCCCGTGAGACCGCTCACACCATACTCCCGTCTCCAAGTCAAAGTCCCTAAAAGTCGTTTTGGAGCTTCCGTAGCAGACCATTTTGTTGCTCGCAAGTAACGGCACAAACATTCTCTGGTCAACCATAACCGTTCCTCATCTGTGAGAGGGCCACCTTTAGAATCCTTGGCTGGAATTTCCGTCCATGATTTGACAGTTTCTAACAGCGCCTCGTATTTCTTTTGTTGTTCTTCCGTAAGTTCTGGGGTGGGGGGAGGTTTCGAAGACTCGAGAGGATTTAGGAACGGCGCTCTCAGAGGGCTTGGTCCGCTCTCCTCAATTGACTTTGGAGATGTCGTTCCGTTGGTGACGCTTCCCAAATTAACACCTGCCATTTCCTTCTCGATGCCTGCGACTTCGATTGACTTCTCTGTTACTGGCTCAGAGGACATCTTGAAGTATGTTATGATTGACTGTGGATAGCTGAATATCTGAATACCCGGTTGCAAAATAATACACCTCAAAGATAACTTTTGTATGACAGTCGAAGATAAAAAGCACAAAACTGAAAAGAAAGATGACTTGGGAAATAGATGGTAAAACAACTTGTGTCACCGACTTTCTCGATCTAAAAATGTGGTGCTAGTTCAGCCTTATTAAGGTCTACGATTGGCGAATATTTTGGGTTGGTACCGCTTCTCAATTGATTGTTCCTGCATGTTGTGAGCTATCTGCCAAAGGGATATAACATGTGATTAGTGAATATATCAAAATGTAAAATTCATGAAGCTTTCAATCATCCAAGAAATTGACTTCTGGAAAAGGGATTTGCTGCCATGAAGTTATTTGGAGAAAGTGTGGCTGGTTTATCTGTGGCGCAAACTCGTGAAATCAATTTAAATTTATGTTATTGGAGCGCGTCGAACCGCGTCAAAACGCGTCTCCCAAATCTTTCTAAAATGGTTAAAGTTGACCAAACTCAATTGTAGAGTATCAACGCTTCTTATACACAACAACCTCACCATGGACGAATTCGATAATGAGCTCAATCATTTGTTCTCCTCCGCAACTGCTTCAGGTGGCCCTATTGAGGCAGATGTACTCGCAGAGTTACAATCAATTATGCGACTGCACTCAATACCCCCACAAGAACTTTTTTACAAGTGGGAATCATACAGCATTAAGATGGGACAAGATGATATGAAATTGGATATCGATACTGTTAGAGCTCTCAAGCAAAATGTACAAGACGGACTCGAGAAGGAAAATCGGAAAACTAAGGCTCATATATCAAATAAAAGAATGGGAGTTGCACCTCGAAATGTTGGAGGTAATAATGATGTTTTTGGAATGTAAGACCGTCTTAAAAAGAAAACCTGATATTGATCTCTTCTCATGGCATCCTAGGTTAGATATCACGCCAAATACTCCCCGAAGTGGGATGAGTTCACGGCCGAAACGTAAATTCGAGACACCTTCCATATCGAGGATGAAAGCGGAACCGGCTAGTAGTCCCTCGGACTTTAGGACATCAAGCAACCTAAAAGATACTGGCACTGGCGCTACGCATGCTCCGTATGTTGTCATTACCGGTTAAATTCGGCAGATACTGACAGGCTGTAGCACCTCATTCAACGATCGACCGCATGCTGGCCAAACTGTTGAAGTTCTGAATGACCACCTCGAAGTCCCAGAGCCTCCAATCGCTCCTTACCCGGAATCAAGAATTAAACTTACGGCAAATTCAGATATGAAGAAGTTATCTTACAAGACAATGGCGATGAAATCATCGGAAGCCTCAGAAATATTGGATGACCGGATAGACGAATTTATGCTTCTCATACAGGCACATCATAAGCTGGAAGACTCAGATTTTGGCAGTGCAGCAAGTCAAAGTACAAATGAGATAGTAGCTGTCGGGAGGATTGCATGCGACTCTGCTGAAGGAAAGCTTAATCCTTCTTCAATTGTACTTGAGACCTCACGAAGGATGGGTGCAGGATTGCGAATACCACTTAAAATTGATAAGATGAGAGGATTTAAATTCTTCCCCGGGCAAATAGTTGCGTTAAAGGGGATAAATGCTTCGGGTGAGGATTTCACAGTAAGCGAAATTCTTGAACCTCCCCTACTCGGTGTTGCTGCATCAACGCCTGCCAGTCTTGATGACCATGTTCGAAGACTCCGAGGTGGCTCAGATGCAATGGAGGATGATTCTGACCCAGCACCGCTTAATATCATCATAGGGAGTGGACCCTTCACAGCAGATGATAATCTGGACTTCGAGCCTCTACATGCCATTTGTACCCAAGCAGCGGATAACTACGCAGATGTACTAATTCTCACCGGGCCATTTCTTGATATCGATCATCCACTAATTGCAAGCGGAGACTTCGATCTACCCGAGGAAGTTCTGGCGAACCCAGATTCCGCTACTATGTCTGCCATCTTTAAACTTCTCATCACCCCAGCCTTCACTCAACTCACTTCCACTCACCCCAGTATAACTATCCTCCTCATTCCTTCAGTCAAAGATGCCATCGACAGACATGCCGCCTGGCCTCAGGAACCCTTTTCCAGAAAAGACTTTGGCCTTCCTAAAGCTGTCCGCGTCGTTGGTAATCCTATGACTATCGCCCTTAACGAGATAGTGATGGGTATCTCCTCCCAAGATATTTTGTATGAGCTTCGACATGAGGAAATTGTCGGCGGAAAACCGCAGGATTCTACTTTGCTTGCACGTTTACCCAAATATCTAATCGAGCAACGACATTTCTTTCCGTTATTTCCACCGGTTCAGAGATCTCAGTTACCGAAAACTGGAACGGAGGACGGTATACCTGTGGGAGCGATGCTTGATACGAGCTTTTTGAAGCTGGGAGAGATGATCAATGTGAGGCCGGATATGTTGGTGGTACCAAGTTCACTACCACCCTTCGCTAAGGTATGTGATATTTATAAGGACATTTACAATGGTCGCGAGCATTTGTCTTGAAATCAAATTGCTGATACCTGAGATTTTTAGGTCCTAGAAAGTGTGTTAGTGATCAACCCAGGATACTTATCGAAAAGAAAAGCAGCCGGCACATATGCCAAATTGACAGTATACCCAGCGTCGATGACGGAGCAAGAAAGAACACAAGGAACTATGATTGGTCATAAGTTGTTTGAGCGAGCTCGTGTAGATATTGTGCGGATATGATATAGATTTCTTCAAGTTATATACTATCAGCGATAGAGATTAAAGGCTGAGTTAGCATTAATTTCTTGTTCTAAATTATAAAGCTCATCATTCTAAAGCTATTAGAGAGTTCTATCTGTCGGTGAAAACATCGACTAAAAGAAATGTCTACTTTAATAGCTTTGTTCTCACAGATGATTTTTCACCCTCCTGTCTATGTAGGAATTGACAAATAAATAACCCAATATTGCCCTTGAGCCACTTAAAAAGGCGTTCTAATCCAGCCATAAAACCTAAAACCCCCTGAGTTTTGGAGCCGAGATGTGATTTTCGCGAGACCGAAAGTCATTGCCCCGCGTTTAGCTTATTACTCCCACAATTGTGTTGCAGGGAGGGATGGAATGACGCTAATATCTTTACGGTGTAATTCTTCAGCCTGGTACGAACGCATATCAAATTATCAATAATTTGACACACATTTTCATATCCAAACAGAACGACAGAATAATCTATATTCTAAAGTTTCCTACGCATTTTCAGCCGAGACGTTTAAATCATATTTCGCATACAGTTCTCTTCTTATTTCACTTCAGCTTGATGGGCTATTAAAATTGACAAGCAAGTGACTCATTTTCGAATCTATTGCGACAACCTTCAAAACCCCACCGTACTCCAAACCACAAAATCTCATCGCGACAAATCCTAACACTGGTAAATTTGAAACTTGATCACGGCGTCGTTTCGGGTTGGCCTTGATTCTAGCGTTTGGTCCATAAGCTTAATTGCTACATTTTTTATATCTAAGACACCGATGTCTGCCGAAGAACCACCAGTGGCTACAAGCCCCGCAAACACTGTGAAGTCAAAGGCAGGAAGTACGGATTCTGCGCGTTCTTCTATACCAGCCCAATCCTCGAGTACGAAATCAGGAAATGTGAAGGAACCTGCGATACCTACTCCCGATGGAGGAAAGCTGACGGCGGCCGAATTGAAGAAAAAGGCAAAGGAAGAGAAAGCCGCACGTAGAGCTGCAGCAGTACAGAACAAGGCAGGAAGCGAGAACGCAACTCCCGCGCCCGCAGCAGCAGGACAGAAAACTGAACCCGCGAAAGGAGGAAAAGCTCAGCCCAAGAAAGGTGCAGAAGTACGAAACTTACCAGTCAGAGGAGGGCCGACAAAATCTGCTCCAGCTATAGAAGTGCCAAAGGTTGAAGATAAAACAGTCGATCTATTTAGGCATTTATACAAACCTCGGACAACTTCAATTGCTGACGCAGGCAAAGATGTTCATCCTGCAGTGCTTGCCCTTGGGCTGCAAATGAGCAATTACATAATATGTGGTAGTTGCGCAAGACTCGTGGCAACACTGCAAGCATTCAAAAGGGTAAGTTTATGTTTCAGGATCTATTTTCTGCATTTTTAAGTCTATCAATTTTCTTTTGGAGCCACGAATCTGTTACCACTTTCTTACCCTCTCCTAGGTTGTCGAATCCTATAAAACCCCTGTTGGAGCAAGTCTCACACGTCATTTTATACCGCATGTCCTTTCTCCTCAGATTGAATACTTAGCTTCTTGTCGGCCCCTTTCAGTATCTATGGGTAACGCTATTCGCCATCTTAAACTGGAGATATCAAAAACCGACCCAGACCTGTCAGAAGCTGACGCGAAAGAGAACGTTTGCGATGCCATCGATGTCTTTATGCGCGAGAGGATTACTTTTGCTGATAAAGTCATCGCCGATACTACTGCTGAGAAGATTAGAGATGGCGACGTTATATTGACTTACGCCAAAAGCAGCCTGGTGCAAAAAGCGCTAGTGAGAGCTCACGAAATGGGTAAGAAATTTAGAGTCATTGTGGTTGACTCTAGACCTTTACACGAGGGCAAGCACTTGGCATCAGCACTTGTCAGTCTAGGCATCGAAGTCAAGTACTGTCTGATTCATGGATTAAGTCACAACATCCAAGATGTGACAAAAGTTCTGTTAGGCGCTCACGCGATGACGAACAACGGAAGATTGTACTCGAGGATAGGCACAGCTTTAGTCGCCATGGAAGCTTCCAACGCTGACAAACCGGTCATTGTTCTTTGCGAGACCATCAAGTTTACTGACAGAGTAGCTTTGGATTCGATTGTTCTTAATGAGATTGCGCCAGCAAATGAGCTCGTGATTGCCGGAGGACCATTGGAGAATTGGATGGATGTTAAGAAACTCCAGCTTTGCAATCCAATGTACGATGTCACGCCGGCTGAGTACATCCAGATGATTGTTACGGAGTCAGGAAGTATACCAACAACATCGGTCCCAGTGCTTCATAGACTAGTAAACGAAGCTCAATAGTACGTTAAAATATTGGAATTTTGAAAAGTATCAAGAGAAGCATGATTTCGTAGAGCAGGTGTTGGAAGGCGTTCAAAAAGGGATCTTGATGATATCAAAATTGCACCTGATGTATGATAGAATAATGGCCGGATAGAATGAAAGGCAATGTTAGAGCTTCCTTACTTCAATTTGGTATAGACTTCATGAGCTAGATTTAGACCTTCAACCCCGATGTGCATCTTACATCTTGAATGTATATGAGTGGTTTCTTTCTCATCGGATGATTGCCCGCAAAGCTTTGTACACTTCTCACAGACCTTGATTTCTTATTCTCCGCTGCCCACCCATTCCAATTCGTAACCCTATATTCGTCTCGTTTCAAAATCCGCATCATGCTTCCAATGGATACCCTACGACTCCTCAGCGACCCCCTCTCTTTCCTTCCTCCTCGCCCTCTTTTCCAAAATAGCTGTCCGTCTTGCTCCAAGAATAGCCTGTTGTCGATTCTCAACTCCCTGCATCCAATATCCGAATGAAGCACCGACACCACCGAAAACGGGGTAGACCCAGAGGGATTGTCGGTTAAAGAAAGGTCGCATTTCGAGGCCGAGTTGCCATGCGCGGACAGCGATACCTAGGGACGCTTGTTAGTGAAATTGGAAAGAAAGAATGGGAAAATGGCTTGTGAAAGGAGGGGCAAAGGAAAGAAGGGAAGAATGGGAGATACCGAAGCCGGTCCAGAAGAGAACTTTATGAACCATGTTTTATTTGTGATGCGAGGTGAGTTTTAAAGTAAAAAGTTGCAGATATAAATTTGGCAGATGCTTCGCAGTTGGGATTAATGACCTGCAAATGCGTATGAGGGGTGGTGTAGTGACAATTACGGCTTCCGCTCCAGGATACACTTGTATGGTGGTGGTTGAAGGTCACTTGTAGCTGGCACTAGCGCGATTGGCCGGCGATAACACGTGATCGCGTTTATTGAATTCCATCGCGGACAACTTACTTTGAGTACTTGGTTTCGATCCTGTTTGTTCATCTCTTTTTCAATTTCGTAAAAAAATTCTTGTTATTTTTAATTTTTCAATATGAAGTAGCGGTCGAAAATACCCTAGTAGATTTAATTCGAAACCACGAACAGAGAATGTCGACGATGACATCTGGGTACAAAAAAGATGGTGGACATTCTGGACCTCCACCGCGAAAGAAAGTAAAGACCTCAGAATTACCACTTGCATCTGCGACAAGAGCCGCCATTGAAGGGTTGGCTCATACATATAAGAAAAAGGGTACTTATGATGAATTGAGGACTAAGATTTGGCAGGAATTGGAGAAAGGTGTATGTACTTCGAAAATATTTCTAAGTCCTATTTGGGTCGCCACGCTGCTGGGAATAGGCGTCGACTCCTTTGAATGATCGTTAGGATACTGATTCAGTGGTCATATAGGATTTTGAGGATGAGTTTACGAGTTCTTTATTGAGTGTTGCGGAGGAGCAATTAGAGAAAGACCCTGGACAATTACTTAGATTGGAGCGCAGTAAGGCTACGTTACTTATTGAGGGAGCTGTAGATCGTGCGGGTATATATCAATCTGCGGAGGCGACAATCGACAAATTAATTCAAGCATATATTCCGGAGATTGAGGAAGGGTTCGCAAATGACATTGGCAAAAGGAGTTTTGAAAGGAGGTAAAACAGATGAGCAGTATGCTGAGGATTAAAAGAGAGAAAAGAGAGAAAAGAATCAAAGGAAAGAGGAGGCAGGAGAGAAGAAGGAGAGGAGGAAAGAAATCCGAACTAGAGACAGAGAAGGTCGGACAGAGATAGAGATGACCGAAGAAGAAGATATGATGACGATAGGCGGAGGGATTCTGCCGGTCTCCGAACACCAGCCTCGAAGCCAGAATTGTCCAAGGAGGAAATTGAACGACTCGAACAAGAGGCTCTTGATGATCTTTTGAAGGAAGGTAAGAAGGTTGCTCAACGGTCTAGACATCAATTGGAGTTGGAGATTGATGAGACCTTGGCACCACCTCCTCGAAAGGCCATGCCCGCATCAGCTATCAAACCGATATCTCGAGATACTGCGGCGAGGACAACCGAACTTAAGAAGACTGCAGTTGCCAAGCTCAAGGAGGAATCCGGTTCGAAAATACCTCAAGTCGCTGATGGAAAATCAACGGTAGAAAAAGCGAAGGAGTCTAGTCACGACAAAGGAGGTAGTCAAGGAGCTCAAACTCCTGAGGTGGCTAAGGATGCCACCAAGGTTAAGGAAGAAACCAAGACTACAGGGGCAAATCGTGATGACCGCAAAGACAAAGACGAACGCTCACGTCGTGGAAGTCGAGATCGGGATGATAGAAAACGACGGGATAGTAGAGATCGTGATCGCGATCGAGATAGGAGAGATAGTCGAGACCGGGACCGAAGTGACTATCGAAGACGTAGGTCAAGTAGGGACCGCGATGATAGAAGAGATAGAGATCGTCTTCGATCTAGATCTCGTGACCGACGAAGAAGTTACAGATCGCGAAGTCGTGACCGATTGGGTGATCGAGACCGTGATACGAGACGTGCAGAGAGCAGTGTAACCAGAACGGGCACATCAAACCTCGATGCAGAATCTTTCAAAGTTGCTGCGGCACAAGCTAGAGCAGAAGAAGCTCGAAAGTGGAACGAAGAACGAAAAAATCAACCACTGTTACCTAGTTTATCAGCAAGGAAGGAAGAGGCTGTTGCTTCTACACCTAGAGCGAAGGATGATGCCAAAATGAGCAGTCCTGTTTCGACTAGAAAACGAGAAACTTCTCGAGACAGGGAAAGCCATAGAAGAGAATCTCGCGTGAGAAGTAGATCACCTACCGCGAGACGAAGTAGTCGAATTGAGAGGAGCACCAGTCCGATTAATATCGATCGTTATGTACCTGGTGCAACTGAACGAAGGGAAAGTGCAGCAGAGAGGAGTTCACCGAAGAAGAGGGAGAGGAGTAGAGATAGGGAAAAGGAGAAGAGACCTAGGGATGATGATAGACCGAGGAGGAGGAGTCGCTCACCAGATAACAGGAGGGATAGGGATAGAGATGGACATGCTAGGAGGTATAGGAGCCGAAGTAGGGATCGGGACAGGAGGAGAGAGAGAAGTAGGAGTAGGGATAGAGATAGGGATCGGAAGAGGGAAAAGAGTAGGAGTCGAGATAGGAAGGAGAGAGATAGGGATAGAGATCGCGACAGAGACAGAGACCGAGAGAGGAAAAGGGATAGAAGTAAGGAAAGTAGGAGGGAATCGAGGCGGGATTAGGTCAAGTGTCTTTTCTTCTACAGAATGGGGAGAGAAAGAAGGAAAATTGATTTCGTTGTTTAGGAATACATCATAGCGAGCTTGTACGCGATCACGAGATTCTACTTGTTTATCTAGTAGCATAATAATGTAATAGAGCGACGGATGGATACAGAACAGAGGATATTGTCAAATTTCAGGATCCAAACAGTTATGAAAGTCGCATCTCCAAATTCTCTATATCTGTCTCCAATTGCTCTTGCCATAACACGGAATCACTCATGCCTTACAGCCTTCTTCAAAATTTCCTCTACTAGTTTACTTTTACCAGCAACCAAGACCCCGATGTCCCGGAATGACACCTCTCCTAATATCTCGAACACCGCAACATCGGCGTCAAGCTTCTGGTTAAACCAATTTCTCAACTCAACAGCAATTAGCGAGTCGACTCCGTATATGTGCATAGGTCGAGAGGAATCTAAATTCTCCATAGGGACAGCCAGGGCATTGCTTAACCTCTGCATCAGTGCATTGGCAACAATGTTGGCCGCTTCTGTCTCTGAAGCTATACCATGTAGTTGGCTGGTCACGTCAGTGGCTACACCTTCTTTGGCATCTGTCTTTCCTTGTTCATTGATATTCCATGTTCCTTTGAACATCGGTCGCGTCATCATGTCTGGCACCTCGGCGCCCCGTGCCTTTATCGACGTGGGAGTGTCAATGCCAACAATAATCTGAGATCTTAATGGAGTCTCTGGTACATCCAAGGACGGATCACAGTGATGTTCAAGTAATGCAAACATTTCCTGTTGCTTGATACCAACTAGGTATCCAGTACCAAGCAATGCTGTTCTTACCGCGGTGTTATCTCTCAAGACGCCATCGTCTACCATGACACCTAGATTGAACGTGGTGGCTTTCTCGCCAATCTTGTTGCGGTAATGAACGAGTGCATCTTGGTAGGCACATGCGGCGCTGTAATTGACTGACGCTGTCCCACCAATGGCACCAGAAATAGAAGAGTATACAATAAAGTGGTCCAATCTTTTTGGGAGCAGAGTATGCAAGTTCCAGGTTCCGGAGACTTTGCATTTGTTTGCTCCTAACCAGTCCGCATAGGTCATATTCTCAAAGACACTACTCTAAAATTCTGTTAGCATCTAATGTAGCTAGGAAAGGGGCACAAATGAAGACTGACCCTCAGCACCATGGCCGATTGGATGCAACCCTTTATAGGTGGCATGTTTTTATCAAGAGTCTTTAGAACCGACTCCAGAGATTTAAAATCAGAAATATCGCATAATGGTGTCTCAACTCGTACGCCTTGAACCTGTAAGCTTGAAATGCACTGCGATGCCTCTTCTGAAGTAGGACCTGACCGCGAGAGCAAGACCAGATTCTTAGCTCCACGATCAGCCATCCATTGTGCAGTACTTCGTCCGATTCCACCAAGTCCTCCCGCGATCACATATGTTGCATTTTCCGGAAAGGTCCACGAAAGTGGTCTTTTGAGTGAAGCCTAATCTTGTCAGAAAGGTGCGTTTGCAATCGAATACGCTTAAGCTTACCTTGATGATATCCGGTCCTCTGAACTCAATGATTGTCTTACCGGAGTTCTTTCCACTCTGTAAATATCTGAAGGCTTTCTCAACCTCACTAATCCCATAAACATGGACAGGTTGTGGTGGACGGATTTTGTTATCGAAAAGTAAAGTGATTATACTATTTCTAAGATCCAAGAGAATACCAGGCCGATATTTTCGAGCCTCGTTTAGATCGATGGCATGGAAAGAAGCATTTCGAGAAAATGGAAGCATAGGTAGATTGCCATTTGCCAGGATGTCTTTCTTGCCGATTTCAAGGAATCGCCCGAAAGGTGCAATGCACTGCCATGTATCGACTAGAAGATCACCACTGAGCGAATTTAAAACAACGTCAACACCGCCGTGATCACCAGTCATTCGTTGTATACCCTTCACAAACGAAGCGTTGCGACTATAGAAAATATGATCTGCGGGTATTTGATACAGCCTAATAAGTAAATCCTTTTTGGACTTTGATCCCACTGTCACAAAAATTTCGGCGCCTAAAAGTTTCGCTATTTGAATAGCAGCTTGTCCTGTTCCACCTGCTGCAGAGTGTATCAAAATCGATTCGCCCTTCCTCAATTGAGCTACTTGTATAAGTGAATAGTACGCTGTAGTGAAGACCACAGGAAGCGCAGCTGCTTCTGTAAAGCTCATAGAGCTGGGGATAGGAATGACATTACTCGCCTTGCAGCGAGCATAGGTCTGGTAAGTTCCAAGTGTGCTTGCGCATACCCTATCGCCCACTTTCAATTCAGTCGCATGGGAGCCGATGCGGGAGATGGTACCGGAACACTCGAAACCGAAGCTCATGCTAGGCATACGACCTAATGCGATAAGGCAGTCTCTGAAATTGACACCACTGGCTTCAACTTTGATTTCGATCTCATCGCTTGCCAGATACGTTCCAGCAGCACCATCCTCAACGAACTCAAGAGTGTCTAAGAGTCCAGGAGTTTTAATGCTCAGAGTTACAGGAGGTGCACTGCGAAACTCATAGTCGCTGCGTGGTTTCTCTTCTGTAGTATCAGAAAGCTTCTGATTCATGTAATCTGCATCAATTATTCGATCAATACAGATCATACCGTTTCGCTCTACGTATTCTTGCTCACAGTCCTTGACAGGGGTTGTGGATACTTTTTGATAGACCTCAAAAACCTTATTTGCGAGGTGTGTAGGGTTCGTCGAGGAAGCCTCAAATGAGAGAGATATAAACTTGAGTCTAATGTTTTCCATTCGCAGTGCGCGGAAAGCCCCTTGAACAAGTGCGTATTCTGGCAAGTCAGGTCTTTCTCCCCCTCCTTTGCAAGCCCAGAGAATATTCTCAAAGGCAAGGAACATTGCTTTGATGTCTTTGAAATCGGGTTCGGTCATTTCCCGAAGCATAGGTTTATCGAGCTCTAAAAGTACGATGCCAAAGGCACTATTACCCTGAAAAGTAGCGGCTTCCTTGAGTGTCAAGGAGAGTATGTTTTCTGTCCCTGCGGATCGCAGTGTATCACGCAGAAGTTTGTAAACCTTTCTCTGCAAATCAGATTGAGGATCGAGAACAACCACCGTTGAAAGGAACGGAATTGTATTCGAGATGTCCCCACGAGCTGTAGATACTAGTGCGCTATGCTCATGAAATTCATCCTCTTCATAGTCTTTGAAATTAAAGTCAACACCGGAGAATCCCGAATTTTTCAACACTCTATCCCATACGCCATCTGAGATGCCAGCACTGAAACTACGATACTTGTCGTTAAACCGCCACCATCCAGGTAGCAAGCCAAACGCAAAATTCGTTCGAACAACTTCAGGAACAGTTAACTCGAAAAGCATAAGTTTTCCTCCTGGTTTTAGCAACTTCCTAACATTTTTCAACGTAACATCAAGGTCCTGAGTTGCATGAAGAACATTGTCCGCAATAATGCAATCGTAACTCCCTGTCTCGAATCCTTGACGCGCTGGATCTTTCTCTATATCCAATACTTTGAAAGTTACCATGTCTGAAAAGTTCTCGAACAATGGAGCTGCACCTTCGAAGAAACCTGCAGAGATATCTGTGTATGTGTAGTGCGTGAAACGAGGCGTGCCGACACGAGGATTACGAGCACCATTTTGTGCAAGGACATCCAGGAGGTAGTTCGTCATCCCTCCAGTACCTGCACCAATCTCTAATATGTTCATATTTGGATGCTTGTGAGTGAGAATGTCAAGATAAGCAAGGGTTTTGGATAGACCATTAGTAGACTTGTACAACTCCCTATAATAGTCCTTCACCAATGGTGTCTTGAACATGAGTTCAAGAGCGTCAGCTTTTCCGGTGAGGATATTGCGAAGATCCTTCGAGAGAACGGCATAGAGCTTCCCTCTCGCGTTACTATGCTCTAGGCGGTTCAACAGCTTGTCATAAAACACATCGTCGTTAATGTATTCCTTAACATTCACTGCACCGTTACACATTTTCGAATTATTGAGCTTGTTCCGTTCGTATTGCATCCATTCGAAGAATTTATGGTGATGCGGCTTCAGCTCAGCGACTTCAGAGTCTGTCAGCTGGTCCAAAGTTCTCAGAATACAAAGATATAGCAATAGTTTGACATCGTGATCCAGTTGGAAAGGAGCAGGCTGAATATCATAGGACGTAGAAACATATTGGATGAGCTCTTGTTTGGAAAGTAGTTCAATGTCCGGCCTGTAATCAAAATTCCAGGAAAGATGGCAATTTTGTTTTTCCGTCGACTTTTCCGTTTGCTCCAAGAATTTACCTTCGAGCCCATCAAGGATAATGACGGGATTCATTTCTTGCTTGTCAAACGCTACTGCGTCTACTCGTGTTCCCGTGGTACCATTCATAGCAGACTTTGCATACGTAGGCATAATGGAGGATCCAGGAACGTTTATTTTTCCTTCGGCCACCCATAATTTACGCAGCCCAACTATTACACTCGGATTTATTTTCGACGTCTCTCCTACCAAAGCCACGAGACCTAATTGGAAGAGCCCGTCAAGTGAAGTCGGATGAACAGTGAAGTCTGTTTGTTGGAATTCTCTTCTTTTAGACACCCAACTATCGAGCGTGATATCACCAACACATTCCATGTTTTGACCGTACGAACCATTCTTGATTGTTCGATGAGCAGTTCCAAAGTCGATTCCGTTCTCTTTTAGTGTTGGGTAGAAGCGTTCCATATCTACTTTTTGGCAGCTGGAGGCGCGAATAAGCGAGAGTTCCGTTCTATAATGTTCATCACTTAAAGAATGTTCGAGCCCATTATCTACCTCATCTCCGACTTCGAAGTGAGTTACTCGGACTTGTCCTCGACATACCTCGACCCAGTTGTCATTCTCAGGAGTATAAATACGGAAATCGGACCATGTTATCTCTCGGTCAGAGGCGAGGCCGCATGGCCGAAGGTAAAATTCTATTTCAGTTCCATCTGGATCGGAAGGAATGGTAAGAGCTCGGGATACGACGACATTTTGGACAATGAATCCTGAAATGTGTTTGTCGGACCTTAACTTGGCCATTATTTTTGCTGCCTCTATTGCCATGACCAGCATAGCAGACGCAGGAAGAATGCATGCGTTGGCGATTTTGTGGTCTTCAATCCAAGGGTCTTCTGAAATCTTAATTCGACGTCTCCATTTCGCTTCTTGGGGATTCCAATCTGGTACTGGCGTTCCTAAAAAGTCGTTCCGAGGAATTTTGCGAAATCTGTGACCTCTGCTAAGACGAGATTCACGCCAGTAGGATCTGGAGTGATCAAAAGGATATTCCGGTAAGTTTGTTAGCGGAGTAAATAGACGTGGTCCACTGGAGCTCTGCTCGTTCAAAGCCTGGATACTCATGCTGTGGCCACGACAATAAAGATTCCCAAGAGCTCCAAACATCGAAGTGTTTGAATTGACATTGCGTATTAGGATAGAGTAGTATCCTATAGCTGAAGTCTTACCAAATATCTTAAGGGCATCTTTTATAGGTCCTTGTAACGCTGAATGAGGTCCAATCTCTAGGACATCATCGAAATAGTCCTTTGAACTATTGTACGAAATCGAGCCATCTTCGGATATGCATATTGATGCAGCACAAGAAATAGCGTCGAGGAATCTCACTGGAGATACCATATTTTCTACCCAGTAGCCTGGTTGACACAGTCGATCACTGCTGACCACGTCGCCGGTAACAGATGAAACCATGGGAATAAGTTTAGCGGAATTCCGTGAAGACAAATTACCCAATTTCTCCGAATATTCCGCAGCTATAGCATTCATATGATGGGAGTGATATGCGACATCAACCAATAATTTCCGGGAGAAGATACTCTCTTTTTCTAGAATCTCATTGAGGTAGTTTATTTGTTCGATATCACCTGTAATTGTAACATTGCTAGGGCTGTTGATGCATCCCACGAGAATCCCAGAGTATCCAAATTCTACTTCAACGCGGGCGAGGTATGGTAGAACTTCTTTGGCAGACAAGCCAGCTGAAAGCATTCCGCCTTGAATCGTTTTGTCTTCAGCCACTTTCGATGATAGCAATCCTCTGTGATAAGCAATACTCATAGCTGAACGCTTATCTAGAGCGCCAACACAATATCTAAGGCTTTCGTTAGCTTGTGGTGATGCTCGTGAAGGGGAAATAACTTACGCAGTCGCAACCTCGCCGGATGAATGTCCAAATGCGACGGAAGGTTCAATATCGAGACTCTCTAAGAGATCAATCAAAGCAATCTGTATTGCAGTACAAATTGTCTGACTGAATTCTGGTCTGTTGATTCTGGAAGTTTCTTTGTCCCGACAAAGCTCGGCTAAGATAGGGGTGAGCTAGTGTAAACAAGATTTCTGCTCGGAAAACATACCTTGAAGTGACCACAAGCATCCAATATCTGTGAGAAGCTCAGATATTTCTCTAAGACTTTGCTTAAAAACAGGAGCCTGGATATCTCGACCCATGGCATACCATTGAGCGCCTTGCCCTGTAAAGCAGAATGCAAGCCGAGCTCGAGGAAGTGCACGTACTGCACGTGAAAACTTTATCCTGGTTATCAAATCATTATTGGAGCTAACTGTCGCACATGATCTCCATAATAGAGCGCTTCGTCGATTACTCAAGGTGTAGCTCAGTCTACTCATGTATGAATCACTAAAATCATCCTTGTTCATTTGCGACCAGTGATCATTGTATACTGATTCGAGTCGCTTGATGCCATTTTCGTCTTGAGAAGAGAACACTAACATCCTTCGAGTCTCCACGTGATGGAAACCATTAGTCATGGACCGTTGTTCGTGATTCGAATGATTTGTTCCGTTTACTTGTGTGTGATTACTGTCTTTTTCTTCACTGTCAAGATAACCAGCTGCGTCCTCCATTATCACGTGGGAATTTGTGCCTCCGAAGCCAAATGAGTTGATAGAAAGACGGCATAAACTGTCTGAAGGCCATGGTGTGAGATCTTTTGGAAACTAAACATCATAGAGTAAGTCTGTATTGCATCACCAATGTCGCAAAGAAGGGAAGTACCTTTAAGTGAGGGTGCTCGGCCACGATAGAGTGATTGACGTGTTCGAGTCCTGCAATTCCTGGTATCATTCTACGTTCAAGCATCAGGACGCTTTTAACGAGGCCAGCGATGCCACTAGTACCTTCCAGGTGACCTATGTTTGACTTGATACTTCCTATAAACAATGGGGAGTCAGCAGATAGGGTGTGGCTAAACGCGTCGGCAATAGCTCCTGCTTCGATCGGATCTATTGTTTCCATTAGTATTTCTCGTCCCACAACGACTTATTCATACGCACCTCCAACGGCCGTTCCCGTTCCATGTGCCTCTACATATCGCGTCTGGCTCATATCTAAGCCAGCTTTGCGATAAACACCTCTGATGAGCTGAGCCTGAGCACTCCTGCTAGGTTGAACAATGCCTGGTGTTCGTCCATCTTGGTTTGTTCCCGTAGCAAGAATAACAGCTCGTATGGCATCATTGTTCTCAAGCGCATCGCTTAATCGTTTCACTACTAATACCCCAAATCCTTCACCACGGCCATAGCCGTTCGCCTTTTCATCAAAGCTCCAGCATCTTCCATCTGGCGACAGGAAATTTTGGTTGTTTAATGACATGGCCATATCTGGACTTAAGAACAGGTTTGAACCAGCCACAATTGCCTATCACCACAATTAGACTATTATTCATTTCTGCGGCTAAATTCCGGCATACCATGTTAGATTCTTTGCTACGTAGCCTCTCGCATGCTGTGTGGAATGCAACAAGGGTACTTGAACAAGCTGTATCCATATTGATGGATTCACCACGCAAATTAAAGTACCAGCTGATACGATTAGCTAGCATATTAGCTGACACAGAACTTGCCGAATATTGGCCACCAAATTGAGGATCTTTGGTAGAGAATGATTTGTAGTCATCTCCAAAGCTCCCTGTGTATACCGATGTGTTTGTATTGGCGACTGTCTCCATCGATATTCCAGCTAAATCATGGTCAATCTTGGTCTCATAGTTGACATTGAACATAACATACCATTCTCCAGCGCTCGATATGTTACCTCGAGCAATATACGTGACTGTGGATCTATCTCCGCTGCTTCGCTTGGCCCGATTGTGAAGAATGGAGCATCAAATGCGCTTATATCCCCATTCACAAAATGGGCACCTTTCAAAGGAAACTGCACGTCTCAGTAATTATTTCTTTTACAAAGTAAGAGCTTCCTTACGCTGTTCAATCTTCCTGTATCTGGATCATACACCCCGTCGAAGTTTAACCGAGTCTCTGGAAATGACGACCAGGCTGATTGACTGGTAGCTAGTCCCTTCCAGAGAGAGTCGGCAGTTTCCATTCCTTGAGGAAACTTGAACGATAAACCAATAATGGCCAATGGCTCCATTTTTGTGGAGGGTTCTTCATCCATTTCTGGAATGGTTTTTGCTAGGTCCAAGAATTATAGTGGGCTTTGGAGTTTGATGTTCCCCTTTGAATTTATGACCAATTGGAATTGGAGTGTGTACAGGTCAGCAAATGAAGATTGCTTTCATAAGGAGAGAACAAAGTGATCAATGAAAGAGAGAAAAGGTTGGATTTGGCACTGAGAGAAGGTGGTTAGAGTGGATGCAGTAATTGGGTTTGAAATGTTAAAAAGTAGGAGTGAGTGTAGGTTTGGCGATGATTTTCAGTTTATGAAGGTTATGCTTTCCCAATATTTATTAAAATAATCGAATGATGGAAGTTATTTAAAAGTGTTGTAAGCTACATATCTTGGAATAGCAGTCATCCTTACTGATATAAATCTAAATGGCCCCCAGACACCACACGACCAGCCTGGTAGACTAGGCAGATTGCCATGGAACAACTTGACGGTCAGATAGATACTAGACGAGGATGTGAAATTTCTTCAGCTTGATTACAGTTCAACTGTAAAAATCTCTACACGACGAAGAAATTTATGTCAAATTCATCCTACTTGTGAATAACCCTTGACATCTTTTCAAATAAACCAATATTCTACCAAGCCTCAAGCAATACTATCTGCCTTGAAGGCTCGGAATGGATAGACAAAGATCTAAACCCCCCCCACTGTTTCGGATCCAAAGAAAAATGGACGACTTACTCCGTAGTGCTTCGTAGTGGCTGATTATGCAGCCAGTGTAACTGAGAAAGGCGCTCATCCCTAGTTGACCAACTATCCGAATTCAAGCTCCTTGAAAAGCCAAGCACTACTAACTACTATCCGTTTTTAAAGCAATCGGAGCTCCTTTTCACCAAGAAAACTCCCACTAGGGGTAATATCCGTGGTTTCTGCTGATGCTTACACGGACTTCCACTAAACATTTGCAAGTCACGATGAAGCCGGCACTGGTAGGAACCGAATGCGGGGTTGATGATACGATGACTGTATTTATAAACCTCCGATATCAACATGTACCACATTACTTTGCTAAAAGCTAATGATTATTCTGCTGTATCACACACCACCATACCCCTGAGTAGGCGACGAAAGTTTCATTTATCATGCATAATGTACCTATACTAGTTTAGTTTCTAAACTCCCAACAATTATGATATCCATGGGTGAACTGTGTGGTTAACATGTAATCTTTGATAAAAATGCATCTCAATCGGACCGTAATATTGCAAAGGTTGTAGAGGCACATTAAGGCACAGCATTGCGCAGCAGTGAGTAGTAGCCTACCCCGGGGAAGCAAAGTCAAAACGAGTAGGAGATTAATTGCCTTCGAAGGGCGCAGATGAAAGGGCAAGGGCTGTACAGCAGCGAATGCTAGATAAACACGGCGATGCTTCGTAAGGCTGAGGCACATCCACGATACTTCAGTAAGGTTGTCAGCCAAACGAGTTTCACGATTAATAACATGCCACGATTTGTGCCTTATCACAACATACAGACCATTCAAATAGTTCGATTAGTCAGGCCTTTTCAATGAAGAAAATAGCCTTGTTATCTGCGACACATGTCAGTTAATGCAATACAATAATCAAGGGTGAAACAATATATACCATAGAATTATCTAGAAGAATTAAGTGATGTGGGCTTGGCGACAAGTTGGTCAGCTCAAATGAAAACAGTTGAACAAATTTCTCATCGCCGAAGTCTCGACACTATTTTCCTCATTTGAAAAAACATGGCAAGCCTTGAAATTCTCATGACTGAGCAGCCTTCGGGCACAAGATCGCAATTTACAGCGCTTGAGAAAGACGCACCGCAAGGTCTGAGAGAAACCAGCGGTCGAAGTGCTCATAATCATTTGCAGTACCTTTCTGGATGGCGCTTAAGTTTGCTCACTCTCGGGTCTGCTAGAAAGGTCGATAAGCATGGACTTCTACTAATTTTGCAGCAGACTATGCCTGAGTCTCATGCTATCTTCGCTGGATATCACTATCGTTAGCACTGCTCTTGTCACTATCTCTGACGATCTACATGCATTCGATCAGAGTAGTTGGATAGTGAACAGTTATCTGACAACATACTTTAGTAAGCTAAATCTACTGCCATTCTGTATAGTTTCTTACATATCAGGTGCTTTAATTATATGGGCCAAAATGAGTGATCTCGTCGGCCGTAAGGTTATGCTCGTCGCCGCCATTGTGATATTTTTAGCGTTTTCAGGTGGCTGCGGGGGTGCTGCGACTAGTACTCAAATGTAAGGAACCCTAAAGCTTCAGTAATGCCACTTTTTAACCACAAATAATAGAATCGCTTTCAGAGCCCTCCAAGGCATCGGAGGTGCTGGAATATTTAGCATGGTACCGATAATTGTGGCAGAGATGGTCGTCCCGGAGCAATATGGAAAATTCAACGGCATCGTCTCGCTAGCACTGGCTATCAGCTTCCTACTTGGCCCAGTACTAGGAGGTGCAATTCCTCAGCACACAACATGGAGATGGATCTTTTTGATCAACTTGCCCATAGGCGTGGTGGGTCTAATTCTCGTGCTGTTGGCAATGCCTGCAGGTTTTCCGGACAACAGACCGTCTAAAGCCATCCTATTCTCGCCAAAGAAGAGTAATTTGCGAGGAGAGATTGACTACGTGGGATTTTTATTACTTCCAACAGCTTGCGTTTTTCTTATCGTGGCTTTCGAAGAAGCTGGAGTGGCTTTTGCCTGGGATTCGGCCCTGGTAATCACTTTCTTGGTACTTGCTTTCGTTCTTCTTTGTCTGTTCTTCGCATGGCAAAGACTTCTGTTCTTGAGACAATCTGCGAGACAACCCGTCATTCCATGGGTGTTCTTGAAAAACAGAGTTCTCATGGGTATCTATATGTAAGATCTACTCTGAGTGAGCTATCATATTGGTAACTGACGAAAAAAATAGATATGCTGTTCTCTCAGGTGTTCCTTTTGTAACTCTAGTCATCGAGATTCCTCAGAGAATCCAGAGCATTAGTAATACATCGACACTGATTGCAGGCGTTCGCGTATTACCCTACACAATGTCGATTGCTGTTGGCTCAGCCATCACGGGTGGTTTGACAGCAAAAGGCCGTATACCTCCACTTTATGTGCTGATCGCGGCTACCTCATTGCAAACCCTTGGGACCGGACTATTGTACTCGATACCAGTAGCACCTCACATCCCAGCAAGCTTCTATGGTTATCAGGTACTGGCAGGCATGGGTGTCGGCTTGGGATTGACGACGTTATTGAACATAGCACCTTTTATTGTCGAAAAACAACTTCTAGGTATCTAAGGCTTCGATGATGTATTCTCCTTTCAGAAACTAACAATGCTCTAGCTGTTGCACTCGGTGGTGTGACCCAGATGCGAATCCTTGGAGGGGCTATCGGTGTTGCAATTGCCACCAGCCTATTGAACAACACTGTTGTATCAACTCTGGCCGATATCTTACCTGCTGAGACAGTCAGCCACCTTCTACAAAACCTTTCTTCAATGTCTTCGCTCTCATCACATGATCAAGCTGTGGTTCAATCTGCATTTGCTCATGGGTACCACAAACAACTAGCTATGATATTAGGTTTCTGTGCTGCTGAAGTTTTTGCAATTGGGCTTATGTGGGAGAGGACGCCTCGTAGACTTTTGTGAAGTACCAAGGCTTCAAGTATGTACGATTAAAGTTAGCTACTCAATGAGATGGAAGTGAAGGAATCGGATTTGTAAGTAGACCTAGGCCAGCTTCCGGGAGGAAAATTACGGAGAATAAATGAACAGTCAGATCATGTAATTTTTCGTGCAAACAACCGAGCATATTAATTGCGAGAGTAATTTTTGCTAGTTTGATGTTGTTTTGTCCCCTTCACGCGCAACTACGGCATCTGTTAAGTGAAAAGGCGAAAATCAAAAATTAAATTTTTTAAAATAAAAGTTTTTATAAAGTTAAATATTAATAATAATAATAATAATAATAATAATAATAATAATAATAATAATAATAATAATAATAATAATAATAATAATAATAATAATAATAATAATAATCTTCTAAAGAAATATTATAATTTTTAATATCAAAAATCATATAGATATTCTATTTATACCTGAATATATATTTAATATTTTAATTTATTTATTGTAGGCCCTTGGTAATTAATATCGAATTTTGAAATAATCGAAATAGTAATATAAGGAATGTACAAGATGTGGGGTCATGTATGATGTAGGGATATCGTTTACATATCCACCTTCCTTTTCTAAAACCCCTTGAATCATGCCGTAGTGCAGCTTCCACTTCTTATTCATCAGCACAGACCTGCTTAACCTAAGAATACAATAACCTTAGGGCGGGGCCTTCGGGACTAACGTAGATTAGGTGAACCTTTTCTCAACCGCGTCGACAACGACCTTGGAAGAGCCATACCATTTCGTCGACGTTGATGCAATGTCGTATCTTTATTCACGGATCATGTTTTATAAAACGCAAAATATTCTTTAAATTTCTTTGCAGTTGAATTACAAAAAGGTGAAAACTGTTGGAATAGCGAACATAATGAAACCCAGTTTTTCCAAAGAAGGAACGAAGCATATGTATGCCAACCCTTACGATCGGACTTTGACAAAAGTCTCTCTGCTATTCTGTGGATTGAATCGAGCTTACAAGAACCTTTGTCTAGCTTTCTGTATCATCATCACTGTGGCATTCCGTGTTTTGACCACCGTCCTTCGTAACCACAACCCTCCGCCCATACGTATACGCCGTAGCAAATGGTACCAATTATTACAATTACCACGGATATATACAACATTCCCTGGACCGTTCGTCGACGCTGGCCTTGTAAAGAAAGGTTTTGGTTCCAATCACCGAACTTGGGGTACTTGCAGCGAAGGTAAAAGTCAAGCTGAGATCGGCTATGAAAAAGATCAGCAATTAGCGGATTGAATGATCGCTTATTTTCGTTTTTGAAACATGAAGACTCAGGAAAATCGATGCATGCTTACGGATATATGACAGAATTCCAAGTGCCAGAATCATTGTACCAGCTTTGACAGGTCTCATAAACAGTTTCCTGCATGTCTTTTCTGATGTCCTGCGTCCACTTGACTACCGCCTCTGGTTTTGGCTCCAGGCTAGTAACATTACCCGTGATGATGGGAGCGATCATCTTGAGGATGTACTGGATATTATTTTCAATGCTCATGATGACCGAAGTGTGACCAACAAAGGTGTTTGGGCCCATAATCATGAAAAAGTTCGGAAACTGATCGATACATGTCCCCATATATGCTTGGGGACCACCACGCTCCTGCCAAGTGCGATGAAGGGAGGCTCCTCGACGTCCCTCGACGGATAGAGGGTGTAGGAACTGTGATGCCTTGAACCCCGTTGCTAAAATAAGGACGTCAACAGGATAAGAGCATGGTAGTGCACTGAGGTCGGAATTTGCATCAGAAATTCCCACAGTCACTTTGCTGCCTTCAACACTTAGCCAAGGCTGTGTTGTAAGGGTATAACGAGAATCACTCATGCTCTGGAGCCAATCATTATCGAACACTCGGCGCTTACAGCCAAGACTATACTGAGGTGTCAACATAGAATGATATTTCTCTGGGGCCAGCTTTCTCATATGGTCCAGGGACGTCTTCTCAGACATTTGGCGTAGCTTCAGGTTTTTCCGGATGAATGTTGTGTACCATAGAAGCTCAGACATCCAGCAAATCATCATTCGAACGGAAAACGCTAAGAACGGAACGGAACCATAGACCTTAGGCGCAAATTTTGCGTATCTCTCCCTCCCTCCTGGTTCTTCAATACGAGGGACAAACCACGGTGGGCTACGTATTATATGGGTCAAGGACTTCAGCTTGGTTTGTAGAATTGCGGGGGCAATCTGAGCAGCTGTGCAGCCCGAGCCTACAAGCACCACATCTTTTCCTTCGAGATTAATCTTCTGAGACCATTCAGCAGAGTGAAGAACCTCGCCCTCGAAGGTATCTCTACCAGAGACATTTTCCGGCCAATCATTGGGACTGGTAAGAATACCGGCGCCACAAACGACCACTTTTGCTCGAATTATCTCGAGCCCAGCGGGATGCAGGAGCTTAGTCTCTGGAGAAAGATGACAGATTTCGATCTCCCATTCTTGTTCTTGCTCTTTCCATTTCAACCTCCTGACCTCCGTATTCAAATTAATATTATCTGCGATTCCGAAGCGTTCAACGACCTGATTGAGATATATCAGATAGTCGTGACCTGATGGAAAGACGGTCGATGAGGTATAGTTTGGGGCGAAAGAAAATGAATAAAACAGAGTTGGTCTAAGACGACTCAGTCAGGAAATGTTTCGATTTCTATGATTAGTTAACCTACACATCACAGGCCTTCACAACCTATTAGTTCCAGTTTGGTAAACATAAATGGTAACCGGAGGTACTCACAACTCCTGGATATCTGTTCGCCCACCAAGTACCTAATTGTTACTCTTCGTCAGACTTTGGTCTTGTAGGAGATAGGCAGGTAATAAGGTTTACCTCCAAGACCCCCTTGACGATCAAATATCTTGAATTGCTCAAAATGGAGCTTCATTTTCAATTGGCAGCCCATGGCAATGCCTGAAGGTCCAGCGCCTATAATAACGATGGGATAGTAAGAATCAGGAGTAAAACTTTGGATTGATGACGCCATGCACGCGGTTGATAACGGGTTGAATAGACAAAGACGAAGTTAAAATCTCTTTCTCGGTGCTAATGGGAGGTTCTTCATCTCAAAAGCTATTATTTTCATCTCTAGGGTTCAAACCAACACCTCCGACCTTTGGAAAAGGCTGCCATCAGGAAAACAGGCTCCCAAATCGAGCCAGCAGTCCTTATCACCGAGGTTTCAGAATTATTACTATATCCCTGCGTATGCTTCTCGGTGTCAGATATTGATTTGAGAGTAACACATTTGCTGGCTGGAAGCAAGCTCTTTACAATCTACTCGGCGGGTATCATCCAAAAACAACCTCTTATTAGCGAGCACGCCAAGCCCGATTTCTAACACTTGTCGAACTATCATTTGAAATTTTCAAGCAATATAAAAATCGAAGAGATGACGTTTGCATTAGACGAGTCCAACAGGTTCAAAAAATCAGCGTCCTTCCTTGAGAAAACCCTTGTATTAATTGTTTTTTTGATATTCCTGGTACAGGCCCTGCCTGGCCGTATCCCACAAATCCTGGAAATCAGACGTAATATAAAACCTTTCAGTCTTTTTTCGCAAATCAACAATATACAATGCGGCACAGAATAGCGGGGTATCTTGCTCGCATGATAAGTGGCGTTATAAGGCTGCTAATTGGACTATACGATGAGAGTACATGAGGTAAAGTCAATATCTGGAATAACTGCTTCGACACAACTTTATCTCTTTTCATTTAAGCATACGAAAGTAGACCTTTGACCAATCTTCTACGTGTAAGTAAGATTTGAACTGCAAAACAACATGGCGATACAAATCTTACTTTTAGCCTCGTTTATCACTTACGGAGTTGTGCTACTCACTTATCGATTCTTTTTCCACCCACTCGCACATATTCCCGGACCTCCACTTGCCATTGCAACCTATCTATACGAGTGGTATTATGATTTGTATCTCAGCGGTCAATATACTTTTCAAATCAAAAAGCTACACAAGCAATATGGTATAATTATGGCGACTACTATAAGTATCTACTGCGACAATACTGATGTGCTTCATTAGGCCCTGTTATTAGAATTAATCCCAATGAAGTCCATATCGACGATCCCGATTTTTTTGAAGAGATGTTCAGTCAGTCAAATGGCCGAGCACAGAAACCCCTTAACGTTGCTGAAGCATTTGGTCCATATCCTGCGGTATACCACCTAGCTATATACATGTGAATTATGGCTCTGATTCTCAAAAGACTATAGGAACGCAAGATCATGATCACCATCGCATGAGACGAGCCGCTCTCAACCCCTTCTTCTCCAAGAAATCAATCAATGACCTTGTTTCCAGAATACAACGCCCTATTCTCATACTTTGCGACCGACTTGAGAAAGCAACTAAATCTAGAGAAATACTTAACATGAAGTATTTCTATGCTGCTGTGACACTAGATATCATTAATGACTACTGCTTTTCGAGAGAACCGGACAATGTCTTAAGACCAGACTTTGGACGCAAGTCGTTTGACGACGTTGATAAGTTTTTGAATATTAGTCTATTGGTATGTGAATTCGTAATGAATTGACGCGGATTCTGACAAGAAAGAACATTCATGTACCTTACTTGATGCGATTTAGTTATTCACTTCCGGTATCTCTGTCCCTAACGATTGTTTACATCAAAAGTGCTAACGACTTTAGGATAATATCAACAAAATTATGGCTCCTGCCATGGCAGATATCCTTGATTTCCGCAAGGTAAATAATGAAGCCTTATTCAAATTAGTCGCATTTAACATTGAACAGGATCTCTCCAGACAGGTGGAAGCCATTCGAGATGAACATGGAAAATCTCAAATAGGAAAAGGTGTCGATAAAACTGTCTTTCATGAGCTTCTAGAAAGCAAGTTGCCACCAAAAGAGCTGGAGAGAGACAGACTACGTGATGAAGCTTTCAGTCTGGTCACAGCGGGCTCCGGTACAACGTGAGTAATCTACGCTCCGCAAACGATTTAGTATTAAACATCCTCAGAGCATATGTCCTAAGAGGCACCTCATACCACATCTCATCCAATCCTAGGATCGCCCAACTCCTTCACGAGGAGCTCAAATCAGCCATTACTGACCCATCAAAACCCCTTTCACTACCAGAGCTAGAAAAACTCCCGTATTTGACAGCTGTCATCCAGGAGGGCCTTCGCCTTGTTGACCCAGTTACCCATCGTATTGGGCGACAATATCCGGAAAAAACCTTCGAATGCCACGGTAAAACAATTCCAGCCGGGACAACAATGAACATGACAGCCTTACTCACCCATCAGAATGAAAAGATCTTCCCTGAACCCGAGGTCTTCAAACCAGAGAGATGGCTAGAAACTGAGAGCAAACGACTTGAGCACTACCTTGTCACCTTTAATCGCGGAACTAGATCTTGTCTAGGTATCAATCTTGCTCGTGCAGAGCTTTATTTAATCTTAGCCTCTGTCTACAGACGATTCGACTTCGATGTCTCACAAGTTATTCGAGCGCGGGATATAGACGTTAGCCGAGACTACATTTTAGGCGCCCAGGCGAGAGACACCCCTGGTATATTGGTTAAAGTGAGAAAAGTAGATTGATGCGTGGTACAGTCTATGGCCTTCTTTAATCTAGAAGAAACATCACAATAAAATCCATCTAACATGCATATGCATTTTGAATGGCGAATAATTTCTTGAGGAAGCCCAAATGACATTGATCAATAAATCAATCTCCAGTGATCCTAGGTTAACCATATTTTTCTCAATGCTTTTGTTGCTTACTAACATCCCGTTCACTCACCGGTGATAGTCATACATGATTTGATACGGACATTTTATACCGGCTGACACAGATGCTTGCCAGCTGACGCTAGGCACATGCGGAGTGGCTAGAAATTCGGCAAATAGGAATGATTAGTCGGCCTAACGCAGTGGTCTTGGCAAAGTAATAATGCGGAGTTCCTGGGATTATGCAAGCAAGACATACTATTAATTAGCGCATTCGCAATCCTACTGGCATAATAAGGCTTGGGCGTTATCTACTTAGTAGTAACTAATCAGGCCCATCTAGCGGTATCTCTCCTATTTGATGATTTGAAGCTCGGCACTTTATACCTCCAGCCATGACAACTCTTCTGAGATATGCTACGAGTATCAGTGTAATGCTATATAATCTTGAGCTCGTATCAATATGTTTGTACAACATCTATCTTAACACAAATCCCCAAGTGCCCCCCGTGGCGCATCAACTCTCCGGAGTCCGAAAACTGGTGAGAGGCTGACTGTCTGGACAAATAGGGGGGATCTCGATCTACCGTCACTAATGTAGAAATGCCGTCGGAAAATTTTACATTAAATGGGTGTTTACATGCCTAGGATGTTACAAGCGAACAAATAACATTTTAGTTTCTATCTCATGTCAGCATGCAAACTAAATTCCAACAGAAGGAATTCAACTACAATGCATATTTGAGAATTCATAGGATAATAGACGAGCCGTTTTCGGTGATGTTAAAGTTCTTCCCCAAAGAAAAATTGAATTCCTAATCATGATAAAGTATCACCAATTAGAACCCTTTGAATACATATCAAACAATTAACATTTTAAAAACCAGCAAACTAACTTTAAGCCATCAAATAGTTCTTCAACCAGTGATGTCAACAGGATAAGCTTCATGATTAGCTTTAGAGCTATTACTAGGGGTCCTTTGAAGAAATGTAACCATGACAGCATACTCTACGACCAGACCCTCTCTGAATTTTCACTTGGCATGAGAAATCTTTGAAAGGGCTGATAGCTCCTTGATATTAGTATTGACTGCAATGGTGTTTCTATGGGTGCCACGGATCCCCAAGGATGCTCACAATCTCTATACGCGCACCTGTTAATTCTACGACGACTTTCTGATTGAGGCGGGGCACAATACAGCTTTGATATTCGACGTCGCCTCCCGTGCTACATTGCCGTCAAACGGGGATTTTTCTTCCCACTCTGATACAAGATGGTCAAATTGAGCTTACATATACTGTAAGTGTCTCTTCACCTGGTGCATTTCTCTTGCACTACCTTACCGGAACGCTTTCTTACGTTTCAATTTACGATTGCGATCCTTTGGATTCTGCTTTCTATTTTGTCAATACAGCATGGCGGCCTCTACTGTCCCCGATGCCTACAAGCTTGGACTTAATCAAGTGGGATATGCGACTTTGGTCGTCAGCATTTTTTTCATGCTGTTATCTACAATCGCCGCTGCACTTCGTATCTGGACGAGGATAGTCAAGAATGCTAAGTTTGGGATTGATGATTGGCTTCTTTTCATCAGTGTCTTTCTATTCTATGCTTTTTGTGCCAATATCCTGGCCGGTGTTTATACCCTCGGTGGCGGACAGATATACCTCGACCTCGTTGTCCTCGCCCGGAAGTCGCAACAGTATCTCAAGAGCGAGTATGCTATCCCGCCAATTTATGCCACCAATGTGACCACCGTCAAACTTTCGATTCTATTCTTCTATCGCCGCATTTTCGAGACCCCAAGCTTCCTTAGAAACAATACTATTGTCATGGTAGTATGTTGTATTTGGTATGTCGCGAACCTCATCGGGGATTTACTTTACTGCATCCCCATGGCTACATTCTGGGATCCAGCAGTTAAAGGGACATGTTTCAACTTCGCCTTATACTTTTTGATCATGGAGCTTTTTGATATGTTATTAGATATCGCTATCCTATGTCTTCCCACAAAAATTATTCTTGGTCTTCATCTGCCGTTGAAGAATAGGATTGGGATACTTTGTATCTTCCTCTTGGGAGCATTGTAAGTAATCTTTATGCTATCATCAGTGGCAAGTCATTAATAAATCTAGGGTTGTTATTACTAGCGCTATACGGATTGGATATCTCTACAACCCAAGCGAGGTACTATGTAAGTTTCTGCCATCTTGATTACCAACTTCCAAGCTAAAAAGCATATAGTATCACTTGCACGAGCATCTTTATGGTCCGTTATCAATTTAGGAGTAGCAATCCTCTGTGCTTGCCTACCAACGTACAAACCTCTATTCAGCAGATTCTACACCATGAGCTCTTCGCTTTGGAGTAGTTCGCTCTGGAGTAGACATAACAGAAGCAGAAACACCGATGAAAGTGCGAATAAGACTGCCTGCGATGCGAATTCTAATCCTGCTGCTTTTTATTACAGAATGGGGGATAGCAATGAGGATAGCACTGGGGATACGGTATATCACACAGGGGTTTCAACGCAGATACGGAGCAGTAGTGAGGCACGGGTTATACCTATGGATGGTGTATTAGTTCAGAGGGATGTTGATATGAATCGTTCTAGTGCTTTTATTGGTGGAAGCGAGACATCAAAAGTTTAATTGTTGAAGGTCGTGTAGTGCTTGAATTTTCCGTTTGAATCGTAATGAAAAGGCTCGGGTGGTTTGATTATGGAATTGTTTGGAAATATACGTAGTTATGTTTGTGTGTACATGTCTTTTTTTACCGCAAAACGTAGGAGCTTACTTCCACTCTTATAAAGTCTATAAAAAGAGTAAAGTTGCGGTATTGTGTTTAGAAGCTTGATGTTTGTCATGTTTCACTTGGTATGCGTGTTCTCATGTAACTTGCTACTGCTGTGCCTCCTCGTGGACTGGTGGACGATGCGTCAATACCCTGTACACCTCGGTAGACGAGCCTGCAATTACTTAATAAGGCTGCTTGGACTGCAGGTTTTGTTTATTCTATGGCGTGTTCTCCACTTGCTATTCACTTCAAAGAGTTGCTGGACTTTACTTTATGGTGTATAGACATCCTTGAGATTCAAAATCAGGAACAAAATCACTTTATTTTAAGTCTATAATTTTGATTCAGCTGGATTTATCCGAGGCTTTACAGAATAGAGAATCATCCTCCGAGCATATCTCACTTATTGTGCTTTAGTGAGTAAGCAGGTAGGCATTTAACTGCAAGTTTCTCACCGCATTTTTTTGAGTGAGTTGAATAGCATTGCCACATCCAAGTTTTCAACATCTTTTCCCTTCTCTACGCTCAAAATCTAAGTAGTACTGTTCAACGGTAAAACTTTACTAACCTTCTTATAGAAGCATTGTCAGTACGAACCTACATATCACGCACGATAGAATCCTATTCGTAGCACCCCGTTCGTAACATCACAGCTCCCCAAGAAGCCCGAACAACATGGACTTTCAAAATATCAAGCACTTAACAGCTGCGACGAAACAAATGCGAGAAAAATATTGGAACGATGCAATCAGCACTTCCATCTCAGTCCAGCAAGCCGCCACTACTCAGGATCTTCCCGTGAAGGGTCCTGTATGGGTTAGCAAATTCATCATCCCGTCTCCTGTCCAGGATGACAACTCTCGAGATTTACTGCTGGGTTTGATTGATGAGCATAATTCCCATAATGTTCATTATGATCGTCCGAACTCAGAACCACTTTCTTGTCAATGGACGGGTTACCGCGAGGGTGTTGATGCTAATGCGCCTGAGCCCAAACTCTCGGAAAATGAAAAATTTAGACACTTAGTCCAGAATACCACGAGCCCATCAACCATCTTTTATATCTATGGTGGTTCATTCGTGTGAGTATTTCTAATTCCTCCTGAAGCATGCACTTCTATGTACTCACATAAACCCCAGACTGAACAGCCCATCCAGCTACCGAAGACGCATGGGAAACCTAGCTCGGGCAACAGGAAGCAAAATCCTAATGGTGAAACAGCGTCTAGCACCACAGAATCCCTTCCCAGCAGCTTTCCTCGATATATTCCAAGCATATCTTTCTCTCCTCGCTCCTCCTCCAAACTCACCACATGAAGCTATCTCTGCCAAAAACATCGTGATAGCAGGAGATAGTTCCGGATCATGTCTCGCATTAGGGTTATTACAAGTACTCCTGCAACTCAAGCGGAAAAATACAGTGATAAAATTCCATGGAAATATAATAAAACCATCCGAATTTATACCAGCTGGCCTCGCCCTCTTGAGCGTAACAACAGACTTAACAAATGCGCTTCCCTCACACCAACGAAACATAAAACATGATATATTCCCCTCCCCTATCGAAAAACTTCCATACCTAGAAAAAAGATTCCCTCCATGTTCCATCTGGCCCACCAAACCCGCAAGAGCAAATCTATACTGCGAAGCAGGAATGCTCGCTCACCCGCTAGCGAGTCCAGCCGCCTCATTAGATTGGTCTGGTTCCTGTCCCCTCTGGTTCGCATCCGGACAGGAGCAAATCGTAGATGGAGCGAGATTGGTTGCTCAAACGGCTTTTGCGCAGGGTGTTCCAGTTGTGCTTCAGGAATATGAGGGAATGCCCCATACGTTCTTTTGGGTGTTCGGAAAAGCACCACAGACTCGGAAGATTCTGGATGATTGGGCTGATACTATTGTTGCTTTGGGAGAGGGTAAGGAATTAGTTTGTAAAGCGGAGTTTATCTATGCTAAGGGATTGACATCGGAGGAATTGGATTTGGAGAATTTGGTTCCATTTGGGGTGGAAGAGGTGAGGGAAATTATCTGGAGAAAAACATTGGATTATAAAGTTCCGGCGTTTCATAAACAGCAACGGTCATCTTTGTAGTTAATGTTTGTTTTTTATTGACAAGACGTGTAGTTGCAGCTGATAGGTATTATTCTTAAGGATTTTGGGTTGGATTCTGGAGTCTTTATCGAAATCAAGAGATGTATGATTTGTTTTACTTTGTTGCAGCGGATCTTCAAAATGGTAAATATTAATTTACTCCAATCAATTTCTCAAATACAAATAAAAGAAAAATTTCCCCTCGTTCCACTTGAATCCGTAACAAAAACCGAGTTCATCTATCTGACCATCCTAGCTACCGTCACCCTTCACCCAACACCCAACACCCAACACCCAACATCCCTAAAGTTCCCCTATATGGAATCTATCATAAAATACAAGTAATCTTACATCCATTGAATACATAGAAATTCTACCAAAAAGAGCAATCCACTCACATCCCCATTCCTCAATCTCAAACAAGGCCATGCAGCAAATATACCTATATATTGACTATGACGAGCTATACTATACAAGACTTCAACCCTAGTATACCACGCTTCATTTTATCGCCAATAAGTATATATAAATAGCTCTCTCTATATATATATATATAACACTCCAACCATCTACACCATAACACAACAAATGTCCCCCATACATAACATAACATAACACATCATAATCATCTCATCAAGTCAATTTATTTTGCATTTTGCATTTTGCATTTTGCATTTTGCATTTTGCATTTTGTATCGATTAGGTTAGGTTGGGCTATTCCTATACTGTACTGTATTAACCTATCAATAGGTATTGTATTACAACTAATCGACTGACAGACTCAGACCAGATCAGAGCGAAGATGAATAAGTTAGATAGCACGCACGACTATAAAGAACCCATGTATACAATAAATACACTGATTGTATCGTATCACACATCTATTCAATTTACACCAACTAACCAAATAATACCCAGTCCAAAAACCACATGTTTTTTCCCTTAAAGAATGATATAAGATTACATATACATATATATACATAGATATATATTCTACTCATTCCTTCATTTCCTATCAAACTACCTACCTACCTACTATCACAACTACCTACTACTTTCTTACTACACCCAATAACTATATATACTAGCTGCGTGCATGTGAGGTAAAGTCTAAAGATCTTTCCCCATGATCCACATCCACATCCACATCCATCTCCACCTCCACCTCATACTATTCCCCCCGTCACAGATAAATAAAACAGAAAACTATTCAAAGTATAAAACAATGTATAGAAGAGAACGGGAAAGGAGAAAGTCAACCATCAATGAATTATAAAACTAAACCGAGCCCGCTCACTAGCAGAATGAATAAATACATCTCATCTTGACCGAACTCATCACTAACAAGGGAAAAGATAAAACTCAAAGACAGATAGGAAAATCAAAAGGCTCAATGGAGTACCCATCTCATCAAGTCCATTCCTTTTCCGGACTCCTAACCATCGGTAACCTAATTCCAGCGCTAATCCAACAATGTCATTGAACCGATTCCGTCCATGAACTTTTTGTCTATTACCTCCCGACCAAAGCAACCAAACCAACCAAATCAATGCTAATGCCAATGCTCATGCCAATGCTAATGCTAGTGCTAATGCTAATTCTAATGTTAATCCCAACGCCTTTGAAATTGATGCATGTCCAACCAAACTCAACCCTTCCATGCCAATTCGTCACACATAACTTTGTACATATGTAATAAGCTTTCCTTCCCGCTCCATCAAAGGCTGTCATTATGACATGATCTCCTACGTAGAATAGTGGAAAACCACGTTTCTCATGACCAACACCCACAAATTAAACTTTTGATCCAGCATTAAAAAAACTCATGTATGCAACACTTTGACACCACCTCCATTTCTTCCCTCCTCGGTCGTGCTGCCTAGCCCGCCCAACTTCCTCTTTCTAGCCGAACCACCTCCTGGTGTCTCAACCTCGACGTCTATATCTTTCTCTCTCTCCTTATCCTTCGAGCTCTTCTCTCTTTCTCTTTCTAGCCATTTCTCCTTCAACACGTTATAAATCATAACATACTGCGCAACCTTATGTACCATCAACATTCTTTGATCCCTCAGCCTCTTCACTGTTTCAAAAACAGGATCTTTGTCTTTCGACAATCCATCTAGGTGTCCCATGTCCAATTCTCTCAAAAGGTGATCTAGCGCGATGAATGTACCAGTTCGACCAACACCTGCTGAACAGTGGACTATACGGGGCGTGGTCGAGTGATTGTTAGCGGCGCGAGAGACATCGAGAAGGGTGAGGAGCGAATGAATATCGGCGGGCGATTGAGGGATGTCGTTATCGGGCCAGGATTCGAAGAGAAAATGATGGATCGTGCGTTCTTCAATTTGTGCTTCTTCTTCCTGTAAGTCCTCAACTTTAATTTCCGTTTCTTTGTCTTCTTCCGAGGGCTCTTCTGCCGCCTCAATCGTCCCAACCGTACCATTCCCGATACTAGTACTGCTTGTTGTGCTAACACTACGTGCCGCTCTCCCTATTCTCCTCAATTTTAACGTCCTCCTAACGGTCCCTCCCTCTTCCTCTTTCCCTACACATCTAACCTCCCATTCCCCGACCCTCTTGACCTCATCGATATCCTCTGCATAGTAAACACCGCATTTCTCTTTCCCCTCTTCCACGGGTCTTGTCAACATAACCACCACCTCTACATTTTCTTGCCAACACATTTCCCAAAACAAGCCACCATCATAACCGTTATCTCTTGGTCCCTGTGTCGCTATGTAGTTTTCCTGCTCCTCTCCACTTCCATTTGCAGTTCGAAGTGCAATGGGTGATGCGTTTATATAGCCAAATTGTAGCGAATGAAGATTGATTCGATGGTGTTCCCATGGATAGACATCACTATATCTATTGCGCGATAGCACAACAGGATGATATAATAATGTATTTGGCATCGTCCTCAAAGTTTGTTCATGATTTCTAAGAGCTATGAATTTGCTTCCCAACACATTCGGCGATAAGTTGAGGAAATGCGGAGTCGTGTTTTTCTGTTTCTCTGATGTGAAATCCGTCTTGACTGTAAGGCCTGCGATCATGGGTGGAAGAAAAGATTGTCGTTTGGAGGGGGATGTTTTCGCAGATACGGTCGAGACAGAAAGTGTTGGTTTATCTGAAGTACTTGGTCCTCTCTCGAATATCGAACTCGACGTGTTATTCTGTAATCCGGTAGTTTGTGACTGCGAGATTTCGAGAGAGGGCGAGGGCCCACCACCGCCGCCATTATCATTATTATCCATATTCGTGGGATCCTGAGGATGACGATGATGATGTCGGTGAAAACGTACGGGTGAATGCTGACGAATGCAAACCCGAATGCGCTGAGAAAGGGGAACTTTATCTGTGACAACTCCAGCTGTATGGTTTAAATGGTGTCGCAAGATACCCATAACCGAAAGGGTCGAGAAAAAGAGAAGGAAGGATTTTGTATGACGTAGATTAAAGAGGAGTGAAATTTATATCTTATTTCCCGTTGGGTGACGACGTTTTCAAAGTCCGAGCGATCTGAGGGTTGGCGGAAGCTTACAGGCTGATTTTGGATAGTGGAAGATGCAAGTAGGGTGTAGGTGCAGTGGTGCGGTGGTGCAGGAAGTGAAAAGAGGATTAAAGTTAAAGTATAATGCAGGAAGTGCAAGGTACAATAGGTACGGTAAATAACGATATCGGCACGTAAGAAAGAAAATAGTGACGAGAGAGAGAAGTACAACAATATAATCTTACTCTGGAGTAGAAGTTATAGAGAGAGGAGAAAGAGAAAAGAGAAAGAGAGAAGAGAAAGAGAGAAGAGAAAGAGAGAAGAGAATAAGAGAAAAGAAGAAGAGATTCCTTTGATGTTTTCCAAGGTACTGAGCAGACCATAGACCATAGATCATAAGTCATAAGTCATACATACATAGGTCAGAGGTCATAGGTGCTATATAGATAAGGTGGGTAGGAAGAATCAAATTATAAATATGAAACTTAACTCATTCCAACTTCACTTCCCTCCAAATTACAGATTTCGGTGTTTATTGATGAATCATTATCAAATAGAGCCAAGGTTCACGTCGTGGAAAGATATATAATTAAGACAGTAGTTTAAATATAAGAAACGGGGTGTTGGGTAACCTACCTACCTACCTACCTACCTACCTACCTACCTACCTAGTATGTCAATTTCCATCGAAGCTTAAAGATTCCATTCATTCCGAGAAATAAGAAATTATCAATCAATGCCCATCCTTGATTAACAAGAATGACTTGATCATCTTCTAGATTGTTTCAGATTCTTCCATTCTTCGATTCTTCCATTGGAACCATCAATAATAAGGCTGACGGCAATCTAAACATTCCTAGCATCTGCTTAGGTCGCTTCTTGAATTCTAATTAAATCTACTGCAAGATTTCAAGCAATAACCTATACTTCTATCATAGCATCTCGGCCTCGACATGAACCTACAGACCATAACATAACATCAAACACACAATCAGTCAGCAAGTAGTCATACTCGCGGCCAAAGCTCCAGCTAGGATAAGGTTAACGAGGTAGCTAGCATACATCTTATCTGGTCTGTATCTTCTGACTAATTCATCAAGATTCGAGACCTCCTTGACCCAATCCCCCCTTGCCAAAAAATATTATTTCATCTTCGGACCCTCCTTTTACCTGTCTAGCCCCATCCTCGGAGATCAGCCTTACATCCACTCACTTGTATTTCATCCATGATTAATCCTGTTTCTCCCTAGGAACTACTTATTTAATCTACGAAATGTCCCGGGCCATTTATCCAACGTTTTGCTTCAATTACAAGGCTTAATCACTCATGATTTCGGTCATTACTCGGTAAGGTTAACCTCAGTTAGAACTAAGCGATATCTAACGACATGTGTATCTACTTATATTAACTGTACTTATACGTGCTTCAAACTTAGTAGTCGATAGGTTATTTAAAAAGAAAAATTAAAACATATCATCAGAAGTATTCCGATTCAATACCTGGGTATCAACTGACGGGTAGAGATCACCTTACATACTAAATTGGTTAATTAGAGTGGCAAAGTTACCTTTCATCACCTATCCAATTAATAGTATCCAAAGTCTCTCAGAGTACAAATATGTAATTAATACCTAAGAGTAGCAAATTAAAATCTAGTCATTGATACAATATTGTCAAAACCGTTTAGGCTACAAAATGTATTAATTTGAGTGGAGTGGCTAAACCACATATAAACATTGATGTAAGATTTCATATCATCAGAAGTATTGGGTGGTGAGAGGCTCAACCTCAATAGACGAGGACATCGAGGACACTCGGAATAATGCTTCAGTCAAATTAAATTGTATAAATTGTTTTTATTCTTTATTCTTATAGAATCAGCTGTTACCTGCTGTAGGGCTTGCTTCTATTCCTGTGCTATGCGCCTAGATACTGTACCGAATGTCCAGAACGGTATTGCTTGATAACTAGATCACCTTTACAATCCCTAAACCAATCCCATCAATCCAACCAAAGCTAATCCAGACTCCATGCTATGCATACAAAGTGTCAAGTACATCGTTCCAGCTTCAACACCGGCCACCAAACCAGACCACATCATCATTTGTCTCCCTCCTCTTAAAAGTTCCATCTACTACCCAGCTTACACCATGACCAAACCTCCCATACCACTTTCTCTGACTCCTTCACCACCATCCCTCTCAGCGTTATTGTTTCTTGTACCCAAATACGGTTGGGGGATAAATATAGCTTTAGTCGGGCTATATTCCTCCTCTTCTCTTTGCTCAGCATCCTCATCCCCATCTGAAAGTTCGGAAACGGTTTCTCGGTCATCGGGATTTTCGTGATTCGGAAACTGCGTATCTACTTCTGATAGACGAGATGATGATAAAGACTTCGATAAAACAAAATCCGCGTCGTCAGTTTCCGGAAGAGGTGTTTCAAGTGCCAGGTTCGAGGGCGACTCATGAGGTAAAGGAAAGGCGACTCCATTTTGGGACCCGCATGTGGATGTTTCAGTAACTACATCTTGTGTTGGCGTATCAATAATCTGTTTTGTGGGTGATAGATGAACAGCTGATTCAATCTGATCGTAAAAGAGCATGAATACTCCTCCTTGCGCTAGAACGTTCTCTTCACTAACTTTCATTACATGATCATCACTTAAGCGCCACCATTGATCCTTTTTGCTGCCATCTTCATCCGTCCTGATTCCTGAAATTGGGTGTTTTCGGTAGCATATATAATGACCATTTTCATGTCTCCCAGAGTGTGTAATAACTGCCCGTAATTCGTACAATGGTCCTTTTATCCGAGATTTTTGTTGTAGCCCTGCAACCATGGAAGCATAAGGTGCTAGGAGCCATTCCTCACTGTCATCTTCACCATCCCCTCCAGCACTACCTAGACAATATGGGCCCAGGTCGAGATATTTAGGAAACCGAATGGCGGCTGTCTTCTTACTCAACTCCCCATCAGGTCCATAAGTACTTCGATTGAGATGGAGTGCTAAAGATTTTGGAGGTCGAGCGATGATATCTTGTTTGGATTTGGTAACTGTGACCCAGTTTTCTGTCGGTATCTTGCACTTATCTTTTAGAGTCTTTTCCGAAAAGTCGTCGTTCTCTAGCGCTTCAGTAACGGCTCGCAATCGTTCGGATGTGTTCAGCCGAAGTCGACTATCCTCTGGCTCGGACCCTAATCGTTCCATCAATGTAGAAAGTAGATGCTCACTCTTTCGCAAAGTGCATCTTTCACAATATACGCCATGGACAAATTCTAGTTTTGTACCTTCGTGAAGTAGTTGGGAAAGGTCATATTCCCAACCTTCTCCGACAATCAAAGGCTGGCAAAGGGAGGGCGTTGTTTTCAAACCTTCGGAATAGCCGCATTTAGTGCACACGACTCTTGTAGCAGTCAATCCAGTCAATGGGTTGGGAGATAAAGCCTGAGCGTGTGGTGGATCTTTGCCTGCGTCTTCCGACATATTTGCCTGCTCCAAGCCCAACACTCCGCCCAACTTTACCGTTGCCCCATACTCTTTGTCTATTGCACCAAGAAGACCGGAAAAGTATTCTTGCGCATCTTGTTGCTGCCAGCTGCTCATATTCTTCAACGTTGCTGGTGTCCAAATTCTCCTTCCATTATTCGACTGGTTCTTCAGAGTAGCAATCAATTCCTTCAAAGCATTGGCCATTTTGATATCCCCATGCTTCGAACCATCCTGTCGTAGCGCATCACTGATTCGAAAACTTTCGAGAAAACCTGGCAGTGTTTCTAGTGATGCTAGTCCCTGTAAGATGCTGTTTTGGTAGCAGGAATTATCCCAATTTCCCAAACCCGGAGGCGTTTCGTCGTCTCCCCCACCTCCCAAGCCGATGAGTGGAAGAGATGAAAGCCTTCTTCTGCCGGCACTCGCGACGGAATCTATGATGCCACCTGGAGTGTCCAGACCAAATAACCGGCGCATCAACTCACTCTTCTGCGCATGTGTTCGTGGATATTCCATTGTATTTGGGTTTCGTATGGGTAACGGATTTGAGTAGATTTCGGCGAAATCGAGCAGTGAAGAAGGCGTTATGTGTACTAAAGCATTCCAGGCTAATTGTGAGAGAGGCAGGAGGTCATAGTCGTGTCTAATGAGAATTTGATAGACCACCGCGAGAAAAATAGCCAGTAATGACAGGATACCTCCTACTCCAATGGGTTTTTTCTGATATATTCCTTCAGTGTAGTCTTGATGATAATCGTCTACAGTAAAGTGATCTCTGTCGAAGAGATCATGTATTCGTCCGTGTTGAGGATTCATCCTTGGCCCCAGGTGTATGAATGAAGGTGGATAGTATAGAATGTTTGAGGATCGATCGTTAAGAGACTGAAGGCGAAGAATGTGAATATAACGAGGGAGGCTCTAATCACATTAAGGCGGTCGTGTACGATTATGTAGCATTATTCTTTTTCTTTTCAAAGTTTAAAGCAAATGTTTGTTTGATATTTAAAGATGTAAAAAGTTTGTAAAGACTTCTCGAGGGGGTCGCCCAGATGCTATCGTAACAGTTAGAAAGCCTGTTGGGTTCCAGGGTACTTACTAATGGGAGCGTGCCTGTGCGGATGTGGTTTAGTGTTATGCTCACTAACATTATAGTGGGTTCAATGCTCGTTAGGTCCTGAGTTATCGATCCGCGTACCCCACAATCTTATCTGCAGATTCGAAGAAATTTTTGAAAATAAAAAACAAGACACAATTGAAATATTCTATTTTCTCTTCAATACCCAGGTAACAATGGGTAAAACTGCACCTCTGAAGAATAAGGGTTGTAAGTGAAGTCAAAATCTATCTCCTCTATTTTTACGAAGACTAACAAACCAACCAGCTACCTCAGTGCGTTCCCGCGCAGCAAAACGTGCATCTTCTCCAAGTATCGACACCGATAAGTCTCTCAAAAATGTCAAGGCTCCAACAGAAACAGTATACCACCCACAAGCTCTGTCACCGCATCAAGGCGCAGGTGTGTCCAAGAAGAAGAGTGGAAGAAAATCGCAGTTGAGCTCAAAGGCAAAAAGGCGACAAGACAAGGGATTGGATCGAGCGGAAGCTGTCATGGATAGGACATCCACGAAAATCGAGAAGAGCAAGTACAGGGGAAGGAATGTCCAAGAGAGAGCCAAAACCTGGGAAACTCTGAATAAAAAGGCACAAGAAGCTGTTCAAGCAGCAATGGAGAAGGAGAAAGAGAACGAGGTTTCCGAAGAGGAGGAGGATGTTGAGGATGATCAATCTCAAGGAGAGATTGAGATGGATGATGCTTCAGCTGCTCCAGTTACTCTAATTGCTACTGATACGGTCCAACCTACTCCTTTGCCTGCGCCTTTAGAGGATGAAGAGGAAATTCTATGATTTTAAAAGGGGAATTCTTGTATTTGCATGGCGAATTGGCGTAAGAAAGGAAGGGAAAAGGATTTGCATTCAAAGTGATGACTTTGATACCACTAAATCATGACTGGTTTGGTTTGATATAAACGGAATTTTCGAGTCCTCAATGAGTACTGGAATGGATATTTTAGTGGGATTATATGTAACAGGTTCTCAGTGTGCATGCATGAAGGAAAAGTAGGGTAGATACACTTTTTGGGATGAGTATACAATTCAATGCAATGCAATTCAATGCAATTCGATACCAGATATTATTCGTCGAATTCTAGGTTGACTGGATTGTAAGCCTTATCTCACCAAGGATATTTGGATTCCCCAAAAGATAGTACGTAAACTGGTATCTATATATTCAAGTTTTTACAACATTCGGAATTGATATCGATAATTATTTTGGAGCAAGCGACCTTGTGATGGTCATTCCAGCCGCTACGATTGGCGATCATTTAGGCTCGGAGGGTTATATTAGCGTACAATTAAGATCTTAAGTCGCCAAATGAAATATTCCGCCGGGGCAAATGCAGCCTAATAACAGTACAATCGCGATATTTCAGCCTCGTCCAGCACCGAATTTCATTTCCAAGGACTTAATTAACCTACAATAAATACAATTGAATCTATCAACATATACCATTATTACCAATTATATATTCCAACCTCAAAGATGTCTGGCAAACGTATGACAGCGAATCCAATTAAACCATCACGATACCGACCTGGCAAGGCGCATCTTGAAGAAGATTCTTCTGATTCTGAGAGTGATGTAGAAGAAACATCTACCATTGCTCCACCCCCAAAAGTTTCTACCGCAACTGGAATTTCCAGCAGTTCGAACAAAGTTGACTTAAACGAAAGGAGAAAAGCTGCGGCTTCCAAAGAAAATGCGCGAGTACAAGAAGAAAAGGCTTTAAAAGCTGCAGAAGAAGAGGGATTCGTGACGGAGGAAGAAAGTGAGGAAGAGGAGGAAGGTAGCGAAGAAGGTAGTGAAGAGGATAGTGATGAGGAAGAGAGTAGTGAAGAGGAGGCACCGAGAAAGGTTATGATGAGGCCGATATTTATCAAGAAAGATAAAAGAAACAATCTTCCTGGAGCTTCTAAAGTCGAGACCAAAACGGAAGATGAATTAGCTGAGGCGGAGGAAGCACGGAGGAAAAAGCTGGCAGATGAAATAGTCGAGGAACAAATCAGGAAGGACATCGCTGCTAGGGAAGCAGGCAAAAAGAATTGGGATGACGAAGAAGAGGAAGATGAAGTGGATGATACTGACGATATTGATCCCGAGGCAGAGCTTGCAGCATGGAAATTGAGAGAGCTCAGGAGGATAAAGAGGGACAGAGAAGCAATTGAGGAGAAGGAAAAGGAATTGGAAGAAGTCGAGAGAAGGAAAAATCTGACAGAGGAAGAGAGAAAGAGGGAAGATGATGAGTACATCACGAAGCAGAAAGGGGAGAGAGAGGGGAGGGGAAAGATGGCAACAATGCAGAAGTATTACCACAAAGGAGCCTTCTATTCGGACGCATTAGCTGCAGAAGGATTAGACAAAAGAGATATCATGGGTTCCAGGTATGCGGATGATGTGCAGAATCGAGAATTGCTCCCAAAAGCATTACAGATGAGGGACATGACGAAATTGGGCAAGAAAGGAGCCACAAAGTACAGAGATTTGAAATCGGAAGATACGGGGAGATGGGGTAACTTTGACGATAGGGGCCCGAAGAGGGGAGGAATGGGTGGACCTACGGAGGATGAAAGATTCATGCCGGATAAAGAGAGAGGTGGTGCGAGTGGTGCTAATAATGTCCCTGTTGGTGATGAGAGTCGTCGAAAGCGTCAAAGATTTGATTAGATAGATATAATGTGAATAATCTTTCTTCATTTTATCATTTGCAAGTGGCTTGCTTTGTTGTTGAACATTGAATTGCATATGGGATATGAGGGAACATCAATCACTCAGTCAGTCTTTTTGATGACCTTTTCCTTCCTCTTGGATCTTCAGAATGATCTATTGCAATTGATTAGATATGCAATCACTAGAAACGCTGCGAAGACATATCCTTTGATGTAAGATTCACATATAAGCATGAAGCTGAATTTCCTAGTTACTTCTGACTTATGAAATATCTCCACGTCTCCCTTAGCCAAGTACAATTCGTGATGGTGGACTTCTTTCTTCCCATCCAGCAACTCAAAAATCCCAACACCAATGAGGTATACAGAGTATATCTTCATACCGTACCTTCAACATCGCATAAGGTTGCTAGTATTAGCATACCTTATCGACTAAATCTCTCAGCCATCGTGGTGTTTGTGGCCATCAGCATGAGATTGACATTAACCTTTGTCAAACTATTCGAATTTATCTACCATCTACTTCCTCAAACTGGCCACGGACTCGCACAATTGTATTGAGGACTAACACAAGTATACACCTTGTATCTCGTCCCTGCCGGCGTCCGGTAGAATATACAGGCCGATTATACTCCACAAATACGCATCATGCACCTATTCTTCAGTGATATCTTCAGTGATATCTCCAGTAAGTGCGGAGATTTTCAATTGGTGGGAATTCATTGTTTTTTCGAAAATAAAACATGACAGCTAGTGCTGAGTTACCAAGGATACGCAGGTCTCACCAGCGATAGCTCCTAAAACGCATTCATTCTCTCCCTCATAGACTCTTGCCCTTATATATGTTATACTCTGTATGTTCGTATGTTCCAACTCACCAATATCCTCTGGGCCCTGGCGCCACTTCACCATATTCAACTCCGCAAAAGACTCGGATCTTTAGAACTCCCCCGCTCAACAACCCCAGAGTTGCTCTATTAAGGTTAACTTAGAACTTAGAATTTAGAATTTAGCCTATGCACGTCACAAGTCAGTCACATGTGGAAGAAATACAAGAACTGATCGTCAAAACTCCGATGCGCATCAATCAGAAGTTGTTCTTTCATGAATATCAATCCCGCAAGCTTACAAAATGCGGAGAGCATACCGTCGGCATTCGAGCGCTTAGGATATAGTTTCATTCTACATGTTAAAGTCACTACTGTATAGTTCCGGGTAAATGTCCATCTATTCTTATTTGTTTGTGGATTGAAGTCGTAAGAAGACAATATTGGAATTCTGGGCAAAATGTATTTCCGAGATATATATATTCTAGGCAAATTTCATGCTACATAACTTTTCTCATCCATTGGGATGAGGTCGCATTCAGGTTCAATCTAAAGCTTCCCAATATGTTCTATTCAAGTCTTTCTGTGTTGACGGTACTTGCTGGCGTTGCCAGTGCCATCAACATCACTGCATCTGCCAGTGGTGGCAATGGCTCTTCTCCTTTGGCATATGGTCTCATGTTTGAGGACATCAGTCATTCTGGTGATGGTGGAATTTATGCCGAGTTGATTCAAAACCGAGCATTTCAAGGAAATCGGGAATTTGCATCTACTCTGAAACCGTGGTCAGCAATTGGAAGCTCAGTCTTAACCTTACAAAACACATCAATACCATTATCATCGTCACTACCAACGTCAGTTAATGTGCATGGCTCATCCAGTGGCACTTCTCACAACAGCACTGGGAAACTAGGTATCTCCAATCCTGGATGGTGGGGAATAAGTGTTCAGCCTCAAAAATATACCGGAAGCTTCTGGGTTTTGGGATCATATACTGGACATTTCACAGCAAGCTTGGTGGGAGCAGCATCAGGGACGGTTTTTGCGAGTGTTGAGATACCTTCAAAGTCTTCGTCTAAAAAATGGACTGAATTTTCATTCACTCTCAAACCTACTACTGCAGCTCCAGATGTCAACAACGTTTTCATCATCGAGTTCGATAGCGGTCATTCCCTGAACTTCAATCTCATCAGTCTCTTTCCACCAACCTACAATGACAGACCAAATGGTAACAGACCAGAGCTTATGAAAGCTATGAAAGACCTCAAGCCAAGTTTCTTCAGAATTCCGGGTGGAAATAACATGTACATCTCCCATGACAAATTGATCAAAGTGGATAATATTAATGATTGGTGACAATAGTGAAGGAGACAGTTATGGTTATCGTTGGGCATGGAATGAGACGATCGGCCCCCTGAAGGATCGCCCAGGAAGACCAGGTATGTGAAACTTCGTTTATCATTGAACACATTGACTAATAATCAATTCTTACAGGAACTTGGGGATACCAAAAGTGAGCATAACTCGCTCTTTCATTCACACATCTATTCATACTAACCTGTGGCGATCTAGCACCGACGGGCTTGGTTTGATTGAATATATGAATGCAAGTTCCCTTTTTTCGTTCCATAATTAACAAGTACTTCAGCTAACCTCTGAAAGTGGTGCACCGATCTCGATGTCGAACCCGTCCTAGCAGTTTGGTCCGGCCTTTACTTAAACAACGGCGCGCCAGGTCCCATCGTTGTCTCGGAAGCAGATCTCCAACCTTATGTTGATGATGCTATGAACGAACTTGAGTTCCTCATGGGTGATAAATCAACCAAATACGGAGCTCTTCGTGCCTCTCTTGGCTACCCTGAGCCCTGGAAAATCAACTATGTAGAAGTAGGCAACGAAGATAATCTAAGTAATGGAGCGTCGACATATATTGCCTACCGCTGGCCCATGTTTTTCAACGCCATACACGCTAAATATCCAGATATTCTAGTCATCTCTTCTGCTCAAGATCTCCTCTCAGTTGGCCCTCCACATACATCAGGCACCGACTTCCATCAATATCTCAGACCGGATGACTTTGCAGTCCAATTTGAGCTTTTCGATAATGCAAATAGATCTTATCCCATCTTGTTAGGCGAATATGCAGTCATCCAACCGAACGCAAACGGAGCACCAGTAAACTGGAATGCTGCCAAAATGGACTATGGTACCTGGATTGGAGCTGTTGCTGAAGCGATTTATCTCCTCGGTATGGAAAGGAACGGAGATATTGTACTTGGTGCATCATATGCGCCTGGTTTCCAAAATATAAACTCTTTCCAATGGACTGTAAGTTCCACTCCATCCGCCCCTTCGATTTTAACCCTAAAATTGAGGATAAAGAGTAACTGGTACTAACAATTCAAAAGCCCGATCTCATCACGTTCAGTGCCGACCCAGAAAAAACAGTCCTCAGTTGTTCCTGGCATCAATTCCAACTCCTATCGACCAACCGTTACAAAGCTACAGTTCCATTCACCGTCACAAACTCGGACAATAGCACGTCACCATTCGGTCCGGCTTTCTACGTCATTGGTGTGAATAATCCCGGTGAATACGTTTTCAAAGCCACAGTCTACAATACAACAGAGTCGGTTCCTTTCTCCATTGACTTTGAAGGTGTAGATGCGGGTGCGAAGGGTACGCTTACCGTGTTGAATGCTCCAGATGGGAATAGTATGAATGTTTATGGAGGGGAAGATGTGGTGATCAAGAAGGTTAGTAGTATTACCGCGGGGCCTGGAGGAAAGTTTGAGTTTGAATTGAAGGAGTATGATATTGCGGTTTTTACCACCTAGAGAAGAGGGATTCGGAAATGGGTATATATAGAGTGCAATTATGATACAAAAGAGCCTATTCTATTCCTATTAACAGCGCACAGCTCATCCATAATATATTAGACATGAAGGTTGTTGTCATACCTTTTCTAATCTGTTATAAGCCTATGTTATGCCTTCTTTATGTTGTGTGCATAGTTAGTCAGTCCTTCAAGCCGCAATCTTTCTGGATAGCTGGAGGCACGGAACTAGAATCAAGGAGATTTTAGGATACTTAACTTCGCTCAATGTAGACAATAAGTTCAAGTAGAGAATTGCATTTCAAGGCCTAGAAATCTTGCTAGGGGCAGAGTGTTTGTAAGCTAAGACTCATGAATCGACAGAAATATTTGAACGGAACGAATATTCAAATGAGAAGTGTGATCATGTTCTACGTTGTCGGAAGCTGTATTTTCACTATCTCGGCATCCATTGTTGGTTGTATAATAGATCAATATCTGGAACCATCTATCTTGTAAGGTTTTTTTGTCACGGGAAAGATCCTATTGGCCTGTAATAGAGGAATGGAAACGCAAACAAGATCAAGTTTCACATATTAAATATCTAGTATGGCGCCATTGGATGCCTGCCAGACAGCCTTGTAAATAGCAGATTTCTCATTCTATTAAAATTAAAATTAGTGGCTCGTGAATATTATATGAATTCCATTCCGCGAAAGAAAAAGCCGAGCATTGAGATAAGGTGGAAAAATGTTACTTTTGACGAGGTCACAACCGCTCTGGTGACCGGTGAGCTTCACCAAAGTCTGTATCAGAAGTAGACAGTTTTCTCTTCAAAGAATTCATCGGAGGTTGCTGAATAGGTTGCTGACTCTTGGCCAGCTCATTGTCTATATGCCGAATGCGTATTGAACAATCACGTTCGAGCCGAATGACTCGCTCGCTTCTTTGAATGTCCGGGCTTTTCAGTATTAAAAGGATATCTTCGATTATTTCTTTGGCTTTGCTGTGGCTCTGAATTTTCGCAAGGAAATTGGCGAATTCCATTTGAGCCTCGAGAGTCAGTAAACGATGCGGTCCATATTTCTCAGTGTATTCGGCAATAGCTAATTCAAAGGCCTGTGCTGTAATAGTAGAGTCAACTGAGGTCTTTGTCATTAAAAGGGCCTTGTGGCGGTTAAGTTCAGGACATGGTGTTTGCAGAGGTTGAGATAAAGTTTTGTTGACTAGAGAAAGCGCCTGCCTCCCCCGGCCACGACGCACAAGGCATTCGACGACAATAAAACATAATTCCGGCGTCAAAAGATCAGTTTTCTGGACAATTGCGTCAACCAACTTCTGATACATGCCGTCGATGAAAAACGAAGCTTTCCGCGCATAGTTTGCAGCTTTGAATAAATCAACGAGTTCCGATTGTGTCTCCGTGTCTATGGGCTGTTTGGTCATATCCTCATTCGACTTGGAAAGTGAAATTTTGCTAATCAGTTCAAGTCCCGAAGTGAGAGCCTGAAGGGTTTGAAGTCAGCTTGATGTAAAGGTAATAACAGAGAAAATTGCGTCCAATAGTACCTTTTGTGCCTTGATCGTTTCAAATATCACTCGGGTGCAACTCAAGTCACGCTTTTGCAACTTCTTCCAAATATTCTCCGAAACCTTATGCTTCAAAACAGCTGCACTTAGGTCGATGACTATGTATTCCCTTTCGACTTGTTTGCTGCCCTTTAGTATTCTAGGATCCACCAATATGTTATCGGCTTTAATATCCCCATGGCATACGCCAGCATCATGGAATGCTCGTACGGTTTGAGTCAGGTCCGATTCAAACTTGGCCAACCATTCATCCTCTAGGTCATCTTTAGAGATAGTATCAAAACCAACACCATTGAATATCTCAATTCCAAGCGCTCGTTTGTAAGGGTCGGGTGGGCTAATACGCTTGTGTACTTCATAGTCATCCGGATAGAAATAAAAGGTTGATATCAGAGACTGGCTGAGTTCGAAGTGGCCGAAGTATTGAGGCAGCTTAGTATGTGGAAAAGTGTCGCTTCGACGAAGATGCTTATAAGCGTCATATTCTCGTGTGAAATAATTCTTATCGCGGTACTAGAACAGTATGCAATTAGCACATGGCACAATGCCAACAGGGGAGGGTGTGTAAATACGAGTTTTAACGCCAAAATGCGCCCATCTGCATCTTTCGCCTCGTGAACCTGGGCGTGTCCCCCACAACCCAAGAGTTTACCAACAGTTCTGATTTCCTTGTCCATGGTATGCTACCAGATGTTCGTGACAGCAAGCAATGATGATGGTAGGATCAAAGAGGATCAAAAAGGATCAAAACGAAAGGTTATTGCAAGACAGGAAGATTATGGAGTCGGAGTCGGGGAACGGGCGCAGCAGCAGAAGTAGATTTGTGGGGCTGCAGGTCAACGGAATGTGGGCCGTTTGAGATGGAGATGGTGGAGTATTATTAGGCAGCAGGCAGCATAAGCCCACTTTTTGCACTAACAGATCACGTGAACACAAGCTTAGCTTAATCTGAGGTGACGAGTGATGACTCGAATTTGTGATTATGTTGCAGACTGCAACTACAACTTGCAAAACTTCTGTTTCCTATTGGCCTTAACATTGGCCTAGACAATAGACAACCAGGAAGGAGCAAGTTAAATAGAATCGATGCATCACCCCCTCCATCATCCTTCATCCTCTTGACTTGAGAGTATACCTCTCGATCTTTACGCATTTGATTATTCACCGTTCACGTTTCACCGTCCACACTCTAATCCTCTATCGATACCATCGCTCACTTCGAATATGCTGTCCACAACAATTCGCGATTACCTCTCAAGGCCAAATCCAATATTTCAATTGTTACCATGGTACGGCCGGGGTACCATAACATCCACACCTCGGAAAGAAGCAGAAATCTGGGATCCCATAGAGGGTATGGAAGCCTGGGAAGATTTCAATCTCGATCAAGTCAATTTGGTCTTTGGATCTCTGCTGGATAAAAAATTCAATTTGCCCGAGTACCCTCCTGTTTTACCTGTCCATCTCACGATCCGCAACGAGAGAGCATTCGAATCTGTGGTTGTGGCCTATAACTGCATTATTGTCAATGCAGCACTGAAAGTGGCATGTGAACATCTGAAACTGAAGCAAGTTGCCTGGCTCTCAGGGAGCTATGTTAGTCCCAGCCCTGAGAAAATCATCCCAGATTGGGCAGGGATTTGCAATGAAAGCTACGGAAGGAGTGTTCTCCCCGGAGACAGCAAATATGCCCAACAAGAATTTAGCTGGACCCCTACGGAAGATCATTACGAAAAGACAGATGATACATCGAGCGAAGCATCTAGTGACGCGAATAGTTCTGCTATAGCCACCGAGAGGGCCTTGACGCAAGTAAATCACTATGCGAAAATATACAAGTCTCGGTACTGCTACCTTATCTCCCCAAAACAAGCTCTTTTGGTACGACGTCGGAAGGATGAGCAACTGCCTGCTTCGGAATCATTAGCGAAAAATCGGCCATTAAGGCAAAAACCTGTAGCTATGCCATCTCAATCACAGCGAAGTGAGAGCGAGCCCAGATCTCCATCACCAGCCAGGTCAGATGCTTACGTGGAAGATACTGAGCCAGACACGAACATGCAATATCTCCAACTCTGTGCTGTGCCTTGGGGCATTCCGGAAGAAGAGGGAATATCGTTGAATCTGGCATTGTGGGCAATGCACATGATTTCCGCTGTGGAAAATGATGTGAGATCAAGTTATCCGGCATTGAGTGATGATCCCGCGCTCAAGATATTTTCTGCCTGATATCAAACCTCTTAGCCTGACAGTCTACGAGTACTCTTAAGGTGAATCAGAGTTATTCCTTTCTTTCCCAACTTATTCCTTTGCACATCAACGGCACTTAACTCTCAAACATCAAGGGGAAAAAAGCTCAATCACTGACTACAAACGTGAACCAGAAATCAACGCTTTATCTATTAACTAGCCACATTGGATGTACCATACCTCGAAGCAGAGTTGTCCGTTCATACAGAATAAGGAGCAGGGTGAACTTACCCAAGAATATTTTCACGGTCCTGCATACCCTTAAATAATTCTATATCACAAAAACGGAATATCCGCCACATTCTCGGGCATTGATCAGTGATTCAACCTTTTGCTCTCTGGGTTGGGCGGCTTTGAACACAGGGTCAGCGCAGATTGCACGCCCATCTTGAGTCCTAAATTCAATTAAGAACCGTCTATCAAGTTTGTTCTCTTAAATCTTTACTCTGGCCTCCTACCTTTGCCCTGATACCTGTGATGATAGTGAAGTAAATATTTTTATGTATGTGCTTCATCAATAATATCGTCGGAATAATTAAGATGAAATCCCAAGTCAAGTCAACAAATGACTTGAACTTGGTAGAGTAGAAGGAAAATAAAGCGAGGCTTATTTATATTGGCGTCAAAGTTTATATAGTAGATGAGATAAATGAGGCTACTCAACTTATAAGGAGTTGAGAGATATATTCGATGGTGTGATATATATATATATATACATACAATAAAATAAGGATATTGAAGTTTTTCCAAGATACTCTTTCGCAAGACACATCCGATGATGTAACACAGAAAAGACGATAAAGCCAAAATGTAAGCTAAAGCTGGAAGGAATCAAAATCCAGTCTCCTATTGGTTAAATGACAATCTTATCTTGCAGAATCTGCAGTGGCTAATATGGAGACTCCGTACTAATACAATAACCCGGAAAATCATTTTCTTTCACTCACCCAATCACATATATCATTAACAAATCTTCTCATTCGATCAATTTCAATTGAGACATTGACCAAGTGATATTTACCTACCTTGGTTCTATCAATCACATATCTATCTCTATCTCTCTTGAATTCTTGAATGCTCGACCTTCCTATTTATATCTCTTCAAAAGACCATCGATGCGATCAATCAAAAACACAAAGATATAATTCTCGGACATCATGATATCATTATTGAGCTTATCGCAGGATTTATCTGTACAAGAAGCCTTATCGGGCATATTTGGAAGTATAAGTTTGGCAACTTGGATCTTTTTGTTGGTTCGTGATACCCTCCCTCGTATCCAGTCTTTGAACCTTCATGCCCAACCAAATTGTTAAAGGTTTGGTGGTATGGGCTCATGAATGGCCTAGCCATATTGACGTGATCCGATCTCTTTAGGTACCACAACTTATCTTGAACTATCGATCTCAGAGTGCCGATGGAGTGTCATTGGCTTTCTTAACGGTGTGGTTTATTGGGGACATCACGAATCTTGCCGGTAAGCACAACATGAATTTTGAGGAAAGGGTCGTGTAATCTTGGCAACCATATCATGGTATCGACAGGCACGGTCTGACTATGGCATCGATAACCTTGTTCATGATGTTGATGGCTCAACTATCAAGATTTCATTCTTCGATGATCACGTGCGTATACTGATCTATCATCAGGTGCAATTTGGGCCGATCTTGTCCCTACAGTTGTTGTCCTGGCCATCTACTTCTGTATTGCCGACTTCGTACTCATTGGACAATGTCTTTACTACAACAAAAAGAACGCTCAGAAACAACGGGAAACAGAATCCGCTGCACCAACAGAGGAAGACCCTCTTCTTACCCGTCGACGAAGCAACAGCAGTATTGGACTTCCAGGATCTCATAGAAGACGTTCTTCAGCAATAAGCGGAAACCAACATCATGAAGATACCTTGACCAAAATCTTGGAAGAAGATGATTCGTCAGATGGAAATGCTTGGGTGAGGAACGTTGTTAGCGTTTTACTGGTTATTGCTGCCGGAACAGCTGGATGGGCTATTGCTTGGAGAAGTGGTGTTTGGATGCCTACCCCGGAGAATGGAGGTGATGTTCCTAGAACGAATGATGTTGCCGTTGGAGCAGAGGTACTAGGATATTTCAGTGCGATCTGTTATCTTGGGTGAGTTGACTCATACGAGGAGAAAGTGTGACAGACGAGTGCTAATGAGATTGTCCAGTGCCCGAATTCCTCAAATTTTGAAGAACTATAAGGAGAAGTCTTGTGATGGTATGTAAACTCCATCTTGCTCTACACATCACTTGGTATCTCAAGCTAACAATTACAGGCCTCGCACTCCTTTTCTTCCTCCTCTCATTAATGGGCAATCTTACATACGGTGCTGGCATACTTTTCCATTCATTGGAGAAAGAATACCTCATTGTCAATACTCCATGGCTCATTGGATCTTTGGGAACGATTGTCGAAGATGCAGTTATCTTCCTTCAATTTAGAATGTATGCACCTAAGCCAACTTCAACATCTGCCGTAGAATAGGCAACATATATGGCAAATTGAGTGTAGATCACATAGAGAGATGTCGAATCTAGCATCGAGGATGTAGAACAGATCACCGGTGAGTGTAGAGGAAGGGCGTTTCTGAATCATTTCTTCTATTTTTAACTTGTATAAAAGGAATCAGGGACATGAACCGAATTGCAGATGAGGAAGGTTAGATATTGTAGATGAGGAAGGGTTGGACATTTTAATGATAATCAACGCGACAAATGTAAATATTATTGAACAAAGTCTTTTAGAAATGATCAATTTCTTTCGCCAAGATGGTCCCCTTCCATTACCACTCCATCCATCTCATCGGGAAGTTCATCAAATGGAGTTCATTATGTTCATATAATACAATTTAAATTTCTCCTTTCGTGTTCTTGAATGCCAAGCCTTATTATTACCCCGCCAAGCCATCCAATCTCTTCACCCAATCCTTGGAGGCAAAGCGTCAAATCATGGAGACGGGACTTGGAAATATATTTCAATAACCTCATTGTCCATTTTGTCACGACAACTCGTCACTCATTTGGTTTTTGAACTTTCAATCCTGTATTCAAAGAATTTAACTGTCAAGTCACTCTTTTATTTCCTTCTTTTCCAGCTACACACAAACAACCAATCAAACAAACAGAAACCGCCATTTCGATCCACCTCCGCACCCCACAGCCAGTCCCCTTTAACCTTAACACAACCTTAACCCACAATGCGCTCGCTCGTTATCCTCCCGCTTGCTGGACTTCTTTCCACCGCTGCCGCAGCAGGTACATTGGGATTTGCTCTTGGTACTAAGAAGCCAGATGGTACATGCAAATTTACGGCTGATTATGAAGCGGATTTCGATGCTATTTCTAAGGGAAGCACTGCAAAACTTGTGAGAGGATATGCGGCAAGTGATTGTGATACTGCAAAGCAGATATTACCGGCTGCTAAGGCGAAGGGATTTAAGGTTGTTTTGGGCATTTGGTATGTCAATAGAAATGAGATGTTTGGATTTCGGATGGGCAAGCTAACAAGGTGAGTAGGCCAGACACTGACGAATCCTTCGCTGCAGATAAAGCAGCAGTAGTCAAGTATGCGCCTCAATATAGCGATCAGGTTTATGCCATTACGGTCGGTTCGGAATCACTCTATCGTGGAAACTTCACTGGTGAACAACTCCTGGAAAAGATTCAGGATGTCAAGAGTGCATTGAACGGAGACTTTAAAGTTGGAACAGCGGACAGTTGGAACAAATACATGGATGGTACCGCTGATGCTGTTATCAAAGGTGGTGCTGATATTCTGTTGTGCAATGCTTTCAGTTATTGGCAGGGACAAGAATTGAAGAATGCAACACATAGTTTCTTTGATGATATTATGCAGGCTTTCGGACATATTCAAGATGTTGCCGGTTCTGCTACTGATGGACCTGAGCTATGGGTTGGAGAGACCGGTATGATAAACAATCCACTTTCATAATCCCAGAATTTACAGTGTGCGAAATCACCTCGGACATTCAAAGTGCTCCCTGGACTTTACGCTTCTCTTTCGCATGCGCTGACGTGATTCCCAAATAGGCTGGCCCACTGCAGGCTCAAAATATCAATCTGCCGTCCCAGGGACATCATCTGCGCAAACGTTTTGGCAAGAAGCAATCTGCGGTATTATGGATTGGGGTGTAAATGTTTTCTCCTTTGAGGCATTTGATGAGCCATGGAAGCCAGTATCCACCGGTGCAGATGGTTCAGTTGCAGATGAGACTCATTGGGGAGTCTGGAACAGCGACCGAAGCAGCAAGTACTCGTTGAATTGCTAAATTTGGGGACTTAGAGGCTGTTCACATGGGCGGAATGTCGAGGGCAAAGAAAGTTGTGGATAATATGGGGCATCGTTCGCACATGATATTAAATTGAGGATATGAGCATCTGAAAATTTCGGCCGCCCAGATTGTTAGCTTTAGATTTCGAGATACCATACATTTGTCTTGTTTCCCTTTCTGGTTTTTTTCTTGCAATGCCATGCGGGCTTGGCAACGTCTTTTGTGCATCTCATCTGCCGACCTAACGGAGTTCTCCATGCAAGAGACAAACACCCATCTCCATCTTTTGCTCCTTTTTTGAATGCACCATCAGAAATAGCAAATCTTGATCCCCACATTCTGATGTTCGTCCAAATTATTACAGTAGAAAAGTTTAACGATGTGGCTAGATTCAACACAAACAACGAATGATGGCGTACCTGGGTCACCTTTTTTACGGGTCGGACCGTTAGCTGTGGTGTTTGCTCTTTATCTGTTGCTGTCCGCGGCCGTAAAGGACCCTGGAACTAATGGGATAGCTCCACGTCTGCATGGTTAGCCTGCATGGTATTGTTCCGAGGTTGAGGAGATGGAGATGGAGATAGACTTGAGATCTTGTTTTCAAATAGGTAGGTACACCAGTACTCGAATAGCGCGTATTTATATTCTGCGTCCATGGCACTGGCACTGGGTCCTGGAGAGCCACATGCAAATATATTTAATGGTTCCCCATCTGCATTCTCCATTGTGTTGAGCAACCAACCCCCCAAGCCCCTATTGCGCGCTGCGATCGAAAATTAGTCCAAACGGTATCTAGGTAGGTATGTAACCTCATGAATGCCATGTTATGTACGAATTATTGGATAGCTATTTGTGAGAAAGGAAATCCAACCATATGTACCTACCTAGCCCCTTTACATCTGTTAAAACATTATCGATATTTCTCTGGATTTTCTGTAGCTCAAAACGTAAAGCACTTATTTGTTGTGCTCTAAGAAATCGTACAGGATGTTTCGTGTGCCTAATATATATAACATGGTTGTACTGGTGTACTCCCGACTTGGCAGAAATGGAGAAGCCCTAGTAAGACTAATAATTATAATTTCATTTTATTCCAGAGGCTCTAGAGTACGAACGTCGAACATGGCGGATTCCGTCGTATTATAAAAATCGTAATGATTCGTACAGGAGAGGAGGTAGGTAAGTGGTGGTAGTATCTCACATGCTTCCCCCGTTGGTTTGGTCGATAAGATGTTCTATTCATTCATTCATTCATTCATTCATTCATCCCGAGAAGCTTTCGTTTCCCCTGTACGGTTACTGGGTAGGTGGTAGGTGGTAGGTGGTAGGTGAGGTGGTATGTGGTAGGTACAGTACATACCTAATTTGCCAGCAAGACCTCCTTCACCATCAAAATCCAACATCTAATCAACAATCCCAGAGATCCAAGTACGAAGTTATTATTTACTCGAGTATTTAATATTTATAAATGATTTCAAAGGAAAATGTCGAAAACCAATGTCGTCTTCAACTGATTTATTCTATCAATACCTTCATTATCATGCTTGCTTGCCATTTAACTTAATTCATCGATTCGCGGGTACTCCTACTCCTTTTTTATCACAACGGGTAACCTTAACTTGGTCACTTTGCTTTCTTGCTTCTTGCTTCTTGCTTCTTGCTTCTTGCTTCTTGCTTCTTGCCTTCTCACTATTTGTACAATTTATAATTCGTACTCAAGTCCTCAAGTTCCCTGTCAGCCCCAAAAAGCTTCTTCGATTTTCCAATAATTTTTAATTACCGAACGCGTCGCGACAAATTCTAATGGTCTTCGGTCTTTGGGGAAATAGTAAATACTAATAACTCCATACCATCCTACCTACCTACACCTACCAGCAGGGACCTGGAAATCCAGCAAAGGTTGATAATTGGAATTGGAATGGAAACTTGAATGCGCATTCATTCTGTCAACAAACCAACCAACAACAACAGCAACATCTAGAAGAGAGGTTCGAGTGGAAGCAAAGTATCTCGATAATTTGATAATATTTGATTATAATATTTTGACCAAAAAAATAAATTAAAAAAATACCAAAGAGAAAGAGAAGAGATACAGTGACAGACGAATATCAAATCGTCTGCACTGTTCTCTAAACTTTGGGTGAGTGGTTCCTTATTCTTTGGATTGATTGATTGATTTTCCTATTCCTGTTATCCGCCTGCATCCTTATTTCATTTCATCCCCGTCGGCAAAATAACTGGAGATTTGATCACTGTGAATTTGGGAGTCTTATTAACACTCTCATTTTCTCCATCTCTACAGTCAATATTCAGACATTGATTTCGACACCTCCTCGGACGACGACGGCAGAGGCAGGATTCGAACTTCTATATCCTGATCCATCAAATTCTCCTGCCTTGTCAACAACTTCAACTGCTGAGGGTGGAGGCTCGTCTCCTATTCTTCCACCTCTGCCAGAACCAACAATAAACGGTCATACCATCGATCTTTTTGGAACTCCACCTTCGCGCCCGCCATCAGAACCTCAAACGGATACTAGCGCTTTCTTTACGGCCAGTTGGGGATCTCCGTATCAACACCCTACAGGATCTTCGGTTGACAGCCGTTCACTCTATCGAAGCGCATATAGTGAAGCATCAGAAGACTCGGAAGATCTGCCCATTCGCCATCTTGAGTTGCACACACCGTTTTTACGTCCCCCTCCAGCTTTCACAAGATCTCAAACAGAACCGGATTTTGTGTCTCACGACGGCCTCATCAGCGCTGCCGTACTAGCCAATCGGGCTCGACGTCCTGCGCATCGATTGACTGAAGATTGGATAAGGCAACATACCGGAGGAGAATCGACGGAAAGGAATAATTGGCTCAGTGACGACCCTGGAGAAAGTGAGAACTCTTCATTGAGCGGATCAAACTCAGGACGCGCAACAAATTCTTCGGTACTAGAATCAGACCCCAGGACTCCCACTTTACAACGGGTTTTGCAAGCAAGTCAACAATCAAGGTGGGAATCCGAGAGTCGGCATAGAAGAAAGGACACCGGAGAGACTTTGACACAAGCAGATATTCTATCCTCATTACGTGCCAAATCTTCAAAAATGTCGGCAAGAAACGAGGGTGGTTCGCAGAGAACTTCTGCCAGTCATACACCAATAGATGAAAAACCCCTTCCTCCTCCACCTTTGATGGCACCATGGGCAGGCAAAGCTTTGCCTAACCCTACACCATCTCCAACTACCCCGCTACATCCACGATTAAAGAAGAAAGTCCCATGGAAGGGAAAGAATATATTGGTATTACTTCCTTGGGATGAAGATCGTGGAAAGAGGGGAGGCGCACCGAAACCCATGACACCGAAAGATGTAGCTGGCATGCTAAAAGATTGGGAGGAATTGGGTTATGACACCAGTGGATTTAACCTTGGCTCTGATGATGGAGTTGAAGGTGGCCCTGGTCAGAGTCGAAATGGTTGGCCGCTTATAACTGATGTGGAAGCGGAGAGGAACCAGAAAAGTTTCAAAGTCAGTATTCCTGACAAGAGAGGTAAGATAGATGTTTTCCTTCGTCACTTTTTCATCAAAGTTGAGGAGAGAAGCTCCAGATGTGGTCGTGAACATCCATCCCTTTATACCGTGCTGTGGCGTTCCCCCTTGCGTTCCTTAATTGCTTAGTTGAACTACATGAGATTATCGGAATTGCGAAATGGGAATTTCCAAATTATCATTTTCACGTCATTTGTGATAAAATGAGTACTAATGGATTGGATAAATGTAGAATGGGATGCTTATGTCGAAGAACTGAAAGAAGCCAAATTACGAGCACTAGGTGTTTCTTTGGGGAACGATGACCCCATTCCCATAATTTCACCGGCGATATCGAATTTAAGTCGTCGTACTTCAATGCAATATCCACCATTACCATTTTCACCTCCGATACCAACTTCATCGGCAGCGAGTAGTCACATGGCTCACAATTCAAATCTTCCCTTTTCTCCTGCTTTGATGATGCCTGGAAATGGTTTATCTACAAGTCAAAGCTCCAACCAAGGTTCTATCGCTTCTCCCGTCTCAATGCATGCGCACTTGCATGGAAAATTCGGAGGCATGAGACACAGTTCGGTGTCGTTTGGACACGGGGATCATCCTTTCGGATCACCTTTTCAATATCCACAACCAACCTCATCACCCGGTGTTTGGTCTCCACAACAAATGCTTTACCAGCATGGACATAGGAGTGGGTCTCCTTCGATGCACAATTTGGGATCGATCAGATCTCCCACTTCACCTCTCTCTCAGGATGGTTACTTTCCACCAGGTTCAGGTGATGCCATGTCGCGACAAATTCTGATGCAAAATCAATTACTGGCTGCAAGTGCCCGTGCTCGTGCATCTCCAAGTCTTCAAGAGGTTCGTGAAAGTGAAGATGAACAGATGGCGGAGATGCCCCTTCCAAGCAAGAGTCCTTCAAAAACACCAACGTTGCAAGATGAAGCAACCATCAAGCATAATGCAAGCGCAAGCTTGCAGCGAGAAATTGATGATGCTGAATATCATCTCGAGGAACAATTCCAACGACAACTTGATGGTGATGACTACAGTCCTCATTCTGATCAAGTGGAGGTCGACAAACAATTTGAGAATAAACCTGTACCTCACCTTAGAAATTCCTCGATTGTTGGCGGTGGACTTGGATCTTCACGATTTGTGGTGGAAACATCTGATGAGGAGCCTGTTCTTCATCACCCCCAACCCCACAGTCGAGGACATTCCCTATCTCAGCGGCCGTTCCAGGATTCCGAGCAAGATACGTCTAGTGGTGAGTCGAAGAATGGATTACGTGGTGTAAAGGATAACGCGAAATACGACTTGTCTGATATTGAAACCAACCCTAGCAATATGGGGACACCGACCTTGCGGAGCGGCGTACCAGCATTTGGCCATGATAGGGACATGTCCATATCCAGCAATCCATGGCTCGATGCTGCATCTATTCAATCAAAGATGACACAACCTAGTCATCGATCTAACAAGCAATCTATGTCAACATTAAATGTTGCAGCGAGGCCTTTCAATTTTAACCCAACAAGTTCTTTCCAACCAAATCAATTCTCTTTCACTGGTGGTAATTTTAAACCAGCACATACAGCTGTCAATTACGTGCCGTTCGCTCATCAAGGACCTTTACCTGGTGTAACTGGACATCATAGCAATAACTCTGTGAAGAATTCATTCAGTAAAGTCGATGCTCCTGCCCAGGTATTCTCCCCTAATCTGCCAGGCTTTGCACCCGGACACAGCGAGTTCAACTTCCAAGGACCAAGCTTCAGGCCTGATGCACCAACATTTACTCCGAACTTTTCCACCTCTATCACTTCTGTGAGTGAAGAACCTGGTAGTGAAGCCCCAAAAAATCCCATCTTTGCTGGTCTTGATTTGAATTCCCTCGGCACGACGAAACCTGCGAAGAAGTCAAAAGCGATTCCCATTGTTCGGCCTGATAGTAATCCATCGAAGGAGTCTGAAGAACCAATGGAAGGTAAAGACGGTCGCCCCATGCAGAATCCGGGCCACATCAAGAGAATGCGTAGGGCAAACGATGATGGCGATTCCGTACCTCTGTTTGCTGGGTCCACTGTGGCTCTTCAAGAAAACACCTCGGAAAAGTCAAGCCGAAAGGAGGCCCAGCTCGCTACTACAGATGACGACAAGGAAAACTTCGCGCCTTCAAGTGAAGATGTTGAAAAGTTGCCTACTGCTGTTGAGAACAAAATGCCATCGAATGATGCGGATTTCTCCCCATTCGAGTTCCAACAACAAAAGGAAGCAGAGGATTTCAATGCCGCAATACCGTTCACTGCACAAAAATTTGAATCTAATCTTGATAGATATGGTGTTGATATTGCAAAGTCAGAAGATGACATGGAAGACGTTGATGAAACTGCACCCAAACGAGATCCACACTCGCGGACAGCATCAAATGCAAGTGGAAGTCAGCCTGGCCACAGGAAAATGTCATCATCTCTTTCTGCAGCTGCAAAACCTTTAGAATCTCAATTAGACGGGAATTTTGCTTTCACTTTTAGTGGAAGCCAAGCTCCGGTACTTGCCCCAGCTTCTCCTGTTCTCCCAAAGACCAATGGCTTCGCAGACTCCAGGTATGCTAACAGTCCATCGCCAACTCGAGTATCTGCTACGGAATCACCCGCCCTGCGACCTCATGAAGTAAACGATTTCCAAAATGCGTTACCAGTGCCTCTGAGTCCGCCAAAATACGACGAAGACTCTGACTTGGAGGAGGGTGAGATTCGAGAGGATAGAGACCCAACATTTGAGGAGATTGATGCTGTTATGAGGCATCTTAATTCAACGGAAATGTCACCAGCCACAGCCTCCGATGGAGATGATACTCCAAGATGGCACGAAGCTGGCTCACAAAGACATATCCGAATTCCCTCAATGTCATCTCCTATTCGCCTTCATCCTAATCTCCTGCGAAGTGATGCTCCTAGCCCAAGTCCAGGTCCAAAAAGATATCTAGAGGATAGTCAGTTCGGTGAAATGTCTCCCGAAAGAGGATATTCTTACATGGGAGCTGAAGATGATCCATTCGCGGATCCTCATTCTACAGCTGCATTTGGATCACCTATTCATCGTCTCAACACTGGCAATAGTCTACCAGTAAGTGATTGGGATGATGTCCTCAGCGAAGGCGAGGAGATTAAACTTCATGAAAGAATTGGTTTCTTCGATAATCGTGTCAATGACATCGTCGGTTCGTTGTTGGCCGATAGATTGGATCCGATCGAGAAGATCCTGGAAGGAATTACACATACTTTACAATCAATGTCTTATCCCGCAAAGACCGCACCGAATCGTAGAGAACGACGCAGCATATCTGGTGCACTCAGTGATGCTGATGATGAAGATGACGAAGACCCTGGAAGATCCGCAAGCCCAAGGAGAAACGCAAAATTGGAGAAAATCAGAACGGTCGTATTGGATGCTCTCAATACTCATTCCTCTAGACCTCAAAGTGCCATCACTCAAACAGCTGCATCAATGTTACCTGCCTCGCGTAATGTCCTTCAAGCTTTGGATGAAATGAAGGAGCATCTAACTCGATCCACACAACCTGCCTTTAGCGTGGAAGATCTCAAGAATGCTGTGGAGCAAGTTGTTGAAAAGAGAATACCTGCTCCAGTTAATCATGATGATGTTTCAGCTACTAAATTAGCGGAGGCTGAAGCAAAGATAGCTGCTCTTGAACAACAAGCCCACACTAGCCACAATAGGTTGGCTGAGACGGAAGAAAATTCCCGACTCAAGATTTCTGAGCTCGAAGAAAAGCTCCACAGAGCTGATGATTGGGTTGAGGAAGAGATCAAGAAACGCAGAGCTGCTGAAGACTCCAAGGCTATGACGGAAAGATTTTTAGCTAGTTCTCTGGAAGAAGAAACTCGGCTGAGACAAATCGTCGAGGAAAAGGGCTCGAAGGCGGAGATAGAAATCGTAACTCGACGAAAGGCCGAAGACCGTCTCGCCGAAGCTCAACGTCTGCTTCGTATCTCTTCCGAAGAGGAAGATCGACTTCGCGACGCCTTGTTGGAGAAAGATGCCAGGATTCGAGAGATTGCAGAAGATCGCGATTACAAGGTAAGAGGTATTGAAGAGTTTAAAAGCAAGACTACTATGCGTATCGCGCTTCTGGAAACTGCTCAGGAGAACTTTCGTAAAACCGAAGCAGATCTCACCGCCACAATTCACATGGCAGAATCTGAATTACGGGAATCGCGTTCGTTAGCCCATAGATGGCAGCTGGAGGCGGAAGGAGCCATGGAAGCAGCCAAGAGGCACAGTGAGGATGCGGAACAAGCCAACGAAACCAATAGAGACCTTAGGAGGACCATCGAGACTTTGAAGAACCAGATGGAGGAAAGTATCCGAGTCCGCGAATCCATGAGATCGAAATTAATGGATTTGCAGGAGGATATGGCTACAGCGGCCCAAAGCATCTCACAAGAAAACTCACATCACGCCCAGAAGGAACAGGAATTACTTGCCAGACAAGAAGTCCTCGATGCTAAACTTCATGCCGAGGCTAGAACAAGGGAACGACTCGAAATGGAAATTGAACGACTAGAGAGCGGCGAGAGACAAGGTGTGAGAGCTGTTAACGAGTGTAAGCGGTTGGAGGCTCTCGTCGTTGAACTACGAAATGAGAATCATGCTGCCCACAAAGATGTCATGAGATACAAGCGCGAATTCGAGGAAGCTCGCGAATCTGGCCTAGGCGAGGTTGCACGCACGAGAAAATATATGCAGGTTGAGGTCGACACCGCTAATCATGAGGTCAACGTCGTCAGAGAGGAACTTGAGAATCAAATCTCCAGACTTCAAGCCGAGATAGATCTGGTGAAATTGGATGCCGAAACTGCAAAGGAGCAACATGATATGCTTTTAGAAGCTGCGCAAACTTCCAAGAAGGGCATGTTCGATGATATTACGAGAAAGCATCAAGATCAGCTTGAAGATCTACAAGAACAGCTCAAGCGACAACTTGAAAACACCATCGTGGATGCTCAGAGATCGGAACAGCATCTCTTGGAGCGATTAAGTTTGAGTACCGCCAAGACGGAACATCTTCAAGATCGTGTGAGCCACTTGGAAGATAAATTGGAGGTCGCTAGGTCTGCTGCAAAAGCCGCCGCTACTCATGCTAAAGCTGCAAGATCGGCAAGTGTAGCTGGATCATTGCCATCACCGTCACTACCAAAGGCTTCTACCCGTGGATTGGACGTGCCGGAGAAGATCTCTCCACAAGCACTTCGTGAATCTATCATGGTTTTACAAGAGCAATTGCAAGATCGTGAGTTGAAGATTGAAGATCTAGAGCAGAAGCTTGAGGGTGTGGATCCTGATGCTTCAACAAAGATTAGCAAACGTGATGATGAGATCACGTGGCTACGAGAACTTCTTTCGGTGCGCAAGAGTGATCTCCAAGATATTGTTCAAGCCTTATCAACTGGCACATATAACCCAGGGAATGTTCGTGATGCGGCTATCCGATTAAGTGCCAATCTGCAAATGGAAGAGCAAGAACGTGAGAGAGCTATGAACGGTGGCTCATCCATCAACCTTCCAAACATTGCAGCTTCCATTGCAGCGAGTCCTAGAGTTGCACAAGTTGCCAATGCCGTAGGACCGCTTGCTGCTGCTTGGGGGAATTGGAGAAACAAGAATCAATCAAAGGATGCAACTGCTCTGATGAGTGGTGGTAATAGTTTAGCTACCGAAAGCGGTAACTCGACGCCATCTAAAGCTGGAAGTTCATCTGGATTTCTAAGTGGGTTGATGACACCACCGGCAAGTAGCTCCAGACAATTCCCTAATACACCTGGAGCACCTCCGCCAGTACAGATCAACAGAGAGCCAGCCAGTTTCGCTAGGGATAATACATTGAGTGCTTTTAACGCAACGGGTCAACGATTTGCGGCTAAACAAGGTGGCCTTAGTTCCAGAACGTCCACACCGAGACGCGCGGACAAAGTCCCGGTCAGAAGAGAAGCAACATCAACTCCACCAATTCTGTTAAAGAGTAGCTATGACAATGATGCTGTGGTAACAAATCATGATGAACTAGATAATGGGAATAGGCGCGGGAGCAGACGGGGGAGTGCACTTGCTCAAGCAGGTTTGGGGATGAGCTTAGGCGAGGAACTGGGAGATTTTGGAAGTGAAGAAGGCTTTTATGATGATGATGAAAGTACAATGGATGAGATGGCTGGGATTTATAGTGGGGGATTTGGACGTTGATTAAAAAAGTTTATTTTGTCATTTCTTTTTAATTTCTATTGCGGTCTAAGTTTAAGAATGTTTGAGGGGAGGAGAAAGTGGATTCAAAGCTTCTTATATCAATATCGTCCGCATTCACAGAATGGGCTCTTTACATACATACTTATCCTTTAATATTTCTAGAATGATACCCGGACTGCGCGAGGGAGAAGTAGTTGAGCGGAGAAAATTGGTAGAGGAGAAAGGTTGGATATAGTTTCCTTTATTAATGTTGATGGCTAGGAGGAAGGATTTAATGATAGAAAATGAATATTGAGATTACTTTGCATTTTTTAATACCTGGTCAAAGTTGGAATGAATGAGCTGAAGTTTGGATGTTGATTCGGACGGGCACAGCAGATGAGTTTCCGTTTCATTGCTTCGAGCCTCGCCACGTCCCATGTGTCTTATAATAAATGAAGTAAAGTCTCCTCCATTCCTATGGGAAAATATAAATCCAATAAGACCTCCAGTCAGACCACCAGCGTCGATCAAAAATCAAAAGAATGTACCACTGTAAGCTCCTGCAAATGCTGCGGCAACCAATTTTTGAACCGCCTGACCAGGATGGAAATTATTCCACCACAAACAACTCACTCCATTTGTATTATAGCAAACTGCATTTGGGGCACCATATGCTGTTGGATTGTTTATGGCAGTGTTGAAGGGGATCTGCGATTTTGTGTAAGTTTGTGGATGAGGAGCTAGTTTTCAATTTTGACGTACCGAAGTATCAATCACTGTGACGATGCTTCCAGACCTTTCGGATTGGAACTCAGTGGCCGTATTCTTGACGAGAGTATTCCAAGCTGCAATACTTGCAGTGTATGTCGCTTGCGTCGTACTGTTCAAAGCTAAGATTTTGGGGCTTTTGTTCGTGGCTATTTTCTCCAGTCAGTGTTTGAATCCGACTAAGCATATTAAACATTGAATATTGGCTTACGTGGAACTGTCATCAAAGCGAAATTTCTGGCCCCGTAATAATACATTATGTCAAGCTGCTTCCAGTAGGTGTTGAAGATCTCCGTGAAGAGTGTACTCTCGTTAGAGTATGTATAACTGAGCTCAATATCATTGATGCCAAACCACACAGCAAAGAGAGTATTTGCCGAAGTCCATGGCGCATAAGAAGGTTTTGGGGCAAGATTTGCAGTGAAGATTGCCGTTTGTTCGACTAATGATTTAGAACCGGAGGTAATGGAACGAACAACATCATCATCTACTGTTGAGCCTCCGACAGCAAAATTATAAGATAATGTTAAAGAGGTGTTATATGTGGTGACCAAGTGATCAATCCAATTGAGACCGGCATCTGTTGTGGTGCCTGGGAATGGAGGATTTCCAATCGGGTTCTCAGCGGAAGGCTTTGTGCCCGTAATTGAGAAGAGAGTTCGTGAGTAGGAGTCACCACTAGTAAGGTCAATACCGTCCCCTCCATCTATTTTGGGTGCTCTCACAAGGAAAATAGATATTTAGTTCCTGTTACTCCTCTAGGTGCAACTGAGTTCAGGAATGGGAAGGCCACACCACCATCCACCAAAAGAGGAAGGATAAACAGCAATTGAGAAAACATGACCCAGATTTTATTTTGAGAAAAAGACGTGAACAGATTTATGATGGATAAATGAGCGAAAACGTAAGATCTTATGATAAAATACCTTTTTCCAAGTACAAAGCAAAGATGGGCTTCATCATCAATCGCTCGCTATTGATACACCGCCAAATTATCCGTGGTTCAACGCTGGAATATGCCAGATGGTCCCCACAACAAAAAACTGTACTGCAAAACTTTGTTCAATGGGTAAATTCTGATTGGGACGCAAGGAGTATTTATGTATCGCTGGCAATATTTCCGGCATGGGGAAATCATGCACGATTCTCCGAAAGATGAGGGATCATTGTCCGGCTTTGTAATATTATATTAGAGCTTTCCCTCGGTCATGGTTGTATAAAGACAATTTGTGGTTGAATATCTCGCTGTCGTCTTGTATGATAAAATCAAGCACTTGCTCAATCACGAATTCATAGTCGCTAGTAGTTCTTTTCCTTTCTTCCTTTTCAATATAATAATAATTTATTTCTATACCTATATTTATTTTTCACTTTTTTTTTAAAGGATATTTAAACTCATTTTCATTATTATAAATAAATCAGTTATTTTATTGAGTTGAAAAATATTTTTATTTATTTATGAATAATTTTCTATATTATAAATAAAATATTTTTTCCTTATAAATTATATTATCTCTTTTAGTTAAATAAGTATTTTTATCTTATAAATCAGTCTATTAGGTCATAGTTTATTAAAATAAAGCTAGTATTAATCAAAAATATCAATCATTTATATTATATACTGCCCCTTTATCTTCTTAAATTATTTTGGGCACCTTTACAGTCGACCGCTATCCTGAGTTCATTTCTAAAGCTCTACAGTGCCAATGCAAGCTGGGTAAGTATCACATTGGAAGTATAATATAAAACCCTATTGTTGACAAAGCAGACTTTCCCCATACAATTTTCCATGCCACATGTTACCCATCACCATGAACAAAAATCCTCACATAAATGATCTCTTCCAATCTGTTCTTTTTGCGTTTTATGCGTACAAATCTCGGCAAGGAAAAGCTTGGTACGACTACATTACATTTCGACCACACCCTCATTTCTCGGATAGTCCAGTATCATACCAGACAAGGCAACCCTATACCGGGAGCATAAGTTGAAAGATGAAACTCGGCTAGATAGTGTGGCCCTATCGAAAAAAGATTTGTCTAGCCCGTTGCCCATATATGCATTGTTAGGGGCGAGGAGAGGGCAAAGTGTCAATTTTTGAAGAGCATTTCTTCCGCATTATCTCCATGATTTCAAATTAAGCAAATTAATATTGGTACGTGATATGATCATGTAGAATGCGAGCATTCGTGACAATTTTACAGTAATAATGGCTGTGCCAATGGACCTAGGCATTTCACAGTCATAGATACAGCTACGGAAAATTCCCAAGGGTTCATACATGGCATCCATTTTTAGTTGATTTTGCATTCTGAAGTATTGACACCAAAGATTATTTCGACAATGATTATCAAAATCACCTTGCATGACCTCTGTATTCCTCCCTCATCGTCGCTATCATCCGAACCACAATAGAGTCAAGCACAGACTATTCCGAGAGACCTTCCACTCCGTCTCAACCTCTTGCCAGTACTTCCGCCGGATTACCTAGCTTAAACACATGCGGCACAAACATTATTGACAGCAGTCAAGACTTGAAGCGCAGTAGCATCTCCACAAGCTTTGACAACGCAACTAGTAGCGTCATTTTTGATAGAGGAGAAGGTTGCAGATGCGCATTCACAAGCATAGTTGTTGACGCTGCCTGGGCAGTATTTTGTCACTGCTGAACTGATGCAAGTAGCCTAGTAAAGACATTAGTGGATCGATAGGAGGAAAGACTAACGAAACTGGGCGAAGGATACGGCAAGACATTGAAGAGAAAATGAATGATTATGTTTGGTGAAGGGGATTGAGGTAAATGAAAAGGTCACATACACCACAAGCAGGAACGGCAGCAACAGCAGATGTGCAAGCCGCACTTTGAGCTGAGACGATGGAGGCAGCTCCGAGACCAATAGCGATGTGTGAGAACTTCATGGTTTCCGTTTTGAGAGAAAGATATGCGTGGTGTGCGATGGTGTTGTTGTGTTTTGTGCCAGGGAGATTGCGTGATAATGGATGATGAATATTGGAACTTTTCGCTCTTATATAGTTTTTATTTGCTCCATTGTGATTTGGTCTCTCCAAGTATTCAGCATTTGGATACTCTTTCTGTACAGTACATTCAAATCCTGGCATTGGAGAACGTTGAACTCAATCATGAACAAGAATGCGGAGTACGTAAGGAGTGCATTTAACCGTGCACCCGCATGCAGTAGTCGTTGCGGATGCGGGGAATCCTCGAAAAAGCCCCGAGCATCATGTCTGTATTGGGCGTAAAATGAGGGGTTTTTCCTCGGTACCCACATGCTTCCATTCAGCATTCCGGCATGTGAAGTGTAAACCGACAGCATGATAGACAATTTATACGTCAACGTGGGGAGATTGGCAACCAGCTGATTGAGTTGGCATTAAGTAGCTTCCTAATACTAACAGCTGTGCATCCTTCTGCAGAAAAATATGACCAGTAAACCATTGTATGTGTAAGAACCATCAAAATCCTTGAACGACCTCAAACTGTGGATATTCTCCTGTCACCGCGCTTGTCAATCGTAGATAATGAGATCTTATGGCTAGTTGGGCTAATTCGGGTTTGTGCAACCTTTTAGGTGACCTCACATCTGAAGGTGTAGAAGAAAGTAAAAGGAAAAAATAAAAGATACATTGATAGACCTGTACTCTACGAACGGGTTGCCAAGTTGCCAGAAGTAATCATTAAAGCTGTATAGTTGTGAGTTTTGTGTATCCAGACCCATTTTCTGGAACATATGAAAATGAGATTTCTGACCTCAACTCAAGAGTAGTCTTTCCATCCTTGAAGATGCTTCAGGTCGTGAGGTTACTTTAATGCATCAGTTCATCTATTCTGAATGCTGGGTGCATGAAGCTAGAACGACATCTTGATAATAAGGTCATAAGTTACTTCTTTGCCCTAGTTCAATATCATGCATGATGCATAGCCTTCGGCGACAATTATTGCGCATCGTGATTCTGCCGCTCTCCGGCAGTTAACCCTTTTAATACCTTATAACACCTTGGAAGCGTTTAGGGCGCGATAAGCGGGAACCGTGCATCGCCACCGAATATCATCCACTTGGGAGAATTCATCGCTCCCGGTAACAAACATTTTTAGAGTGAATTGTAAGTTAGGAATGAAGCTATTGTATATTCAAAAATAGCCAACAGGAGTGTCAAGTGCTGGCCTTCGGACCATGCAGTATAAATGTAATCGGTTCCCAAAGCAAGCACTGATACCACCTACCCGTACCCAGAAAGTGGGATGCATGCAACACAAATAGATGAATAATGAAACAACATGCCAATGAATCAAGCACACGAAACTTCACACGGATGAGAGGAGTGAGGAGTGAGGAGTCAAAATGAATCCCGGAAGTAGATGATGAATTAGGCATAGATTTTTGAAATCCATCCTAGGAGAAGCAACGTCCGAGGTATTACAAGATTGAGGAGAACCATGTGAAGCCATAACTATCACAGCGACATCGCTACGAGTTGCATATTCCCTAGTAGCTGAGCAAATGTGTGATCCTCATGTCCGAACAACTTCTGAGAGACCTTGTCCGCCAGATCTGACGATAGAATGACACTTTGAAAGCACTTCGTAGGTTACACTGGTTACATGAGCTGCTGGGGCCAAATGAACCAAACCTGACAAAACTATTCGAACACTGCTCGAGCAGGAAAATAGTTACTTGTTGTAATTTCCAGCGAAAAGTTGAAATAGGTAGCAGACTCGATGTCTATTCAATTCCATTGTAGATCCAGCGGCCGCAAAAGTAACGAAAGTAAAGTAACCAGAGTAAAGTATCCGGAGGAAGAACAAACAGCTCGCTGGATAGCAATATTGTTGTAACTTTTACACTTCATGAATCAAGAAGTTTTTATCGTTTCGTCTCATGGTATGTACCAAATTCCATCAATTCAACCTCTTGTATTGTTGCTCCCATCGACAGCGATAACGAACAGCGATAACGAATGGCGGAGCTGGATAATCTTCACAGTAGCTTCTCACAAATCCCATAGGTATCCAGCACTATCGTTGAGTCCAAACCAATTGTATTTTTTCAAGCATTGGATATGAAGTAAGAAGCCCGCTCTTCACTCAGGACCACGACTATCTTTCGAATGAATGGAATACGCTGCGAGAAAGGCCTGATGTGCAATTTTCTGTCTCGTTCTTCGAAAGATTGTGACTGGGGACGTAATAATTCATGTCTGCAAGCTGGAACGTCAGACATCAAAATGTTAAGAAGGTTTTATTAGGAGAACATAGAATATCAACTAACCATAACATCATGCTAAAATCTGTCGCAGTTGCGCATTAACCGTTCATTCTCTTTGAGCGTGGTTGTCGCTGGTGTTACGACGAGAATCCATTTCTCAAAGTTAAAAGTGCCTCTGAGAAAAGTTAACATAATGCTAGCAGCCTTGCCCATCGATGATGGTCGTGGTGATGACTGATGAGTGATGAGCTGATACTGCAGAGATATACAATATCGCAATCCAAGAGCGGGATTGCGAAAATTAACCCTGTGCGATAAGGCTGAGAGATAAGGTTAATCATAAGGTTACCTAGCGATTTGTCATGCCTCTAACCATTTAGCAGAAATAATATGAGGTAAAGCAAAGAAACTCACCTCCAGTTTTGAAGGTATTGTTGGTTGGTTCGGTGCAGGAAGTTCAAGGCTTGTGGCGATGACAAGGCATGACACAAGTGAAGGATATGTATGACTTGTGAGGTGTTGACGCAAAGCACGTAGCCCAAATGTACCACACGACTGCTTGAATACCAAATTTGTTTGAATATCAACCGAAGGAAGAGTTTTGACTGGTATTTCCATATCGAAGGATTGATTTGACACCAAGGATGTTTTAATCCTAGCCGAAGAAGGTATAGATGGCGCCAATCGATTGAAATTTGGATCTGATTGTCGAGGAAGGTCTGATATTAGGTGAAGGTGTCCGCAGACGATGTGGAAGAGGAGATAGGGCACCGGTTGTACTTGACTTGACGGCTGAGACTGGTGTCACATTAGACAAACCAGAATTTTGTCGAATGCCTCCTTCAGCCCTACCAACATCAGATTGCTCATCAGAATGATAAAAGCTGTGTGGAAGTTTGTAGTTTCTTGGGTGAGGTAGCTTCGGGTGTTCCATTACATATTCATGGAAGGCGACATCAACAGTAGGTAAGCCTTCCTTGTGTTCTGTCAATACCCGCTTGTACTTATTCAAAAAGTCCATTATGCACGCCATATCCGCAATGATATAAAGTTTCCTTGCCTCACCCGAAAAATCCCTCCTTGACAAATGTGGACGATAACCAAAGGTGCACTGTTTCTACGGTCTTTGTTTCCTTGGCGATTGGTAGATGAGAACCTTCCACAGACAACTTATTCGCATTTTGGAATCAAATAACCAACTGCGCTAGTGATTTATCTCAAATCCCTTAAGAATAGGTCAAATTCATTTGTCTAAAGCATCCTGTTGGCTAGGGATGGAGCATATAATCGAATAACTTCAGTTGTTGCACCGGTGGGCAAGAGGAATACCCGAGGGCGCTTTAATGTAATACCCAAAAATGGGATTAAAAGGTTTTGTTCATGCTTCCATTCATGTGTGAAGAATTCGTGAGACAACCTTTTCTAGCGCGACTTGTGGGTTGCCGAACCCAAACATACGATAGGAGCCATATTCTTGCCAGACTTGATGGTTAGAAGTCAACTCTCCTTTGAGTCCACGGTTCTTGTAATGCAAGTTCGAATAACTATCGGAGCGAGCCTCGAGAGCTGTTATATGAATATTGATACCTTTCATAATTTGGATAATCCTCATCTTTTCTGGTACGCTTGCTGCCAGTTTCCTGTTTATTCGCCTGAGAACGATCACCTTTGTTTGGATGCCCTGAGAGTCCCAAAATCCTCATACTTCAATGTGCGCTCGTCACTGTCCTTCTCAATATGCCATTGAGAGTACCGAATACCATCTTTCCTTGTATGCTCGTCGACAACTTTCTTGTGTCTGCCCATGTGAGCCACGAGGAACCTCATTGTTTCGTACGCGCTTCTCCAAATGTGAATACCTGTTGGAGTCTGTAAACCCTTCATCTTTCGATATACGCATCTTGTTATCTGTGGCAGAAAATGGAGGTTGGAGGGGTTGAAAGGGTTGTAACGACTTGTTGAGATTGAAGGGTTGACAAGTTGAAGAACTGAAGAATGGAAGAGTTGAAGGGTTGTGATCTTACGAACTGAAAGATGAAAGATATGATGATTGAGGCATCGCAAGGCTAAGTTGTGTGTTTAGAGGATGTTTTCCGAGGCATTGGTCAAATTTGACGTTCGCCGGCAATCAACATAGTGAATCCCAATCAACCCCATCTCCGAATGAACCTGCTCATTGCCTATCGCACTTGTTGGGGCGGGGAACCTCGCAGTGACCGGCGCTACAATGAAGCACTAGGTAATCAAGCGGTAAATGAGAGTAAGATGTGAACAACAAGGCAGCTTCTAGTGGGTTAGTCAATCGGTTCATCAGATTTATGTCGCAGCGAGCCAGAACATTTGAGGTCGAGGCTAGGTCTGACGGCTACTGCCTTCATCAATAAGAATGCCCCTATGCTGGCTATTGCTAAAAAGTGGAACTCTAAAGTGACATCGATCGAGAGCAAAAGTCCAAACCGAAAAGATTTTTTAAAAAAAATCTTCACCAGGTATCGTGACACCACATATCATTAAGATCCATCTCCTCAACGATTTCAAATCAAAAGTTATCAAAGCTTTCCCAGGCCAGTTCCTCAAACTAAGGAATGTCATCTTCTCCTTTCATCTCCCAGTTAATTCCCAAGTTTCATCAAGACATCACCTTTATCAACCTCACCATCTCCCGCCTCCCACTTTACCGGACATTTGATATTAGCACGAATAGCCGAGGAGTAGACGGGGATAGAAAGTACCTGTTCTAACCTAGACTCAATCACGAGATGCACTGGACCTACTTCCCGTTCGTAAATAAAATGCTCCATTTCGATCGGGAGTACCGTAAATCCATGACCTAATACATGTAACTTAACTCGCACAATGCAATTGACATCATACACAATGAAAGAGGACCATCAATTTGTTGATATGAGGCACCAGGTTTGAGAATCAGGAAATTTCAAGCAACATGGGGTAGATAATAATGAGCCCAATAAACTATCCCTAGGACTGGGGTTCAACATAGTTGCCTTGATGCCAAAGTTTCCATAGAATTGAGACTGGAAAACCAACAATGGAGTTCATTCACAAATGAATCCTCGATACCCAACTAGATATCAACCAAAGGGTATCGAAGGTAATCTCCGAGTTCAACAACTTGTCGAATTTGGATGTCAGAGTGATAATGGCCAAACCAGTAAAATCCTCATCATTCCAACCTCCAACCATTACAGAGGATGTCCAAAAACCTGAATTCGTCTCTTGAGCAGATAAGTCTCCCTCCGGCTAGGCTTCTCCCATACCACATTATATCGCCTGTACCCATGATGAATCATAGATAGCACGGATTTTGATCTTGCACCGGAAATGCCCATCAATTTGTCAAGTAATGAGATTGTAATAAATCGACCCCTTCTTCATAATTGATGGTAAATTGACTGAATACCACTTGAGTCGTAAGATACCACGGATTTCAGTACAGTACAGTACAGCACAACACGGGAAATAGCTGCATTGGATATGTGAAATCTCTTTCAAGAGATCAATGTAGTCCATACCAACAAACACTGTTCACTGCACTGTTCACTCAATACCCTAGGCTTTTAAGCTTTGACCAAGATGTTAAGATCTTAAGCTTACAAGCAACTTCATGTGATGATGAGCCAAGCTACTGCTACTGCCGCCGATACGAGAGATGTCTGTGTGGTGTATGGTGTTTTTAAACTGCTATGATTGGTGAAAAAAGCAGCTGAATTCACCTTGGGAGAAGTATTGACGCCTTGTGTCACTTAAGATGGCTAGATTACTTGGCAACTTAGTCTCCAAATTTGGCGATGATCATGTATCGACAGTATCGTACGCGTATATTGATATTTTTAAGGTTTGTTCAGCTGCAAAATGAGCCGATGGCTTTGCAGGGCGGGGCACCCCCGTCCCGCACCTACCCGGGGTTTTTGATCCTCTAGTGTAACCACCCAACCACCCAACCACCCAACCACCCGACCCTGCATGTATTTTACAGCCCCGGGTACCGAATAATAACACATCGGGGTGATTGAATTCAAGCTTTCGAAACGATCAAATGTCTACGGAGTACAATCGCCTTTGGCCTATTATCACATGACAACATGATAACATGACAACACGAGTAACCATCACATGATACATTATCATATAGATCATACCTTTCCAGATCGATATCTTCTTTTACATTTTGATATGTATTTACCCCAATGATGTACCCAATTGCCCCACCTTAGAGATCTTGGAAAGATCTAATACTACCTACCCCGCCCGGGTCATGTCACCCCGTCTAGCCCTGGCGGTTCGCCAACGATTAGCGCCTCAATTCCCCCAATTTGGTGGGGTGCATGATTTCAGCACCCCATTTACTTATTGCTGACCAATCGTATACTTCCAGCTCTTAGTCTACTCTGTCTAGGCTGGGCCACATCATGTCTGCAGCGAAAAAGCCTCCTTTTCGGTGAGGATAGTTCCAAAATATGACACTATCAAGTTCCAGGCGTTTTGTCCTTCAGCTGGAAACCAAAATGAGGTTACTTTCTCGGAATGGTGCATAGAAAGCTGAAAGGTATGTCGGGATCGCCAGTGAATTCATGAGGAAAGTGGTTTCGTGCGTCCAACTACTTTTCTAGCGATGGCCGACTATACCAAATTTCAGAAACACGTCAGTAACACTATCAACTTTGCGGACTTGCAGAAATATGACTTCTCGTCGTTGATTGACTATAGCGCTGCTGTGATATCATGCAGCCGTGCTGTAGTCGATCAACCACAAGAACATAACTTACTCGATGTGGTCAAACCAAGGAATTGGTTACGAAGAAGGAAAGCATGTGGTTAAAATCATCCTCGCTAATTTCGTTCTCCTAAGATGAGCAATATCTATATATATGTGACTATGTCACCTCATGAGAAGGTGAAAACCTCATTGTAGTTCTCTCAATTCACATTTACAACTATCAGCAGACTCAATAACCTCAAAATGGCCACCGACGAACTTACAGCCAAAGAAATTGCCATCAATGAACTTGATACCCTCGTCAATACTTTGGGGGTCTCCAATTGCTTCAAAAAAGGCAAAGGCTTCTATGAAAATGAAGTAACGCAATATGCCACTTCCTCTTATGAGTACGTAACCCTTTTTCCTATCCCTGATTTTACCTCATGTCACCATTGCTTGAGATGGAATTTTATTTCTTCACCTGTTTCCATTCGCTCAGAGAAGTATGATACTAATTCTTGTTAGATACGTTCGCACGTTGCCAGCATTGATCCTGAAGCCCCGAAACAAACAGGACATTGCCACTATTTTGGAATACGCCAACAGGAGAAAAATTGGTGTATCGGTTCGTACAGGAGGACATCAATACAGCGGAGCTTCATCTTGCACCGCTCCAAATATCCAAATGGACTTGTCAGAAACTTTCAAAGGTCCCGATGATCGAACACTCTTGAGAAAGCAGGGTCGTCTTCACACGAGCGTCAGTTGGTCTCTGAAGGAATTTACTGAATTTTGCTCCGAACACCACATTTTCGCGCCCCATGGACAATGCATTGCTGTTCACCTCGGAGGACACGTTCAAACTGGCGGTTACGGGCAACTCGGTCGCAGCTTCGGGCTACTTGCGGATCATGTCCTTGAGATTGACATTGTGGACTATGAGGGAGTCCCCAGAAGGCTTGTTCAGAATAGCCCTAACGTGGCCGAACGAGATCTATTTAATGCCATCCTTGGAGGAAGCCCAGGGAACTTTGGTGTAGTCACCCACTTCACAATCAAGGTCCATAAAGACGAAGATTATAAAGGATCCATTGGTATGAAGTGCTTATATCCGTACAGTCCTGAGAGGGCTGAGAAGCTGCTCGAACTTGTGGCAAAGATGTCAGACGGTTTGGATTCCGAAGGAAACCCGATGATACTTGCTCGTAATTACGATGTTTGCCTCAACATCGTTAGTTCTGGAAACGAGTTCGCCGCCCTTTTCCCCGGTAAAGCTAAATCACTGAGGGACTTTTACAACAATCATGATGACCTTCCAAACATTGACGATAACTTGCCGCAATATCCCAAATTAATTTACATCTGGGCGCAATGGGTTAAGATACATGAAACCGATAAATTCGACAAGACGCTTTGGTTCGATAAACTATCCGACGGTTGCATTGACCCAATCAGCATAAACCATAAGGAGTTGGAGCCAAAAGATATGTCTTTCATGACGGGAAATTGGTGGATTTTAGATGCTGTTCGCGAGTATCCATATCCCTATATCAAGAGTACCCGCATGAGCGACAAGACGAATCTGAGCAAGTCCGGATGGCCTGCGTGGTTAGCTGGACGTATTGATAAAGTTGTGAAGCCAGAAAATAACGGTCTCTTTGTGTGTGCTCAAATCCAACCTTTTGGCGGGCCTGAATCGCAGACGGTCCAAAAGGCAAACAACGGCACTTCATATAGTTGGAGAAACTCGACCATCACCTGTACTCTTGATTGCTTCTACAACTTCAAACACGACAAGAAGAAGGAGGCGGAAGAATGGCAGAAGGAAAATGAACAAGGAGCCATTGGGGAGAATGGGGTTTTTAGCACCAAGGATATGCGTCCTTTATGGGGGTCATTCGGAGAATATGACTTGTCCCAAATTTGGGAAGCGTATCATGACAGCCAGGAAAAGTACGACAAGCTACGCAAACTGAGAAAGACTCATGATCCAACTGGGGTGTTCACACCAAACACATTCTGCGTCCCGCGGGAAGGAGAAGACACCAAGGACCTTCTGGCAGAGAGAGTAAAACAGCAGGCTCTTCTTAGATAGCAGAGGATGTTGTAAAAGCTCAGAATTTCGAAGTTAGCTTCCAGATTGAAGCTTTTTTACCATCACTTGTGGTCTTCCAAGGGCAGGCTAGGTGGCAAACGGGAACCTGTTCCTTCAATTCTTTCATAGTTAACGATATACACATTCTTTAGCATGCTTTACATGATTATGTTGATACCTTTTAAAGTTGCCGCGTCTTTAAGATTCGTGAGAGAGTGTATAGCTTCAGTGTTAGATAAATAAAGCGAATGGAGCGTGAAGTAGAGAAACCACCCTTACTGTTCTATTGTATTTGCTGACCTGGAGTTCCTATGATGGCTTCCCTCTCGATCATTCCATCGGAGTTAACACTAACAGTTTAGGAGTCATCAGCGAGTTCTTCGAAATCCGCAGCAGCATATATCAATGAGCCGTTGAAGGTCTCATTCTGAGGCAACCCACACAGCAATGGGGAACTAATATGATTCTGGTTTCGGGACGTTCTCGCTACCGCCAAAATGTGGACTTTGATCTTCTGACCCACTTCCCCACAACACCATATGAGCTAATCAATCTTGAAAGCATAACTCTTTGCTTCTTTGAGTTTACTCAAACTCGTAATAGGTAATAGGATAAACTTAGACCGAACGATCTGGGTGATTGCCTCCAGTGGTTACAGTATTACCTTCATCATGTTAGTAGATCTCCGTCATCCACAGCTTTTGGCAATCATTATGCGTTTCAGTATTCTATAAAATTGAAAAGTAGTCCGGGTTATCCAATATCTGAGACACCGACCAGTCCACATGCTCTTAACAAGCTCATTTGTCTCCCCATTCTCCGATCACCAGCGGAAGTGATTGCCCAGACAAAGACCTCTTGTTGAACTTTTGATCACATCGAGCGATGAAATATTTAGGACCTCATCTCCTATTGTTATCTGCTTCTCGTATTGTGAGAAAGTTGGAATTATAGGCCAAATACATAAAGGTTTTAACTAGTCAATCACATGATCTTCTGTAGTTAGATATAAAAGAAAAGCTCTTTGCTTCTTCTTTTCACAAAAATCTTCTACATATATACATTTGAACCCATATAGCATCAACCCCAAAACCATTGTGAACCCCGTTTTACCCATAAGTGACGTATTACAATATAATCTAATTCAGCTTTCTCTTCCAATTCCCTCCTCACAATGTGCTATCGGGACACACGTATCTCGACCTACCACTTTTACAGTATGATCAGCTCCTTTCCTTTAACTAGTATTATAAGGATTTTTTTGATGATCACCATCGATAATGATCACTTTTGAAAGGGGGGTGGTGACCACCCAAAAAAGTAAATATGATTACTCCTCCGAAATCGATTAATTTAAAAGATAATGGTTAAAATCGGATTAGTTATTTTGGATTCTTTAAAACTTTTTTGATATTTATTATTTAATATTTTTTTTTATATTCAAATAAATACTTTTCTAATTTTAATAATTTAACTTTTAAAATGAAAGAGTTAATGAAAAATATTTTAAATATTATTGATTTTAATTCTGATTTTCCAGAAAGTTTTAAATTCTATTTAAGAAAATCTAAGAATTTATTTAATAAAAGAATCAATAAATTCAAAATTTATTCTTTTAATCAATCGAATGATATTGAGGAAGAAATAAAAAAGAAATGAGAATTTGGAATAAGAAATAATTCAAACAATACAAATTCTAAATTCAATTACTCTTTTGATTCTAATTCAGATATTTTATTTTTCAGATTTGATTCAAATAATTCCAATTTAAATAATTCTGGTAATAGGTTAAATATGAAATTTGATAATATTATTGATAATTTTTAACAAATTAATGATTCATTTGATTTAGTTATTTCAAAGATAAAAATATTAATTCTTGATATATTGATTTTGTATTTTAAATAAAAAATAAAATTAAATATATTTACAAATTTTATAAATTATTTTTTGGTTTATTTAAGTATTAAAAAAAATAACAATTTGATTTATAATACTTTGAAACTATTTTAATATTATTTTAAATTTATTTATTGTTTTCAATTAATAATTATCGAATATTATTATCACGATTTACAGATTAGATTATAATAGTATTATAAGTATAAGTGATTCTATATAAGGAAACCATAGCTTTCTAAACAGAGAATATCTCGTTTAATCTATTGACCGCTTGTTATAGGGTAACAGTCAACCTGTCCATATAAGCTTAGGCCTCATCAAAAAGCAAAGTAATTTGTATATAAATTTGTATAGTAATCGCTTCATATGGTCTCCCCACCTTCAGCGAGCTCGGACATATAGTCTGATCGTAGTCACGTGATAGATCACAAGATCTAAGGGATCTAGAGAATTATATTCTAGATTTATTAGATCTTTATGATTCAATTGATACAAAGATCTATATAAATAGAAAAGGATTTCTTTTGTAAGAGTTTTATATTCAAAATCAATTATTTAATATATTTTATTATTAATTACAAATTATAATTATTGATATTATTTAAAGCTTTTGTTTGATATCTAATTATAAATTATTCGAGGTATAACGATCTCTGGTAGAGGCAGCGGCTGCCTTAGGTTTCGTCTGGTTGATAGTTGTAGGTTAAGACTAATAATCATTAGTTATCCACTCGAAGATGAATATATTACTAGATTAATTGGAATATAGATAAACTAATTAATAATTAAGTTGAGTATAAAACTTTTAAACTATAAAATTATTCTGATTATATATTAATGAATATAAAAAAACCTTTTAAAGTCTTAAAGCTTCAAAAAGCTCTTAGAGTTTTAAAAGCTTTCGAAGTTTTTAAAGCTTTTTATTATATGATTAGGATCTGATTATATATTCAAGTTTGTTAAAAATGGGGAGATTATATAAAACGATTATTATACAAATTTGTATACAAATCATTTTGTTTTTCGATAAGGTTTAAGTTTATATAAACAAATTGATTATTGTTTTTCAATATATTTTAATTTTAATTGTAAATTGTAATATTATCTCTTTCCTAATTAAATATTATTTCAATTGTTTATAATCTTTCAAGTTTTATTTGATAATTAATATTTTTTCTTTTTTTATATTTTATTTATCTTTTTTCTTTTATTATAAATAATTCTAATTTCTTTAATAATTTAATTCGAAAAAAGAAAAAGAAATGTATATATTTAATTACAATTATTGATTTAATTACAATTATTGATTTTATTAATATTGAAATGATTTCTTGTTTTTATTATTAATAAAAGAATTGTTATTATATTAAAATCTTTTGATAAATATTACTTGTATTATTCGAAATATATATGAAATTCTGTTTTATATAATATTAAGTTTCATTTGAAAGATGATTAGGATTATAAAATTTCTCAAGAGTATAATTAGAAGAGTTTTAATTGATAGATCAATAAATTGGATATTAAAATTATAAAGTCTTTTATTAAGATTATTTATCTTATTAAATAGAAAATATAATTCAAAAAATGATATAATGAAATATTATATTGTAGATTTAAATATCTTAATAAACTTGATATTTTTGAAGAAAAAAAGTGAAATGAAAAGGATAAAGAAATTCTTATAATTCTTTTATTGTCTTTTGATCAATTTCATCAATTTGATTAATTAAACTTTGATCAATTTAATTGATTTGATTAATTATTAATTGATTTTATTAACTTTAATAAAATTCTTATAAATAAATTCGATTCTTTCAATTCTTTTTATTAAAATAATGAATTCTTTTTTTTTAAATAAATCTAAATTCTATTAATAAAACTTTTAGAACTTCTTTAGATATTTAATCTCTTTTTTAAGTTTTTATATATATTTGTAATCTAATATCTTTTTTATCTTATATTTAATATTTTGATTTTTAAATATTGTGAGAAAGTTGGAACTAGGGTTAGGGTTAGGGTTAGGGTTAGGGTTAGGGTTAGGGTTAGGGTTAGGGTTAGGGTTAGGGTTAGGGTTAGGGTTAGGGTTAGGGTTAG